ATAGTCTTTTGTATGAAAATTCGTGATTTATAGTCCTTTGAGGGAAAATTCATGAAATATAGTCTTTTGCATCAAAATTCGTGAATTGTAGTTCTTTGCATGATAATTTGTGGACTATAGTCTTTTGCATGAAAATTCGTATACTATAGTCTTTTGCATGGAAATTTGTAAATTGTAGTCTTTTGCATGAAAATTCGTGAAATATAGTTTTAATATGAAAATTCGTGATCTATAGTACTTTGCATGAAAATTCGTGATCTATAGTCTTTTGCATGAAAATTCGTGAGTTATAGTCTTTTGCATGAAAATTCGTGATCTATAGTCTTTTGCATGAAAATTCGTGAATTATAGTCCTTTGCATGAAAATTCGTAAATTATAGTCCTTTGCATGAAAATTCGTGATCTATAGTCTTTTGCATGAAAATTCGTATAATATAGTCTTTTGCATGAAAATTCGTGAATTGTAGTCCTTGCATGAAAATTCGTGATCTATAGTCTTTTGCATGAAAATTCGTGAATTGTAGTCCTTTGCATGAAAATTCGTGATCTATAGTCTTTTGCATGAAAATTCGTGAATTGTAGTTCTTTGCATGAAAATTCATGTACTGTAGTCTTTTGCATGAAAATTCATGTACTGTAGTCTTTTGCATGAAAATTCATGTACTGTAGTCTTTTGCATGAAAATTCGTATACTATAGTCTTTTGCATGAAAATTCATGATTTGTAGTCTTTTGAAGGAAAATTGGTGATCTATAGTGTTTTGCATGAAAATTCGTGAATTGTAGTCTTTGCATGAAAATTCGTGATTTATAGTCTTTTGCATGAAAATTCGTGATCTATAGTCTTTTGCATGAAAATTCGTGATCTATAGTCTTTGCATGAAAATTCGTGATTTATAGTCCTTTGATGAAAATTCGTGATTTATAGTCTTTTGCATGAAAATTCGTGATCTATAGTCTTTTGCATGAAAATTCGTGATCTATAGTGTTTTGCATGAAAATTCGTGAATTATAGTCTTTTGCATGAAAATTCGTGATTTATAGTCTTTGCATGAAAATTCGTGATCTATAATCTTTTGCATGAAAATTCGTGATCTATAGTCTTTTGCATGAAAATTCGTGATTTATATTCCTTTGATGAAAATTCGTGAATTGTAGTCTTTTGCATGAAAATTCGTGATCTATAGTCTTTTGCATGAAAATTCGTGAACTATAGTCTTGCATGAAAATTCGTGATTTATAGTCTTTTGCATGAAAATTCGTGATCTATAGTATTTTGTATGAAAATTCGTGATCTATAGTCCTTTGCATGAAAATTCGTGATTTATAGTCTTTGAGGGAAAATTCATGAAATATAGTCTTTTGCATCAAAATTCGTGAATTGTAGTTCTTTGCATGATAATTCGTGGACTATAGTCTTTTGCATGAAAATTCGTATACTATAGTCTTTTGCATGAAAATTTGTAAATTGTAGTCTTTTGCATGAAAATTCGTGAAATATAGTTTTAATATGAAAATTCGTGATCTATAGTACTTTGCATGAAAATTCGTGATCTATAGTCTTTTGCATGAAAATTCGTGAGTTATAGTCTTTTGCATGAAAATTCGTGATCTATAGTCTTTTGCATGAAAATTCGTGATTTATAGTCCTTTGAGTGAAAATTCGTGATTTATAGTCTTTTGTATGAAAATTCGTGATCTATAGTCTTTTGCATGAAAATTCGTGAACTATAGTTTTGCATGAAAATTCGTGATTTATAGTCTTTTGCATGAAAATTCGTGATCTATAGTATTTTGTATGAAAATTCGTGATCTATAGTCTTTTGTATGAAAATTCGTGATTTATAGTCCTTTGAGGGAAAATTCATGAAATATAGTCTTTTGCATCAAAATTCGTGAATTGTAGTTCTTTGCATGAAAATTCGTGTACTATAGTCTTTTGCATGAAAATTCGTATACTATAGTCTTTTGCATGAAAATTTGTAAATTGTAGTCTTTTGCATGAAAATTCGTGAAATATAGTTTTAATATGAAAATTCGTGATCTATAGTACTTTGCATGAAAATTCGTGATCTATAGTCTTTGCATGAAAATTCGTGAGTTGTAGTCTTTTGCATGAAAATTCGTGATCTATAGTCTTTTGCATGAAAATTCGTGAATTGTAGTCCTTTGCATGAAAATTCGTGATCTATAGTCTTTTGCATGAATATTCGTGATCTATAGTCTTTTGCATGAAAATTCGTGATCTATAGTCTTTGCATGAAAATTCGTGAATTATAGTCCATGAAAATTCGTGATCTATAGTCTTTTGCATGAAAATTCGTGAATTGTAGTCCTTTGCATGAAAATTTGTGATCTATAGTCTTTTGCATCAATATTAGTGAACTATAGTCTTGCATGAAAATTCGTGATTTATAGTCTTTTGCATGAAAATTCGTGATCTATAGTCTTTTGCACGAAAATTCGTTATCTATAGTCCCTTGCATGAAAATTCGTGATCTATAGTGTTTTGCATGAAAATTCGTGATGTATAGTCTTTTGCATGAAAATTCATGAATTGTAGTCCTTTGCATGAAAATTCGTGTACTATAGTCTTTTGCATGAAAATTCGTGATCTATAGTTTTTTGCATGAAAATTCGTGATCTATAGTCTTTGCATGAAAATTCATGATCTATAGTCCTTTGCATGAAAATTCGTGATTTATAGTCTTTTGCATGAAAGTGTGTGGAAATACATGAACTATAGTCTTTGGCATGAAAATGTATAAAAATACATGAACTATTGTATTTGGCATGAAAATGCTTAAACTTAGTCTGGCATGAAAATGTATGAAAGTCATGAACTATAGTCTTTGGCGTTGAAATGTGTTTAAATGCATGAATTATAGTCTTTGGCATCAATATACATGAACTATAGTCTTTGGTAAGAAAATGCATGAACTAAAGTCTTTGGCATGAAAATGAATGAACTATAGTCTTTGGCATGCAAATGTGTGAAAATGCTTGAACTATAGACTTTGGCATGAAAATGCATGAACTATAGTCTTTGGCAAGAAAATGCGTGAAAATCATGAACTATAGTCTTTGGCATGAAAATGAATGAACTATAGTCTTTGGCATGAAAATGTATGAAAATAATGAACTTTAGTCTTTAGCATGAAAATGTATGAAAATGCTTGAACTATAGACTTTGGCGTTGAAATGCATGAATTATAGTCTTTGGCATTAAATGTGTGGAAATGCGTAAACTATAGACTTTGGCATGAAAATATATCAAAAAACATAAACTATAGTCTTAGGCATGAAAATGCATGAACTATAGTCTTTGGCAAGAAAATGCGTGAAAATCATAAACTATAGTCTTTGGCATGAAAATATGTCAAAATGCCTGAACTATAGTCTTAAGCATGGAAATACATGAACTATGGTCTTTGGCATGAAAATGCGTGAAAATCATGAACTATAGTCTTTGGCATGAAAATGAATGAAAATCATGAACTATAGTCTTTGGCATCAAAATGTGTGGAAATGCGTAATGCATCCAGACCCCGATGCCATAATGGAATAGTGATAAAATCAATGTTTCAAATAATTTGTTTAAATGATTTCTGCAGTAGCCATTCGACCTACAAACACGCAGAATGTACATCCGACTTCCATAGGTACCCACAAAAATTATTCTGAAAATAGCATATACCATGGTGATTGGTTGAAATAATATAATATAGTTCTTAAAGCCTGCAGCACACGAGAGCTATCAGCTGAGGTAAAAATCACTTGTGCCCGTTAGCTCAGGCGATAACTCGCTGTGTGCTCATGAATTTTACTCAGTTTTACGGCTCAAGAACCTTTTCTTACATATCAAGCATGTTTGATATTTTTTGCCACGCGAGTCTAAAAACTCATCGTTTGCACAGAATGTTAGCGAGATGCTCACATATAACCAATAAAAGAACCAATAGTGATGTGTCTTTTTATCTCGTGAACAAACAGCAAAATATCGATTACAAACAGGTGATGAGCGAATACCCATTTCTGCTTTTACCCGCTCAACTACATATTTTCAAAAATTCGATAATGTTATGAGAATAAAGTATGTTTTAATATTCAACATGCAGATAATTCTATTCCAAAGATTTTTTCACTTGTCTGCTTTAATTCCTTTGCGATTTCATCATACGCAATTTAGCCTTTTGTATTTTAAAGTCTGGCGAACTTACATCATACAGACAGGGATAGTTTGGCCATAAGTCAACGAATTTGTCAATGACTTAAATTTGTCTAACATATACTCTCTCATCGATTCATTTGTAGCAATGGCCTATATTTTGATGTTTGGTAATGCCAGCTACCGTGAATCCCGGGTACCATGTAATCAGCCCCTAAGACATTATCACACTAACACAATCACAAACATTAACATTAACACTAAGAAAAGCATTAACATAAACACCATGCATGCATGCTCAAGGACGACGAATTCGGCCGCAAAGTCATATCTTCTCGTATATTACACAAGCCAATACTTCTACTCTTGTCACTCCAGAGCACGAGTAATTAGCGCACCCAACCATAATGACTTGCGTGTGCATCAACCTTATAAAGGATGATATATTGGCTTAATAAAGTAGATACACAAAATATGCAATGCAAGAGCATAAATTCCAAATAAAAAAATAAAAGCTGTCTTGTTTTGCAGGCTATCTTACTATGCAAACCAGCTCAATGAGTGCACGTTTTTTTAAATGGAAATGGTAATTAAATAGAAATGAATCTCTTATTACACAAATTTCATTGCCAAGCTTGCTGAAAATAAAACTCAATAAGGTGATGAAAATACAGACAGTCAGCACATGATGAAATGCAGCCACAAACCATAAAATATTGCAATTGAAATGAAAACAATCGAACTTTTTCTTGTTCGTAATGATGAGCAGGCATAAAGACATAAAATTCAGAAGTGTCGAATTTTTTATGGAGCTATGTCGCAAATATCAATTGTACACAAAATCGCTGCGATCCAGCAAATCTTTATATTATATTTGATTAAAACAATTTCGCATTAAAACATGATTATTCACAACATATTTACTGTAAAATATCTGAAATGTACTGACTTATCTTGCCACATTCAATGATCAGATAATGACTTTCTTAGTGTTGTTTGTGGATGGATAATAAAGACCAGGTGCATGTACATAATGTTAAACGCGTCTTTGTTTGTACCACAGATTCGTACTAAAGGGACAGTCAACAAATTCCTCATCGTTCCTTTTTACAACTACAAAATTATATCTTCGGATTTTTGCGTGAGGCTAGCACATTAAAATGGATTATATTGATCGTCCAGACTTCATGGTCAAAATCTGAAAACAAGGCGTTAATGCGTCATAACAGCAATGTCGACATGACTGAATACAACAACTATCCTCTGATAATACGATCGTTTTTCAATTTCCGAACGGCGTCTAATATCTGAAAGAACAATTGAAGACTAGAATAAGAAGGGTGGGCAGTTCGATAAATACACTTGGCCTAACGTTACATAACGTACTTGCTGTATGTGGGTACTGTTTATGACAAACATTTTAGGTCATCAGAAGTTAAATTTTCCAGAAATTCTAAATCATCAAAGCCATTTTCATTAAAAGCATCAATGTAAGTTTGCAGACCAAGATTGCATAGAAAATCTTCCACTGTTTTAGGCTGTCGATTCTTCTTCTAAAAATATCGTTATTATATGCGCTGAATGTATTGTATACTATATATCATAGATTATTCAGGCTGTACACAAAATGTAAATGATCGACGAAGTTGTTGAAACATCAATGTTCAAAAAGAGAAGTAAAAATCAATAAAGTGATGCATGATTCACTAAAAAGTATTTTAGAAATACCTTTGCAGGAAGAGGTGGTGGCGATGAAGAGTCAGTTGGCACGTCAATTTTCTAAAAATATAACATTTTGTATCACAGATGAGATAAATTCTTCTTTTAACACGCGTCATTTTTAACGATTTCTTTCCATTTAGCGGTTACAACGGCATACAGTTGACGATTTCTTTCCGTTGAGTTAGAAATCGTCAGAAATAGTGTACAGCTTATGGATTGAAAAGATTGGAAAGAAAATAACGTAACATGTGACGTCATCAAATCATATGTTTATCAAAGCTATAAACATTTCAAATATTTTATATCAAAGTGTGAAAAACTTTTGCATTTAAAGGATATCATGTCAGTGAAGTCGGCGTTTTAATGCAGTAAAATTATCCGCGAAAATGCCTACGATTACAGTCTGCGAGGTGAAAACTATTTTACAATTCCATGTCAAAATAAGCAATTTTATTTCTGTGACTTACGTTTGAAGTTGATGGAATGGGATTTGAAAACGACCTAGAAAGTAAAGTGAACATTAAGTATATACAAGGTATAGGTAGTGTTGAATTTATTAAAGAGATTTTTAACCAAAAATTTTTGTCACTTTCTTTCATTTTACTTACACGTAATTATCAAATTTCGAAGTACTCGCAGATGAATGACCTAAATACAGAAATAAGTTTATAAAAAAATAGAGTCCATAGGAATCAACCAAAATACCGAATACAAAAGATAGTACACTACCTGACAAGTCTCTTGATGAAGAAATTGATGGTGGAACATTTCGTGGGGGAGGTCTTGGCAATGAAACAGCTGTACGAGAAAAAGAGAGTTTTATCAGAAAACACCACAACATTTCACAAGTCAAAGAGAAAGTCAGAATTAGGGTTTGTTTTGATTTCGTAAGACATAGTCTTCTGAGCAGTCGCTCTTAATTTTCACCATCCTAATATATCGTGAATGCATGTTTTTGGCATTCTGATGTTTATTAAACTTCATATTTCATTGTGCTAGCCAGGGCTGTTAATTCTACGTCCTCATTTTTTGTGCGCAGTTTATGTAAAAAGTCTTAGGGGATTTCTCACATAGTAAGGTGCATATTATAAAATGTATGTTTTTTATATAGGCTCGATAAAAAGTAAACATTGTACACATACACTGTGCGTTTTATTTTATTTTATACTCAAAATATGCATCACATGTGTCCACAATAAATCTATAATATTGGACTTAATGCCGACAAAGATATCAGCATGCAAATGTCTCATTTAGTAAATGATTCTCCGATAGCGAAACAAATCATAAAATTTGATGATTCATAAAGCTTGTAATAAAGAAAACAAAAACACAATTTTAGAAAAACTAAACAAAAATATTACATTTTGGAGAAATCGGAGGATGGTCACTAGCTGGAGCTACACAACTGTAAGGTCTGTTTTGAATTGCCGTAGACGGATGTGCTCTTGATCCTAAGGATAGTTAATAATATCAACATTAAACGCTATGTTCAGTTGGCGATAAACTTCAGCTACATAGGAAGATAGCAAAACCTTGCTTTACACGAATCGATGTTTGTTTTTTATTTATAACATTCATGGTACCACTAAAAATACAAAACAAGATATCAAATTCACAGTTGACGTCACAAAAGTATTTCATGAAATAAAATATTAAATACGACAGTAAAAAGTTACTACCAAATTTCGCCAAGTCGTATACCACCATGGGTTAGAACGCCTTCAAACTCCAGTGGTTTGTTTGATAAATGATGATTTAATGGTATAACATACTCTCCTGTTTCAAAAAACATCAGTTATCATAAGATAGCATAAAAATATTAAATTAGTTGCTTCAGAAGAATAATTTAATGATAATATAAAATCACAGTAGAGAAACAAACACAGTACTCTCACTCCATTGTGCAACTTGGTACTGTATATTTAGTTAGATTATTGGCTGCGGCTCGCCATCTCAGCGCTCCTATCGGCCGAAAAAGCAATTGGCTGGCTGTCACTATGCTAATCACATGCGTAATAAATATGCGCTACACAAAAAAATTTCTATAGAATGGGACTACTGTTTGTTTCTAAACTGTGGTAAAATCACACAACAATTAAGAAGTCGTTTAACTAAAAAAATGTAAACAATTTATACAATTATTCTTTACTCGAAAATACGTAAATAATCTTTGCAAAATCTTTACCGTAAGACTCATCACCAGCCTCAGATTTAACAGCTATAAGCATATACTGTTCTCGAAGATACTCGGGGTTGTCCAGGATGGGATTCAACTAAAAACATATCAAAACATTCACTATTATAACAAATAGTAATAAAATATATTCACTGATTTTCCAAGATAAATGTTATGTTTGCATGTAAACAATTGTTTCTAAAGCTATTTTTTGTAGAAAGCCGCGAGTGTTTAACCTACCTCAGGAAAGTAAGATGGATTAGACCACTCCAAGCAACTTGTGAAAGATTGTTTCGAACTAACATTTTGTGGCGGTTCTCGCAAAGGTGTTTCCAGTCCATTTTACTTTTTTTACTTGCTTATAAGAAAAAAGCATTCGTAGAAAATATAAATCGTAGAACACAAATTTTTTGGGGAGTGTTACAAAATTAGCAATGTACAATGTACTATCCAAGAACTTACTCGCTAAACACGCCGAATGAAACTCCAAATAAAATGCCGTTTTGCTTACTGTGTTTAGCTGCGTAATCAAAATAACAACAATAATATAATGCAAGCACGCTGAACTATATACTCAATACAAACATTGAGCTCATCACTCGTGAAATAAAGATCAAGATGAATTGCAACACTTCTTACAGAAATGCTTTAGTGTTTATACCTTCACTCTTACACGCTCAAATTTAATCTTGCAAGATGGCTTTTTCGATTGAGCTATTTGTCTTCCTCGATCTAAACGAGACCACATTTACGTATGATGAAGGAGAAACTATACAAAAAGAGAAATACAGTACAATTTGAATTATTTGCAGCGATCTAAACTAAAAAATGTTCACAAATCAATAGGAAACGATATACCAGGCGAAGCAACAAAATGACTAATAACTGGAACTTCGAATGAAGCAAAAACAGGAGAGTGATCGCTTGTCACGATGTCCTCAGTACAACCTATAGAAAATTGATGTCATTTATGTAAACACTGGACTGGAGAATGACTATGAAAACATAAAGAAAATCTAAACATGCGAACAACATGAGAATAATGTTCAAACTTCACCAACCGTATAAGACTTGCATGGGCTTCAAGTCAGGAAAAGATTTGTACAGCACTCTATCACACCATGATGGAACGTTGATGCGATCATTCTAAAAACGTGCAGGAGTCTTATTTCCCATGCATAGGAATGAAATCTCAGCTATTAAGACTATACACATACAAAGATAAGTTTGTATTATATTTATCGATAAAAAGTCACTGCTTAAAATTAAACTATGGAGAAATCTTGGACTGAGGTACATAGTTGTTTTGACTGGGAAGCAATGCTTGAAAAGATGTCTATGGAGTAAACATGCGGGCAATTTCCCTATACAACTGAATAAAGTTTCTAAAAGTGAGCAGTAGTTGCATGGATGAGTAGCATTTGCTTGGATTGAGGTATAGTTGCTTAAATTCAGGAGTAGTTGCTTGAACTAAGGAGCAATTGTTTCGAAAGATGCCAATGAAGCTGTTGCTTGGACTAAAGTTTTCTTTTTAAAACGCGTAAGTTGTAATTGCCTGAGAAAAGTTCTGAGCAAATTCCATACTAACCCCAGTCCGTTTCGATTTGATATGTAAATATGTGTCACGTGTTCCTTTTTGTATCTGTATGTCGGAGGAAAGCAAGGAAGATCTTCACCTAGAAAGAAGTGTACTTGATGTCTTTAACTTTAGGCATACTTTTCTTAATATTCTAATGGCGCATTTGCAATGAAGTTTAACAAAATAGCACAACTCACAAGTCTCTCAACTATCAACATAGCCATTAAATACATTAACCACTTAAGATTTAGGTAAGTGTGAGTACAAAGCGAATCCGACTACATATTTCACCGTTTTGGAAATGTTGAGAATCTTTACTTTACAATCTTTAGTTGTACTTGTTTTATTAAAAACATATTTTGAAAAAGTTACCAAGCTCCTTTCTGTATTTGTAATGAACACATATATCGATGTTTCGCAAAAGGTGGTCACTTATGCTTGAACAACAGTGAATACGAACATGTTTGGGTTTTGATCTCTTAATGATGACTTTTAAAATTTAACTTACAGAAATCAAAAAACACGTTTCCCTCATTCTTTTCCTTCGTCAACTGATCTTGTCTCAAAAGCTTTTGGTAATCCTTTTCTTCGATAGCTTTCATGATTTCCTAAATACCGTTCGAAAACGGTAATAGAAATTTAAAAGTGACATCGCATTCGCATGTGATATAAAAATGATATATATATATATATATATAATAAAATGGACAATTGTTTGCTGTCGCTACTGGAGTTTCACGCCGTAGGGCGATCTTCAGGCAACTGACAGATAATATTTTATTTGCTGACTATATACATCGACTAAAAGGTGTTAAGTTACATGACGGCATGCACTAAACATATCGGAACGTTTATTTAAAATGTTCTTTTTACGTCCTTTCAGGATAAGTAGCCTTTCTTCAAGGCAAAGACGGCAGGTTCTTTGGTTTTTGTTCGGAGGTGGAAGTTGTTTGATGAAGTCCCATTTAATGTTGTAGTTACGTTTGTTTTCTTTCAGTGTCCACGTGTATTTAGAAAGTTCTGTCTCGTTGCGGTATTTAATGTTCGTAATTGATTTAATGTGGTTTCGATATCGTGTCTTAAAAGCGCATGCAGTAACACCTATATAAGTTTTTGTTTCGTTGTTGTCAGTCGTTGTCACGTCGGCTTTGTAAATCACGTTGGGTTTCAGGCAATTGCCGTTTGTCGCGCACAGGTGTTTCTGTCTGCAGTTACATTTCTTTGGGGGGTTCTTCTTGTTCTGGGTTGTTTCTGGGTTAAGTCTTTTTAAAATAGTCTTGTTGTGTCTGGTTATGAAAACTTTCATAACTTTCATCAAAACTTTAATTAAGACACGATATCGAAACCACATTAAATCAATTACGAACATTAAATACCGCAACGAGACAGAACTTTCTAAATACACGTGGACACTGAAAGAAAACAAACGTAACTACAACATTAAATGGGACTTCATCAAACAACTTCCACCTCCGAACAAAAACCAAAGAACCTGCCGTCTTTGCCTTGAAGAAAGGCTACTTATCCTGAAAGGACGTAAAAAGAGCATTTTAAATAAACGTTCCGATATGTTTAGTGCATGCCGTCATGTAACTTAACACCTTTTAGTCGATGTATATAGTCAGCAAATAAAATATTATCTGTCAGTTGCCTGAAGATCGCCCTACGGCGTGAAACTCCGAGTAGCGACAGCAAACAATTGTCCATTTTATTTTAGTTCATTTTATCTTACGCTCTTCTAATATATAGAATATTGAGCGCTCTTTTATCCAGGAATATTATCCGTACTATATATATATATATATACTTGTAAAGAAACTTAAATTAAACCGAATTTACCTCGTACGACATATCAATCCTGTAATTTAAATCTCCAAACCAAAATACGTCGTGGAATTGATTTGTCAAATCAAAAGCACCTTTATGACCAAGATTCAAACCTTTCAAGATGTCTGAGAAATTTTGCCCGCGCCTAAAGTGTGTACACATCACAACTTTTTAATAATGTCGTCATTTTGATGAGTAATTGATGATCACAAGACATATAATTGCGCACCTTTCCTTTCTTAATTTTTCACTTCCTGATGTGAGATGGCAATTAATGAAGCACAATGACGTTGTTAAAAAATCAAAAGATATTCCAACTCCTCCTTTGTTTCCTTTATTTAAAATCAACATAGAAATCTATTACAGTCTTGACAAAGATGTATGGAAAGATCGTTTGTCGTTCCTTTATCTTAATTTACTAGATTTTACACATAGTTCCTGTTCTATCTTTCAATCATTGTTCATCCTCTACCGTTCAATCATTATCCATCATCTATCTTTCAATCATTGTTCATCATGTATCTTTCAATCATTGTTCATCATCTACCTTTCAATCATTGTTCATCCTCTACCTTTCAATCATTGTTCATCCTCTACCTTTCAATCATTGTTCATCATCTACCTTTCAATCATTGTTCATCCTCTACCTTTCAATCATTGTTCATCCTCTACCTTTCAATCATTGTTCATCCTCTACCTTTCAATCATTGTTCATCATCTATTTTCAATCATTGTCATCTATCCAATCAAATCCTTCCATTTAATTCATCATGTACTTTAATCATTGTTCATCTCTACCTTTCAATCATTATTTTATTTTCATCCTACCATCATTGTTCATAATCTTCATCATCCACTGTTCAATCATCATCATTTTTAATTGTTCATCATTACATCATTGTTCATCATCTTTAATTGTTCATCATTTAATCATTGTTCATCTCTACTTTCAATCATTGTTCATCTACCCAATTTGTTCATCATCTACTTTCAATCACATAATCTATCGCTATCATTATCAATCATTGTCTACTTTCAATCATCATCATTTAATCGTTCATCATCATCATCATTCATCATTATTTCCATCACTTTCATCATTTAATCTATCCCATTATCTTTAATCATTGTTCATCATCTATCTTTCAATCATTGTTCATCATCTATCTTTCATCATCATCAATCATCTTCATCATCCTTTCAATCATTGTTCATCATCTATCTTTCAATCATTGTTCATCATCTATCTTTCAATCATTGTTCATCATCTACCTTTCAATCATTGTTCATCCTCTACCTTTCAATAATTGTTCATCCTATCTTTCAATCATTGTTCATCCTCTATCTTTCAGTCATTGTTCATCGTCTTTTTTGAATGTTTCACATATATTACCCATTGCATTGGCAATCCCAGTTTTCACCGTAGACTTTACAACTCTGCTGATTCTGTTAGCATGTTCGGGTTTTGCAAGAATAACCAGACGCATACCCCACAGTGACTGTGCTCCAACCTATTCATAGAAAACTCATAACTGCAATTGTTTCCATTGAGACACCACAATAACCTACTGTACATTATAAAATGTCTCATTTTTTATTAGTGGGTGTACATAAGGTAACAGATGTTTAATTGTTGGGAAAAACCCATGAAAATACAGATACTCGATACGCATGCACATAATTATCAGTGATAATATTTCAGAGGTTCACCGCTAGCGTAATGCAACGTTCACTTATTTTAGATTGACGACATTGGTGACTTTACTGTATACAATCTAACTTCATGAAACCGTACGTCCTGGTCTCAAGTGTAAGAGTCACCATTACACTCTGGTAATAAACGGGTATATTTAATATTTAACTAAATCTTGCTATTAATGTGTCGTGGTCAGTTTCTCCTGACGGATAACAGGCAAACTGACTTTAATTTGTGAATCTGATTCTAGTTATTCAGAACGATTATTTATAAAGGCATAAAGCATAACAGTAAAGATTAAACCATTTTGGATCAATATTAAATATTAAACTATTTAATCGCAAAATTACTCGAGAAGTGAAGTTACAATATTTTCATGATTCAATCTAGACAAGTAAGGTAAAAACAGTTTTACTATTTTAAATGAAATAAAATTTTATGACATCAGGGTTCAATTAAGACGATACAAATGGCTTGAATAAAATGTTATTTCGTAAAAACTCGTTCATCACGAGAGACTTGTGAGAAAGTAACATTGTAAAAGGTAACAAGTTAAAAAAAGTATAAACATGCTTAGAGTTGGTTTAAATTATAAGTCAAAAAGGCAGAAGTTGTTTGAACATTTGCAGTATCCTTGGATGTTCTAGTTACTTTTATGAGAAGAATTCTTGTGAAGAAAAAAGAAAAATTTTGAAAACAAAACAATCCCGTTTTCGGTCCATGCCTCCCGACACCCCAAGATAGTTGAGCACTAGAGCGTCTCATGTTAATCAAGGGAATGTGTCTGCCATGAAGCCTATGGATGGTTTCCTCGTGATACATGAGAAGCAGTAAATGAGAGAGTTAAATCATAAAGATATAAACCAATAAAAATTGTATAAAACATGTTTAAGGTTTACTTAAGTGTCAGAGAAAAGCACAGTGACAAAAGAAGTTAATTGAAACATTGCTAGGTTTATTTATTTTACGAGAAGAACTCTTGCAAAATAAACAAAAAGATGAAATTCGAAAGCAAAAAAAACCCGTTTTCGGTCCATGCTTCCCGATACCCTAATAAGCGTAAGGCAATAGAACGCCGCATGTTAACGTTTCGGTAGGAGATTTCGGCCCCTCCACGCTATCCTACTTGGGAGATGCAATAGCAAGCTTCCGCCCATCAGGCCCCGAGATCACCTGCGATAGGCTTTGCTCAGGGTACGCAGGGAGAGTGCGGTCGCGACCAAAGTCTGGGCCCCTAAGCCACTGCATGCCTAATCGCACCCAGCTTTCACTGCTAGTTGACATCTACTATCTACAGTATTTACTTTATATATATATGCATAAATTCAAAGGCATACGAAAGTTGTGGTATGATTGACATCGTTACTGCGCATGCTCAGATATTTCTCTGATAATTTGCGACTAAGTGAGTTAATTGCCACAAATGTAGTGCAAGTACATATCGTTTATCATTGCCATGACCATGAACTTGGGCAGCTGGTCAAGTCGAATGCGCATGATCAAGCAGACTGCGCATGCGCAGATGATTTATCTGAAAATTTGTGACTGAGGGAGCTATTTACTCGATAATCGTTACTAGTACATCCAGTTGGTCGTTGCCGTGACCATGAGCTTGGACAGTTGGTGGTGTTGACTACGCATGCTCACATTACTACTCAATTAATTTGTGACACAGCGAGCTTTGAAATTGGTGCTTGTATATGCGCTGAGCAAGATTTCAATCATTTTTTTGGCATGCTCTTTGTCTTCTTTAGCTTGTCTTGACATACGCATATCAAATTATTCAACACTTTTTTACTGTACTTGTAATATCAGCAACAATGTTATAAAATTTTTTTCTATAACTTTATATCTGCATATATATATCATTTCATATACAAGCGTTCCTTTGATTTTGAAGAAAATGGTTTTTATTCACTCTTACACCTTCTGCCTTTATAATTAGTCGTTCTGGATTTCTAAAATAAGATTTACAAATGCCCCAAGAGCATCTTCTTTCTATTCTATTACCACTATTCTACAAATACAATAACATGTCTGACCATTTGATTGTCCGAATTTTGCAATTTTATCACGTATTTTTGACGCGTGTGTTTATAGTCGAAAAGGTGGATTCTGAGCTCATAGTATTCACTTTCATTGCAGCTTATTTGTTACGTGCCAGTGATTTCAAATATAAACATATCACGGAAATAAACATTGAGTTAATGCTAAAGAATGAACGGGATGTAAGTATAAAGTGCTATTATAGTTACAGCGTGAAAAAGCCAGTTTACATTGTAACTCTGACTTCGCTTTGCAGTCTCTCAGTTATTATTTCTTATTTAGCAAATTTTATTAATTAAACCAAACATGCCACCATAAATTCCATGGAAATTTTGAACTAAAAATGCACAAGTATTATAGAAGCATCATATACCAGTGTCAAAGTCATTAAAAATACGATAAAAATTATGTTCATTTATTGTCAAGTTGGACGAAAATCAAATATAAAATTGTACAACAAGACTTACCGTGTCATACTCAATTGAAAATTGCCTTTTCAGCGCTTTCTTTAAAAATGCTATCCAACTTGTTTCATTCATTCCACTTTCCTGGAAAAATAAAACATAAAATCTAAACATATTTAAAAGATTGACAGTACAAGTTGTGCTTAATTGACCGATAAAAACGAAAATTCTTTTCCAGAGTTTTCTACAGAAATAGTTTGTACACTCAGTTATGGACGCAAAATGAGGCCCGTTTCAAACGTCGCATTTCACATGCGCCGAGTGTATTAAAAACAAAAGAAAATGAGATAAAAATTTTCATTATCTTTTGTTTTACATGCATTCGGCTCATGTAAAATGCGACGTTTGAAACAGGCCTGAATGCAGTCACTACATTCTTTATCCTAAGCTTCTGTCTTTGCTTGCTTCTTTAAACATTCTCTCAACGGTTGCAAACTCTATTGGTATGGAAGACGACACTCACATACAACATTCCGCTTCCCAAGACAATGGAAAATCCATGGACCCATCGGATAAAATAGGGAAAACCAAACAGCAGAACATCAACGACAACAACGAGTCAATTCAAATGATCACGAATATGACTATGATGACGCAAAAACTTAGTTACGGCTAACCACGAAAATTTTACAATGTTGATGAGAGAGAAAGCACCCTTCAGTTAGAATTTGCAACTCAATTTGCAGATAGCAAAGATACATGTAAGTATAAAGGAGACAAGACTGGGCCATTAAAACTGGCAGATATTGAAACCAAAAATATTGGAGCTCGATGTTGAAACCATAAAAGCTGAAAACGATATTTAACAAGCACCAACAACCGGAAAACTGTACTAAGGTAGCAGTACCACGATTCAATTCAGAAATATGGGCTCTAACAAAAGGAATAACAATTTGAGTGAGCAAAAAATCTATCCACAGTGCCTAAAGCCATGCACCAGTATATAGTCAACGCCATGTGCAAATCCACTAAAGCTACAAGAGACGAACAAAAGATTAATGCATCCACTACACAAGATATTCATAAAATGAGACGAGGATAATTCCAATTCAAAATGAGCAGTCAATGTTTAGAGAAAAAATACTTGTTCAGCGTTGTCCATGAAGCTGATAAGATAGAAAACATCCTTTAGTAAGAATTTGAAACTCAATTTGCAGATAACGAAGCTAAAGGAGGCAAGGATGGCAAATATTTCAACCAAAAATACTGGGGCTCTAAATTTAAACAATAAAAGTTGAATATCCTCAAACTACACAAGGCATTTTGGAAAAGAGTTAAAGATTTATGTTTGCCAATGGCGAAACCAAGATAATGAAAACTCGACAAAGAAAACATGAGAAATTTAGCGATAGATAAAGGTATACATTTGCCAAATGTAAGAGAAATACGACTAAAAACTGACAATTGCTTAGATCGCATAAAGAAAACTTGTGAAATACCACATGACATGACAATTGACACAGCGAAATCTGTACAAGCTACTGTCTAGAATGCTTGGATAGATGCCTTCATTTTTACTGCATGAAGTAAAGGACAATATCAACATCTTATGAAAGTAAGGTTGAAGTCAAGATAGCAACGACATTTAATTCAGCAGGATGTTCCAGTTTTCACAGCACAAACATTCTCAAAAAATTACCATAAACCTATTGACCAAAGATATCTCAGCATTTATATCAAGGTGCTATCAAAGGAAAAGTCTTAGTACATAATTTTGTACATGCAGTAACTTTAAATTCAAGTTTTAAAAAGACGCAAATCTTAATACTTTACATCGAGGTACGCCGAGGGACTTTGTATTCACGTACAGCTAATACCACGATATGAGTGTGCTACTGACAATTTGTGATCATAGCCATGTATATAATTGACGTAGCTACTAATGACGTAGAAAAATTCGTAAACTAAACGAGACTAACTCTAAGTTGACATCTACATTGTTATTATGCAGAAACGAAGGAGTAACATGTTCATCTACTCTCATCACGATATCATCTTTGTTCCCATCTTAAATAATCCCTCAGAAGGCGCGAAGACTAACTGAAACGTATTTTCATGATTGTCACGTATCTCCTTCGTTCTTCCTGATGATTATGTCGAATTCCAATCAGACTTTGACTTAAGTTAAGTCTGTATATCTACTTGCTTTAATCAACAAGCACTCACTGTGAAAAGTTTTACAAACTTACTTGCGTCCCAATGGCGAATATATCATGCCCCATAAAAGCTTCTTTAAAGATCGAACCGTTTGTATTCCCTAAACCTTTACAACATAACCACGAGTCGATTTTTGCTGCTGGAGTATTGTTTCCTTAAAAAAAGTATCATCACAATATACACATAAGTAGAGAAAACTATAAGTTGGGTGCTTTGAAGAATTTTTGCAAAAATCACCATTCTTATTTGAGGGCACATATGAAAAGCAAATTTGAAAAAGTCTCAATATGATTATAATAGTATCTGGTGTACCCATATTCCATGTTCCAACAAATACAGATATTGATTTCGGTGTGTTCTTATTCGGATTACGTAAGTTCAACATATGATGAACTAACAAACATAACTTTTCGCGCTCCTATAAAGAAAGTGCACGAATCAATGTCATCGGTTAAATATATAGTAGATGGCTCTAAATCTCTCCTCTCTGACGCTTTAAAATTGTTCCATGCTATCTAATAGTGCAAAAACGAATGCAAACAAGTATGTACCTTAATATCTTTGAGAAAAAGCTTTCGATGTTCCTTTTTCATATTCAACGTCAATTTGGGAGAAACCTGGTCTTTGACCAATTGCAAAACTTATAAAAGAAAAAAAACCCAGGTTAATGAAGTTTACATACCAAAGGTATGCTAAAGATTCAACCATGTACAAACTTACCACACTTTTTCAAGGTGCATTTTACACACACTCAGGAAATTAGGTTTACACTTAACTTGAAATAAAATGTGCCTGTATGGTGTGTAGATATGATTATGAAATAAAGCTAAATGCCTGTATGTGTGTGTAGCTATGCATATGAAATGACATGCACGTGTGAAGATATAAATATCACAAATAGCTACGTGTCTGTACATGATGTAAGCATGCAAATGATATTATATAAACAATCTGACAATAATATGACATGTATAATTTATCAACTATATACCTACTTTCATCATGTTCAATTATTAAGTAGCAATCTTCTATCGAGTCTTTCGTACTCTTCATGAACAAAAGCTTTCCTAAAATTATTTTTAAACATTCAACTATTTAAATCTACTTTGTAACTTATCACAAATTGACATTAAATTCATGCAATAACGATAAACAGCATTTACTTAGATGCATATGCGGGGATCACATGACAAAAAGATGTTAAAAAGTATACCTTCACTAACATCAACTTTTAAAAACAATTTCGTCTTGAAAAAATCGCATTTTGTAACCTGTTGACAAAATGTTCTACATTGATTACGTACTTCTATTATGAAATAATTTAAGTACATTCATCAATAAATACTTTTTTAAGTACGTGAAGTATCATAGTAAATTTAAGCACTGGCGATGCAAAAATTTCATAAATTTCATAAATTATCAACACATAATTTTGTTAAAACAGAAACTGTTTTTGGTAAGTGAAAGGCGGCAATTTTCCAAAAAAGAAATTCAACATTCCTCAGAATTCGAAGCCGCGTGCTAATATTTAGACAGAACTGTTAATGTTATAGTAAATTATATGTTTGTTTTATTGGCTAGAAAAACATCAACGAACAAAGAATTCTCGACTCAATGGCTCAGCGAGTTTTGATTGGCCAGAGATTAAAGGACCCTTCCAAGTCTCCAATCACAGTGTATTAAAACGCAAACAGCAAAAATGCCAAAAGGTTTACTCGATGAAGGAGTTTAGAGCACTGCCCAGTCTAAACAACATCTTTAAATAAAAAAGCCCGCCAAAAAAAAATGACGTGAAAGAACAAAGGGAAAGTCATGAATACTTCAATTGATGAAAATATTCTATAAACAACGTTTTGTTATACGTACCTCAAACGTTCGTGATTCTTCATCATCCACAGTTGTCATATAATCTTTATGAGATTTCTTTACCTAAAAATACAATTTCAATTTATTCCATATTCATCAAAATAATATGTCATGAATGTAATTGATTATAATATGATCCGAATAACTTGAAATGTACATTATTGTACGTGTGCGCGCGAAATGAATATTATGCAATGCAAAATCGTAAATGGAGATCACAAGATGCAAAATTTGACCAATTATTTGCGTTGCAACTTAACCTGTTACCTCACAAACCATTATAAGCTATTAATGACATGGCGAAAAAAGAGAAAAATGAGACAATTTATAATTTTAGACTTTATTTTGAAGAAGAATGTCGTCCGGATTTAAAATGACAATTAACATTAGAGGCTTTTTGGTAAGTCATTATTACCAACGTTTGAAGAGTCTTTATTCCGGCCACACATGTCGCCAGATCTTGCATAAAATCCTCAAATTTTGAAACAGCACGCGTCTAGATATTCAAATAATAAAGGTTTAAATTCAAGATAAAGAAATCTATATATACTCATATGTAAATAAGTAGATTTAGAGAATAACATGATTTAACGATGTTTCAGGACTAAATCCTCCCTAAAGATACGATGGATGAAATTATTTCACTTACCACAAATAGAATACATATAAAGTTGTATATAAAATAGAAAATAAAGTCTCCTTTTTTTATGATTTTTATAAATCATCAATCGTAAAAAACAATGCACAATTAATTGACGATTTTTTCGGGTCAGCAAACGTGAACTAATCGTCAAGTGTATTTTACTCATGGTATGATAAAACAATGATCACAAAATTGTTTACAGGAAGAACATGCGTGTAGGTTTATTAAATGGTTCAAGTTCAACCATCAACCAACTGGACAAGACTATTTACGGTAATTGGCTAATCTTACCGGTGCTACTTTAATAGAATGGTCTGTTGAAAAAAGATCTTGCAGAAACAGAATCTTTTTGAGGAACTGTTTAACCTCCCTAAAAATCAAGAAAAAGAATAAATAACACTGAAGTGAAAGCAAGAGTTCTAAAGTTACAACACAGCGAAGCATATTGATTTAAATCATAAATAACTACAAGAATGGATATGTTTCTCTTAAAATAACAGACATGAATCCTTAACTAGGGATCAAGAGATAATGCAAAGTTTCAAAAAAGTTTACTTCTTAAAAATAGCCTCACAGTAAATTGATTGAAAATGGACATTGAAATGGACTGTATGAAGCATACTATTGGCATACCCAGTCGGATCTGGCGTAAACTTTAACATGCGACGCACTTGTGCTCAATTGTCTTGGGGGTATGGGGAAGCATGGCACCAGACGGGATTTTTATTGTTTTCATAAAATAAACTATAACATTCAAGGATGCTGCAAAAGTTTGAATAAATTCTGCCATATTGACATTATAATATAAGCTAACCTTACACATTAATACATTTTTAATTACAATCTATTACAGTACAACTCTCTCATTTACTGTCAATAATTTTCTTGCATCATGAACAAAAGCTTCATGGCAAAACAAAGATTATCTGCTTTCCTTGTCTCATTTAATATTGAAGTTTTTATGAGTTCAAGACTTTAATTACAATGATAAGTCAAGCCATTTGAATAGTCTAAATTTAACCCCACTTTCAAAACTTATGAAATCAGTCTAAGTCTCAAACATTTTTTTAATTTGTAACTATAGTTCACATCTTTCAATTTTTGATTTTGTCAATTTTACGGCAAAAAAGGATCACCTGTTTTACTTGACTTACACTGTTTTAAGCAAAACAATACAATAGAATATTTGTCTCAAATTGTTGACATTGTAAGGATAATGAAAGTTTATATTATTGTTTACAGCTTGCAATACATCCATAAATTAAAATAGATTTTTTTATGTGAGAATTTATTATTGCCTTAAGCCAAAAATTGATCCAAATTCAAAACGTTTTCTCCTTGAGCTAAATAGGCACTTAAATCGCGCAGATTCTCAAAGATTTACTTAACATTCCCCTCTGTATTGTATATATATATATATATTTGAAAACTACACTGTCTGACTTCTTCGCAAATTTGTGGACTGACCTACATATGACTTCATATATAACGCTGTTCGTGAAAGAATCAATGTTCCGGAGTAAGGTGCTTTACAAAACCAATATTCAAATGTTAATAAATTTACAATAAAGACTATCAAAATTCTTGAAATAATTTCTCAAAATTTCTATGATCTTGGAAGAATGTCTAAAGAAATGTTAAACAAGACAACAAAAACTGACGAAATAACAAGAAATGTAAAGTTAATGAAAATAAATATTTTTTACAAAAAATAAATATTTTCTAGATACCAATTTCAAACAAGTAACTGCCCTATTAGTTACCCTTTTAGTCCGTCAGCAAAGTTAATAATTAATTCCTGTAGATCAACGGGCGTTGGTTTGTCCCCATCGCGTTCAAATCCACCTTTCAAGTAATTTTTAACACTGTCGCAGAAATCAGAATCCACTCTAGGATGAAACAGATAAAAATATATAATTTGGTTTGGATTATTTTATAATTTTCTATCTACACCTTAAGCTTAGCAAAGTTGTAGCTAAAAAATATCGACACCGTTACAGCAACCGATCAGATTGTAGAAAATCACAATATATCAATACGCATACTCAAACATAAAAATGTTACATTACAAAATGAAATGACGTTTTGTAAAATGATTGGCTCTTGAACATCCGGTAATCCAAACATGAAAACAGTTGATAAATTACATGGCTCTTCGTGAATCCTAAATGTTGTTCCTAATATGAGCCTGCATGACACTTACTCTGAAGTATTAATACTTTGCATTCTCTTCAAGAAAAATGAGCTAATAGTTTCAACATCCTCATCTGAACCATTCCACGCGCAATCAGTGAAATCTTTCTCTTCTTCATCCTCATCATCTACGAATACCAACAAAGTTCAGCGGCAATACGTTTATTTAGCTTTACTTTTTCATAAATGAAATGTAATTAAAAAGCAACATTCAAGACTTGATTTTTCGAAAAATATCAATGCACACAGGGAATTAGGGGTGTAACAAAAGGAAAAAGTTCTTAGGAGAGACAAATCAAAATTTGATATTGTAAATACAAAGAGACAAACGTGAGAAGATGTCGTGAAGAAAAATTAAAAAAATATTTTGTGCAGCCTACATTTAAATATGAAAATTGGTGAATTCTAAGTAAACATGGTGGTATTTCCGCTGAAGCACTTGGTGAGTAATCCAAGTTCAACGATATACTGAACGCTAATTAGTGCACAAGATACAAGGTAAAAATTTCAATCAAACAAAAAGACAAATATAAAAAAAACCAAACTCTGTGATAGAATTGTGAGCAGGAGCTACGTACGTCCTACAGCGTAGACGTTTTTCAAAACAGTGTTTCAGCAGCAAGTGCAATCACTTGCTTGACAAAATAAAGGAGGGGAGCAAAATGTATCAAATGATAAAATGAAATTTTGATCAAAGAGTCTCATCACTCAAGCCTAAATAACTAAAAAATATCTCAATACGTTATTTGAAAAATATTGGGAAAAGCAACTGCACCCCTCCTATTCCCCAAGTGCAAGCCCCTGCTCAAGACAAGTACATGGTGTGCATATGATATAGTAAAAGTGAGCATTTGTAAAACGTATACAGTTGGTTACTATTGCATTTTGCTTGATATTCCTAAGGCATTACTGCATATGCAAAGATGCAAGTTCTTCTAGAATTAATCATGGGTTATTAAACCAGGTAATTAATTAGACATAGTTATACACTGGCATCTGAAAAAATCACTGTCAAATGAATAGCACTACTAGTATCTGGATTTGTTCAACTAGCCCCAGATATTTTATCAATTCCAATATACCCTTGAATGCTACCATAAAAAGAGCCAACCTGTAAATTCGTCCCCATCACTGACATTAGTTTCCTTTGTGAGTGGCTGTGTTAAAGGGTGAACCAAACCTGTGCCACGCTGCTTATAAAGTTCAATCACTTCCTCCAAATTGGAAAATACTTTTGAAAAATATTTGTTATCACTTGAATACTACAAAGAACAGAGTATTATAAGTATAAACAAATTTCAAAAAGTCCAATTTATAAAGTTTAATGTAATTCATGAGAATTTGCGTAATTCATGCTTAAGATGACCTGCACAAGAAATTTATCTTCTTTTTTCAATATTCGGTAATGATGAACCATTTTGTCAAACCTAAAATTTAAAAAAATAAATGATTGTAAAACATACAACAAAAAAATCATGCTAACTAAATTCTATTGCAAAGGAAGAACTAGTTCTCAAGATAAACATTTTGATTGAAAAAAAATAATAGAAAGATTTAATAAGAAAGCTAGTTCACTATAATGAAATAAACTATTATACACGTAAACAGTCAGTTCGAAAACCCCGCACAGTTTAAAATATTGACAATACTTCACCATGGTCTTTTCAATTATAGTTACACAGTATGAAGTCCATTGAGATAAGCATATTGTTGACAAAACAGCCTTTTTATTGTAGTTGTTTTCAAACACATCACATGTTGAAGGTCCATGTTTTTAACATTGGCATCAATCATTTGTTATTTGTAGGGGAGAATATTCATAGATTTTACCATACCTGGCTAGTTTCATTTAAAAACCCATTCACTTTCAAAAGAAATACATATAATATATTAATCCTAACACGGTTTTTTAATATGCACATGAAAAACATGTGACTTGGACGAGATTTGAACTCGCACTTTCGGGATACTATATATTCCATATAATATGTATTCTCTGATGATGGCTTTGGAATAAAGTCAAAACACAGTGCCATCCAGTAAACAACTATAGTGGCGAGAATCTCTCGCCCATACACAGTTTTAAGAGATTTGACTCGTCTCCAATCCCTGTGGGCTTGGTAGCTCAACAGGTAGAGCGGCGGACTAGTATCCCGAAGGTGCAAGTTCAAATCTTGTCCAAGTCACATGTTTTTCATGTGCATATTAAAAACGGTGTTAGGATTCATATATTATATGTATTCTCTGATGATGGCTTTGGAATAAATTCAAAAGAAATCAGCATGGCTTTGGAAAAATGAAATTGTTTCATTTGTCTGCAATGTTATTATATTAATATAGCAGTGGCATCAAGGTTGTTCTGAAAATGTTTTACCATCCCATTTTCCATATGTACAATAAATGACATTGAAAAAAGAAAATGCACCAAAATTCAAAATGCCCATTTAAGACTGCTGAATTGGTAAGAATCAGGAACTGTAACACAAAGTGTTATCATATACCTAACCAAGGTATAAATTGTAAAGACAATTGTGTGGCGCCACCACTAACAGATACAACACTGACGAATGAACAATGAATTTTTATGCATTTGTGTGTGTGTGTGGGGGGAGGGGTGGTGAAAATGGCTAAATAGTATGGTAAAAGTATCTCCAATAAACCTATAACCTTCATCATATTGCAAATACATTTTGCATAGAGATTATGTGGAATGAAATTTGGCTAGACAAATTCATCAATTCAATGGAAATAAAAAGTTCTTGTGTGAAAATAATAGATTTTGTTCCTAAAATACTGCATCTACTGAGCGCTTCTTCATTTTTTGTTCTTCAATCACAAAGAGCTGTTGGTAAAACAGGAAGAACCGAATAAGAAACAATACTGGCAAATACAAACGTACCACAAACTCAAGACATACGCGTCGGGGATACTCTCACTCTGACGAACCAGGAACGCGCCATTTTTACCATTCTTTAATAGCATTTGCTCAGCCTCATTGCGGCTGATTTTACCAAAATCCCACGGAAACTGCATTTTACGGTGTACCGATATTTATTTCACGAAAACGCAACAATAAAGCTCAAGAAGATGTAACCAATATATCACCATTAGGCCGTGGGTTCTGAAGTTAGAACAAAAAATACAATCTAAAATGAGCAGGAAACAAACCCACTATTACATTTTCTATCTTTTTGTCTGTAAATATAAGATATCTCTCATTGAAATTTGTCGTTCTGAAAGTTCCAAGTCTGTTCAGCATGGCTTCCTATTGTGTGTTTACATAGTAGAAAATGGTTAAAGGCGGAAGTATTTCAGATTAGAAATTGAAATTAGTATATTATAACCCCAATATCCCACCGCCCCCCTCGCAAAACATTTGTTTCAATTTTGAATTTTTTCGAATGTGGTGGTAGTGCTAGCGTATGATTTATGCACTACGGAATTAGTGATTTGTAATAAAACAATTTTGGGAATTTTAATCTGAAAATAGTGTAGTATCAAATGAATCAATTGAAAACGTCCGTTGTGTGCTTGTAAAATTGTCGAGAATTCTTTGACTATCATTTTCTATACAAGTGCAGGGGGTACGTAACGATGCCACATATGTAAGGGACCCTTGGACGTTCTGGTGGTACACACTACACAATCAGCTTTTTCGGACCTGGCATTCCCCTTCTCCCAGGGTATATATAAGCCAAGATCTCATTTTAGCCAGTTAGGAGCGACCTTGGTAACTCCAAAATTTCTGTTGGGTTTGATGGCAATTCTCTATTTCATTTTATTAACAAACAATTTGAGCTCACAACTTTCGGTTTCCACACTTTAATATCACGTGGTTTAAATACGTCAGCAAGTTAACGGTAAAGAGCAGTAAAATTCAACTATTCAATTAAGTGTTCCACAGGTTTTCATTTTCATTCTTGTTTCATCATAGAAATCTGTTTAAATTTTTGATGCAATCGATTAATATATGTGAAGGCCGATTTCCATTCAGTGCAAATTGTCGCTTTGAGATCACTTTCTTTTCAATTGTTACTTGTAAAGCTCTCAAACGGAACAGTATCACATTCTGCACACAATTCAAAAAAAATTGATTGCAAAAAGTCGATCGCGCGACAATTTGCCATGAATGAAAATAATACATTACTTAGTTTGTGTGCAATACTTATCACGAGCAACGTCTTATTGACACGTTAGGCAAGTCTTATTGTCTCAACACAAAATTACCGACTGTTAACTCAAACACTTTTACAAAACTGTAGATATCTCATAAGTAAATGGCAAGACATGAAAAACAAATATATTTCAATAGCGAATAATTTCACTATATTTTTGCTCGCATACGTTCAGATTAACTACATTTTTTTCAATTGTTTTCACTTAAATTCATCCAATCTGCGATGCGTTTGAGCATTCAAAATATGATGAATATTTAGATAAGTGACCAAAGCACAGCATAGGTTTAAAAAAATATTTGCCACAAACCCTAAAAACATTTGCGTTTTCATTTGCATAGAAATACATTTGAATGCTAAAAAACGGCAAAAGTATTTTAAAATTATTCGTTATTAATGAGATGTATTTCTTTTTTGGTGTTTTGCCATTTACTAGTGAGATATTTAAGAAATTTATTTGGTTTTTAGGTATATAAAGCGATTGCATAAAAAACCTAAACAGGTTTGTGGGCCGTTTGTGAAACCATAGATTTCATTCTCAATTCTCACACGTTCCTCGCACTTTGCATGGAAAATTATCAATTAATTCTGCTCATGACATCTACGTATTTTGTGACATGCTGACCAAAGTGCTGAAGCAGATCAGTGTTCATAGACCATTGAGTTATAAATATACTGGAATGATAACTCAGGGGGGGGGAATTGAAGCCGTGTTTTGTAGGTAGTGCCAGTCCTTTGTAACCTTAGTTTTTCAAAAAATACACTTTTTGTATCGCTAAATTTCACCCTTTTCTGTTTGTTTAATACCTTCAATATTTAGCTTTGACTATAGTAAAGGCATTACATTTTTCACTCAAGTAACTACATTGCACAAAGGTCGTTCAGTCTCTGAAATATTGTCTGACAAAAACAAAAGTTGGCAAAAAACCGCGCAAAAATATTCGCTTTTTCTGAGTTATTTTTTGACAGAATTCTCGTTGCCAAAAGTAAAAACAAACATCGATCGCCAAGAAAATATGCACTATTTCAGGGGGGAGTAGACAAATTTTAAACATATGTTGGCTTCATCCAATCACAGGGCATTCTTAATGGGGTTATCATTCCAGTATATTTATAATTCAATGTCATAGACTAAAAACAGAAGTAATGTAAGGCTGGCTTCTGAAACAACCGTTTCACATAATATTCATTCTTGTCAGCTTGCATATGTGCTAACTGTTAACTCCCTCATGCGTGTCAATTGTGATTCAAAAATACGTCATTTTAAAATAAGAGAGACCATGGATTTATCTTCAATGCGGTAGAAAACTGCTCGCAAATTTATGCTACCGCTACTGTTTCTATAATCTTGTGGACTGCAATATATTATATTTTGGTATTATTTTGCTCAGTTGTTTCAAATTTTTGTTGGCATTATATAACTATTCATGGCGACAGTAAGTGCAGAAGAAAACAACCAGAACTCAAACGAACCGTCAAATAAAGTTAAAGGTAGTGGGACAAGGTAGTTTATATTTTTACTTTATAATAAGTATCAAGTGAAACAATACATTCGTATCTCCGTTCGTTGATCTTTCCTATAACTACTGTGTATTGTACATTATTTGGCCCACGAGAACGCTATGAATCATGTGCAATTGGAGTGTAGAATATCTTTTGTTTATGCGATTAAATGTTACAAATTCATAGGGTATTCAAGAAGGCATCGCCAAATAGTAAGGTACGATTTTTCGATAAGGCATTACATTCAATAATTTGCTACTTTTTCTCGTTTAACCTGTAAAGCTGCCTGATCATGCAGCTCGAAGTGTACAGAGCAGCTGTTTTCGTATGAGCTTTTCTCGTTCCTTATCTTTGTTTTAAAAAAGCTGTAAAATTAAGAGAAGCCATCTTTATCTACTCTGTTAAATTCAAACGTTTCAATGTTGAATTTACGTGCTTTTTTTCTGGTTTAAAGCTCTGTATGCTTTTAGTCTTATAAAACAGAGATGCATAAAATTTCATGTATAACATTCAAACGCTTCTCTAAGATGAAATTAGCATATTAATAATTCTTGTAAACAATTGCCTCTTCTGGGGTTAACCACATGCACATTATCTTTTTAAGGTCATCTTTCAACTGTTTACATCAATTATTTTAATGCAAATATATTGTCTCTTCTTGTCTAAAATGGCAAACGTGATGTTTTTACTAATAGAATATGTTTGAAGCATATATTTTTTAAGAATTAAGAAGACTTAATACAGTGAATTTTAGACTTGTTGATCATTTGAATCACTGATTTTTGTGGGGGACGACTTACAGGTGTCCAAGACTAATCCGTAATATATAATCTGTGCATATCAGTCATCAAACAAATGTGCATGTGGCATTAGTAGATCTTAAAAAAATGTAATTTGTAAATGAAACTTAATACAAAATGATCTCTCCAATAGGTTACATGTTATATTGGAAAAAGAGACTTTGTTGATCACGTGAATCATATAGATCCTGTAGGTATGTATAAGTGCAAGTAGTCAGGTAATCTTGAAATTTCATAATACCAGTATTAAGGGTTGGTGCATTTCATAAATGTATTTTACATAGATGCCAACCACTGCACCATTAAGCTACAAAACCTGTTTATTTGTTCGAGTTTTTTTTTGATATTATGTTAAATTTTTTGTCATATGTGAAATTCTATGATTTTGGTCAGGGCTATTTATTTTACAGACTAGGTTTCTTTGAGCAACATTCATTGTTGAAAAAGTCAGTGTGCTTTCTATGTTCGAGGGAAACTTGAAAAATTGTGTCAAAACCTCACACTTAATGGTCAAAAGAAATAATCATAATGATACGATTTACTTTTGAATAAAATAATTCCAAAAATTCTGATTCTGTTAATAAATTGTTTTTTTTTTGGTAGATGGTGTAGTTCTTGTTGACCCTGAATATGTTGGACCAAATAACAAAGGTAAATACTAACTTTGATTAAAGTTGATAGTACTTGAGGCTACAATGATGATTGATATATTTCATTTTACAAAAAAACCAATGTGTTTATAGTGTTCGTCCACATTTTGGCTGCGTTTAGGTTTGTTAAAGTCAAAACACAATTTAAGTATTAGGTTGATGGCAATCACTAATAATCCCTTTGAATCATTATAGATATGGAAGAGAGGATCTTGATGTTTTAGGCCTGACATTTCGTAAAGACTTGTTTCTGGTAAAACAAATCCTGAAATGTTCAGTATTTTCATGTAGAACATGCTCAATGAACTTTTACTTTATCTCCCAACATAACATTATAGAAATTATGCTAGCTGATTATATATACATGTCACAAGAAATTTTAGCAAGTGGCTTACTGTTGGAAAGCTATCATATAGCACTATTTCTAGGCCAGTGAACAAGTGTATCCACCTCCTGATAAAGAACAAGTTCCACTAACACGTTTGCAGGAAAGGTTGTTGAAAAAACTTGGGAAGGATGCATATCCTTTTATATTTGAGGTATTTTTAGTATGCGAGATCAATTTTCAATTAACAAAAATGAAAGATCATGTACTGTATAGTTTAAAACTCAATTTATGCATTAGTTCCATCTTTTATGTTTTGTCAACAGCTACCTCCCGGCTCGCCCTCATCAGTAACACTCCAACCAGCTCCTGGTGACACAGGAAAGGTAATACTTTTCTTAGGAAAGATTATCCAAATGGAATAAAAAATATACTTTAAACTTACTTAGCCATGTGGAGTTGACTATGAACTTAAGACTTTTGTTGCACCATCGTTGGAAGAGAAACCGCACAAGAGGTATGACTATGCACTCAAATATGTGCTGAATTTAAGATACTACTACACAAATGACTGTTTCTAATTTTATGCTGATATAATTAGTCTTTAAAGATTACTGATATACATATAGAGAACATGGATAATCTGAGTAAATTGTTCTTACTGGCCAAAGTCGAACAATTTATGACAACGCGATCAGTTCAAATTATTGTCTTTAGAGACTGCGTTCGTCTTGCAATCAGAAAAATTACGTATGCACCAGAACAACCTCAGCCACAGGTGAGTTTTTTCGAATAATTATGGTTAAGTTAACATTAATTGTTACGAAAATTAATCACAAGTATGTACCCTTTAAGATAACTAGTGATAACGTTATCAATCATTTTTTCTAGCCATTTGTTGAAGCGGAGAAAGTTTTTATGATGAGTCAACATCCTCTTCATATTGAAGCGAGTCTAGATAAAGGGGTGAGCACGCTTACAAAAATATAAATATTTATGCACACTCAGGAATGATGAATTCTTATCCTTGTGAAATTATAGCTTTACTATCACGGAGAATCTATTGCAGTCAATATTCATATTACGAATCGATCATCGCGTTCTGTGAAAAAGATTCGCATTACTGGTAAGTGGTTAGTCTTGCTACGTATTATTGGTTATCAGAAACTCTATTTTGTTATGACGGGCATCTTACAGTTCGGCAACATGCAGACATATGTCTTTTCTCTACTGCTCAATATAAATGTCCAGTTGCCACATTGGACAGCGAAGAAGGATTTCCAATCGGGCCAAGTTGTAATTTGTCAAAAGTTTATTCTTTGACACCTTTGCTTTCCAATAACAAGGTATCTATCTTTAAATTATTGTTATAGTAGTGTATGAAAACCGGTTTTTTGGTTAACTAAACGTTTAGTATATTTTTGGTAGGATAAACGTGGTCTTGCATTGGATGGGAAGCTTAAACATGAAGATACAAATCTGGCATCTTCAACCATGTAGGTGACTTAGGGACACGATGATATTGCATCCACAACTATGTAGGTAACTTAGGGACACGATGATATCACATCCACAACTATGTAGGTAACTTAGGGATACGATGATATCACATCCACAACTATGTAGGTAAATTAGGGACACGATGATATCACATCCACAACTATGTAGGTAACTTAGGACACGATATCACATCCACAACTACGTAGGTAACTTAGGGACACGATGATATCACATCCACAACTATCTAGGTAACTTAGGAACACGATGATATCACATCCACAACCATCTAGGTAACTTAGGAACACGATGATATCACATCCACAACTATCTAGGTAACTTAGGGATTTCTAACTAATTTCGCCAATTTGAAATTATTTATAAACAAAATCTGATTTGATTAGCTAAAATAATAGATGAAAAGAGAATCTAACTTGTGTTTGTGTTCATTCTGGGGTTATTCTTTTCTATAGTTTGGAATCCGATGTTTCGAAAGAAAATCTTGGAATCATAGTTCAGTACAAAGTCAAAATTCGACTTATTGTTGCCTATGGAGGGTTAGCCATTTTTACCAAATTTTTCATTGTTTGTAACTTTTTATTTCATTGCACTCATGTTTGCAATAATTTAACTTTAATTAAAGAGATCTTGCTGTGGAACTTCCCTTTATGTTAACACATCCCAAACCAGAAGAACCGGAATCCGCACCCAGTCAACCTCCTCGTGATAAAGCCAAAGAAAGAGAAGGTGATTGACGTTCATGCATACATGTCTTAAACATAAACATTTTTGACCATTGAACTAAAATACATGGAACGCTACCTAAAGCAAATAATTGAAGCCACATCTTACACCCAGACACGCGTGTGTAGTGTTTCGAGTTCTGAAAACTGATTGACTTCACACTCGTGTCTGGGTGTAAAATTTGGCTTCAAGAATTTATTAGACTTTTCTATTACAGGTAGCGTTCCATGTATTTTAGTTCAATGTGCTTGATACATCAAAGATTTTTCCTAAAGATCATAGCTTTTCATTCAAAATTTTACTTTTCGTTTAGAAAACAATTCCGACCAAGCGGTTGATCATAATCTCATTGATTTTGATACAAAGTAAGCTTTAACTTTTCGTTGAACTGAAGTACACTTTCTATTCATTATACTTGAGAGTGAAGATAACCACCTCTAAGTTTGTAGAAAAAGTCTTTCAACACAACACCAACTTAAGACTGCACTAACCTGGACTGTCAACTCCTACAAACATGTGGCGATACTCCCGAGTTCAAATCATCCCATTACCATGTTCCTAGTTATCAACTTCATACGCGTCCAACTTTGTTATTCAGTATTTTTTCTCGCGCTTGCCTTTTTAGTGGGGTAGAAAAGCAAGACGATGACGATGATTTAATCTTTGAAGATTTTGCACGAATGAGATTGAAGGGTGAGCATGGAGACACAACTGAAGCTTGATATGTGTCAAAAAATATAGGATATTCAAGATGAAATTATACATTAGTATTTAGTCGCCCAAGGACAGACCGGATCTTGCACATATCTAATGCACCAGACATAAGATTCAAGATGTCTTATAGAGTTATAACAATTGTGATTGATAGATATTCGGATAATTGTAATTACAAGCATCTACAAAATTTACTTCTATAATGTGTCAGCATGCGATTCTAGCATGCACAGTTCGCTGTTTGTGAGTACAAGTAACTGAGAATTTACGCTTTCCAATACTATACTTACGTAAATATCTTAATCTTACATGACCTGCAGTATATATATTCATATATTACTATGAATTATTATTATATGGCAAGCGTCACTTCCGGCAAAATGGCGCGCTTTGATTGGCACAGAAACATTTTGCCGGTCCATTATTTTGCCGTAATCGACCACGGTCCAAAACGCGTAATTTTAAATTTAAATGTAAACAAACTTCGTAAAGCAAACAGCAAAACGCAAAATAAACGAAACAAAAACCATTTACGAATGTGAGTCAAAGGAAAAACACTTGGAAAACAGTTTAACTATCCAGACGATACAATTTCAAACGATTTATTTTTTATGGACGAAAACTAGAAAAGTGAAAGCCAAACGGTAAAAAACAGCAAGGACGAGAAAGAAAGCAAGCTTCGTTTCAGGTGAAACAATGCCATATAATAATCCTTTTAATAACCTCGCCTTCTCGGTCTTTACTGAGAAATATCGGACCACTGTCTTTTTATACAAACCTCGCCCTGCGGGCTCGGTCTGTACAAAAACACCTCGGTTCGTTATTTCTCCGTAAAGACCTCGCACTTGGTCATTACGAGCTTAGTATTAAGGTCCCATTTATCCGTAATCGATGAAAATTATAAAAAAATCGCATTTAAAAACCCAACATACAAAAAAGCCAAGCGTTCACGTACGCATAGCCCAAAATTTTGTTAGCTTCAAGAACATTAGCCATATTTAACCCAATATGTTCAAATTTATTTTTAGCTGTCATTTATGTGCGCAAGCTAGTTCAAAAGTGCTTCTTGGGAGCACAATTTTTATTCTAGTCCAAAATGTTTTTTATTTACCCCAATTTTATTGTCAGATAAATCTTTGGAAGTGTAACTATTTCCACCAATGAACGCTCGGTTAGACCGTAGAAAGGAACGCAATGCATGTGTATACAAATTAGAGTGATAAAAACATAGAGATAAGAAGAATGTGCTGCAGTTGAGTGACATGATGGATATCTTTTTAGACAGGTACTGAATATGTGATGGAGTATTTTGAGTATGATTGTACGTATGAATGAGGAAAAGGTTGGAGAGCGAAGAGAAGACAATGACGGTCATAGAACAGAAGGTAGCAGGAATTAATAATGTTGACTGTTGAGTGTTAGAAGTTGTTCCTTGAAGAAGTTGAACAGCAGTGTCGGCCGCTGTAATATATTTCATGCAGGAAAGTGTCTATAGGAGTTTGTTCAGTTTTTGACCAGATCGTTCAACAATATCTACAACAGCATAAAGTTTCATGTAGAAACACAAAAAAGGATGCGTCTTTGCCAAGTTGATAAATCAGACAGATGACAGGTTAGAGCTAACCGGAAATGTAAGTATGTTAAAGTGGTGTACGTATGAAACTTGTAAGACGTGATGAATTGTGCTAACTGAAGCATTGCCCGGTTCATACAGAAATATTTAAGGCAATACAGTATGAAATTTGACCAACACTTTAACTAACTATAACGTAACCTCTTAATTTTTGCCGATTCCTCTACCAAATATGAATGAAGTAATTTTTTTCAAGTTTCTGTTAATTATTAGAAAACGTACGAGATTAAGACCAAGGATTCCGCAGATGACCGCTAAACGTGAAACACGTACACAAATAGAAGGGTGAAATTATACTATTTTGTGCATTGCTAATAGCAGTTTGTGGTAGTAGCAATTCAAAACAAAGCTGACTAAACACCTGGTCAGCGGTATGCGTTTTTTGTCTCTGATTTCGGATACCTACACTTTCACAACGTTCACATATAACATGGCGAAGACTAACAAATGAAAGTTTTCGTTTTCTACTTTATTTTTGCCAACGTCATTTTCTATTGACGTCATACGCTTAACAGCCATCGAGAATTCATCAATCATACGAAAAAGCAACAAAAAAAACTCCTGTCATACCATAGGCTTCCCAAAAACTCGCTTAGCTAGCTAAATAATTTAAACAAACAAAACTCTCCCCACTCTATCGTAACAGACCGTGCGCCGCAAACTTTGTACTAATTGATGGTATCTATATTATAATATATTTAATAAATATATGGGGTGAGTTATCGTTAGTAATAGATAAATAATTTAAACAAACAAAACTCTCCCCACTCTATCGTAACAGACCGTGCGCCGCAAACTTTGTACTAATTGATTGTATCTATATTATAATATAGAGAATAAATATATGGGGTGAGTTGGCTAGGTAAGTGATTTTTTGGGCCGCCTATGGTCATACGGATGCTGACATGAAATTATACTAATCCCTTCAAAACGTAACTCGGTGTGTTCCAACATGTGAAATATAAAGGCAGAATAAAATAATGCATTCTACCGTAACATATAACAAATATTTCTCAGCTACGTCCTGCTAACATCACTAGCCTTAAATAAAGGAATAATACATAAGCAATTTTTTGCTTCCTTTAAACGCCACCATCGTCCTAACCTGTGTTCCTGACCAACACCAGCAACAAGATATTCCCCATGATTTGAGAAGGCCAAAGCGTTCACAAAACCGATCTGTAATAAAGCAAATGAAGTTACGCCTGTTTCAAACGTCCAACTTTACATGCACCGAACGCATTAAAGACAAAAGAAAATGAGATGAACTTCCTCGTTATCTTTTGTTTTAAATGCGTTCGGTTCATGTAAAGTTCAACGTTTGAACTAAGTCTTAGTGGCATAATCGCTCCAGGTCCCTTGAAGAAAAATCAGTTAGGCAAATAGCAATTTACTTCGTGTACCAAAAAAGACAACTTAAACATGTGGGGCTGTTAGTTGGGTATTTTTGAATCCCAACAATAATATACGTATGTCCAAAAAATGAACCAACCAGTATTTGTTCAAATATTTAAAATAGGGCCATTTCGTCAAAAGGCATGATTCATTACACGAGATACTAACCATATGTATACTGAATAAAGAAGAAATTGATTTATTTCCATCTTCACAACGCCAAAGTCTTATGAAAGAATCTGAAGATCCTAATGGAAAAGGAATTGATGAACGACATCATCGAGATGATTTATTACAATTACAGACATTCGAAAAATGATTGAGACTGTGTATTTATATGAAATTATTGATGTATAAGTACGATAAGATTTACGACCTATTAGAGGAACGATTTAGATACTGGAATCGAGATGGCGTTTACGCCAAAGCAACCCGTTTCGCTTAGTGGAAATGTGAACTTAAGATCCGCTGAATACGTTGCTATATCTATATCACCCTATTAAATAAATGTGAACAAAGTACTTGTGTAATAATTACCAGAGGCTATCAAGTCAGTATTACGAGCTGAAGCAACAGATGCAGTCCACGATTCTCGTGGTGCGTACGCGCTGTCGGTGTTTCCAGATTTGTGAGCTTTATGAATGGTATATAAAGGTTTTTTCTTTGTGACATTCCACAACGACAAAGACCTGTTCAAAGAATTTCTATTAGAAACTAAAAGGTGGGTTTAAGATCAATCAGGGTACTTAAGCTACAACCTTCAATTTATGGTGACCATGAAGTAAAAAAAAATCTACAAGTCTAATTCTGCGCGAGCACTAATGGAGACGGATATAAGTTGTACTGCCAGCTACCATCTCACAAGTTTGGTTCTAGGTCAATTTCCGCACATTAGCATTATTTCTTTAGAAAAATATATTTTTTGCATTGAGTGAAGAGGGAAAAATCTACATAACACGACCAAACTTGCCGGCAAAGTAGCATGCTGGCTACCACCACTGTTGGGTATTAAATGTTACCATGTTTCTTCGCTACGGGACGATGTTTGAATGGTTGAAAAATGTACTTTAAATGAATCATAGAGTTGGCATTGGTGTGCAAATATTCATACCCGTCGTCAGAGCCAGAAACGAAAGTCTTCTCGTTAATCATTCGCAAACAATCAATAGATCCACTATAAAAATGCATATAAAGTAACAAATGTAACGATCATAGTTTGCTCCAAACGGAAACACAATTGTATATAAAATTTTATATACCCCCGTAAAATGGAACACAGTTAGATTCAACAATAACTTTTAAAAATACTTACCCTGCACCATTGAAAACCAACTGGGATTCTGCAACAACCTTCCACAAACGGATGCTGGAATCACGTCCTCCAGAGGTTACCGCTTGTTCGCTTCTCATGCAATCGATGGCAGTGACGCCATCTTCATGACCAAAACTACATGACATAAATAATCCCTCAATATAAAAGACACAAACCAATACAAATGCAAATCAACATATAAAGCAAGCAAACATGAACGGAACGTCTCGAGCAAAGATGATCATGAATTTAATTTGTAAATGAACAGGTTATTCTGTTATACATATTATATTGTTTTTCAGTAATAGGGAAGGGAGCACAGGCAGTACGCCTATCATGAAAATACTTTGATCACTGCTGTATATAGCTATACGTTAGCAATGAAAACTAACATTAAAGAAACGATGTCATTTTGACGATAAAAAAAGATGTCAAAAACACACTCAATCAAAATTACGTACAGAGTGTCAACAAACGTCATTTCATCTAAACTCCAAATCTTCACTGTTCGATCTTTAGATGCACTGAATAATTGATTGGATTCATGACGAAAAGCCAGACCCTAATCAAATTATGTTAAAGCATTACTAGGATCTTTTACGTTAATTTTCTTAAAACTAAAAAAAGTTGCTTAGCTGTGATTGAACATACAGTAACAGCTTCTCGATGTCCTTTGAAAGTATGAATATGAGTAAGGTCCTCAGGATTCCAGATACGAATAAGTTTATCCTGCCCACCGCTAGCCTAAAAAATTTTGCAAGCACAATTATTTCGGAGTTGTTTGTGCTATTTGAATTAACGAAGGGAGAAGTGGGTAGGTGATCTGATTTCCTATATTCTATGTACGTTTATTGTGCTATAATGAACATAAATTTGTGAAATTTTACTTACCAAAAATTTACCATCAGATGAAATGGCAATTGCAAATACATGCCCAATATGACCATGGTTTTCATTATTCCCACATTTTACATGCCCACTTGGTATCTTTCCTTCTTTACAGCCAATAAGCAGATTCCCTGCACAGAAAAATATGCCATGTAGTTCATCAAATTTCTGAGTTAGTTCTCATGCATAGCAACTGAGAATAAAAAAGAGTGGAAAATAATAAAATAATTAGAATTAAATATAATCAAAAAAATCTGTGAGCTGATAAACAGAATATAATTAAAATAACTAAATAGAACAGAAGTAAAATGAATGACATAGAATATAATTATATAGAATATAAAACAACAGAAAAAATTGAACAGACCACATAGAATATATTTATATAGAATATAAAACAACAGAAAAAATTGAACAGACCATAATAGCACGTTCAGACTGAGTGCCGGAGTACAATGCCCTGGTTTGGGCACAAATCTGCAGGCTGTTCACACAGAAAAAATTGAGCTGACCATAATACATACAATATTCCAAGTGAAATACATTTTGACAGTACTGTTTAATTTACCAACAAACAAAACACATTGTCACATACATATTTAACAATCATGAAATAAAATCTTGCATAGAATTTTATCGTGCATAGAATAGACAAATTTCTACATGTTAATAATACTTGCATTATACAATGTGACGCTTTTGATGTCATGCATAAAAGAAATCTGCATATATTTCACGAGGTTACTCACATTTGACAATGGAACAATCTTTTGATCCTGAAAACACATATTTATCATTCGAAGATATGCACAGGCATGTCAGTGACAATCTATGACCAGTAAGTATTTTGATATCATCTTCACTAGGGCAAATACACTAGAAACAGCAGTATATAGTTTTGACATCACTTCATACCTCATTATTTGTATGTAAAAATTTATACCTAAATTTTTAAACTTGCAAAAGTCAGTTTCTACAACCTTGCTTTATGGTCTAAATCTTGCTTCATTTTTGAACAAAAAAAACAAACTATAGATCAGGTTTTGAGATCATGACCTTTTACTAAAATCAGCAACAGTGCGAATTAGTTCAGAAAAAACGATGTGCAATTTTTTTGACAAAAGTGTTTCTTTAGAGGCATAATCAAATCGATATTACGTTATTTATTATATAGCGCTAATTGCTAAATTAATATTTTTAAACATGAACAAATTCATATGATTTATGACAGTGTTTTTTGTTAAAACCGCAGATTTTTGCACATCGTTTGAAAAAGTGATGTGCAATTGTTTTCATTTTAGCTAAAACAATGTGCAAATTGCACATTGCACACCGTTATTTCGCACATTGATCAGCAAACATTGGCAATGGTTAATAAACCATATCTGCTTTGCCATATTTACTAGTTTCATGTTATCTGAAAAGTCACCCGAATCAACCTCCTCTCACTAACAGCCTTCTTTGAGTAGAAAACATTCAAAAACCAAAATTAGATGAGCCCAAGTAAAAATATTAAAGGTTTACACTACTTTGACTTTTTGAGTGTAAACACACCAGTAATTACAATGAAAGTAAAATAATCCATTAGTAGATACTTTGGGTTACTTACACTACTGGCTATTTTTCTCTCTAAGTTTCCTTGCTTCTCTAGCTTCATGAAAAAAATAAACAATAAATAAATCACATTAAACATGTGATTATACGTAGCTATAACAGACTTACCACTTCCCTTTGCAACCTTTCTCCAACTACATCTTCACTGTCAGAGATATCTTGTCGGTTGTCCTTCTCTTCAACAAAGCATACATAATGGTATTATTAGCTATAATTATTATGAGGCATTCTTCCATAAGTAGAAAAATGAGAATATTTCAACCTTCGTTTTCTAACTGAATCAAATACTCTTTTGCCAGTCGAAGACGTTTCTCTTGGGCCGTTTCATCTTCTGAATAATCAATGTCCCTGTTGGCTTGTTCTTCACTATAAAAAATTTATGATGGCTAATTATAGCATAAAAGAAAAAACACACAACAAAAAAACATCATCTCGTAAACTCAAGATTTAAGTTATGTATATCAGATTTCAAATTAACAGTATCATATAGGTAGCATTAATAATAGAAATTTGTTCTAAGCAGTGCCAAAAATTTTACAGCACATAAACGTTGCACAGTCAAGTCCAAACATAATAAAAAAAATGCTTTACCTCTCAAAATCAAAATCGCTTCCTACATCCTCATCCACGACTTTCGTCTTTCTTGAACCAGATGTTTTTTTCTGAGATGATTTCAACTTTGTATTCTATCAAAGAACATGTTGAATTCAATTTTTTCAATTTGCTTTCAACTAAAATTCCTTAAAAAGGTCAAATGTTTGTCCTTTAGGACTAAACTTCAGTTGGCGCAAAGACATAGTAGCAAACGTAACTTACTTAAAACAAAGAGCAAGAATCACACTTTGCTATTTTACAACATATGTGAAGGCAGAATTCAAATAAAATATCTGGAAGTGAATTTTGTATTGTGGTTCAGCAGTTGCTATAGTTTGTTAATTGCTATATTATACTGACCAATGATAGTTTAGACGCACAACATAAGTAAAATTATAATACAATGCAATAAAGTAACATACTTTTACCAAACTATGAAATATTATAACAATTTTTGCATTATTTGGTCAAACAATTCGAGTTGGTGTTTGTTATGACCAATAGATATAAATTAGAAGCATTGCAGCACGTGGAAAGCATTGATACAATACCCGACATAAAAATTACAACAATTGAAAATTGAAAAGTCAATCAAAAGAAAGAATAAAATACCTTCTTCTTCCTTTTGTTGGCATTCGACAAAAAGAAGCTTGACATTGTGAACGACAAAAAATATAATTTAGTCACGTCTTGTTCGTGAAAATAAAAGTCCGTGGTAAAACTTCAAGTAGTTTAGACCATACGTCATGTAATGTCAATGTAATGTCTCCTGTACAATCATCATTTGGATGACAATGTATGATAGAATGGTAGAAGTTGAACAGCGCATGTCCCGTGTTGCTTAAAGTGCTTATCTCACAATTTTTTTTTTCGAATTTTCGTATTGCTTCTTCAAAAGTAATCTAAAACTTATATTACAATTTTTTCATGCGCTGCATTGTTTTCGAATTATTATTGATCAAATATGAAATTTGACAGTAAAAGTTGATAATTGGCATAGGGCCTGGATCAAGTCTCTGTGACGTAACTTAAGGAACAAGTCAAGCGCTTGTTATCAACGATTAGATGGCGGAGTTGAATTCTGATTCGGAAAGCTCTCATAGTTCGCAATGTGATTCGGAGTATGATTATATTCTTATGTCATCGAAGATGAAACAAGGAACATTAATGACCAGGAATATAATATAATAGATGAAAATCACGGCGAGTCCGAGTCCTATCTATACGCTGATGAACCAATGGCCGAACAAGCATGGTATGAAGACTACGTGGAAAAGTCAAATGAAAAAAGCAATTTGAAATGCTACAAAAAGACTTGATCACACAGTTGAGTTGAGTTCTTGGTGAGTAATAAAATTTCTAATTTCAATTCAACTTATGAAATGTATTTCAATTCAGGTTTCAAGTTATGAAATATAGACATAAACGTGCAATTTTCTATTCAAGATTACCATCGCTTTTTATTTACTTTTGATTAAAAAATTGTTAAAAGATGCTCGATTACAATTTTTAATGTGATTTTCTTTATTGATCAGGTGCAAGTGTGGTTTTTGTCAAGTTACACTTCTTCAGAATCCTCTAGAGGCCTGGTGCTGCCAAGAACTTAAGTCTGTAGCTGAAAGCTTAACACACCAGTCGGTTCTGGCAGATCTGTCAACTATTCCATGTTGTGTCACTCTACACCCAGGTTTCAGACCAGTTTGTTTGGAAAAGTGGTCGCTAAAAATGGCTGCTAGGAAATACAAAACCAGAGAACAAAGACGATACAGAGAAACAGGATCTGAAAACATGTATGATAGCATATTATGTTATTTCCCAGTATTTAAGTATATTTTAGTGTTATGACACATTAGTAATGATTTGGCTTTATATTCAGGTTTTACGATGTGTTGCATACAGAGAATTCACATCTATGATTTATGGATGCTTAGGAGAAGAAAGAAGACCATTACCAGCATGTGCATACCATGCAATAAGATCAAAATTTAATGATAAAAGTTGGAATTTAAAAAATGAAATAAATGAGTGATGTGAAAATTAAGTTTTCCTATTTTTGGCACTCTGCCACATGTTTGTGACCTTTCATTGGCTTCTTATGTCAAACATTTTGGCTGACTTTTTCTTTGAAACTGCCACTTTGACTGACAGCTGAATGGCACACTGGTAGCTGCTGGCATGAAACAAAACATTTTCATTATTTAAAATGATTTTCAAACCATGTTTAGCTACCACATCTTATATAATCATTATTAATTACCTGGAATTGAGGGAGGGACATCATTGACCACAATGCATTTTCAACGGACCTGTTTTAATAACACCTCAGCTCTGGGTTGCTTTTGCAGCATGACATTCATTGATGGTGGGGACATTTCTTTCAAAAGATTTTGTGAATTTGATAATGCATCTTTGTCTTTTGTTGACAGCATCACACTCTCAAATAATTCATCCACATACTCTAAAAAGAAATTATTGTCGTATTCAATACTATGAAATGATGCAAAGCAACACATTTAGCAGCAACTTACCAAATTTGGGCTTAACTCTGACATCCCTCACAGTTCCTTCACCATTTTTAAACTTTGGATACACTACATTTATTTGGAAACTGCCATCATTCTTCATCTTTACATCACGCCTTAAGTTGTTGTTGAAGTGGATGGATGCCAAAATGTGTCTTAAACAATAAAGACTTGATGAAGTTGCAAAACAACTAACATTGTCATATTGAAATTTTGATGACTGTTCAAACCGAGCAAATTCTGCTCGGTTTGAACAAAAACTGCACATCTATCAGGCATTTTGATGCAGAGCCGTAGTAAATAAAGTAGAAATTATAGCAAAAGTCACACTTCAGAAAAACTTCCTGTCCTTATGTTACGTCACATACTTCTCGATTCAGGCTCTCATGAAGCAAATTGAACGCGCAGCAATTTTCTCCATTATTGCCGATTTTGAGAAAAGAAACGCATTTATCTCATAAACGAAGCCATCAATCAGAAAATTGTAAAGTAACTTTTACAATGATTTTTTTACCTCAATCAGAAAATTCGAAAAAAAAAATTGTGAGATAAGCACTTTAAGACCTAAGAGAGGATTCCGCTTGCTGGTATAAAAGCAGGGCTAGCCGTCCTTGTAATTTGCACTAGGTCTCATGCAAGCAGTCATTAACTCGTCTTAACAACCATTACAAAAACTGTAATGTCACAATTTTTATTCTTTAGATCTTCACTTTTTTGCATTTTGATGAACGTTACTATTTGATCGATTGAAATCATTAAAATAATTGGTTGACAGTTCAAAAAGCAAAGTAACAAGACCCGTGTTTCTAACATTCGATAGAAATATCGGAAGTTTGACAAAGGTTATGTGGGAATTTTCATAATAAAAATTTATGCAATATAAAATGAACACCAAACAGGGCCCGATTAACCATATGGCAGAAGGGGCGTACGCCCACGGGCTTTAGGGCCCCTGCATTACTCAGTTCTAATATTTTTTGTCGCATCTTCTGATGAATATCTGACGGCAAAGATGACACAACTAAAGATGATAAATGAATCAAAATTTTATAACATAAAGGTTGAAAGCGAGGCTCAATTTAGACGATACAAATTGTTCGGTTTATTAAATATGATCTTTGTAGAAACTATTATAAAAAAGTAGATAAACCCTTTTTTCCATGAAGCCCATGGATGCTTTCGTTCATGACGAGAAAGTTATATTGTATAACAAGGCTCTCGTTCATCACGAGAGAACTATGAAAAAGTTACATTGTAAAAGGTAACAAGTAAAAAGCGTATAGACATGCTTAGATTTGGTTTAAATTATAAGTCAAAAAGGCCAAAATTGTTTGAGCCTTTGCAGTATCCTTGGATGTTCTAGTTTCTTTTATGAGAAGAATTCTTGTAAAAAAAAAGACAAACTTAAAAACAAAAATCTAGTTTTCGGTCCATGCATGCCTCCCGATACCCTGAGATAGTTGAGCACTAGAGCGTCGCATGTTAATCAAGGGAACCAGATAATCCTTTTTTGTCATGAAGCCCATGGTTGGTTTGCTTGGGATACATGAGAAACAGTAAATGAGAGAGTTAAATCATAAAGATATAAACCAATAAAAATTGTATAAAACATGTTTAAGGTTTACTTAAGTGTCAGAAAAAGGCACAGTGTCAAAAGAAGTTAATTGAAAGATTGCTAGGTTTATTTATTTTATGAGAAGAACTCTTGTAAAATAAACAAAAAGATGAAATTCGAAAGCAAAAAACCCCGTTTTCGGTCCATGCTTCCCGATACCCTCTTAAGCGTAAGGCACTAGAACGCCGCATGTTAACGTTTCGGTAGGAGATTTCGGCCCCTCCACGCTATCCTACTTGGGAGATGCAATAGCAAGCTTCCGTCCATCAGACCCCGAGATCACCTGCGATAGGCTTTGCTCGGGGTACGCAGGGAGAGTGCGTTCGCGACCAAAGTCTGGGCCCCTAAGCCACTGCATACCTAATCGCACCCAGCTTCCACTGCTAGTTGACATTTACTATCTACAGTATTTACTTTATATATATATGCATAAATTCAAAGGCATACGAAAGTTGTGGTATGATTGACATCGTTACTGCGCATGCCCCCAGATGATTTCTTTGATAATTTGCGAATAAGTGAATTAATTGCCACAAATGTAGTGCAAGTTAGTCGTTGCCATGACTATGAACAATTAGTCGAGTGGACTGCGCTTGCGCATTGCTATCTCCTGAAGCACTGAAGATGCGGGGATGATATTTAGCTCATCTTACAGCTCTCGCCGAGCTCTTTCTAATGAGCTAAAAATTATCTCCGTAACTTCATCACTTTAGGAGATACGATCTGCGCAGGAGCAGTATGATTATCGCTGTGATATGTAAATATTTCGTTATTCACTCATTCAATTGATTTTTAAATAAATAATGACGACAAGAACCTGAATATCACATACCACGTTAAAAACTGAGGGCTGTTCATACCACTCATGAATAATCCTTTCTTTTAAATAAAAATTCTTAATGAGTTAGCTGCTTTTAATACGCGATAAATATATAATAAACCTACTTGTACATGTTCATAACTGTAAGTAAATTTATTTTATTCTACATGCTTCTTTGTCTGGTTGTTTTCTTTTTCTTGAAGAGGAGTGCGTTTAAATGCAAGTGATGGATCAAACCTTTTAGCTCCTGTCGCTTTAGAAAGCTTGTCTTCTAGTCTCTTTCTAAGTAATTTTTCCTTATCAGCTTGGACTTGCAGTTTTTCCAAGTCCTACATTATCAAAACATTTATTATAAGACAAAGAATGTTTTCATTGTAAAAGTAAAAAACGGGTTGTATTCCCTACTGTAGACAGGAATGTTAGATGGTGAAAAACAGTACAATAAGAAAAACGTGAAAAACAAAGGTTTGCTCATTCAATTTTTATGCTGTTGGTATATACGGGGATGGCCATTTTACCTTTCTCAAAATCATGTTTTCTTCTTTTAATTTTACAACATGGCGAACCTTCTGCTTTTGGTTTTGATGACCTAACAATCTAGCATACTCCTGTCCCAACTTTTCCATCTATAATTGAGCAATACGTAAGGTGAGCTATGAAAAGAAAGTAAAACCGTTTTCTAACATATTCAATTACCGACCTCGCTCTGCGATTTTGTATTGCTGTTTAGCAAAGCTTGTTTTTCTAGTTCATACATGTCAAGTTGCTCCTAAAACATAACGAATGCAGCATGTTTTAGCAGCTTTTTGCTTTGATACCAAGATTTCGTAATGATGACAAACAAATACCTGAAATGGAGCAATTTTCTCCTCTAACTCTTGAAATTTTCTTTTCCAACTTGCGAAAAAAAAGCACAGATGAACGTTAAGGACTAGTAAACAAGTTTCCATGCATATAGCTTGATCCTTGCAATCAGTTGTTGCAGTCAATTTTAAAGGTTTGCAAAACGCAACATTCCAAGTTAAAAACCACCCATTTCTCTACAGAAATGTAATTAGATAATCACTATATACAATGAAATAAGTATAAAGGCTCGAATAAGTATGAAGGCTCGAATAATAATAAGTATGAAGGCTCGAAGCAACGAGTCGAAAGCTCAATAAAAATCATTTAAAATCCGGAGAAACTTTTATCTTTTATGTAATGAAATAAGTGTATTTTCGATTTGCGACATATTTAGAAAGCATTCTAGGAATGTCTCAACATACACAGCCATTGACCAGTCAAAAGCAGAACATCAGTGACTTTCAATGATTCATTTGAGTTTAAAAATCGAACGCATCTAGTATCAGTTTTCAAGAAATAAAAATAACATATCAACTGATACACCCCACTCCCAGTCACCAATATTTTCTTTACCTTTCATCATTCTCATACTCGACATGAAATTTCTCAAGTTCGTTTTTGCATCTAGATATAGAAAAATTAAGTCAAGATTTGCTTTGGTGGACTGCCTCATTAAGATTTCTGGAAAATGAGTTCCGGGTACGTATATGGTTAGAAATCTTACTTCTCCAGCTCCAACTCTTTGACGGTTATGGTTTTCTGTGCATCTATTAGACGCCTAAAATATCAACAAGATATCTATTGCTAAGCTGCAAGAACTTAAACTTGACATTCACTTCTTAACCTTCCAAATTCTTGTTTTAATTTTGAAGCCTTTTCTTCCGCAGCAGCAAGCGAACTTCAGTAAAAACAGGAAAAGAAAAAAATTGACTCCATCAACAAGTTCATCTGTACTATGATTGAACTAAGTTCATGAATTCAAGTTACCTATTTTGTAATTGTAAATTTACCAGTTGTTTTTCTATTATTTCCAATTCGGATCTAAATCATTACGTATATCAAAGACTTCGTTGTACAAGCTACACACAGTCATTCAGACAAATAGATCGTTACTAGCGAATGAAAAAATCAAATATGTGCACCTGCTATTAATGGCCATTTTATAATTGTTTTGTAAATCTTCAAAGTTTTCTTTGAGAATTTTTAAAGCCAATGATTGTTCCTTCTCTTTCTTCCGAAAAAGGTCATTTTCTTCCTGTAAAATCGCAGATTTTTCATTTAGTTAGAAAAACATGTTATTATACAGTAAATGTACGAGGGAAACAGCATATTGCTCGTTGTTATTGCTACTGCAATTCGCAGGCATTGGATTGGGCCGTAAAAAACTGAAGGGTTTTGAAAATCTCTCACAGGTGGAAAATATAACCTTAACATAAGGTTTATCCGCCTGAAGAGTGCATTAAGCCATTTAAAAATTAAGGTACCTTCAACCAACTTATTTGTCACAGTGTTTGTCAATGCCCACAAGTAATGACATCTTGATAAATAAATCACTGACAAAGACGACTGTTGACAGGCAAGTGATAGGATTCAAACCATGTTAAAACACAAATATTATATGCCAATATTAATAGCATATAATTGATTCACAAAGGTGGTAAGATATAAACAACAACCTGTGAATAAGAAAGCTGTCGGAGAAGTGTATTTTTTTCATCATTAATTATCTCTAACTCCTGTTCTAGTTTAAGGCGGACATTGGATAAATCATCTTGTTCTTGTTTGATATCTTTCATGTTGTCACTTAACTGTTTGCATTCCCTTTCACTAAAATAGGAATAAACAAAGTAAGTACTAAGTAAAGTAAAGTGTCAATTGTTAAAGCTTTCTTCTGGAAAAGTATATGTTAATTGACGCTTTACGGTGATACGTCAATAAGAGAAGATTTACAACTTTCAAGTTAACAACAAAGATAAAACATATTTCTTTTCAGCAGAATTCAAAGGAACATGAATTGCTTTAAGAAATATATATTTCATTGATCAATATTGAATACAACAAGAAATTCAAGGGAAATTTCCTAGAAATCAAAAACCCCATTTTATTGATTGCCAATGTATACGTATTCATATAAACTTCTCCACTCTCAGATCGCCATTCACGAGACAATTTTAGGACAATGATAACAAAACAACTATGCCTGAATTTTGTTGAAAATATAATTTAATGATCTACGAAAAATAGACAATACCAAAAGTTAAATAATTATACTTAGCATTGCACTATCGTACTTCGTGCGTACCTTACTACTAATTGTGATTTGCTTTCCTCCAGTTCTCTTGTCAACGTTTCCATTTCTGAGAGTTTATCATGCTGGACTTGAACTAAATCAGAAAGAAATCCACGTTAATCAAGTACTATACGCATGTACTAAAACTTACATAAATATCGAAATTACACTGAAAACATCTTTAGGAAAAAATGCTTCGGTTAAAAAAATAGTTGGCTAAAGTATACTTGAAAAAGAGCATATGATTAACCTCAGCTTCCAAAAAAACTTGTAATGTAGAAAAAAAAGGCATTTAAAGAGTAAATATGTCATGCAACATGTTGTATGATGTTTTTCTCAATCGTTTTAAAACTGAATTGTTTACAAAGAGTTTTTTCTTTTTGTAAAAACAATTTGTTTCGAACTACGAGTAGATAAACAATTTAATGTTCATACCAATTTGCTTAGATAACTCTTCACAATGCTTTTGAATTTCAAAGTATTCGTTTGATTTTCTAAATCACAAATGCAAAAATTGGAGAAAACAGCATAAGCTAATTCACCATAACAGTTTAATAAGATATATTTACAGTATTTACCTTGCCACTAAGTCCTTTAAACGAATTACCTCTTGCTCACATTCAAGTTTCACATTGTTTAAGGATAAAATCAACGATTCTTTTTCACACCTAGCAATAAATATTAAAGAATAAGCGATTCAGACACTCATTACGTTGAAACAAAAAAGTTATGATAATAATATTGATAACAACAATTTTATTTACGCACACACTGCGCTATTTCAACAAAACTATACAAATATACAAACAAAAGTGGAAAGTGCTCTTCCAATAAGCAATATACAATGACGAGGTACAGAATAGGAAATAGAATAAAAACATGTCTTAAAATAGTTCTGGTATGCACACAACATAGGTATATCACATCAAATACATACTATTAATTTTTAAGTTGTATTTAAAACACGTTAAAGATTTAGAACTTTTTTGGTCAGTTGTTAAAGTATTCCATGTCACTGCACCTCTAAACGATAAACATTTTTTCAATAAACTTTGTACTAGGCTTTGTTAGCATAAAGTTATATTAGGCATAACAGGATGTTCAAAATTATGGCAAAGTCTCTTGTACTTAACGAGTGAAGACACAATACCACCGAATACTACAAATAGGAGATATAATATGTCTTGCCCACTGATGCCTGCATATTTTCGACAAAATATAAAATCATGCAGGGACGGATCAATGCTCCTTTGACAGGAGGGGTGAAGATTCCCAAGGGGAGTACATCTTTATCCTGGCTAAAGTTGCAAGGGCCTCGGCTATTGCAGAATATTCTTCTTAGAGATGAGTGAGACTTGTGCAATCAAAGTGTTATCCCCTTTTCAAAAATTTTTAATAAGTTTTTTTGTGAAGGAATACTCATTTAGTAAGTTATTTCAATTTTAACGTTTAAATGAAAATGCGCATGGTGGTCATATAATTGCAAATGGTGGTAGTATAAAATATGTAATTGCCTTTGAAATGAAAAGTTCTACCTTAACTTAGTCTTATTTGTAGAATTGCATAGCCTCTAGTACTGTCAGATTAAGCGTCAACAGTACATAATACCATTTTAGAATTTTGGGGGGGAGGCAGCGCACCCCCCTGAAATTATGCAACATCAAATATCCCGAATGTAATTCAACATAAAAAGAATTAAAACATACTTGAGATTGTTGATTGTTTCCAATTGTTTTTTCAAAGAGTTGTCAATCTCCTGCTTTTCAGCTTTATATGAGTTTATAGATGTCTCAAGCAATCTTTTTTCTTCTGATAACGTTTTAACACTTAGTGTTTTTTCATCCATACACTTATTCAACTTTTCAATTTCCAACTGACGCTGTCCATCCATCAAGAGGAGCTCGTCTTTTTCTATGGTTACTTGCTACAAAAAAAGACAACGTTAGAATTTATTTCAATTTCAAAGCACATTCAACATTCTTCCATCATTATTGGATGGAACTGGCTTCAAAATGTTTTAAATCTTGACAATTGACAATCATAAAGTGTTATGCTTTCACAGGAGGTACATTACAACTGTCAAAAAAAGTTTTTACGGAATATTTCTTGTCGTTCAAGCCATTTTCAGATACATATGTTACGTATGCTTAAATAGGCTGCTCACCGCAAGTTCGACTTCAATTTCATTCATCCGATGATGACACTCCAATTTCTCTTTTTGTAAACCAAGATTCATATCTAAAACAAACTAGGTCAAAAACTCGTGTTTGCTTATGTTCAAAAAAATAGTTCTCAACTTTATTGTACACACTGTGAAGTTTAGAACATTGGTTTTCAAGGTCATCGCGGTTTTCTGTCATTTCTGAATTCATTTTTTCTGTAATACAAACGTATTTTGAAAAGATATGGATAGTTTACTAAATTAATTCTTCGTTTTCCGGGTATCTATGCATAAGTGTACTATATGTTGTATTAACCTAAGGTGTTCATTTGCTCACGCATAGCTTGAAGTTGGGTCTTCGAGGCATCGAGATCAGTCTGAATTGTTTTCAATGACCATTCATAGTTGATTCTTTCGTTAACTAAATCCTAACACACAGCAGAAACCTTCATTAGTATAAAACACAGTAGAAAACTTCGTTAGTGTGAAACACAGCAGAAAACTTCGTAAGTGTAAAGACAACAGAAAACTTCGTAAGTGTAAAGAAAACAGAAAACTTCGTAAGTGTAAAGGCAACAGAAAACTTCGTTAGTGTAAAGACAACAGAAAACTTCGTAAGTGTAAAGACAGCAGAAAACTTCGTAAGTGTAAAGGCAACAGAAAACTTCGTAAGTGTAAAACACAGTAGAAAACTTCGTAAGTGTAAAGACAACAGAAAACTTCGTAAGTGTAAAGACAACAGAAAACTTCGTTAGTGTAAAGGCAACAGAAAACTTCGTTAGTGTAAAGACAACAGAAAACAAGTGAAAACTCAGAAAGTAAGTGTAAAGACAACAGAAAACAAAGTTAAAAGACAACAGAAAACTCGTTAGTGTAAAGACAACAAAACGTGGTGAAAGACAAGAAACAAAGAAAACAAGTAAAACACAAGTAAAGACAACAGAAAAACAGGTAAAGACAACAGAAACTTAAAGACAACAGAAAACTAAAAAGACAACAGAAAACTAGTGTAAAGACAACAGAAAAAAAGACAACAGAAAACTCGTTAGTGTAAAGACAACAGAAAACTTCGTTAAGTAAAGACAACAGAAAACTTCGTTAGTGTAAAGACAACAGAAAACTTCGTTAGTGTAAAGACAACAGAAAACTTCGTAAGTGTAAAGACAACAGAAAAATTCGTAAGTGTAAAGACAACAGAAAACTTCGTTAGTGTAAAGACAACAGAAAACTTCGTAAGTGTAAAGACAACAGAAAAATTCGTAAGTGTAAAGACAGCAGAAAACTTCGTTAGTGTAAAACACAGCAAAAAACTTCGAGATTGTAATACGTAGCAGAAAAATCTTTTGCAAATTGTTGTAAAGTGAAGAACTCGTGAATCACCAATATTTATAATACTTGTGTTTTGTAAAACCTTATTTTTTCTTAATTCATTTTCAACTTCCTTTTGCAATTTTTCCACTTGATTTTTCAACCCAGCCAAGTTCGAATTCATTTCGTTTTTGTCGTTTTCATTGAGGTTTTTCATGACGTTAATCTACATTGAGGAAGCATTAAGTAAAAATTCGTTCCGAACTTTTCAGCCACGTTTTTTAAAAAACAAAATTTTACCGAACGTAGCGTTTCATTTTCATCTCGTAATTTCGTCAGTTCTTCTTCTAATTCACGTATTCTTAAAGACAACTTCTTCATTTCATCAGAAGCGATCTGAGTTTTTGAGAATCAAGATGTCATGTAAGATTACATAGACAACATTAACTTCACATTTCTCATGCATGATGAAAACGATCAAACAACCTGATCAGGTTCAATTTTTGTCTTGGCCAAGCCACATGGCTTTCTTGGTGTAAGGAAAACCTGATGAAAGTATGTCAATATTAGTTTATAAAATTCATTATTCGCAGGAGCATTAATAGTTGAACAATTTGATGTACAAGAACATGCTTTACCAACCACATCGTTTGTAAATCCTGTAATTTTGAAATTTGTTGAGCTGCAACTGCTTGTATCTAGATTAAAATAATCACATACAAAAATCTCAATAGAGTAAACATCAGACAGAGTAATATCAATTCAACAAAGATCTTGGGACATGTTAGAGAAGTTTTCATATCAATGTTTCAACACATTCATTAATTTTACTTGCTTTCATTATGTTTACATCAAAAGTCTGCCTGAAACTTTGAATCTCATTAAAAAAATTTCAAAGCATATTAATATCAATTAATAACAATATACAACTAAATACCAAATATTTTCTAATAGTATAAATAGAAGGTTTTAGCATACATACCCAGTGCATTCCTTTCATCCCTCTTTACAATCTCTGCCAGAATAATAAAACAATATTCAATAACTTGTATTGTCAAGGCTTCATTCACTATTCAGATTGTCTTCAAAGTCAACAAACACAATGTAGCATTGTTAACAACAAAAACAGCAACAAAAACAACAACAGCATTTCATAAAAACACTTCTAAAGATATAACATATTTTATTCCAAAGCCATCATCAGAGAATATACATAATATTAATATTATGGATAAAACATACTAACCAGTATCTTTGAAACGTTTGTCTTTTGGAAAAAGAGCAGCTTTAGCTTGAGTTGTTAGTCCTTTTGATATGTCATATTGACCAACTGCAGGAATAGCATTAACTATATGGGAAGAATAAAACCAATGGTAAAGATTAAATACATCCAAAAGCATAAAGGGCTTACTAAAAATAGAAGGGAACATCTAATTTGGACAACGTTTTGTGTTAATTTGGTAAAAATTTCGCTTTATTTTCTTAAGGTGGTTCGAATCTTTGCAATTTTGTCCCAAACTGCTTGACATTTTGTCAAATTGCCTAAAAATTTCCTCAAAAAAAGGCTCTTGTTTCAAGCACAATTCACAAGGATTCTCCCTACAAGATGTAAGATAATCGTACACTCGGTTTTAGTTTTAGTGTTAGGGTTAGGGTCATATTATACGTGTATGAGTGGACGAGTATTCTCCATATCGCTCCCATATATATATATATATATACCAGACCAGAAAACAACAATAACAGAAAGAAAATTCACACAATATCTTTCATTTGTTGTAGAGTTTATCGTTCACTCATCTGTACATCGGGCTACAAAATTGAAAATATACCTTTATCGTCAAATCGTTTAGATTTTGAGAACATTGTGCCTCTTTCATCCGCTTTTGCCTGTTACATGAATGGAAGTCAGTGATGGAACACTGGGGATGGGAGTAGAAGTTGAGTTAAACTTGTTGAACTTGAATGCTTGAAACTTCGAGCCTTTGGGAGACGACCAATGAAATCATAGGAAATTAGCTCTTAGCCAATCAATGACGGTCTTTTAAAAAGATGTCTTCAAACAAAAGATGGCTGATATCGCCATGGGTGCGTGTTGTTTATCATCACGTTGATCAATGTTGATCATGATCACGCTCTTAACATTTTATTTATAAATTTAACAATAAATTGACAAGAAATTACCATTTTCCTTATGGACGGCGAAAACAAGGATAGCAATGCGGATTATGTGGAGTTTTTGCAAAATCAAGGTATGAATGATGAATCTGATCTTTTCACGATCCGATTATTTTGATATATAAAAGAGAAACATGCTGACCGTACAGTTTATAAAATGCCATGTTAATACAAAGCAACATCTATCATAACATAAACAACGCAGCACGTTTCTTGATTTGTGTCCTTAACGACTTGACCATTTTGTTACAATAATTAGGTAACACTATTATACAATACAGTAATACTTAAGAGTTGATTCATGAGATCATAGTCTCATAGATATGATTCAGACATGGCATCAAGAATGATTAGAGGTACAAATGAATGCATGAATAATCATCTTAAGTAGTTTTTTGATACTTTACTAGAATTACATGTATACAGTGTAGTGATATTTGGATGACAATTGTTATGCAAGATGGCTGTTGCTAACACTAAATTGCTCCAAGTTCTGTAGAAAAATTGATGCTGATGCTAAATTTTGAATTCTTTTTTTCATTTTTTACCAACTGCAGTTTCTCGACTTAATTCAGTATTGAGTGCATATCAGCGAAAATACCTTCCTATTTGTGAAGAAGATATTAAGGTATTATCTTTCATAAATAAAATGCGTGATGAACAAGGCTGATTAATGACTAGGATTATATAATTGTTATCAACTACACAAGTAAAACATGTGTAAGTCTTTGGCTGGTTTGTAGAGCTGTGCAAACTCCGGTTTGCTCAACTCTTCCTTTAGGGCCTGTTTATATGGAGCCAAGTTACCCGGCTGAGCGAGTAACTCGCTCAGCCGGGTGTGAAAAAGTGATCTGTTTATATGGCACCGGGTAGCTCAGCTAGTACTTCCTTTCAATTTTCTTAAATGAAGTTTGGCTATGCTAACTTCTAGTTAAGGCACGAGATTTTAAAAAGCCTCACAGTTTTGCAGCAAAAATGGAAAGGGTGAATATAAAATTGAAAATTATGATATGTGTAAGTTTTTGTATAATAATACTGCAAGTACAAGGCTTAGTATGCATGCATACCAACAGAGCCAAATTTCTCGCCTCCCCGAGTTACTAGGCAAATGCGTTTATATGGAAAAATCATCCCACCTAGCCGGGTAAGTTGCTTACACAAACCGAGTTCCCAGCAAGGCGAGTTACTCGGATGTGTCATATAAACGATTCACTGGGGAAATGCATTCATTTTATATAAGGGCCGAGTTACTCGGCTCGGCGAGTAACTCGCTCAGCCTGGTAACTCGGCTCCATATAAACAGGTGCTGAGAAGCTTTGTACTCAACTCTCCAGTTACAGCTTAATTTGGTATTTTGTGTTAAGAAAGAAAAACACCAACCAATGGTTGCATCAAACATTTATTAACCAGCATTTTTAAATGCTTAGATTGGCTTAGAAACATTTTTTGTTTAGTAAGAGCTTAGTTAAGTTTTTTTGGCTAGCCTAAAAATTCTGATGCCCTATATGTAAGTGTCTCTATGTGCTTGTCTGGATGATTACAAATAACACATGTGGTTGAATGTCATGTTTATCATAGAATTATATTCAAAACGTATCTGTAAGTATGTAAAAATCTTGCATCTGTATTAACCTTGCATCTGTATTATACATCCTTGCATCTGTATTATACGGAAATATATATGGTTTTGTTTGTTTTAGTTGGAATATCCAATTCAACCCTGGCTCTGTGACTCAAGGTGTTTCACTTTACTAAAGTCGATATTCCTGATTTATATTTTTAAAGATGACCTAAACTTTCTAACCATACTAACCTGAAATTTACCAATTATTTTGGTGATGACTGGTCAGTCCAGCTGTAATTTGTGAGAAAAATAAATAGCGCTAACAATATTTATTGATTTTTATCGTGACATGTCCAATTACAAATTTACATTAGCATTATATCTCCTCTACTTGCTGAATACGACAACACAATTCGAACCTTCAAGAATGAATTAAATGAGTACAAGGTAAAGCTATATAGATGACATAATGCAAATACAACATATAATATTGTACTCTGTTTTACATTTATAAATACATAAAGTTGGGGATTTTAACCATTTTCATATGTCCATGTATTTATGAAGTAGTGTAGTTTACAGCTCTCAATTTTCAAGTCCAGCCTCCATATTTATATGTGCTCACTTAAATCTACAAAGTTAGTTGGTCATTCCTAATCAACCTGCAAAGTTATTTCTCAACCTTGTAAAGTTCATATATAGTCTGTTTTATATAGAAAGAACAGTCGTCTCTAAAGGAAAGAATAGCCGAAGTTGTCCGTGAAAATGGAAAGTTAGTTTGACATAAAATACATTAGTCTTTTTCTTATAAGCACATTTTTTTGGATTTTAATCTGAATTTTATTTGTCTCTTGGTGGTACGTGTGAATGATTAAGATATATTTTTCCCTTTCTTACTTTTTTTGAAAATAAAAACATTGTGTCTTCTGATGGTTCAGATCGCTCTGTTTGTTCTGCGTAAACAAGTGACGAATATTACGAAACTTACATTTAAATAGAGATGACAATATTACATTGTGATAGTGACTTTTGCTGCCGTCAAAAGGGATGGTTAAAATCATGTGTGGCTTTTGGTTTAAATCATTATGAAGGTTCAAGTTATAAAGTCAGCATTTTGAAATATTTTTTCCTTTTTTCCAAAGGTTCGAGTTATAAAGTCAGCATTTTGAAATATTTTTCCATTGTTTCGGGATTCTATTTTCATGGCAAACGGGGCGTACACAGTAAACAAGTCCCGTTAGTTTGCTTTCAAAAAGCACTCGAAGCGTTCCGACAAAATTTATTTAATACAAATCTCATGCGTTAATACCATATTCATTTGCTCAAATGTGAAAAGGAACATACTGCTTGGAGCAAGCAAAGCAAGAGTGAGATTTTATTTATAGAATGTTGCAAGAGCGTCGAGTGACCTTGGAACGAGAAATGGACAAAGCACCTTCTACATTGATAATGCAGTCTGAGAAATCTGTAATCGACAATAATATTGTGGAGAATGTGCAAAATCAACTTGAAATAGCCATAAAAGTGAGTCTAAGTTGTACAACATATCGATTGTGAAAATTAAAACATTATTTAAAAGTATGGAAATAAATTTTAAAATTATTGTTACGTTTGTCGTCTTTTTTCATTTTCATTGACATATTGATCATATCTTCACAATCATTTGGTAATTACCATTCTCTGTTTCTTGGATTTAACTTTGTTAATTTCACATAAAATGCATGTGCAATCATTGTAGAATTTTGATTAACGAAAAATTTAACTAGTTTTATGGCTTTTTTGACGTTTTTTCCAAAAACAAGTGTTATCCTTTGTTTTCTTTTGCAAAGGAAAGAGATTACAACTGTGAAATGCTCAAAAAAACATCCCAAGAATTGGAAGAACTTCATCTTGTTCACAAGGTGATTGAGTATTGCTTGCATGTGATAAATATTTTTTCATATTTGGCATGATTTTTATAACATTTTCCCATGGAGAATTTCATGACTTGTTGTTTGGGAATGTTCACCAATGACTGCTATGTATATCCAATATCCATTGAAAATATTTAGTCGCTGAGAAATGAACGCTCAAATTGCAATTATATAGAAAGTTGCTGAAAGTTTGGCTGCAAAAGTGAATGAGGCAAACGTTGTTAGGGTAAATTATATAGATACGCTGTTTTGCAATTTTATATATAGTTTAATATATTTTTTGTAGATATACGTTCTAACCGAGTAGGCTTTTATTGTATAGAATGACTTAATAAAGGCTCGTCGATTTGCTGAGCAGTTACAGGCTACCAACAGAAAGATAAAAGGGGTAATTATTTCAACACGGTGTAATATATACATATATGATCTTATAACGGTCGATAATTTATACGTAGTTTTGAATGTTTTTTGTTTTTTTTTTGTAGGAGAACGATCAATTTGTGGTTATCAATGAGTCCCAGAACCGAAAAATTGAAAAATTAAGCGAAGATGTTCGGTACTCAGGAAAAGTTCATGTTTTTCTGTGCTGGAGATTGTTGATAATTGTTGAATGATGCGGATTTTTTATATGTAGACGTTATAAAGCTGAACTGAAGTGTTTGACTTCAACCAACGACGAGTTTAAGCGGAGATTGGAAGTTTTACGAGCGCAGTCCAAACTGAGAGTAAGATAACATGTTAATTTTATGTAGTTTCTTAAACTTTTGCTTCTGAAGAGTTTTTTCTTTTTAATTGAAACAAAATAGTATGAGAACTATGTGCAGTGCTCTTGCAGCATTATAGTAAAGACATGTTATACGATATATATGTTTCACATTTCTTTTCATTTACTTTATCATGTGTAAAATAGTTTCATGGGATTACGTAGAATAAGATTTATCTTTTCATTCATGCTTGATCTGGATTTAATCTTTTTTCATCTCATTCAATTAGGAAAGAGACAAAGCTTTATTGAGCAGCAAAGAGCAAGATGTAGAATCTCGTTTTGAAGAATATAGAACAAAAATAATAGAAATAGAATCAAGGTATTAAATGAATGCAGTGAAACTCAGAAAAAGTATTTAATAAGCTTTGTGTAATGACTTCACAGCTTTATGTTTTGTGAAATAGATTGGCTGGCTCATTGGCTATGTATAACCGAGTACAAAACAAAAATGCTGAGCTTGAAGAACAACTTGATCTCCTCACAAAAAAGAAGTATATATCAATAGTGTTATGCAATGTTTATATTCTATATCAAAGTGCCGTATCAATGCAATGTGTGATTTTTATATTTACAGTTAAGTACAATACTTCTAGTTCTATTTGCATTTATACGTATATAAATAGTATCGTACAATCTCAGTTTTATGTATGTGACAGAAACCGGAAAAAATAGGTATTTTGAAGTAAATAGATTAAACTAAATTTGTACCATATACAGTTCACAATTTTTGTTGAGTCCAATGCTTGTAGTTCTATATTAGTTACATTTCATGTGTAAATATGTTGGAACATTTCTACAAATAAAATCTTAGATTGTGGAACCTACTTTTTATCCATGTTTTAGCTTTGAACAAGAACGATGTGCGTACGAGGCTGAAAAAAATGCCCGAGAGAGCATGCAACTGGTCGAGAGCGCAATGATAGAACGTGATCAGGTAAATAGCAGTATTTAGCATGAAGGCAAGAACACAGGGACGAATTTTACGCAATTCCGATATTGTTTGTCATTTCCGTCGTAATGCTTTATTAGCCCTATTATATAGAACTAGTGTGTTATGGCTTATGTGGTGAAAAGCACGAGAGAGTTGACGGAAACTTAATATTTTAGACATACAGCTAACTCATTTTCGTTCTACTCCAAGCACGAAGAAGAAACACTTGTAATGGAACTTTTCTTACCCCCAGAATATTCATATTAAATCCAAGTTCACAACTGCGACCAAAGAGAGGATTTAATTTGAAGTCTGAAATTATTGTCTCAAGGTTTTAGTGAGAGAAAAACAAAATTCTGAAGAGTTAGATCGATTACAAGAGGTCATTAAGAAGTTACTTTTTGATGCTGGTATTAAAACAAAAAATGAAGTAAGGCAATGAAAGATCGTTGTGTTTTAATTTGCATTCGACATAAAAATGATTGTGGTTCTTTTGATGCTTTTGAAGAGGAGTGAAAAAACTTGAATTAATGTCCTTAATTGATGAATTTAGGTAAGCAAGGTTAAAGATCATTACAATGAAAATATAAAAAAATTGATGGAAGAATTACAGCATGTGGAAATGGTTTGTTAAAATGTTGTTTTTTGACTATTTGTTGTATCAAAAAATTCATGTATTATGAATTAATCATTTCATTTATAGTTATTGTGCATGTCTTATTCTTATTTGTTTTATTGACGTGTAGGTCCACTTTCATGGTGCACGTGTAGGTCCACTTTCGTGTAGGTCCACGTGTAGGTCCACTTTCGTGTTTGCTTTGCTTTCCATTAAGCCTACGAATATTGTAATTTTCTCTTATGAAAATTGAGTTATTGACATAAGCATCAACAATTCCAGTTACTTTGGTAACAATACAAAACGGTCTTTAAATTTTTCAAACGTTTTATTCTTCCTGCTTACATGATTGATTTGATACTTGGATATGAAATTAAAATTTTCGCCTGGTAATTTAATAAAATTTTTTACGCCAATAAATGAATTTTTGAAGTCTGATCTCTCGTCGTACGTATGTTGTATATAGATTAGAAACCGTTTGATTTTATTTACATAGATGTATGTACGCACCTTTTAATTATACATGCTGATGTTTAATTGTTTACAAAACACAGAAATCTTACCCAAAACAAGAAATAAATTATACTAATACCAAGCTATAAACATCTTTAAGTTTGAACTGCCTATCGTTTAGTTACAAGTGTTGTAGTTTAAAAAGCATCGCGTAAAAAGCACATCGTAATAAAATGTTTGTCGATGTTCGTGATAAAAGGTGGATTTTTGAGTTCTTTCCGGTAAAAAATCTATGTCAATTCCCTCGTGCTATGATACTTGCTTGTAAAAAATTCAAATTGTAAAGTTTCTTTCATATAGGAGTGCATGCAGTAGATTGCTACTTGATGAGATAATTTTATTAATTAGGCTAACATCATAACTTCAGAAATTGACTCCTATCAGTTATATATAATTCACAACTGTTCATATAATGATAGATTATATTTTTTCATTATCTCTGTTATATCATTTTTGTTTCTATAAAAGGAAGGAGCCAATAAGCAAGCACAACTTGAGCGAGCACTCAGAGAAAAAGGAGCAATTGAAAAAGAACTTGAAAAGGTCTTCAAATAATATATACTTTGTGTACATTTTTGTTGGTATATTTCTCAAACGGAACTTGAGATGATTTTAGTTTAAACCATTGGATATTCACGTGTCGTTTCTATTTGTTTCTGTAAAATGACCTCGCACTAAAGCCATTTTCACATCTCCCTTGGCGAAATATCATACATTTACATATACGAATATAATACAGATTTATCAAGAAGGACCAACTGAAATTGCGAGAGCAGGGATGACTTTCGAGCAATTGCAAAAGAAAATTATCTTTGCCGAAAGAACTAAGGAAGAAGCTCTGCAAACCAAAGAATCCCTCACATCTCTTTTGCATAAGCTGGAGAAAAAGTATGTTAGCTAACACTGACGCCATTTTTATTCGATTGTATGTTTAGATGTTGACGACATGTGTATGAATGAAATCATTATTGATTACTACTATTATATCCTCAAAAAAGTGTATCTTTGACTTGAATGTCTTGACATCAACATTAAACATACAATATAAGAGAATTTCACTCTAGGCTTGTTTCACTATAGGCACGATCAACAAAAAACGCAGCTGTTGCAGGAAAACCAAGAACTTAAGAAACGAATCAAACATTTAACCTTTGAAAGTGAAGACATTGCTGGCAATAGAATCATTCTTATGGGTAAATTTTAGATGCGTATTTAATGTGGTTATCAAGTTAATTTTTCATTTTTCTGAACTCAAGGATATCTTTTTTCCTCTCAGATGAGATTGATAATTTAAAACGAGAGTTGGTGGTATCGCAAAGTGTTCAAGAACAATTGAAACAAAAGTGTGCTACTGAGGTGATAAGCAGTGAAACCTGTATGTACATTGGAGACATATACTACTTGATCTCATAACTTGATATGTGTTGGTTTCTGAATCTTGCTATCTGACTAATCCTCGAAATACAATTAATCATTTATGAAAATGTTAATAAACCCTAAACCTTTGAAACCTTAAACACATATGTTTATGTAGGTTGCTTCATTAGAGCAACGTCATAAAGTGAAAGAGAGGCAATTTGATGAGAAATTGCGAAACGTGGAAGAAATGAACACACAGAGTGTAAACGAGTTGCGTGAAATGCTGTCAGCACAACAGAAAATGGGATATAAGTAAGTGTCACCATACGTTATTACTGGAAAGAGAGAATGTTTGAATGAATGGGATTGAATGTCATTGAAGGAGAGACTGCTTAAATGAATGCCATTGGAGGAGAGACTGCATAAATGAATGTCATTCGAGGAGAGACTGCATAAATGAATTCCATTAGAGGAAGGAGAGACTGTATAAGTGCCATTGGAGGAAAAAGAGACTATAAATGAATGCCATTGCTTTAAATGTATTTAACCCTTCAAAACAAAACACATTGTATGTACAAATTGTAAATAGAACAAGTCGATTTGTTTAGGTGGAAAGAGGAATCGCAAGTTTTATCTAAAAAGTTCGAGGACACCGTTTCGTCCTTGAGGTATTTATCATTTATCGTATTGAGGTATTTAATATAAGTCAGCTTTGGGGGCATTTCATGTTTTCAAAAATTATTTGAGTTATTTATTATAATTTATTTTGTTAAAATAATTGTAGATTTGTATCACAAATGGTGAAGTATTGTTTTGTTTTAGAAATGAAATAACAAAACAAAATAAAAGAAATGACGTCGTTACTCATGAGCTTCTAGAAGCAAAACGTCACAGTAAACAGGTATTTTCAGTTGTAATTTTATATTCTTATTTGTGTTAAATAGATTTAAGATGTGAATACTTCAATGAATTTTATAAAACAGATCGAAGATGATCTTTTATCAACACAAGTACAGTTACAGAAAGCACAATCAATAGCTGTTGATGCTGAGAGCAGAGCTGAAGCTGCCAGTAAACAGGTACCCAGGGGGGGGTCGTAGCCCATACACGATTATTGTGTCATTAAACCTATAGAAGTTATGGTATGGTGAAGAAATAATATCATTATCTGAACTTTTAAAGATTATTATGTCAAAGAAAACTTCTTACAGCCACTTAATATTAAGAATTATGTATGCTGTAAATATTTTCGTTCACATCAGGTAGAGACTTTACTGAATAGAGAGAGGCAACTACTTGACGATCGTAAGATTCTTCACAAAGAATTGGAAACGTCTAGAGTTCAAAGGAAGTATGTCCAACGTATTATGATTCTGTGAATTGTACTCAAGTGATGATATGACCATATTATAATAATCGAAGTTCCACAAAGTTCAGCGTTGTTATGAAGGATTTTTCTTTCTGTTTCATCATTGGATAACATTTGTCTATAAGTCAATTACTTAACTTTATTGTGTCAATCAAAGAGAAGTTTTTCAACTTATATAAGTGCATGCCATCCCGGCCATTTTATTCATCTTGTGTTTTCTTTACAGACATAATGGAAGTTTTTTCACCCGACACGCTCTAAAGGATTCGTATAATAATGATTCAATGAACTCCATGGAAGGATTGCAAAAATCATTGCGTCATTCGAAATATTCAGAAAGAATTGCATGACGTATGTATACGTTGAAGTCTGTCGCTTGGCTTTTGTACTTCTCTTTATGTTTGAAGCACTTTCTTAATGTCAGCAGCTGGGGAGAAGAATGTTACTGTTAAACTCATAGTGAAAATTTGTGTTCAGTATTGAAAAGACTATTCAAGTCTTATTGCTTTTTGGAGTACGAAGACGCTAATGTAAGCACAAAAACTGACCAAACCGAAGATTTTCGAGTAAAAAAGTATTTACGTAGCTACGTATTAAAATTTTGAAGCTAATTTTAAGGAATAGCTATCGGTCAAATTTATCAAGGATTGATAGTTCTCATTAGATTTGCCGATAACAAAGCAGAATGAAAAGAATGATTTCATGAAATAATTAAATACAAGTATAATATTTCGTGTGCCGTGCACGTGGAGTTTGGTTATTGCTCTTACTTTATTGTTCGTAATTGTTAATGTAAGTAAACAAGCGTTTTGAATAGAACTTCGACGTACATTTATTTTGAGTGGATGATGCAGATGATGTACTTAGTTATATGAGATAAAGATGGAAATAAAGGTGTAGACTCAAGGATTACTTGTGTTGCGATTAACCTCCAGAAAACTATGTTGCTGGCTTATGATGACAACAATGTCATTGATAAAACATTCTTTTGCATAAAACCACCAATATGGCTGAAGTAATGACATGATCAACTATTACAGAATACCAGCTACATACAAATTAGCCGCTACTACGACTAAAAAACAACAATAATATGCTGTATGGCGCATACCTCGCCCTTCTCCCTGCACCATCGAACACCAACACCATATGACAAAGTTCATGACTGCTCTGTTCATGTTTATTATATCTTTACAGAACTATTCATGTTCTTGATCTTGATTGTCCTGTTTCCTCACTTAATGTTGTATTAGTGAGAGTTCCTCTTTTAACAGATTTTGCGATTTCGTCGTAGTGTATTGCAGTACGATAGATTCAATGATGACTTTGAGGTAATGATAATTCTCCTCATCGCCACAAATCAAATAGTAGCAGTCATTGATAACCCTTGATGCACGCTCCGTTTATGATGAATATGTTATTTTAATGGTGCGCTCAGTCAAAAGCTGAGTAAAGGTTCATTGACTTTGTCAAGCTTTTATTTGAATGAAATTCAATGTTCGCATTCTTTTTGTTTTACGTTTTGAGATTCGAGAAAACAATACAAATGAAATTTCAATTGAACAATTTGCGCATTGTAGCTACATGAATGGACATTTTTATTATTAATGCATGAAGTGATTTGACTCACAAAGCTGTAAATATGTTTAGCACAAGAAGAGAAGTGCATGCAGTTACTCATAACTATCAACGTCTACACTAACCATATGATGTCAACGCAACACTGCTAAAGGAAAGCAGGAAACGATAAACTTGTTACACGCCATTAAAACCAGCGACAGTTATCTTCATAGCAATGCTATTGGTTGCAAATATCCAATGAATAAAATCTTAACAAACAAATTACTTAGGATGATTTTAAAATGTAATTATATCAAAGAATGCACAGTTGTAATCTATTTTGCCGAACGCAGGACCTCGTACAGCACTGTACAATCTTTCGCTTGTATTTTAATGTAAATCTCATAAAATACATATATATATTAATTTCTAATTTAGAGTTCATAAAAATCTAAGTAAAAATATATACCTTTTCTCACAATTCCTTATTTTTCATTTGTTTTCAATAAAGCAATTTCAATTATTAACTACTTTGAAGCTCGGTAAAAATAGAGCATATGAAAACCTAATTTCTGAACACCGTCCTGTTACTAAAGTTTGAAAAAAAATCTCAATCAAATTACAACTCCAAGTATTGACTAAAATCATTCCGTTAAAGCTACATTTGATTCGTATAAGTTTGATTGAAACACTTTCTTTTTGAATCCCGTAATCAACAAAAATATCAAAACCTTTTTTACTTTGGGTAGATTCTTTACAACATGCACATAACATGAAAAGAAAAAATATACGTACTACTGATTACTCGTCATCCAAACGAACATTTGTAGTTACAGGCGATTCTACTTCCTGTGGCCTTGATACAGAAGAGTCGTGATTCAAGCCTTTCTGGTAAAAGTTAAAATAGACTAGTTATAACATAAGGTAAAATCACAATATCATTTCTTATCATGTCTTATGTTTCCGCAGTATAAAGTTCCGATATATATGTTAAACTTACTATTCTTAAATTTTTTCGTCGACAATTTAAAACAGCATCGTGAACAGAGACAAAAGACTTTTCCTCAACGTAACTCTTCATAAATTCCTCTCTGGCGAAATGTCTTTGAAGATAATCTAAAATTCAGTAAATAATGAATACAAAATTCCAACATTAAAAATAAAGATAAGCATATTACGTATATAATAAAGATTAACTTACAAGAGCAACCAGCTAAATATACTTCAACATTAAAGTCTTTGCTCTTCTCAACAACCTTTTTAAAAAAATAATTAAATGAACGTCAAAAAAAAATGAATAATTTTAGTGAATCATAAACACAAACGCAATACAAATAAAATGTCAAAATTATCACTAGAATGTAGAAAACCTGGATTAAAATTGCCTTTAAAAAATCTAAAGATTTGAAACTTGTACCATGCACTACGCTATCAAAAGACAACAGTGAAGCAGCTCACAGATTGAATCTTGCTATGTAAATTCATAAGAAAATCACGAATAGAGATACAAATGTCAGTGGCAGAAAGTAATCTCCAAAATACTTGCATCGCGCGACTAAATTAATAGGCTTACTACACCTTATGTATATATGTGTATATACAAAGTGTATAACACTGTGCCCTCCTGGCTATAACCATAGTACAATGGTGACTCCTGCACTTGGGACACAGGATGTACGGTTATATATATAAACATATCAAAGGACAAATACATCATGCAACAGCAACAGCATCAATATCAACAATAACAAAAACAGCAATGCATACCTGACGAAGACAGAGTAGTCCAACATAATCAATCATTGTCACGGGTGAAAGATCAAGTATCACACTATGAATTTTTTTGGAGTCTTTTTTTTCAGGTGAAATATTTAACTCCGAAATATTTGAAGGCTGATTTTCCTGTCAAAATAATTGCATATCATGAGCATAATTTAAAAAGTAAAAACTAAACACATGAATGTCCTATGATTCAAATATTGATAAAGAAGAAAATTGAACAAAATATTACTGTAAAATGCTTTCTGTACTTAGATCAAACGCAGAAAGTTTTACCTCGGAAGTCGTTGCTGCAATAAAGTCATCCGATCCTTCATTAATAGTCGCCATAGGGTTTAAACTTCTGATCATTTTCACCTTTACTTGTTTTTCACCTTCAGAAACAACAGCTTCAACCATGTAGTTTGAAAGAACCTCTGAATCAGCACTAACACTAACAGTTACTTTATCTCCAAGTTTTGGTGACGAATTCTTTTCACGTATTATTTCAATTACGTCATCGACAAGTTTCTCTGCATTCACAAAGATTAATGCACCTTGAAATTGTAAAATTACGATGCCTTTGTATGATTTTGTACATAGACATTGTTCACGATCTTGATAGAGATCAGTGTTTCGAACATGACCTAAAGTTCTTAACTTTGCTTGCGAAGATCGATATATTATAGACAATAAAGTTATACCTAAACCAACAATTAATCCAAAGACAATACCAAGGAGAACAACCGAGAAACAAGTGGCAAACCACACGATGCCATCAACTAACGAAATAATACCAATACTCTTCAATTGCTGAAACTGCAGAAATAGCCTACGAAGAGATACGACGACTATAGCAGCCAAGACTGGTTTGGGCAACGGCTCGAATAACGGTGCAATAAATAGCAAGACTAATAGAATAACAAAACTTGACACAAAACTAGCGATCTGCGTTTTTCCCATTCCTTCTTGCACAACCGATCGTGATAAAGATCCCGAAGATACGAAACTCGAGAAGAAAGAGCCAGAAACATTTACAATACCATAAGCCAACAACTCTTGGTTACTATCAGTTTTATATTCATGTTTTTGAGCAAATAACTTCACAAGAGATAAATTGGTGGTAGCAGCTACAATTGCAATTAAAAATGCATCTGTGATGAGGTTTCCAAAACGGTCAAGTTTTGGAACTGCAACTGGTGGAAAACCTTTCGGTATACTTCCAATGATTGATAAGTCAAATTTATCATTAAGATTTGCAGCATGAGAAACAGATGCTCCAATTATTATGACAATAAGTTGTGATGGTATTGGAAATGGTAGGCGAGACTGATATCGTCGATTAAGGTAATCCACTGAAATTAATATAAGGATACAAATCACTCCAGTCGTAAGAGCTGCAAAATTTGTACGCGATATATTCTTGAAAATGTAAATATATGTCTAAAAAAAGAAACAATCAAATTTTCAATTAAATTTTTCGATATTCAAAAATCGATGCTTTACATGTAACGTTTACTAAACATAATCCTTCTCACTAATTCAATAGCATTATCTCTGTTCAAAAATAAAGTACTTTCTATAATTATGTAAATTCTATCTACGTACTAAAGTAATATCTACGTTCCAAAACGAAGTAGAATGCTAAGCACTATCAATATTCTAAAATAAATGTAAGCTATGTTCCAAAAAGAAATACTTACTTTTGGAAGAGCTAATACACCAGGGTATCGAGGAGGATCAAGGCCAAAAAAGTACTTCACTTGACTGGTAAAGACAATAAAAGCGGCTCCCGTGGTAAAACCGCTGACAAGAGGTCGCGACAGATAGACTGTTACAAAACCAAGGTGAGCTAGACCCATCACAGCCTAAAATTGTAACATCATGTCTTCAAGTTTAACGTTTGATCAACAAGTGCAAAAATTGATGAGAAAAATTTTTAGAAGAAGGAAAACGACTCTTCATATACACCTGAATTATGCCAACCAATAAAGTCAGCGATGTTGCAATTTCTAACTTTCGTGATTCATCTTCAGCAATTTTACCAGACGAAACACCAAGCTCCCTATCGCACACTTCCCCGACCATAGTGGATATAATTGCAAAAGTCCCTATGTATAAATAGTAAAAAAAAACTTTAATTAAGACGAAAATATATAATCGAAAATCATGCAGTAAGAACAAAAGCAAACATAGTTATATAGTGTATGAGTGTGTATGTATATATATTGAGCACTCTATCGTTTCGACATCGCGTTTGCTTTTGATAAAATAAAAATTTGTAATTTATAATGTATACATATACGTACATACATGTTTGAATATTTGTGAGCCATATTATGACAAATTTGCAAATTGGAAAAAAATCAATGGATACTATGAAAATTCAGTAACTATATATTGATCAATCTAAAATGACAACATTAATTATCTTTCGAGACTGTTTATGAATTTCGATTCCGCGATGCAGCTGATATTCTAATGGAGAAATTCTCCAAGTGACATTATGTAACTTGAAATGTTTTGTTTTATAACGTAATTCACAATAAATTCGTGTTTATTAATCAAAAGATGTTCCTTTATACGCGAGCCTGCAGTTCTCGCGATAACACAAATGGCTGCTCATAGGCAGCTCTCACGACTACAAATATCTAAACGAATATAAATATCAACAAAATAATTAGACCGTCTGAACAAGCAACCAAAGGTCGATACCGAAACAATCGGATCCCGCAAACTGAATCACGTGAACGATGTTCAATCGTGGTGTACAGTGTCCGTCAAAAACACTCCGTTCTATTTTCCAGAGGAAACAAATTAACCTGTGCAAATGCAATTTTTTTAGAGAAAATTAATGCAAAAACAACACAATATCTCAGTATAGGAATATACAGTAGTTTCATCATTTCTATTGGTCAAAAAAAGCAATTGACTGGCAACACCATGGTAATCAAGTGCGTCATAAGATAAGCGCGGCACGAAAAAGGAATGGCTCTACTGTATATTCACTATAATGTGACAATATACAACCAAAATCCGTCTTCTCAAAGACACAAAATCACGACAATCTCAATACTTGGAGTGTAAGGAAAAGTATGTGGAGAAAATTTTTTACGTACCCACAGCTAGATGTTTTGACGTTCCAAGAAAAAAATAAATCAGAACTGGTACAAATGAAGTGTACAGACCAACAATGGGAGAAAGAGAGGCCAGCAACGCGTACGCCAAGCCTAAAACAAGTTTTAAAAAGTAATATTAGGAACGAAAATCATACGTATACTAATGTATTCGACATGTCTCTAAAACGACCAATGATAATTCAAGTTTTTTGGGGGCTTGTTATCTTTTGTGTCTAATGCATTCAGCAGATGAAATGTTCGACATCAGTTATCTCAAAGTCGTGCCTTTGGACAATAAACATCAGACGTTGAGTAGGTTTGTAAAGTCTCGCTCCTACGTGATGTAATGGTCGTCGTTTGGATGTAAATAAATTTTGAGACTTGAAATGTTGAAAAAAGAGCATTGCAGTCTTTGATGACAGGTGCGAATGCGAAACGATAAAATGAGCGATTACGGAAAACATCAAAACTCCACATGCTTAGAATTGCGGCACTATATTAATTAACATAACTGTGAATTGTGTTATGTTAAAAAATAGGAATGACGATAGTGAACTCAATACTGCGGTAGATTTTCAATTAAATTGTCATCGATTATTACTTCATGTGAATGTATGAAAAAAGAAGATTCGATAAGTGTTTTTAATTTAACATCAGTCATTATCAAGAGCGACTAAAAAGCAACTCAGATCGTCGTCTCAAAATAAACAACGACACCAACAAATAACAAATAAAAGTCTCAAAACTAACAAATAATAAACAATTTGTAGCACGAATGAATAAACAATTTCAGCGACAAATAATAAACAGTACGTCACAAAACTAATAAATCATAAACAATGCGTCAGTTACCAACAAAAAATAAACAAAAAACTTGGATGATGAATGACATTCACAACAAGGACAGGAAACTCACTGAGTGGTTTTCATTCACACACATGTTGTTAATCCTCTCTTGTTCTTCATCATATTTCAGGTAATTGAATAAAAATCTAATTTATTAGTGATTAGTTTTATTCAACAAGAAGATAAGAAGAAAAATGAAAGGAATTCGTCAACACCAATTATATGAATTAAATTAGCACTTATTCACAACTTTATTTACAATTATGTTAACCGCCATTATTAAGGTCAATATAATTATTATATCACAATGAAACATCTTCATATCTTAAACATAAACCTCTATTTTTAAGTAAGTACATAGCCTTTTGCAGCTTACATCCAGAAAACAACAAATATCAAGAATTCCATAACAAGTTCCTTTTTACTATGTAAGCTAAGTGCTAGGCTTTCCAGTAATGGTTGAAACATTGAAATCCACTCATAATCTGAGTGCATGTAGTTTCCTCTAAACATCTGTATCCTAAATCTCTGGAGGCAGTAGGATTCATCAACCATTATAGTTATCCAAATGGCTAAATATTATTGTATCTAATGGCTTTTTAATGTATACAAGAACACCATTACAACATTTGAACTGCTGTTAATCATGTCAATAAATTCAAACAAATTTACAAGCTTATGTTTGAATTTTAAATTAAAAATTATGAAGGATTTTTTAAGAATATGGCTTTCTAGATACATACTTTTGGCCACAGTAATTTAAGTAGTTGAAAATAACCAAAATGACCAAAGGTATGGCTAATGTACAAATGCAGTGCTGTGCAATATTTCATTGACTACAAATATTATTTTGAAATTTATCATTATTATATTATAGATAAAGAATTCTGTTTGAGTAGACACTCTTTAAGGCGGATAGCAATTTATTTCTTGTTATGTTTTAAAGAAACACAAGCAACAAAAGAAACATTATTAAAATTTGTATGGTTTAAAATGTGAATAGATACTTTACATATCAGATAAATGTAAAGACGTCATCAATTCAACATCCTTTTCACACCATGCCATAATTAAATTCAACAACAACTGACATAGCTGGTGGAATCTTTCAACACTTAACTAATCTATTGCAATATTTCTATTTCAGTTATTGGCATGACTCATAGCACAAGATCATATATAAAACTGCCTCCTGTTTTATGCTAAAAGTTGTGATTAGATATGGTACAAGATTATAAAAATTCTCTTTATTTATATCAAAACTCATGGGCTTGCAAATCAAATGACAATTTTCAATATGATGTAACTATTTTCACTTTTCCTACCAAGGAGACAAAATAAGGAAGCATATAATTTGAAATGGAGTTAGTAGATACATGAAGTAAAAATTACAAATTAATAACTACATTATACATGAATGGAGGGTACTTCAAGTGATTAACCGCTCAAACAAACAAGCTACTTATATCAATAAACAAACACTCAAAATAAATACTAGGATTCTAACATTTAAGTGGCATAACTATCATGGATGTTACTATACAGTAAATAGACAAATATCTAGAGTATATACAAGACAACTCGTTCGTTGAAGGTAACGTTTACAAATAACTGTGAGTTAAAATAAATTTTAAAAAAACTGTCGCTTCCGCATGGCAAATGTGTAAGCTATGAATGAAGAAATGCTTTATCTAAATGTTTCAAATTAAGGAATTTCGACTGAAAATATTAGTAAAGTATGTGCTATTGTATGAATTTATAAAGTCTTCCATAAAAATTATAATTCGGCTCATAAAAATCCAATATAAAGCAGAAAGACTAACCTTGCGGAATATTCATCACCCCAACAGTTAATCCAGCGGCAATGTCCATTGGTAAATTCTTTCGTAGCTGATATTTTGATAGCCATGAGATTACAGGAATAAACGATAACAAAACCTTAGCTACAATCTTACAGTTGACATTAGGTCGAAGTTTTCCTAATTTTTCTCGAAAAGCTTTGTCCCTGTTTGGATCATGATCATAACTATTATAAAAGTCTGACTTGTTGTATATAGGCCGAGAAACAAAGAACGTATTGCCAACGCGTTCGCCGTTCTGACCATTTTGACTCTCCGTCAATGAGATTTCGTCTTCTTCCACAGCTGACTCAGATGGTACTTGCTCATCGATCACATCAACGCACGTTGACATTATGAAGTCGTATTTCAAATTAAACTATTTACTCTTGATATAAACCGGTTGTTATCTTTATGTAACTTGATTAAACTGACGTAGAGATATCCTAATACCCAAGGACTCGCGTGACAGTCAGCATGCCTCTCAAATGAAATTTATTGTAGCACAGTCAGCATGCCTCCCTCTTATGAAATTTATTTGGTATTAAATGGTACAATGTTTATCACAGCTCATATTTACGTATGAGGTAAATATATTGAAATACTAATTTTACCCACTGATATGTGTACTAGACTGGATAACGCATCTCTTGCTAAAATTGAAGCCGGAAGACCGATCATTTGCTACTGGCTTCATGGGGGGTATCGGTCCCACTTTTCTATACTTTTGCGTTACAAAATCACAGTTTTCGCGTTTTTATTCCTTTTACAAACTTCTGATTAAGGCAAAATTTTTATGACATGTAGAGGAAAACCGGTAGAGAGTTTTAACCCTGAAGCTCTGTTTTTTTGGCTTTGTAACGACTGAAAAATAAGATGGCAAGTTGTATTGAGATTGGAAAGTTGAAGGTGACGAAGTCAATTTCAGCCGTGCGAGGCATTTTTAGTCTTAGTTTTAGGCAATCAAAAGTTTGTAGAACGAATAAAAACGCAAAAACTGTGATTTTGTTATACAAAAGTATAGTAAGTAGGACCGATACCCCCCACGAATGTCATAATCATATGAGCCAACTTCCGGCTTCAATTATCTTACTATATTTTATACATGGTGCGTTTTCCAGTGAAATGCACATATCAGTGATTTTACCACATTAAGGCTGAAACACACTAGGCAGTCGCTTTAGTCGCGCGTCTAAAACTACCGCTTTGCGTGGTTACTAAGCTAGTAGCGTAGTCGCGTCAGCTAGTCGCTTTGAAAGTTCAACATGTTGAACTTTTGACTTTGGTCGCTTCAGTCGCTTTGCACTGATTGGCCAATAGATACGTTTTAACTTCCTAAATGCATATCATATTTCCTGTCATAAGCATCATACGAAATTTATAGATTATACCTTGGAAAACGAAGGCAATATATAGTGAATTCACACTGGAATCTCTCAGTTTTTATATGACTTATCAAATAGGGACAATAGGAGCTACAAACTGGAACCCTAATGCACAACCTAAATGCACAGAATAGGATTATCCACGATATACGCGTAATGTGCTATGATCATATTGGCGTGTTTTAACTGGCTTGTTCTCTTTTCTCCACATAGTAGTTTGTACTGAGTAAATATTCATATATTAGTAGCTATAATAAAGGCCAAAATAAAAAGTTTAAGTGATATCTGTGTCTGTAACAAACTAAAATCACCGCCATGTTCAATAGACGCCACGGTAAATGTCGCGATGGTCGCTGCATGTGTGTTTCTAGCGTTCAAGCGACTGACGCGTGCGCATCAATTCGCTTTGGACGCGCGACTGAAGCGACTGCGCAGTGTGTTTCAGCCTTTACTTGTACTGCTGTGCTTCCATTATAAAATTCAGCGCCCTTCGATACTCTTGCACTTGAACTTCCTCTGGAATCGAATTTCGGAAGTCGTAATAATGTATTTGAGTTTTGTTTTCCAAATAACCAATTAACAGAAAACCACTCTTATTTCTAGTATTTTCGGTCAATTGTATCATGTAGTAAGAACCATTGTATATAAAGTCTTATCTTTAACTGAAGAATTAACTTCCATTTTCTTTTTGCAAGTTCTCTTTTATTTTATCTCAGATCTATGATTTACGATTTGACAAAGCTGGTTATGTACGGTGTTATACGATGATAAAAATTAGCCACTAAATGAACCAACTCGTAGATTGGGGTGAATTTCCACGAGCTGAATCATCAATTTAAGATTTTGAACGATAAAAGTATTCCTTGTTATACAAGTGAATGCTCAATGCAGTGGTGCAAATTTTCGAGGATCCAAAACGAAACACACTCCGAGTATAATTTCCATCCTTAGCTCAATATTTGAGATAAAAAAAGACAAATTTACTACAAATTCATCAAAAGACTAAGTGATAAGCTAACGGTGGCTTATCTCACCTCTATTATAAATTGAGGGCTACCATAATACCATTAGCTTGTCATTTTAAACCTAACCTAAACCCTAACCCTAAACTTTTTTGGAAGTTTGCAAAGTTAGACAGTATGAACTGATCTTGAGGGAGTGCGAAATTGCCAGGAAACTTGCCCCCCCCCGGATTCACAGGGACAGCGGTATTGACCAAGTTTGCAATCATGCTTGTTCGATATATAAGAGTACACTGTCACTATTTTCAAAATTAATTTTATTGAAAAAAAAGTAATACAAAAAGCATGATTGAAATGCGTCCTAAAATTCCTTAAACGCAATGGGCTATTTGGCAAAAGTGATAGTGGTTTGGTGATAAAAATGCGTAGTTTTTAATCCTATGAGTAAAAAATAGATGTAGTCAATATGAAATAATTTTAAGAAATACAGATAACACAATAATCAGAAAAAGTCAAACGTTTCGTTTCATAAGCCTTTGCATAAACTACAAACTGAAACCCAAGTTAACATGATCATTGCCATCTCTTGAGCTTGTACCATTTCTGCTATCGTAATGAACGGTAGCTCTTGTACTTTGGGCGTTTTCACTATCAAGACTGCCCTCACTAGTAAACACAGCTCGTCTGCTTCTTCTGTCTCTGTAAAGTGGTTCAGTATCATCATTATTGTTCACTCTATCACGGCTACGACGTTGTCGTTCATCGTTATTGTTCACTCTATCACGGCTACGACGTTGTCGTAGTCGTCGTCGTCGTCGTCTCCGTTCGGAACGTTCGTCTTCGCTGTCTTCGGTTCTTCGACGACGACGACCTCTTTTCTCCTCGTTTTTAGAAGTAGCAGCACTTTTCTCTTCATCTGAGTCAGCAGTGAACCTTGCAAAAAACGAAATTGCCCTCTCTTGAATGGTAAACAGAATGCCTTTAGATTCCTCCTTTTCTTCTGATTTTTTAAGCGGTGGCTTTTCTTCTACAACGATAAGATGTTGAAATGGGTAAATAGTTTGATTAATATAAGATCAAATATGGGAGTAAGGGTTCACTTGGTTCACTTTCATATTTTTCAAATACTAATTGTAATTTGTTTCAAGCGATAAATCGTAATAAGTGGCAGTACAAGGTTTCATTTACAAAAATATTCCATGGCAAGCAAAAATTAAAGTGAATGACGAGAACAAAAATGCAAAAATGTAGATGTTTAACTTCGATCAAAACTAATCAAATAAACATTAATGTGAAACTAATATTGTCAAACACTGGCATTTTCATATATATTCCGGTGCTTCTTTTACTTATGTGAGTTTATATCATCACCTTTCTTTCGACGTCTAGTCAGTTTGTCAAAGGTAACTTTCAAATTAGAATTGCCTAAAAAGGGAGCAAAATGAATAAATATGCACAGTTCCTAAAACTCTGATGGATATTCCAAATTTCAAACCCTGCGTGTCATACCTGCGTATTTGCTCAAAAGTTCTTGAATCCGTGACAAGTCTTTCGCTACCTCTCGCTGTAAAAAGTGCAGCTGTTTTACATCTTGGCATAGGCAATCAAAATCTGAAGAATTATCTTTGCCGTAAGCTTTTCCAAAACGATCAAACAGCAAGTCGTTAAGATGAGATAATTGACTTTGAACTTCATTTCTCGCTATTTGTTCATCAGTTGTCGAAATTCTTTCTTGAACATACATATCAATAACCTCTGGACTACAGTAATTACGCATGTATTCCTTATACTTTATCTTTTGTTTTTTCAATAACGTCTTTTTGGCATTTACAACTTTTATAGCCCGTTGCATGATGGTATTTGCAACGGCGTTGCCGTACACTCGAGAGAAGGTGTCGGTCAGCAAAGCAATAAGAAGATTCAGTGTCACTATTGTCATTGCAGTTAAAAATAAAACAACAAGTATCCTCGCCATAACTGGATCAGCACTGACAATTCCATCAAGATTAAACTCGTCCCCGACGGCCATTCTAAACACGGTATGCAACAAATGGTTCCCTAGAATAGTTGAAAATATTGCTTATTGCTAAAAAAAAACAAAAATGCATAAAAAAGGAAAGATGCCAAAAAGTAAAATGAGATATACAGCTCTATGTTCTCAATAAATTCTCCGTCTTATTGAACGTTGTTTTTGTAGAGGTTTCGTTCATGTACCTCAACAGATTTTGTTACTGCACCTCCATGTACCTCTTTGTCAATGTACCTCTAAAGGTTTTGTCAATGTACCTCAATGTACCATTTGGCCAATATACCCCAACAGATTTTGTTACTGTACCTCCCTGCATGTACCTCTTTGTCAATGTACCTTTAGAGGTTTTGTCAATGTACATCCTTACATTCAGCATAGAAGCGAGCTTCGTAATCAGAGTGAGTGGGTATATATTCATGTATCAAACAGTTCACATACAATAAAACAATCAGTTTCAAAAGAATATATATTTTGCTTAACGTGCATGAATGTTGAAGTTGTGTTGTATCAATTATAAATTAGATTATACCTTCATCGTAGCCCTTCACAGGATTAATTGATACTGAGCCAAAATTTATCCAAAATGCCGCCATGAATGGAACCAGTAACAATAAAAAAAGAAATGCCCAGTTTACAAAATCAGCAAGAGTTTCACCCAATATAATGACGAGAGTACCAATGCCTTGAAACGGTCTCACATACTTAAGTAACCGTAACCAAACAATAAGATTTACAACACTTATGGTGCGAGTGAATAGATATCTTGTGGCTGTATTGTCCTCTTTGTGGTACACGGCACCTGTAATAACGGTGAGAAGAATCGAGGCAATCAAAAACCAATCCAAATAAAACCATGCACCAAAAGAGCTCAACAATGGCAAAGATTTTGCGCGTTTTATCTCGAGGTTTATATATTTTTCTTCCTGAGGCCAACGAGGATGACAGTACTGCTTCTCGGCTTCTAGTTGGGCTATCTTCCATTCAATCCAAGTCTTTTGAGATTTTCGCGCCTTAATTGTTTCTAAACAAATCAGACAAAAATAATTGCTGTCGATTTGAGTACGGATATTTTAAATTGAAAAAGATTGAAAGTAGAACGAAAAACTTAGTAGCTATGTAGTTGTTGAGTGAAATTAATTTATCTTAAGTGTAAGTAACTCAATGAAACGTAGAATATGAAAAATCCTAATGACCAAGTGGTGTGCATCGACAAACAAGAGCAACTGGCGACAAATCTATATAATATGCACATCTTTCAGATGATTAGTCTCTAAAGAAACAAGCTAATATACCGCATATGCTCAACACAAACAATAATTTAAAAACATTGTCACATCTTTACAACATTTAAAATTAGCTCATATACTTTGATCTTACTAAAAACAAGCGGAGCCGACGTTAACCTCAAAACGAAATTGAAATATCAAAATGCTGCGTCGATTTGACCAAGCACAAACAATATATTATGTATACTAACCGTGAATTTGGAAAATAATATTGTAGCATGTCATCAGTCCAACAATAATAGCCATGACTTTAGTCCAAGTTCGATAAGACATATCATACAATTGTTTTCCGTTGTCTGGAATTGTAATGCAGCAAATAGTCCATAATGTTCCATAAACAACGTGAAAAAGCAAATCAAAAATAGTTGAGAGGCGACCATACAAAAGCCATTTATTATGAATAAGTCTTTGCATTACAGGATGAGTGACAACTTCAAACTTTTGACCAACAACTGCGTTCTCAAGAGGAGAGCGTGCTGGGGATTTTATCGTTAACGGATCGTTTTCCTTCGAAGAAAAAGATGGTATTTTCCCATTTTTTACTCCATTTGCAACTTTTTTGGGGGTACCAAATGTATTCTTTTGATCAAAATTAGCTGGTGGAGGTATCTTGCTGTCTGTCATTTCACATTCGCCATGTATTTCTGCAGTTAATGGTTGTTCCAAATATTGAATGTGGTAAAATTCTTTCATCGTTATAATATCTGTACTGTGAAGTTGGTTTAGTGCCTCCAAAGCAAGGTTTGGAAGGCGATCAATAAGAACATTGAGAGCACTATTCCCAGACGTGTCAAGAAGACATGATGCACAACCCTCTTCTAATAATACTTCAGCAGTATTGCCACGAGTCCACTCTGCCGCAAGCTGAAGAACAGTTTATACGTTAAATATCCCTTATATAAAGCTTTAGCCTCTTGAACACAATCCACTTTTATTATATAACCACACACAATTGGTACAACTTGACACATCACCAACCTTTACAAATCACCCATTTACACACATTACTCACTTGCACACATCACCAAACTTGACAAATCACCCACATTTACACGTCACCAGCTTAGACACATCACCCACCTTGACACAACACCAACCTTGACAGATCACCCACGTAGACACATCAGGCACCCTGACTCATCACCCACCCTGACACATCACCCATCTTTACACATCACCCAACTTTACACATCACCCACTTAGACACATCATCCACCATGACACATCATCCACCATGACACATCACACACCCTAACACATCACCTACCTTGATACATCACCCAAATTGATGAATCACCCATCTTCACATATCACCTACCTTGACAGTTGATACATCACCCACCTTAACAAGCTACCCACATTGCCATATATTGACACTACACATATTTACGAACAGATTTTACAATTTGATGATCTACTTGTCATGTTTTTGTTAGATACTAAACCTGTAATGGAGTTCTGCGTTTTGCATCCATCGAGTTTATATCCGCATTGAATCCAAGCAGAACTCTGAGTGATTTTGTAGCTCCGTTTTTTGCAGCATAATGTAGAGGTGCTTGATTTTCACCATAAGTTCTCACGTCGATATCAGCATTGTTAATCAAAAGGAACTGAGTCATTTCAAAATAATCAACGGAAGCAGCAACATGTAGTGGCGCACGACCGTAGGAATCTTGTTTATTTATATCACAATCTGTAAACATGGAGAAAAAATGAGATAGTGCTCAACGAAACTATTTTATTATATAATCGATAGTGTTAGCCAATTCTTAAAATTTCTGGATACAACACAGCTTACGTACCTAAATCAAGAAGAAATTTTGCCACGTCACAATCCCAACACCTTGCAACCTCATGAAATATGGATTGGCCATATTGATCAGTCGTATTGATATCTGCTCCTCCATTAACTAACGATTCCACAAATTCATAGTTGAACTTATCAGAACGTTTATTTGAACTGGCAATGGTGGCTACATATTGTAGGAGAGCTCGGTTACGTTCTAAAATACTATTGTTGGTTTCCTTAAGAGCGGTTGGATGTAGTTGATTTTCTACGACAGCTTGAAGTGGCTCGTTTGCATGCGATGTTCCTAGAAAAAAAAAACTGGTTGGAAAACCCAAAATGACAACATGCAAAAAAAGTTTACTTGAAAAAAAATACAAATGCAATTTCAGTTTGAAAAAGCAACATAGCAGCAGGGAGGGATTTAATCTTAACAGTCGAGTCAGCATAGAAGTAATCCAACTTTATAACGTTATGAAAACATAGGTTTAAATTCTGCATATTAAACTCCCAAAAATGAATATTTGATCAAGATTTGTTAGAGAAAAAATACTTTATATATACTCACTGCCAGTGAATGAATAAAAAAAGACGGAAATTTTTTACACTTCTAAAAAGATATTGTATGTAAACATAATAAAAGTAAACAAACCCAACATGCTGATCACTAGCATTTCTTCATAGCGCTTCAAACTTGTAGTTCCACTACGGCTTGCGCGAAGCCTTTCATTAGGTAACTTCTCACCTTTATCCATCGCGTATCGTTTGACTAGAGTATATAACATTATCATTGTCGACACTAGTAATATGGTTGGTCAAAGTGTGGTCACGTATTTCGAACTAGGGGTGGGCGATACCAGTTTTTTCATTCGATATCGATATTTTGTCGACATTTGCTCGTTTTCTTGGATATCGATATTTTCTCAACTCATACATCCACAACAAAAAAGAGTATTTTATAATGATTAGTAGGAGCAACAACAGTAAACAAGATGACGATACTTTAATTGTGTACCTAATAGTGCCAATTTTTATCGATGATATCACATAATAATACTAAAATAGAAATAAATTTATGTTTAAAACTTCTAACGTATCTTGTAAGCACTACTTTTCCTTTCAAGTAGGCAGCTAGCCAGGTTTATTTAGATATAATAAAATTTTGAAATTCACGAAGCTTATGTAAGTAATATTTTGATTACTACTTACAGACGAAAATATCACAGGCGCAGAAATATCGAAAAAATATCGATATGACATGCAAAACTAAAGGTATCGATACTTTTCTTTTAAACCCTGGTATCGACAGTATCGAGTATTTGGTATCGGTATTTCGAACCATTAATATAAAAACCTCCGTTTCAATGTCATATCTGCCTTTAAATATAAATGTATTTTTTGTGAAACATGACAATGCATATGCATGTCGTCATTAAAGCTGAATCGTTTGTATCCATTTCATTCAAATACGACTGCCGTTTTTCTTTTGTGGTTAAATGATGGAACATATCTCTTTCAATTCCAGTTTCGAAAACTCGTTAAGAAACGTTTTCAGAATGCTTAGCTGCGTAAACGTTTTACTGCACCACACTGAAAGAATGTGAGATTGGCTGGAAGCCATTTGTGACGTGAAACATCATCAAGTGTAAACCAAGACCAAGATGTGTTTGACCAAGAAGTTCTACAAAACTTGTGAAAACCTAACCCTAGCCCAAACCAACACATAACCTCTACTTCCTTAGATTTTAAGTTCTGGCTCTCATTACGTCTCTGTATTGGATAAAAAATTGAAGATCGTAAACTTAGTTAACCCCCATATCGTCAAAATTTTCACGAGCCGACTGAAGACAAAGATATATAAACTCACTTAAGCATACCTTCTCTGCTTCGACTACAAAACAGTCTTTTGAAAAAGCTCCAACTGTATGCAATAAATCAGACCGTTTGATATTATAACGATATGTTTGGAACAATTTCTTCTGCGTTTGTTGTGGGCAAACCTAATGGAGCGAGAATAAGGAATTTATACTATGCAAATATTTATAATGGATAAAGACATAACTGAAAGACAATGAAAACGACACGAAATTTTTCTTTTGAATTTTTACTTTATTGTGAGTACATGACCGACCATGTTGTTGGCTTATGAAAGTGCATTCAAATCATCAAGCGAAATTGAAAATTTTTAATCGCTCATTACTTCATTTGACAAATAAGCGATAAGATTTTTAAAATTGAAAATACTTAAAATATATTCATTAAAACTTTCATACTACTCTCACAACATGTAAGACAAAAATTGCAATTGAATGCTCAATAAAGATCTGGCTGCGAAACAGTGTGAAAAGGAACACTTAACGCATTACTGCCAGAAGAAAACTTACTCCGACAAATGAGTAAAAAAGGTGTAACAGCAGCACCCTCTCTGTGCATTTCGCCAAAACCCGTCAACAGAAGGCAGCTTTTCAGAAAGGTTCTTAACCTGTAGTTTATACACACAATCTTATCGTACTTTGTGACATATATTTAAATTCAATCTACAAGTAGCAAGGAAGACAAAACGTTTTGTCATGTATCCTTAAAAAATTCTTTGACTCGTTTTTCTTGTTTTTGGCAATAACAACATTCTTTGCCTCTGACCCATCATTGTACTTAGCTATACTTCATGCTCATGGGGCTTAAAGAGAGTAACGAGACTTTCATCAGAACATGAGATCACACGAGAACTGCATGGAAACACATGTTCTACGATTGGGACTTATGTACATTCGAGATATTAAGAGCTTTTTCTTGAAAATTATGTTACTTTATATTTTATTCAACGAATTGCAGACATTTAACATAATTTATTAATTACAAACAATACTATACGTACATAAAGTCAGCACCAGCGATAGTACATGACGACATTAGATATTAATTACGCGCTATAGCTTGAAGAGAAAAAACAACTTTTTTGTATATCACTATAGCCTTGGCTGTTTCGATTGCAATATTTAAAAGACGATAAAAACAAACCGCATTATTTTAAAGGGTGCACAACTCGTTTTTTCGAATTTCGTACAATAGTTCAGATAACCTTCAGTCACCACTGAAGCTGTCGCAAAATAATAAAATAGAAAACATGTTCCGTGCTAGCAACAAAACAGCAAATTAAGGAAAACTAAAGCAACCTTTTTCTTTATCACTACCAGTAGCTATAATTCTAATAAAACAACTAGACAAGTCGCTCTTGAATCGTTTCGCTCTTAAATCAATTCATAGAAATCTCGAGCTTGTAATCTAACTATTCATTAGAAACATGCCGGAAAGTTTGGAAAAAACAAGACAATGCGTGGGAAAATAAGCACGACGTGCGATATTTAAAATCCATCACATTTGTGCTCGCGTTTGTCACATATTGCTACAAACGATTCCTAATCACTAAAAACAATTTTAGAACATATACATACAGCTTCTAATAAACGTTTTAATCTTTTTTCAATATGCAAGCTTGTAAACGGAGTCTAAACCTTCTGGTTAATAGTTTTTCACTTCTTAATTGTCATTCTATGGATGTTTATAGAACAATATATTGACAGTCCTATCACTCTCAAATTCTATTTCACAAACTTTGACATATTTATTTACCAGGAAGCGTGGCTATCCAATATCTTAGGTTTATACTCAATGTATCGTTGAAAATCAGTCTTTTCCTCGTGTGTTCGTCTTTGATTTCTTGGTTTTGGTAGTCCTTCCTTCACAACAACAAAATAATGTGTGTATGCTTTCCTACCTTGACCATATCTGCCTCTGCCATGTCGAATTACACTTTTCTCAATAAATCCTCTACCCACATATGATTCAGCTAAAATAAACATATTCAAATTCATCAATGTTCAAAATTAAAAATAACCACATCCCTTCATAGTTCTTATATTCCTGACTACTACTTCCTAAGCCTGAGACGTGAGCAAATTTTATTTTGGCTATTTTGATAAGCGTTTTGGCTATAGCATTTAAAATTAAATTGAATTAACTTAAGTAGATAAATAGTGAATATACAATAGTTCTATCATTCAAACATTTAAAGTTTTCCAATGGATGACAAGTTTCTTTTTCAGCTAATACAAATCTATGGCTGCACAAAACATGAATAAAAAACTTTGAAAACTTACTTACCAACCCATAAACTGCTCATATCAGTAATTCCATGCTCTTTCTTTGCCTTTTCTTGGGTTTCGATGAGCACCTATGTATAAATGGAATTTCAGAGACTTATGAAAGAGTTAAACAACAAAAAATCAAAAGTATGTTGCATTGAACACAGAATGAAGTCATTGGTTACTTTCTTAATATATTCTCCAGCTTTTTTAGCAGAGAATTCCATTTGATCAATGGCTTGTGATAATGGAAGCAGACGAATCTAAATGAAATTAAAAAAAAATCCTTAGCATGGCAATACAATCTCTTAAAAAAAATTATGACTTTGACTTATTTTAACATACATTATATGATATCTACATCTAAATGGATTCATGAGAAAAAAACAACACTGAAATGGATGCAGGAGCATAACATGTTTTAATTTTACTCCAAGTAATATCAAGTTCTATCTCTGCTCACTTAATGTTTTCTAACTATCTCTCATCTAATATATAGCTCCTGTCAATATGTCCAATTCAATCATAGTTGCATATTACAATACTAAGTCATTTGGAATAAGGCATCTGTTTACTATAGGTAAGGGGCAATCCTTACATCCATTTTAATATTGAACTTACCAGAAATATCAACAATCAAAAGAGGAAATAGAATTTATGAATTTAACAGTGGATAATTTATTTTCTTTACTTCTAATATATGGTTTAGCATGTAAAACTTCAAATTTTAGAAGAGTATTTTACACACGTACATACTTGTTTTGCCAATAAGTTAAGTTTGCGTGGTCGAGCATCTATGTTGCGTTTTGAATTGTAAATCACCTATAAACAAATCTGGCTTCAGCAAGACTTCTACTTAATTTTAGTTTGTATACACAATACCAATTCGTTTTCCTTCAACACATTTTGATTAGCTTCTACAAATGTCTGTTTGGTTCTTGATACAGAAAAGCTGCTTGCAGGTCTTTGAGCAATAAAAGTGCAGCTATCCCAGGCAAAGAAAAACCTGAAACCATGTAGAAATATATAATTTATAAATTTTTGAAAATTGAACATTTTTACAGTTATCTTACAAACCGCATCATCCATATGACATGAGAGACATGAGTGATGATTGACAGACTGGTCAGTTATTGAATACTTTTTTGGCATACTTTAGTAAAACTGATAACTGCACACATTCTGAAATGCTAAAAGTTGCAAGTAAAATAGGAGATATATATGTCATAACACACCTTGATAATAAAAGTTTCTTGGTCATCACAGAGAGAGTTGTAATTTCCAAATCTTTGAGATAACACAATATGCAATGAGCCAATGCGCAATGCCTTCCTTGTGTCAGAACTACAAGTGTTCAAATTCAAAGAAATGTATCACTGACCAATCTAGATACAGGCCTATAGAGATGTCAATGCCACAAAGGCACGTCTTTGGCAGTTCTGACTTTTATAATTCTAAAATTTAAACCATCATCAGTCATCTTGAATTTGACCGAGAAGAGACCTGGAACGACGATTACGGCGAAGCGTGTGCGTTGCACGATATGCAAATTTTTATTCAATTTGCCATTTTTTATTTGATCGACTTTGATAGTAATAGAAATATAGATGTTGCTATCTCGATATAAATAATTTAATATCTTTCAAGTCTTTACATAAAATGCCACCACGGTTGGGATAAAGCGGAAAAGCGGAATAAAGATAAAACGCGGAACGGAAAAGGGGGTAAAACGCGTAAGGAATGGGGATAAAACGCGGAATAGGGGATTAAACACGAATTTGGGGAAAGTAATATAAAGAAAAGTTGCACAAAGACTATTTTATCATCATCGTTATCCACAATATCAAATGTTACCTTGATAAATACGTTTCGCGCTAACATTTTGTAAGACTGCTCTATAAAACAACTGAAATTACTTAGACCACCTCCACAAAACCTCAATGGTTTTAAGATTCACTTGTCCACTAGTTAATTTTCATCAATTTTGGAATCCCCATTCACTATATATAATAACACAAGGTGTGTATAGCCATCAGAATTTCTATCTAGTAATTATGATTATAAATATTAAAGTTGGGCCAGTCAGCCATTGCTATCTGCTGTTGATGACGTTTCAATAACAGCTGCTGACGCTTTTGCATCTTTCTCGTGTGAAAATTATAAAATAAAACAAGTTCACTTTCTCAAAGTCAAACGGCAAAAAACAAAATCTCCAAGACGCCAAGAGAAATATCTGGTAAAACTAACGAACTTTGAGGAAAGCTAGACCAAATTTTGATCAGAGGATGGAACATTTATGTAGAGTAACACATGTTTCTTTTTTTTTTGGCAAAATCTTTCGGGGAAGTTAATTCGACAGTGTGTTTTGAAATAATGCGATAATGAAATCAGTTGAATTACGCTGTCGTGACTTATGCGTGCTGTACTCAAACAAAGACTTTTCCACAGTAAACGATGCAAACTGATGTAAAACTTAGAGTACAATAGCTACTTCAAAAATAAACAGAGCATAATGAATATGATTTTGTATATTTTTAAACATATGTACACGTGTGACAAAAGGTATCACAAGTTCATATTTATAGAGATAACTAATACAATCACACACATTAACAGAAAACCGAGTTTTACAGTGGAAAAGGTTAACACAATGTCCATACCAAAGGATAGATCAGATTGTCGTTGTTGAATGAAACTTCTTCATCAATAAATACGTTAATTAGTGTAGTGGTATCAACAACTTCATTACATTAATGTTGATCGAATGGCTATACATACATTATATAGAAAATTAGCAGAAAATTATGATGTGGTGTGATATTTTACCGCTTCATTGTAAATTTTTTTTCTAATTTCGCGAGATGTTAATCGGTCGACCTCTGACTGGATATTTAATGGAACTGAGGCTACAGGTTCATTGCCTTCGTCACGATAGCGATGAAGAAAACTATGACACAATGCATCTTTGATCGCTATGCGCTCACTGGGGCTGAATGTAATCATTCTGTCTAGAAGATCTAATGCAACCTGTTCAGCATTTGGAAAGATTTGACAAAGAGGAACCTTACACTTATGGCCTAACGAACGAATATGACGTTTGATTGGTTCTTCCGTTATAGAGAGCAGATCTTCTGACGAAGGAGATCCAACTATCTTGATGATGCTACTCAATTCATCAAAATCATTTTTTCCTGTGATGAACTGGCGATTGGAAATCATTTCGGCAAGAATACAACCGACAGACCAAATGTCGACTGCTTTCGAAATAAATGATGTACCTAGCATAGTTTCTGGAGCTCGATAGCCCCTTGCCGAAGTATAAAAATATTTTTCACTTTGTGTCTGCGTCGGAGTGATAATAAGAGAAAGGCCAAAGTCACATATTTTAACAGAACAATCAGAATTCACGAGGATATTGGCTGGTCTAAGATCAAAATGTATAACATTTGCAGAATGGATGTACTTCAAACCCCGTAAAATTTGATAAAGAACCAAACGAACTTGCTCACCGGAAAGATGCCTTGACTTGAGCAATTTGTTTAAATCTGTTTCCATAAGTGGCAAAATAATATAAAGATCTTGAATATCTCTGAGCGTAGGGGCTGCAACTATGTCCAAAATATTCACAATATTTTCATGTTCAAAACAGGATAATATCATAATTTCTGTCAGCGCTTTTGATCCATTTGAACCGTTGAAAAACGGGCTAATTTTTTTGATAACAACTCGTCGTGAGCTACGATTGTCAAATGCTGAACATATCATACCAAAGGCGCCTTCATCAATGTATTGAAGACTTGTGAATCGTGGAGACACTAAACGACCATGAATACTACGAGGCTGACTACAAGCAGCGGCCATCGCATTAAAAAGAAAGACTTTACAACTTGCGTAATGGCATAGAGTCCAAATTCATTCGATCTAGAACCTGCCCGAATGAAGTATTTTCATAAATTTTCATAAAACCACTGAACCATGTACATTTTAAAGACGCATGAACAGAAACAGCTGGAGATGCATGGCTTGATGAAACTAGAAGAAACAAAAAAGTTATAAATTGAATGTCAAGTTTTGATAAGACGTTCTTGTCCTCGCGAAACGTTTTTCGACTCATAAGCGTAAAACTTTGTATTCATACACAAACAGAATAATTGCGTGTTTTTATAGCGTGACAAAGCATTCTGTGTTATTCTTGTCTCGTTGTCATGCAGACATTCAAAACAGAATGTTGGGAAAAACTTCCTTCTCTTTGCGCGATTTACATAGCTACAAATGATATTTTATCTAAAATAACTTTATCTTTCATGGAAAATTAAAAAATATAAAAGCCTACGTCTAAATACTCAAAATAAAGCTACAATTTCTCGCACATATAAAATGAAATAAAATACATTAAATGTTAATATAATATATTTTCATATATTGAAGAACTTGTATAGTATATAATGGTATTAAGGCTTCAAGAACTCTTTTTCAAGCACCAAAACAAAATCCCACATTAAATGTGTAAAAACATTAGAAATTTAAGTTATAAAAATTCATTTTAATGTATAATATAAGGCTAGACTTTGGTTTGAACTTATTATAGATTCAAACACACAAACAATTTCAATAACTGCGGGGATAAAACATTTTTCGAGAGAGAAAATTTGTTCACCTGAAGTGTAATCTCATCCGTGATATATTACTGTTCACAGTTGAAGTAGGCAAAACTAGTAAATTAAGGCTACAGTATTGCTTCTTCTCAATTTAGGCAGCAGGAACAATATCCTGACCAAGGAACCAGTAACTAAGAAAGAAAATTTGCTTATCGAGTGCGATGCATACATACAAAGCAACAATAAAAAACAGCTGTCGTGCACAATATTGAAGTTTAAGTTTAAGTTTAATGCACATGAGCTCAGAGTAAGTGTAAAACATTAATTAGTTAAGAATTGGTTTTAAAGTCAGACGGTCTTACCGTCACTTTTCCGTTCTTGGAAAAGGTCGAAAGTTATTTGATATGCCCTTTCGCTCACTACACAATTAAACTTATATTGACACTGCATTTATCAGTTAAACTATTGTCTTTGTTTTATTTTTCTCTGACGGTTCATTGCAGGAGACGATGCATTTTACATTAGGAATATCTGAATTTTAAAGTTATACAAAAATTTAGTAACGATCTTCTTTTCGGAGAAAACAGTGTTACAACCACGTTACAACAAAGTAACTGCAAATGAAAAACAAAAAAAGTGGTTTCATCATTTCTAGATAATCCTGTCGCATTCTATACTGAAATAGCTAATGATTAAAATACAAGATTTGATAAGAATTTGTGATTAAATTTTGTTTTATTTACTCATGTTGACACAAGTTTACGCAACATTTTTTATTCTACAGTCAAAACTTCAATGTCAAATTTCGTTGAGTGATTAGCAAATCAGACCTGATGTCATCAGATGGATCAAGAAATTCCATATTCATTATTTTATTCATGCATGGTAAAATTGTAACCACTATTAAGACTTCATGTAAAATAAATCTTGGGTGTAGTTAGGGGGGCAGTCTAATTTCAGATAAGGTGGTTTTTAGAGACCTTCAAAAATATATCATTATCATGGTCAAACAAGATTGATCTTAACTGTAGTTTGGACGAAGCAGGCTATGGCCAGACACAAGGTGTTTATTAGGGAAAGGAATCGAATCAAAAAAATTCTTTGATTAAGCCCCCTTCTATTTGAATGGATGCATTTGTTATAACATTTGCTTCAAAGGCAAGGATCACCTATTGCTAAGACACGAATATCAATGAACTGCTTAAATTAACAAAAGTAACAAACCCAAAACGGGAAACTTTAATTTGATAATAATACATATATGCAGTTATTTATAGTACAACATTGAAATATAAAAGTACAATTCACTCATCTTCACGATCCTTTTCACCATCTCGAAGTTTAGATTTTTGGGCAACATCTTCAACTTCACCATGTATTGTTTTATGGGCAGCAAGAAGATGCTTTCGTTGATTTTGTCGCACTGTAGTTAAATATTGGGAAAATTGCTTTAATCTTTTACACAAAATATGAACGAAGTATCATAAAAAATACCCTAATACGTTATGTTAGCATTGAAATACATAAGTATGTTATTACGTGCATTGTTTTGCGAAGGTACACTTTGTCATGTCAACAAGTTGCTATCATGTTGGAAACTAGCTACGTTGGCAAGATGCTACGTTGGCAAGTTGATAATTTGGCAATTTGCTGCGTTCGCAAGTTCTTACGTTGGCAAGATGCTACGTCGGCAAGGTTAGCATTTTGTTTTGATCCGAATAAAGTACTACGTATATTGAAGCGAAATGAAGTTGGGTTAATACAGCGTTCAAGTGAAGCAAATTGCACGATACAAAGCTATCATGTATACATAAATGACGAAAGTGACAATGTTCTGTTTAAATCTATTTACCTCTCTCTCGAACAGTTATCTTCAGAACTTCAGGTATTAGGAACGAGTGTACAAGTTCAGAAACTATTTCCTCAGACTGCAACCTCGTTTTACTGAAAAGAAAAAACAATTTTAATACAATTTTCAATTTTTTCGGCAAAGCACGAAACATATAAGAAATTTCAACCACTCATTGATAATTTCTGTTCAAGAACCTAAATCATATTAATCACAAAAAATATTTGGACAGACGTTTTCTCCATGGCATGAGCAATTTCGTTGATTTTTACAGCTTTCATTTGAATTTCACGTCGCGCCTAATTGTTGAACAAAAAAATATATGTTTTGATTTAGAATAAAGAACTACATAATCAATTAACCTTAAATATGACGTAATTATTCTCTCTTCGGTAAATCAAACAGCTCAATGTAAGTGGCATTTATACGTACGTCCATAGTAAATTTTAATGATGAAACTGTCAAACGCCCTAAAGCCTGATGGTCCTAATTTTTAGCAGATCTACTTATTAACTAGTGAGGTGTATTTTGTCGTAATTTGAAAATAGCAAATCAGCCATAAATAGCATGAAAAAAGCTACGTAGATTGCAGTAATTAAAACAGTTAATGACAAACTTACACACGTGAATTATAAATACTACAAATGAAAAAACAGATATCCAAAATTACAGATCTAAAACTTTTAATACGTCCATGGAAAATGATCTTTCCAGTCTTTATAAAAAAAGAAAGTTATTTACCTGTTCTTCTGCAGTTTTATGCACAGTTCCTATGATAATATCTTCAAGGTAAGTTGCAACTGTTTTCTGATGAACACGCACAACCTAGATGAAAAAAATCGTTTTTACAGCTCTGGCTACGGGTCTTTGCAGTGTTCAGAAGCAAAATAAAGGAATAAACTAAAGCAACACTAAAAATCTTAATTAATTGTCCAACGAGGTTTCCAAGATTCCTGTGAATTTTCACTTTGAATATCTACCTTTGGCAGATTTAACTTTTTTTATACTAATACCAGAAAAATCATTTTAAATTCTTCGGATATTACACACACTTTTTATTTGGTTATTTTAGTATATAGTACTGATAAAATTTATTCATGCACGTATGAAATTTATACAACTTTTAGAACGTTGCTATAGTAAGTAAACTTTATCATTCACGACAATCTGCTAATATTTACTGTAGTACCTGTTTGAACATTTCATCTTCTTCTCTACGTCGTCGTTCTTCCACTTGTCGTCTTCCACTTTCTTCTGCCTCTCTCATTCTTCTTTCTCTTTCAGCAAGCATGGCAAATGCCTGTATTCGTCGAGCTTCCTGACAAGAAATACACAACAACAATACATCAGAGTAGTATATCTGTAAATTAGTTACATTCCAAAAAAACTTGGAGTTGTTTCAGAGAGTTGCTATGCTGACGTTATCAATTATAAGCGGTGTAGTAGCATGTTCTCTACGTCATTTCAACAAGAAACATTAAGTGACAACTGTCTATAGACAAGAACTAACACGATATTATAAAAATGTAAAGAAATAATAAATATCCAGGTTTTCAAAACATTCAAATCAACACGTTGGACATGAACTTATCGTGTTTAATGACTTGTTTGACAGATAATAAAAAAATTGACCTCGTAAATTGTTCGTAAATTATCATCCTGATAATTTTAAAATCAATAAAAACTAATTTAATATAATCAACAATATAGCAACACTCTATTTTCTTCTATCATTATAATTTGTACCTGCAGTCTAATAAGCTCCTTGCTAAGAAAATCAAACATGTCTGCAACAGTTGAGCCCTCCATTTCTGACAATGCTTCGTTTGCAAGAGACTCCTGTAAAAATACAACAGAATATAGGTCTCATAAGGAAATACAAAAAATCAGGGATTTCAACATCACTGCAACGAAAATGAATCAATATACAAAGATTTTGTTAGCATCATACAACAATTAAATGTTTTTTCAATAGATTGATTAATGCTAGACGCCAATAGTACTGTAATGTCATTGATATATGTGATAGATCTGAGTAAATTATATGGCAAATGATTTTGATATCTTAAGGCATGCGCACGTATATCATAACTTCTACTAAGAACCATCTAAAAAATAAAATATTTCTCATATACACCGTCGTATATTTTCACAATACAATCTCCATGATGTTTGTCTTAGGTGAAATCTAGGTAAATCAGCTCACTTTATGGTTTTCAAGTCTTCTCATTCTTTGATCACTGAGTACACATTGACGTTCTTTTCGTCTTTCAACCTGACCTGCCAACTGCAAAGCGTGTGTGTTTTGTAATTCCTTAATCAGTTCAAGTCTTTTTTCCTTTCCTTCATACATCTAAAAGACGTTTTCGGTGACGTTTTAGGTGTTTTCGGTTCTAGAGCAGGGGTGGGCAACATACGGCCTGCGGGCCGGGTCCGGCCCTGAAGGGATTTTGACTGGCCCGCCGACTGTATCCGACCATTGAATATTGAATATTATTCATGTAATAATCCGGCCCACCAATAACTTCATTTTCCTAAATCTGGCCCGCCGACTGGAGAAGTTGCCCACCCCTGATCTAGAGCACTTTGATAACTTCAATAAAATGAAGTGCTGCAGTTACAATGTATATAAGCATCATACAAAAATCCTACAGAAGTCGTAGAAGCTTACCATATTCTGGATAGCTCTACCGCGTAATAATTTCTGAAGAAATATCACAGCCAGTTCTTCATCTTCTTCTACCTAAAGATTGTTGTCATAAGAAATTATTACATGATATCAATATAATAATAATTTCATTAAGATATGTGCGGTACTCAACGATATTAAAAGGACATTGAGATAATGAATGCAACAATAAAACAAGAAACATTGATCCATTGCAATGCATCACCTGAGATGGTACGTGCACAGATGGTGTCGGAGGTCTGGGGATAGGTTTTTCAACTTTCTCAAGAAATCGCAGGGGTTTTGTAGAAGCAGCAGATTTCTTCGAATGTTCAATAGCTTTCGCAACTTCATCCAGTTCTTGTTGTCTTCGCTGTCTACGTTTAACAAAGCCACCTTTATAAGCAGATTTTGGCTTCGGAGCAAACACTCTTGGACGGGTTACAAAGTCCGGTAAAGATGCCTCGAGTTCTAGTAATCCTTGATATGTAGACAAATAACTACTTTTTACAACATATTGCTCTGAGCCACGGTCAAGGAAAACTCCAACACGTGACATAGGAGCATAGGTTTGGGAATCATAGTTGGAATAATCCTTGATGACATCACGCCTTTCAAGTTTTCCTTCAACCTGTTTACGTTTTTCGGTGACTTTTCGAACAGCTACAGTAAATAAATTGATATTAATGACCAACATACGTGAAAATAAAACAAGTTTTATTTTTCTGATCAGTTTACAGGAATCTATTTCTGTTTATAACACAATTCTAAATAGTCTTAGTCACACAGCCCGCGTATATTGTATCCTGTAGAGAGAACCAACAAAAATAACTTGCCCTGTAGTGTATTTTCATAAATGAGTTTAGTGAACATTAAATGAATTTTCTTGTAAGCCATTACCTTTGATATGTTCAGCTTCTAATTTTCGAAACTTTTCATCGTTAGCCAGCTGTTTTTCTGACCTAATCATACAATTAATGCAAAAATGATGGAAGAAATAAATTTGGACTTTCATTGGAGTAAGTATGCCGTTGGATCAAAACTGATCGAGTCTAAAATTATGATTTTAACAGCAAATAAAAAAATTACCATAGCTTGTTTAGACGCGTGCTTGTCATTTCAGCATGTTTGTTTTCACGTTGTTGTAAGATCTGTTCCAAGACCTTCAGCCTAGCTTCTTGTAATCTATGTAAAAAAAAACATGAATTAAGATAGTATTCATATTAAAGTTAAACATATAATATATCTGAATTGTTTCGTCGTTTCATATGAATGTTTGAATGAGTTTTATACTGTATCATTTTGTAATGAGATGAATTTATAAACAGCTTTAAATGAATTTTTCTTGAATTAGAAACTAAACGTACTTTTCAATTTCACTTTCGCGAAAAGCCCATTCTTTTCTCTCTTGCTCATCCATCATTTTTCTTCTTTTTTCCAAACTTTCCCAATCATTCAAAGCAGGAAGAGATGCTTCCCTAAATAAACCAAATTCTCAAAATTCTCTCACAATGATACAAAATGCTCTTAATGCTGAAAAAATGAAGTGCAGCTTACCAAGCCCTTTTGGCCCTAGCACGTTCTATCATCTCTACTTCAGCAAGACCAGCAGGTAAACCATGACCTAACAAACACAACATTGAAGCAATGAATAAACAACAAAAAAGGCCATCGTAGCCCACAAAACCTACACAGTCCAGTTCATCTAATAAGTAAACTGCCTCTACATATAAACTATGTTCACTGTTTTGCCTCTACCTGTTTAACCATGTTCAAAAATACATAGTCCAAACCAAGTTTTCATACACACACAGTTATTAATTTCTAATCTTAATTAAAACTGAACAATTTGTATAACAATTTGAGACACATATTTTTTTGAAAATTTAAACATTCAAAAATAATGGTCAAATCTCAGAATGTAGTGATGCGCATGTGGTTTATTCCATTGACACCCTTGCAACAAATTTAGTCTGGCATATATTCAATAACATCAAATTTTACAGGCTCTTAAATGTAAACTTTTAGGTATACCCACCATATAACAGAGACGAGAGTGTAAGTAGCTCAGGTTGTGAACCTGGCCTTATGACATACTCAGGTGTATAGGGATCAGTTTGCGCTTCACTATCTCTGTAATCAGTTTGAACTTCAACAGTGCGAGTCAATGAAGTTGGTAAACATTCCTCGTCTTCTTGATGAGAAATGCCGGTAGCAGCCAAAGCTTCACTGGGGATGAAATATGTAACACATTTTGAATTAAAAATACTCTGCTAAAAGAACTTCCTTACTATACATAGTTAATGATTCAAGATTCAAATATAGTTAATGTAGTGTAGTAAAAACATACAGTAATAGCAACTACCTACATTATAAACTTTAGATAACTAATAAGTATAATATAAAGCGATGTTGAATGTTTGGTATTTTAAACTTGTAATGAGAACATACTTTTTCACATAGAAGTAGCTTTAATAGTTAGCTAAGATGTCGTTAACCTACTTTGTTGTCTGCAAAATTGCATCAGCAGGAACTGGCTGTAAAAACGGAATAATTGGCCTAGATACAATTTAAAGAAATTACTTGTTAGCTGTGCAGTAATAAACACATGCTACCTCTACAAATCTATGTAATGAAACTTATTGAACAATATAAGGATTTTATTTTAGCCAATTTACATCAATAGCAAAATTGACAAATTAAACCTAAGATGTTTTTAAGATGGAACATTTATTAGAAATCCAGCAGACCTTCTAAAAAACTTGTATCTATCAGCTCCACCAACATCAGTTACTGGGTAATTCTTTGGTGGAACTTGAACTGATGGATCATAATTAAATCTTCAACAAAAATGATATTTATGATTAATGTGGAAATTTGAAGATTTCAGTTAGATGATATAGGCATAATGTGTACTTCTTGTATCTGTTTATAGCATCTCTAGCTTGTTGTGAGTATCCTCTCCACTGTCTGGGAATGAAGTTTGGTACAGGGTCTGTACCATCAAGCTGTATTTGATAACATGGATAGTTACGAACATCACTAAACATTGTCTTGAAAATTGGAACCCGCTTCTGCAAAAAACATTGTTTTCATTTCAAAGATGGTTTTTGCATCATTTTACAGTAAGCAGTTTGATATAATAATCTTCTACAATCTAAGAAAAAAAAATGCAAAATAAAGTAAAAACAACTGGCCATTTCTAAATCTTCATATTCAATTTCAAAATCATAGCAGTTGGGTCATACATTTCATGCTATTCTATTTCACCAATACTTACGATTCTGCTTGCATCGGTATGTGCTTTAAACGTTGCCCTGGCATGATCTCTATCACTTGATAGTGTGTACAAGGGATCTAAAATTAATAAAAATATATACAAGATCAGTTTGATAGTGATAACTTTAACTACAAAACTTAATTTCTAGCAGTAGAACTTTGAAACTAGATTATCACATCAGCCCAAAGGTGCACAACCCAATTAACAAGCAGCTTTCATAATAATTTGAAATTACAGTAATCTACTCTTTAGGTTCTATGATACGAGTAATAAGCCCTATGTCCCACGAGGTTTGTAGTAAGGGTAATCGGCATATACTAAAGTTTTGATTTCAAAAGCTCCGTCAGTGGTCTGCTTTACAAAATTCTACATATAAATACTAAAATACAATCTGTCATTGTCAACATACCGTACAGAAAGTCATAGTTTCTCGTGGGTTGCAGTTGAGTATTTGTAACTGTGTCTGTCGAAGTCATTTTTTTACAGATAATCTAAAGACGATAATCAAAATACAAATTTTAACAGGAATGTTGAAAGATGCTTGAAAATTTAAGAAAAAGTCTATAATGGCGTGTGTTACCAAGGCTACAGAACGTGTACCGACTGCGGACGTATAGTCCCGAGAAGCAGCCGATCAAAGGCGTCTTCCCTAATCCCGTAAAGGCGTCTTGTTGCCAGACAACCACTGTGTATATTTTAGACAATGAGTAGAGATTTGTTTTGTAGAGTGGTTTCCTAAAGTGCAGAATAGAAGCATTAACTGAATAGAGTATTAAAAATAGAATTCCCAAATGGCTTGGAAAATGTCTTTTATTGGTGAACTTAAGGCAACAGGTCATGGTGAAGTTTGGGATCACATTTCTGATTGCAACAAATTTCAACAGTTCGGATGGAGGTGCACAACAAACGAAACGGCTTATACAACTGGTACTCTCATTGGAAATTGGAATGAACAGAGATATGATATTCACAGGATGTTTCAACCACAACCCATTCCTTCATCGGTATGTTCAATAACTGTCGTCGCGCTCGTTTTAATTCATGCTACTTTGCATAATATCTAGAGATGTGTAAGGTTATAGAAAATGTTACAAAAGCAGATTCAAACCTTTAGTCCAGACAAATGATGCACCTCTCCCAGCTCCTAGCAAGTGAGGTCATAGTCCCCAGATTTAATCAAAATATATACACTTTGTCGTTGTATACGCTGATTGTCAATCAACATTTGCTAATTAACTTTTTAATAAGTAAATTGTTTATTCCCTATGTTAAATATTCAAATATTTTAGAGCTAGACTATTTTCAAATTTCTTTGACTTACTTTAGTTCAGTCACTACTTTGAAACAACATACAATGCCGTACATGATAAACAAGATGTAAAGAAGATCCCATCTTCTTTGAGGAACATTAATGGTAATTTCATCATTCATATAAAATCATGTAATGAGATATTATAATGGATTAAGAAAAAGTACCAATATTTTCACTTAACATAAATTTGCTTTGTTCATAATTATCACGCACAAACTCTTTTTGATCATACAGGTCGTGAACCAACTGCATATCCTGGACATCAGCCAGAGCTAGATTCTTCTATGCTAAAACTCCACTACAACTCATTCACAACAACATCACGAGAAGCGTATAAACATCCAAATAACTCACTAAAGAGAGCATTGCATTGCTAAATTTTATATAGAATTAATCAGATTTATTGTTAATGAATTTATATAAATAGAAATAATCAATTTTGGTAAAATATGGGACTTCCAAGGATACATTGCATGTGCATGTCATGAAGAAAGCATGCATTAATCATTACTTTATCCCAGGTACTCAATATAGGCTTGGTCCAATGCCTTATTATGGTCGCTATAAATACACACTTGACAGTTGTAAAAAATCAAGAAGTCAGTACATGAAATAACATATTTACAAGTATTTTTTAATGTAATTAGTAATAGCAAATTGTTCACAACTCTGTTAGAAAGTGTTACCAACATTTTTCCGTGCGCCAAGGGCGGTGGAACATTGATAATTGGGGGGGGGGCTATATTCATATAAAATAACCGTAAACACAATTGATTTCAATAGAAACTGATAAAGTAAAACATGCATATATGAATAATAGCCCCCCCCCAATTATCGATGTTCCGCCGCCCTTGCCATGCGCTACAAATCAAACGAGGGTAACATTCGTTTGAGAATTGAAATCACTGATGTACATCGCACGGGAAGACCAATAAGTTTAAGAAGTTTAAGACAACCTTGTTCTATACCTATGTGACATAGCTGACATTATTTTTATCAAATATTATATAAAGAAAATAGATTTTGTCTTCTTTTAATGTTTTCGTGTGTTGTCGAACAAGCATAAATATAATCATTATTCAAGACGGAACTAACCTGCACAAAATTATTAGGTACCAGACATCTGACGTAAATGTTTCAAGACAGAGTGGACGTTGTCGCGTTGTGGTATTCAATTTAATAACTGAATAATATGGTTGTTTACGGCTCGATTAATGAAAAATTCATTTGGTTTATTATTATACTCTGCAATCGTAGCAAGAAATATAAATAATGAAATATGCATGATATGTGGATAGACTAAGGATATGGATGGGATGCCAAAAACATATACCAATTGTAGAGTCAGATAAATCATCTGCGCATGCGCGCAGTCTGCTTGAGCATGCGCAGTCGACTTGACCAAATGCCCAAGCTCATAGTCATGGCAACGACCAACTGCATCTACTAGCACCGATTTTGAAGTAAGTAGTTAGCATGCTCAGTTACAATTTAATAGACAAATCATCTGCGCATGCGCAGTCTACTCGATTAATTGTTCATAGTCATGGCAACGACCAACTGGATGTATTAGTAACGATTATTGAGTAAATAGGTCCTCAGTCACAAATTTTCAGATAAATCATCTGCGCATGTGCAGTGTGCTTAATCATGCGCAGTCGACTTGACCAGCTCCCCAAGTTCATGGTCATGGCGACGACCAACTGCTTCCACCAGCACCAATTTTGAAGTAAATAGCATGTTTAGTAACAATTCAATAGAGAAATCATCTGCACATGCGCTTGAGCATGCGCAGTCCACTCGACTAATGGTTCATAGTCATGGCAACAACTAACGATATGTACTTGCACTACATTTGTGGCAATTAACTCACTTAGTCGCAAATTATTAAAGAAATCATCTGGGCATGCGCAGTAACGATGCCAATCATCCCACAACTTTGGTAAGCCTTTGAATTTATATATATATATATAAAGTAAAAACTGTATGTAGTAGATGTCAACTAGCGGTGGAAGCTGGGTGCGATTAGGTATGCAGTGGCTTAGGGGCCCAGACTTCGGTCGCGACCGCACTCTCCCTCTGTACCCCAAGTAAAGTATATTGCAGGTGACCTCGGGGTCTGATGGGCGGAAGCTTGCTACGTATTGGCATCCCCAAGTAGGATAGCGTGGAGGAGCCGAAATCTCCTACCGAAACGTTAACATGCGGCGTTGTAGTGCCTTGCGCTTAAGAGGGTATCGTGAAGCATGGACCGAAAACGAGGGTTTTTTGCTTTCGAATTTCATCTTTTTGTTTATTTTACAAGGGTTCTTCTCATAAAATAAATAAACCTAGCAATCTTTCAATTAAACTTCTTTTGACACTGTGCTTTTTTCTGACACTTAAGTAAACCTTAAACATGTTTTATACAATTTTATATCTTTATGATTTAACTCTCTCATTCACTGCTTCTCATATATCACGAGCAAACCATCCATGGGCTTCATGGCGTACAGGACTATCTGGTTCCCTTGATTAACATGCGACGCTCTAGTGCTCAACTATCTCGGGGTATCGGGAGGCATACATGGAACGAAAATTGGATTTTTTGTTCTTAAAATTTGTCTTTTTTTTACAAGAATTCTTCTCATAAATGAAACTAGAACATCCAAGGATACTCCAAAGGTTCAAACAATTTTGGCCTTTTTGACTTATAATTTAAACCAACTCTAAGCATGTTTATTCGCTTTCTACTTGTTATCTTTTACAATGTAACTTTTTCATAATTCTCTCGTGATGAACGAGAGCCTTGTTATACAATATAATTCTCGCATCATGAACGAAAGCATGAGTAATGTACGGGGCCCCTAAAGCGCGTGGCCCGTGGGCGTACGCCCCTTCTGCCATGTGGTTAATCCGGACCTGGATGAGGAAGTTGTTTACAACATATTTATCAAGTACCTCCTCCTCTCATAGCAAAATAACGTAACATCACTAATCATACTAATATTGGAGATAGCTTCCACATTATTCCACCTTTGTCTATCCACATATCATGTTTCATATTTCATTATAAATTATAAATTGCATTAAATGTTATAATGAATTATCATTTTATAATAATTATTATTTTATAATAAAACTGGTAAAACACAAATTTAACAAAACGCAATATTTGGATGATGATTTCGTTTGGATCGCAAGTACAGTTCACTTTTTCTTTGCTCAGTAATTTTGTTCTTTTTCAACTAAGGTTAATCATGAACATGTTTTATCAACAGTATTTGCAATCCAACCAAACACTTTGGATGTGCATAAAAGAGTTGCCACAACTTAACTCTTATGTTCACTTGTTCTCCGTTTTCATTCTTTCCATTTCAAGTAGATTTATCAAGCAATTTGTTAACTGAAAGTGCAGCTGTTGACACCTTTTTAAAAACAAAATTATATTAAGATCTCTGACCACGAAGCTGCTATTGAAGAGATATGACAATCAACGACAGATTACATTAAATAAATGATAAATTTCCACCTATATGTGTAAAGATCCAAGTGATCTAATGAAGTGATGAATGTTTCCATCCAAACGAGGTTCGTGCTGGTGTCAGACATTATCACAAAATCATCCGGGCGAAGTGTTTCTTGGAAAGCACGACACATGTCTTTAAAGTCAACAAATTGACTGGATTTCTAAAATGATATCATGGGACACCCTCGGTATACGGACCGCGGTCTTACGTAGACTTAACACTTATTGAATGATTTCATCACCTGCTTTTCAAGCATTTCTTTGACATCATTGTGTTGTCTCTGATACAGAAAATCCTTTTTCATCTGAAATCCGTAGACAAAAATATCTGTGCAGTTGCAAAATAGTTTATTTCTTTGTTTAGGACATTGATCGAGTTCATAATGATGTGAATTGTCATAATCACATACAATTGTTATATTTGTGTGTTGCAGACAATACGATTAAGATTCCATGTTTCAAAAGTGAGCGAAAAGTTTATGTAATTATCCAATCCTTCATTTTACCTGCAACGTTGCCTCTTTCTCCATGACCTGTTGCAATCTAAACGTTTCTGTTGCTTCGTGAATGTTCTATGTGAGAGCAACATTATCAGATTTTGAGTCACATTATTGGGACGCTGAGAAGCACCGATGAACACGGCGATAAATACAACAAAACTAAAATTCTACATTGTCCATTGGACATTTTACCATGATGATGATCCCAATAAACAAATTCGTGAAGATAAAATGGCCAAGAACAATAAATGAAATAGTAAACCATTGACTGTAGGGACGTATGTCTAAACCCTTTTGAATATCAGTCCAACCATCGACCTAGAAAACTTAAAAATCTAATAAAAAACTTTTATAGTTGAAAAACGTAAGCGTAAATGCGTAAGACATACCGTTACGTATGTAAATAAAGAGAGCATTGCAGCACTCAAGCTGGACCAGTTTTCATTTTTCACTCCAGTTTTTTCATCATGACCAAACATATAGTATCTATTTGATTGTTTTAAGACAGTATAATATCAAGTAAAATTTAATCTTAAAAGTGACAAAGTTTACAACAATCAAATTTTGATATTAATCATATAGGATGAATTATTTGTAACTTATATCGACCTTTTTCCATTGTTATCCATAAAACATTCAATATAAAATATTTTATTATGACACCAATGCACTACTTCTAGCATTGAAATATATATTTTGCTATGAAATAAACATAAACTTTGTAAAAACACATCATGCAGAGACAAATAAAAAGTCAGTTCCCAGTCCCTTACCACTTACCCAACCACAGCAAAGAAAGCCATTGACATGGAAAGAAGAACAACTACATTCAACACGGAATGACGTAATGTCTCGATTAATGCGATCACCAAGACCTGCAAACCTTGTATGAACGATATTGTACGCAGTGTCCTTGCAGCTGAAAATACATGATATTTTATTTTTAATTTACCACTTTCACTCAGTGTAGTGCCCATGTGTATCTATAACGTCATCGGTAAGTGAACAGCGACCCTTAGGTAGGTCAACAATTTATTCAGTGTATGATGCCTCTGTACCTCTAAGTAATCGTAATGGTTTAAGGATGTTGTCTCCAACATCAATGGAATCCATGACAGCTTGGATGTACGATATGAAGAGAATGAGAAAATCAAATCGGTTGTAACTGCTTTTCCAATATCCTGTCGGCTCAGAATACAGTTTGAGAATAAACTCAACTGTGTATATCGATAAAAACAGCTCATCGATGATTTGAAGTTCTTTCTTGTAGGTATTTTTCAAAAAGTCCATTGTTTCCAAGCCAATGACCAACGCATTGAACATTATGACACCCATGATTGCTGCATTAAACATCCGTGACTATGAAGAAAAATCCAACCACAATCTTTTGACAGAAGCATTATCTGCAGATCGTCCGGGTTAGTGCAGTCCAAAAGGACTGTTAGTGTTAGTTTTGATACGTTTGACAAACTTAATTGTAATCATCTTCCACGTAATTTTCTATTAAGTAATGCACTCCTCACTTTATTAAAGATGACTGCCGCTTAAGACAAGCATGAAAAGTCCTTTTAAGGACAGACAGGACTGCACCAGCCGACTAAACGATCAACAATATAAATATCTAACGATACTCATGGATTCAAACCATTCACTTTATAGGCATTATCCTTAACTGTTATTCAATGTTAGGTTTCAAAGGAACACCCAAACACTTTTAAATTAATAATGTGTTAAATATTTTCTTTGGTGTCAAGGCTCAAGGCCTGAACTCAGAAAGCTTTGTTACGGAACACTGACATTATATGAGGTTACACGATGCTGCAAAATGTTGCATGATTTATACAAGATTTGACTTGACGTTGCAGGATTTCAACTGATAAAACGGAATAATGTTGAACATCGAATATACATGTATAGATATTTGAACACAAGTTTTAATTAATGATGTTCAGTACAACATGTTACATGTTGCTTGTTACGAGCTAAATCATACATCATATTTTTAATGTTATGTGATGTTAAACATGCTTCGTACTCTTAATGCAAGCAAATTACTGTCATGATCTTAAGACATTGGCATACTTTATTGAACGTCATAACTGATTTTTGTATAGTTTTCTTTAACTTATTTAGATGCCTAAGACAAAATTCAAAAACATAAAAAAAATACATGACTGCCTTTACGAAGCAGACGTAGAGTACAAACACAAAATCGAGGTTCACTTGCAGATCAATTTTCTGTAGCTTGATTCGCTGGTTTTTTGTTTTTCAATGTCCGAAAATGAGCAAGAAATCGAGATTATATTACCGATGTAAAAATCAAAATTTAAAAACAGCACAAATCATTTATAAACACTTACATTAGTCAGTACGATAACATATTTGTTAAAATCCGCATCAAAGCGTCTCTTCCTGTTAGAATGAAAAGCTGATTTAAGAAACAACAATTCGTTGAAGGCCCAAAAATACAAAAACTAACTATTTGTTGATAAACTGTATATTGTTGACAGGCTTTGCGCATATATTTTACTATTTGAACTTTTACTTCTATTTGCTGATTTACAGGTGTTTTTCCCACATAGTTTTTTGTATCTCCCATTTTCATTTAAAAAATAACTTTATTTTATGGTAGTTGTCGACAAACCTTTTTTCTCGGCTTTCAAGCTTGATAATCGCCATGGAAATGATTTAATTGACAGATAATTTTTCTCAGAATAAATCCTCCGTTTTCAAACATGAAAACGATTGAAATTAGATGTTTGTGAAATGCCTGAGACAAAAATTGAAAAATTGGTTCGATGTTTATAGCAGTGAGCAGAGCATTCCCAGTGAGCGTTTCTGATTGGACAAAAATGTGTCCATTGAATAAATTATTAATATTTAAACTAAATGGCTCATTAGATGTATTTGATATATATATAAAACTACAAGTCACGTGTGATCTGGCTGTTTCTTTGTTTATTGAAACAACTTGATTAAATAAGAAGAACTACTTAGTTATCTTCTATATGACTTAAATAAACTAATACAACAAGCAGTCTATACACTCACTCTAATACCTACTCTAACTAACTCGCGCATCATAAAACTACATGACTTGTTTATCAATGATCTTAGCTTAAAAGTCTAAGAACCAAGATCCTACAATCCAAAAAACTATTGTACATTGTAAGCAACACAAAAATCGTCCTTATATTAATCATAATTCTGTGTGAACGCCTTCAGAGCCATGGCTGGATTTGGAAATAATCCGACGACGTTGATCTAATCTTGATTGCTTTTTTTCACGAAATACGGCATGGAATTCTTTATTTTCATCATCACTTGGATCCAAAGAAGAATGATCGCGTTCCTCTTTGTTGTCGTTTTTATTCGTTTCAGTGTCTTCCCATGGATCTGAAAATTCATTATTCTGTTCAGCTTCTTCCTGGATCTTTGCAAGAAAATCATAGCCTTCAAGACGTGGTTTCCATTCTTTAGCTTCAAGTTTTCCTAAAAGGTGGTCAGAAAAATAGAACATTATGCCAACATATGCTATCGCAATAGCATGGTAAAAATGTAGAGAAAATGCTACCACTGTAAACAAAAATGCAAAAAGTACCTGTGAAATCTACTGCTTCAGTTAAACAATTTTCAATCCAAGAGATTAAATTTTCCTTCCTCAATTCACCAGAGTATGTGTAAACTGTTCCCTGATCAAATCATGTTTTTTTTATACAGGAAATGTAATCCAACAAATGAAAATTTTAACAATATGAAAAATTTTCTTCTTCAAAGTTCTTTACCTTATAATGATTGACAAGAACTATAGTGGATGCCTGTTGTGATTGATGAAGGTCGTTTTTTGTGTATGATTCTAGAATATCCCTGTTGACTTTTAACGAACTAAAAACGACACGTCAAAATGTAAACGTAAATAGTGAACAAATGGCAGCTAAAATATAAAAATTCGCTAATTTTGGGCAGGATGGAAAATGACCGCCAGCACTGCTGTCAAGTAATGTTGTCACAATATCATTCAAAGAAAATATTTTTGTATCTAACTTGCAGGAAATTTTTCGAAAACGACACGCATTTAGAATACCAATGGATGAAAATATAAAGCAAATGACACAATGATCTGTATTCTGTAAAGTAAACAACACTGGAATTTTAGGGAATTTACAGGTAAACAGCAACAGTGATGTACAAATGCTTGTTTTCAATACTTATTGATGAAAAATGTTCGTGAGAAATATGCACTTTTGAAATTTGCAAAAATCTTTTATCCAAGCCCGAATTTATGAACAATTTGTCATTTGATCGGAATTGTCCAAATACATCAAGTGCAATTATACTTTAAATTAAGTAAGCTCATACAAATATTTTTACACCACAAATATACTGATCAACCTACATAAAATACTTACGTGTCAACCCAGCAGTAATTGACTTACCAGAGTCTTTTGATTTGGCAACATCTGAGATCAATGAATTTATTTCAGCGTTTCCTTTCCCAATAAACGCAATAAGGAATGGCTTTCCTTTACTGAAGTATGATGGGAAGTTCAACGGAGTCAGCTCACCCTATACGAAAACAAAAATCACTGGAAAGTTTCCATGGTATATGAGTCAGATTATAAATTATACTTCGCACGCTTTACGGAGAAGATCCTGAATGCATGGAGTTAATGCAAGATTTATAAAAAGAGGGGCAATTACATCACTTAATTAGGACGTGCTGAAAAAGCAATCATATATCATATCTGATATCTACAAATCAAAAATTTATACCTCCTGTGAATGAGCTAGAGTGGTAAATCATCTCAACTCATTGTATTTTCTTATTATTTGAGATGAAGAAAAACAGTTTTGTAATGTTTCATGCAAGCGAATCTGATCTACATATTGATAATAAATCTTATAAACTTACATATTTAGGCAAGCTTGAATGTTTCACAAAAGAAACAATGGCCTCTGCAGTATATTCTCCTTCAAAAACTACTTGAGTTTCCAAAGGATCATTTCTTTTAATCAAAACTATGCTCGGCACATTTACACCAAAACGTGATGCCCTAAAAAATAAATAACGTTCTCAATTGTTGCTAACAAAACATCAAAGCCATTATAATATCCTTAAAATACAAATTGTATTAAATGTTACAGATCAATAAATTTCCACTAATCATTTTATGAAACTTTGAATACGCACATATCAAAAGCAATCTTTCCAACAACATATCCACACAGAAACTGTCCTTCCATTTTATGAGCAGCGGAGATGAAGGCTACATCTGAGAGAAAATTGGTTCGAAATTTGTTGTGCAAAAAACATAGTATGCTGATAAGAGAACAAATGGTTTCAAGTGAATCCAAAACGTTTAACTTAACCAATGACACCTTGTTTTCAACTAATCTCTACAAAGTACTCCTTGATGTATTTTTATAAATTAATATTTACTCACGTTCACTATTCTCGTCAGAAAACAACCCGATGATTGATACATCAGTATACAATATAGATGGCATTGGATATTCACCATCCCTAAAACCATTAACTTCACCATCGGAGGGCAATTTCACTGGTGATATTGTTTGGAGTCTAAAAAGCAATTAATTATTAAAAAAATGACCAAAATGCCCTATCTACGTGTACTTCAATTTGTATGGTTAATTTCAATATATTTCATGCAATACCATTCATTACATTGAAAATGGTAAAAATGTATCAAACCACGAATAATTTAAATTAGCTATACTTCGAACTGGATTTCTTAACTGCTTTTGAACAATGATGTAAGATAAAAGTCTAAAGTTATATTCATTAAGATGTTTGTAAGTTCAACGTACAATTTCACAGTCTTAATCAAGCTCGTCTCATCCAAAATACCATTATAATCTATTGGTAGCTGATTTCGTCTAAAAGATAAGTAATAATAATCTCAAACATTGCAAGTTAAAATGTAAACATATGAAGTTTAGAACTGATACCTGTAAATTCTTATGGTTGGATAGCTTATTATATTTTCTTTTCCACAAACATCTTCCCAATCAAAGCAATTCACTTGATGCACACCTATCTTCACATCACTGCCATCAGTTTCAACTAAGAAAATATACAGTTAGTATGCATAAAAATTTTGGAAAGATGCGGTAAAGTATTGGATGCACAAGCTTCGTAAGAAGACCTTTAGGCTTGAGAAAAATTGTTCAATTTAGCAACTACCTCAAACAGAGTGAAAATATGATGTAACTAAACACTATACTTCATGTTATCATCGTGTAAAGTACGCTTTGAAAAAACAAGACTTTCAATAAATAAAACAGGTTTATTCCTGTGTGTAGTTTTCGTAGGACACATTTATATGTAATGTATACAACTACAATAGTTGATTACGTTGAACAAACATTGAAATATTGTTGTTTGTAATACTAAAAAAAATATTGCACAATATGCTTTGGGAAAAATCAGATGTTTGTTCACAGGTAGCAAGAAATGCGGTCATAACTATTGACTGTCTTGACTACAAGAAACAATTTTGAAATTGATTTCAAATTTTGTTACCTAACCTAATTTTTTTGCAGCACCAGCATAGGAAGGGGAAAATGCTTGACTTCTTGCATCCCCTATAAAAATTTGTAAATGGTAAAACGGATACATATTTAAACACAAAGCGAGGATCTAGAACACATGATATACAACAAATTTTTTTTCGCATCAGTGTATCAGGTCATTTGAACTCCTGAATGATAAACTTACATGGTAGAAAGAAGAAAACGACAGAAATATCAAATTTTGTCACAGTTCTGTTAAAGCTTGTATCATTCAGTTTAGGTACGTGTGAGTCATTTACAGCTTTTGTGTAGTAAATTTCGTAACCAGCAACTGCCACTTCATCATCTTCTAGCTCTTCAGCTAAAACACGATTAAATGATGCTTCATTACAAGCAACGAGCAAACAAAACATACGTAGAGGGCTAGTAGTGACTCGATTTATTTCTTTTGAGGTTGTAAGGGAGTTGTTTTTGGAAGTCAAAAATACATTCAAATAATGTCTTGTTACAGACAAAGGAATTTGACATAGCAAGAAATGCTCAACTAACGCGGTCGTTCTTCTTGTTCTTCATCCTCCTCGTTTGTTCTTTCAGATGTTTCTGCATCATGAACATCACCAACAACCGTGTTTCCATCTTCTGAAACGCGTTCCAAATCAGCATGATCCAAAAAACTTTTTGGCAACATTATTACATCATTTTCACTGGAAAAATCACATAATATAATGAATGCAATAAACTTTTTTAAATTGCGTGTTCGATATGTAAACCATATGATGATAAATCGTTATTTTAAGATATACAGACAACCGTATTCTATGGTATTAATTCTGAAGGAAAAAGCAAATTTAACTCAAATGAAAGCACATAACCAAGAATTTTTACAACCATTCAAGAAAGAAAACCTTCACCAAGCACCAGCTCACAAGCCTATACATTTGATGTTGAAAATTAACAAAACTTCTTACTTGATTTCTGCTTGAACAAATTCAACCAGTTGATCATAATAATAAGGACCTTCCAATGGCAGAAAGTTAGTTACTGGATCTCCTTTTTTGTGTAGCCGTACGGTCGGATACGATTTGATTTCCTGAAATGTATAATAACAATGAATGGATTTAATTATAAGCTAACATATTCACTATCGCAAATCCAAACTAGAGCCTAATTACCCACATTACAATTAATATTACAATTTTATACTGTGTACTCACAAATTTCGGATCCATATCGCGTTCAGTATAAATAAACGAAAATTTTATGTTTCTCTTCCCTGTGTTACGTCGACGAAAATGACGATCAAACGTTCGACTCAATCGTTGAAAATTGTGGCTGAAATCACCACAAACTTCAACAGCTGCAGGACAAGAAAAATGGTATTTATATCTTAACTATTCATAATTTTCCTATTGCTTTTAGTGCAATCTGATTGGCTGCACAATCGAACTGTGTAAGGTTTTATGGTCTTCCTAGTTGAGACTCTCAATAAGAAGCATAGAAACTGATAACTAACTAGTAAAAATGTTTATCGTTTTCATTTATCTGCACAAGGAAATATTTATTCTCTTTCAAAAACAGGCCTCAGCCTAAGGCTTTAAATATTTTCCTATACAAATCTCCGACTAAGTAAATAAGTATATCTAGTTGATGAAGAGGATAATCATCAACATGCAGTAATTGGGCTTCAACGAGTCAATTGATTAAATAATCAAATCAGACTGTTATACATATATCATTTGTAGACCGTACGTATATAAACGTCACGCGCGTACACCATGGTTCAGTGGAGGATTGACACGATAGATGTACTAGGCCTCTTTGAATAATCATGTGAACTAACAATTTTCCATTAATTAATTATTTATTCAGACCGTATATGTCTAAGAGTGTAAAAGATGCATGCACGAGTCCATTATTAAGCTACTTCTGCACGGTATCAAAGCTACATTTTCAGCCAAATTTTGCTAAAAAACTCAATCGAGTCTCACGACAAAAGTACAGACTTACATGATTTGCAAATCGCTACCAACATATAATCTGCGTCTAAATCCCTGAGCAATCTCAAATATTCCATGGGGAAGTTGACGGTAAAAGATCTATTTTCATCTAAAAAAGAGCAGTGTAAGTGAAACAAAATTTGTAAAAAATTATTTTAGGGAAAAAGCAACTTGGAAGTTAAGTAAACATGCAATGAGCGAAGCAACAAATTATTTAAGCATTGACAATGCACACTCGCACAATATTGGAAAGTTCAAAATAAATGGGGAAAAATAGCGCACTTAATCGCATGGTTATTGTAAACAGTGCTTAAAAAGCACAAATTTTAGTTTTCAGTCATTTCACACACATGTAGAATGAACTGCCTGTTAAAACTATCCTAAAATTAACTATACATTTCTAGTACTTTGATGTAAAATTTGTTGTTTCATATATTTATGTGTGTCTGTGTTCCTACGCATATTTCGAAAAGCTTAACTTTTTGACCTTTTAACCTTTTTGACAAAAAATGAATGAAACAAATAACATCTCAGGCAAAAAGAAAAGGAATTCCTCGAGAGGAAACTTGCAATACTCATATTCACAAAGGCGACGCACTGTAGCTTTCTTTTACCTTGATCAGCTACACGTTGTGGAGAAGTGATCAAGTTGGAAACAAAATCCGCAAGTTTATCAGTAACAAGAGATGCTTCAGATGAGGTAAACACGTCAGCATAAGAAAATTCCTTCACAGAAAAAAGATTTAACAGATCTTTATAATGAGTTTATGCTGATGTAACTTCATTCACCCAGGCAAGGGAAGGCACTCGACGAAATATTGGGGGGGGGGACTGGTGACAAAATGAGTTAAATGGTAATTTTAAATTTTAAAAACAGGGGCTTAAAGTTTTATTTAATTAACTCAGGTCTAAATGACTAAAAAGCAACTCTAAACGCAGTATATTTGAAAAATATGTATTGAGAGGAGAAACCACCCCCTCTTTCCCCCCCCTTTGAATCAGGGTCCGAATATTTCATTAATCATTGGTTTAGTAATACAGTATATCCAAGGCAATGCAAAACAAAAAAGTTCTCTCTTCAGGTTGGCATTTAAGTAACATCAGTCAAACTCAATTCCTCTATGAAAAAAATATGACAAAACATATCAAAAACAAACAATAAATCGCCCAAGAAAAGCCAAGACAGTTTCGTAATAATCAAAAAAGCTTACAAAGTAAAATATGTTCGTTGCACGGATAATAATGATTCAGAATTGAATTTATGTAAAGAAACTATAGAGTGAAGCCATTTTCGTGTAGTATATATCAAAAGATCAAACTTACTTCTTCATCCAACTTTGATTTATGTCCAGGAACAAAACCAAGTGCAGGATAATGGCTATCTTCAGCCAAACCAAACTGTCTGATAAAGGTCGGATGATGTTCACTATAAAATACAACAATTTATGGAGAATGGAACGGACGAACATATTTCATCGTCACATCATCAATAAAAAATAAAACATCGAATACAACAGCTCATAATAACGATTCCCAAAAAATATTGACGTAAAATTGATAAATGAACAGTTTGAAACTTACACGAGCACAACAATGAAACCGACGGCAGATTTCATGTTTTTAGCAACATCCTCCAGTTCGCTGCGATATTTTTCAGTATCATCTATGTTACTGACAAACATAAACACCTGATTGATTGGAATCGAGACCAGATTTTCATCAGCATACGGTATTTTCTGATCTTGATCCAAAATAATCTTAAAGGGAGAGAAAAAAACCAATACATAATTATTTAAAAATGACAAGATCCGCTAAATAATAAAGACTGAAGTATATAGTATAAGAGTCGTTAAAATAACAAACAATCAAAATACAATATTCAACGTGTCTAGTTTTTTTTTAATTTGGAAGACAAAATCGAGTGCATAAAAGATGAAGTTTTTTTTCTAGTTTCCATCGAGAAGCTTACTGGACACAAAAGCTTAAGTATCAGTGTAGATTAAAGAGCACGTTATATAAACTCAGAACTCGACTTACAGCCAATGGTAAAGTTAACGACTGAATAAAAGAGGCCAACGAAATGACTTTAAATTCTCCATCGTAATGGCGGACAGCACAGTCCTTTTCTTTACAAAGGAATGCTTTTAGACTACTTTCATCGCCATACATATCTCTATCAATAAAATAATCCATAGCATTAACTGCCGTTACTGAGAAAAGTTTAAATTAACTGAAACATTAAAAAATTCTAACCGTGGAAGTTTGGATGAGAGATAAAACTTAAAAGAGTCTCCGTAAGCAAAAGCAACTTCCAGAAGATTGCGGTGCTCTAAAGATTAAAAAAAATTGTATGTAATAGCTAATCGATTATCATGCAAAAGTTCTTGACATACTTTTTCACATAGTCTCTTTATATCAACTCAATCAATAATCAAAATCACAATGTTAAGAATTATGATTCCTATTTACGTCACGCAAGGTAAGCCTTCGTTGCTAAATTTTCTTGCTTACCTCTCATTTCAATAGTTTTAACGTTAACAAGAATAAGATTTTCTTTTCCTTTTGCTTTTGATAAAATTGCTTCAAAATCATCAGCAGTTTTCACCACATTTAGCTCATCTTTTAACAAAAACCTGTATCAAAAACATAATCTGCTCATATTTCATTCACAATAATTATGTATGACCAATTGTTATCATTGCATAACACAGGATCCAAGCTCGATCTTTCTGATGAACAGCTAAATTTATGTAGTTCATAGCTAGTTTCAATTTATTATTGTAAACAGCTGAAGACAACAAATAAAAAATAAACTGGAAAAAAGACAAGCGCAGATGCTATTTTAAAGTCATATTAATGAAGCATCAATGAAGACTATTGAAAAAGGAGTTTTTGCCACCTACGAAAATCTCGTAGAAGTTGATTGTGAAGAATTTATCGAGATGGAGAAAAATATTGACAGTTGCCATCGCCATTCGCTCATGCCGGGTAAGTCAATATTTTGGTGTATTTTCTTCATAAGTAAATTTATTTTCGATATATAGTTATAGTGATAAATACATAATCAATCATTCGTAAAAATTTAATTTGACAGAGCCAAAGTTTTTGGTTGCTATGAACTTTGGCACGGCCATCTTAAACAAAGCTTACAAAGAGGCGAATTGAAATTCTTTAATAATATACATGAAAAAAATTCTTAGTTCTGATTGGTTTAGAGCAGTGCAATTTATCGTAAATACCAGCGCAAAATATAGGAAACATAGTGCAAAAAAGAAAAAAATACAATGCACTTCCTAGCTGTGTGTGTGGGAGAGCTACGGTGTTTTGAAAAGTAATATCTGACGGAATTGAAAAATACGATATTAATAACTTGCCGGTTAAAATAAACGTATGAAGTTTAAAATCAAGAACTGAGAAATTTTGTAACGTATATTTTTAATAAGTAATAGTATAGCTTCTCGTACAAGTTGGGAAAAACAAGCACTCGTGAGTTTTTCTAAGACTTCAAATATTGCACCCGAAACCATGCTATTACCTGTACAAACACAATTTCATTATGATTGAAAACACAGCACGTTAAATTAAAAAGTCGAATGAATGAACACGACCAAAATAATCTAGCAGTAGGATGCTCAGTAGGATGTTTTAGATCGCTATCTATTCAAACGCCTCAATCGTGAAAACAAACCTTTTGTACACAAAAGAAACATTAGGCTAAACACAAGACACAAGAAACGCAAACCCTCCACAAAAAGCAAATTACTCAACGATTTTAAGGGCGTTGAGCGATTGAATACTTTTTGATGAAGAAATGCAAGCAGCAAGATGCTTTGATATCTTCCAAGGAAAATTTTCTTGTGATGCGAATAAAAACCTGCGTATTTTTGTCGTGTTCAGTTTTGTTTCACAGCGTGTAGAACACACACTGGAATCGACTGTACTACCTGTGTAATATGTTAGCAACAATTGCATGTTCATTCTTTAATCTGCTGCTGATTGGAAGTTTTTTCAAGAGCTTTCCATTCCTTTAAACAGTAAAAAAAAGGCATTTAAGTTGACATAAAAATTATTTCATGACTGGATGGAAAGTAATGATGTATTGATGAATACATCCATGAGCAACTTTTATTTATGCTTTGAAATTCTATTCAATTTCATAACTTAAGAATCTGTATCATGTCGAGATTTTGACGTCCATAGTGCTTCATAATGAAGCATATGTCTAGGCTGCATAAGTATAGCGTGGCTTTGAACTCTTACAAATGCACTGGACTTTAGCATCTGAGAATTCCAAACTTTCAACTTTATATAATGATAATCACACCCTTCAAATTATATCTCTTAGCAACAGCTGGTATTCAAATTGGTATTAGAAAATTCATATCAATTTCTAGAATTTCACTGCAATAAATATTCCAGAGCCATTTGATGGCAAAAGTCAACATCAACAATAAATACCTGAATACAGTAAACTGGGTACTTTTATATTTGAGCAGTATTTAACAGATTTGTCAATTGAGCAATCCACCTAAAACATAATTAAATGATAGCAAAAGGCAAAGAAAGGCAGAGTATATGAAATATTTAATCTCGTTTCACACATAGAGAGATGGGAGAAAAAGCTTCAAACTAAATAAAATGTTATAAAATTAAGACCAACATTGTCTGCTTGAATGGCATAGCACAAAGAAACCCTTCAGCTTTATTGCCACATCTACAGTACATGTTTCAAATTAACCAATCAACCATAACTTCACACATTTTAGACAGAAACAGTTTCCCAACATGCTAAGTTCCATCATTTTATCACTTTGGTCTAGTAAAGCAATATGTATGAAATATTGCATTACAACTGAATTACAACTGTACCAATTCCCTTTAAATTTTTTTTAAAACAGAACATGTTGAGGTAAGGAGTAGATGTCCACAAAATGAATTTCGTCAGGCAAAATATCGTTAATGGACACCTTTCCTAACTGAACTCCATAAGACTCAAGACTGTTGCCAGACTTCGCAAATTCTTCCAAAAATGATGGATAAATTGTTGGCGCATCTGAAAAGGAAATAATTATTTCTGCGCACAAACATACTCAGCACGCTTAAATTCAAACATACGTATGCATCAAAATTTTCACGGAAATAATTAAACGACCCATAGAATAACATTACTCGAATTCAAACCATTAAGTTATGATCAAAGCTTACCTTTAGTTTGAAAATAAACACAACGAATGTCTTGCGTTTTCACGAAGTCGTCGAATTCATTTTGCTGTAATGATACTGCAGCAGCAGCAAGACTTCTAATCTGAATACTCAAGATTATAACAAATACAATATTCCCGAGTGACATCATGGTAAGAAAATGAGCATACGTGATGATACTACGTTTAAATAGTAACTTCTCAATGCACAGACTTTCTGAATGACAATTTGACTGCCTTTATTTGTTTACATCCCACGTAGTGCAGATTTTCATCGTGGACCAATAGAATTTTTGGAATTAATTAATGAAGACGTTCCTCTTTGTTTATCTAAACGGAACTGCTGAACACTTATCACATTTGTGCTGACTTTTTTTTAATTATACATATTAATTCAACAGAAGACATTAAGCAATAATCAGTAGATAAATAATCACTTGAACTTGTGCCAAAATGAGTAAAATTTGATTTTATTTTACTAATTCTGCTATTTTACTAATTCTGCTAAATTCTGCTAATTTCGTAGTAAAAGTAAATGCCAGTCATCAAGTGAACCAAAAAGCTATTGGCCACTTTCTCCTGAGGACCTTTTCCACAATGAGAACAGGGAACTTGGTGGATAAAACGGAAAATTTTAGTTTATAAATTATATATAGAGAGGTTTTCCGAAGCTTGAACAATTTATATTATTGAAAAAGTCATCTACATAAGAAAAAAGCTTAATTTTGAATATTAAAGTGCCATTTCATTTCTAGACCACTTTATGTGGCTCCAGTACTATGCTTACAAGGATCAGAGTTGATCATTTTATGAATGAATGTTATAAAATTGACATCTGAAAAAGTGATGCATTGAGGTAATGCATCTTCGTGGGATGCGGGGTAGGAATAAAATGTCAAACTGAAAGGTGCTGCCCACCACACACCTGGCTGTCAACTCTCCGACCTCACCATATAATAATCAAATGCACCAAAAAAAAGACAAGAAACGATTTAACAGAGTTACACCCCTTACCACCAGCAAAAAATATTGAGAACAAACTGGTTGAAGGGATTTGTAAATTGTTTGTGTAGAATAAAATAGTCACAACTAGAAGATTTTGATTCTAGTCATTAGTAATGCCACTTGACGTGGACGTTAAGAGCCTCAAGAAAAAATCTATTGTCTAGTTAAATAGACCAGGTGTCTCCAAACTTTACAGCCAGAGGGCCACATGAACTTTCATCCAACATGTTGAGGGCCGACGAACCGTATACCACTGGTCAAAGAGCGAATATTTTAATAAAACGAAGTACATCATGAAGTACGTAACGAAGTACATCCACTCTTCTTGAAATCGCCGACATTCGTCATCTATTTTTCTTTTATCGGCCATTATGAAGCATTGAAATATAAAAAATTTCCATGCCATCCTTCAGCTTTTTAAATTTCGCAATGTGCTTGAAACGGAAGTAGGAAGTTGGGACAAAAATTGACGTAAGCCACTCTTGCTAGTTGGCTTGCGTCTTAACGTGAACTTTCTGCACAAAGTTTTTGTTTAATAATATTATTTTTTACTTAAGTGTCTCTGCGGGCCGAATTGAGAGGCCCAACGGGCCGTAGTTTGGAGACCCCTGAAATAAATTATTCAATGTCTACATGTCCTGATCATTGAGGTCTTATAGAACTCAATGGTCCTGATCTTCTAATTATATCACTGAAAGCAATGACTGTATGTTAATGTGTATGAACTGAAAAAAATGAAGGAATATAAAAACACTGTGCAAGCCACATTTCAAAATGCAGGTGTTAATTTACAACAAATTAGAGCAGAATAATTATGACAAAAAGGGTAAAATGTCATATTTTACCCTGTGAGAACTCCATGAAATGTAGTATATTTGCCAACACCTAAGATGTGAAACTAGAAATATTCACGATCCACATTAGAATATTTCAAATTACTGGCAAGCAGTTTTGGAACTGCAGTTTCGAATTCTGTTTAAGAAAAAGTTAATGTAAAATTTTTCGCTGCCAATTTTTTTCATCGAATTGTAGAAATTCTTTTTTGTGGAGATCGAGCAAATTTTTACTCTATGTTGTATTTTGCGTGATTCATTATGAGAAGCCCTTGTTAGACAAACAAATTAATCTTCCATGCCCGTTTAATAATTAAAACTTCTCTATAAATCAAACTAGGAACGGCCATAGAAAATATCGCCATTACGCGTACTAGTATTTATATCTATTTACAATGAATTCGGACTAAATATACATGCTTCATTCAAAAAGTCGGAGCAATAAACGCATTAGTCTTCCAGTACAGAAAAGAAAACATGCCTTCTGTAAAACTGTCAAATAGATTAGTAAACTGCGTCTAACAAAGTAATATTCTTACAAACGTGCATTAATACTTAGTAAATTCTGCCTGAAAATAAATAAATTTCAACTAGTTAAAAACCAAATAAGATACGTTAGCCTATACAATACAGTTAAAAAATCTTTTGGTTGTATCAAAATGATAATCAACCAATGCCCATTAGAATCATCGTCATCATGGCTACGATTGAAAACCCCTGTGAAACAATAATTTGGTCATCCGCACGTCTACATCTCTTTTCCAACGTTAACTTAACCATCCCGCTCTGTAGTGATTCTATGTGTGCTAATGTTGCGATTTCAGCTCATGATTGGAGCATGTAGCATGTAGGAAACACACAATGTTTTTCTCCCTCGTGTATACCTTTTCTTTTTAATCAATACTCGTTCAGTCCTCTTTTACATCTTTCATGCAGGGTCCAATACCAATTATACAAGGTGTGCTTTCTTTATCATGTGGACTTGAAATGGCCAAAATGCATTTGGCTTGAAGTAGAATCAAAGGATCTTTTTTCGACTTTATATACAAAGATGAAGACGTGAATGACATGTTCGTTGCTTCAATCCAAAATCGTAAGTATGCATAACGTGCAAGACGGTCGTTTCCCCTGATGGCCCATTACGAGAAGAAAGATCGACGTATTTTCCTCGAACACCTATTATGAATAGCAACAGTACTAATTTAAGTACTAGCAACAGTACTAGGTTGTACACACATATCAACCATAGGAGATTCACTCGCAGAAACATCATGTTTCCGTCGTGTACTCTTATGTATCGTAACAGTTTCGTTTAAATTTGCCATTCTGCTTGAATGCAAAGTTGAAGCTTCTTGCTTTGTTGAGGTTTGCTCAACAATTCCTTGATCAATAGACATTGTTAAGCTTGACGTGTTTTGATTGACGTACTTCGGGTTATGTTTAGTTTTACTTCGCGTTTGACGACCACCCTTTGATGATGTAGAGAGATCATTATTTCGAGTGGAGCTTGTAGTTCTAACTGTGTTTCCCGTACTCGGAGTATCCATTGTTTGTGAACTTAAAATACTATTATTCCAGGCTGCATTGGTTCTTGTCGATGGACTATCGCAGTCCATGGCAGAACCTCGGCTAGGTTCTTCACTCGTGGTTGTTTCGTTTGTATATACTCCTGAAGTGGGAGTAGCTTCACCATATGAACTGGAAATTTTTGACCCACTTGTGCTGAACGACGTGTTCGTCGTCTCATCGAAAGTCCTTTTGAAGAAGGAGTGTTGTAATGCTACGTGCGGTTTCACGCGCATTTTTGGGTCGTACTCCAACATCTGCAGTATTAAGTCTCTAAATTTTATATAATCTTCAAATGTATGGCCTGGATCTCCAGCACGACGGCCTCCCGGACCACCGGAGTCACATCCCAGCACATTGTGAAGACTTCGTGAACCAGGAGCAACGTATTCCTAAATAAAACACAGTACATAGTAAAAAGGTGGAAGATATAAATCATTGATAAGAAACTGCAGTGAATTGTTTGCACAAATAATGAGAAAAGACATACATATCCTGTATGACAGCGCATATAAATAATGCATACGTGAAAAGTTCTTGACTTCTCTACAATGCTATCTTTACTATACTTTTTTAAATAGTGCAAAGTTCTTACCATCCTTCTATACTTTTTTAATGCATATGTGTAAAGTTCTTACCTTCTTTACTTTGCCGTCTTTACTAGATTTTTTTGGCACATAACTTCCATCAGAATGACGATCAAAATATGCTACGGCTTTTGGTGCACTATTCAAGATATGTCGAGGAGGTATTCCCAAAACTTCAACTATTTTTTGCATCTGATCAAACTAAACAATTTTAAAAAAATGTTCATCTTTATTCTTGACACTTTTCAGATATCTTACCAGGAAGAAATGAATGTAAAATAAATATGAAAATATTAAAGTCCTTCGGAGATTAGGTTTCAGCAAATAGAGGTTGATTATACGATAGTCCGGAATGAAATTACCATTAATGTTATTGGTTGACGGGGTTGAATTCAACCTGAAACGGACTGGGCAAATAGGATCGACAAAGTTCACAGGATTTTTATAAAATGGCTACACACAGGTAGAAAATGACCCTTCTTGTATTTTCGCAGTTTAGCTAGTGAATAGCATCGTAGTTGAGTACAAATTATAAGCTAATGTTCCTGAGAATGCATGGAAGAAATTTTTGCCTAAGGGACATTTTTTTTTCATTTAGTTGCAGAGATACAACCATTAATAAGAAATGAAGAAAACCAACGTGCTCAACATAAACAAATATTAAGTAATCAACTCGGCCCCAGTCCCATATGGTAAAACCTGCAACCGCAGCAGTCTGATTTTCACCTGCATTTGCCGCTATGCTCATTCGTCATTTTGATTTACAGGTAGCTCCTTTTGCGCATGCTTCAGTAACTTCAACCAGATTGAAAATCATGATTAAGATCATATGGAAATTTTTGGTCAATTTTGCTGCTTTGAAACTCCTAAATTCATCTCCTTAACCGGGCTGAAATTGCTCCATGTAATCACAAATTCGTTTTTACAGCACTAATGTCGCGACGCCCGACTTTTCAGCAAGAGTAAATTTATTACCGGGCAAAAAGTAGCAGTCTATTATGCTAAAACGGTTAAGCCGCAAGGCCAATCCACAAATCGACTAAAATTGCCTAAAGAGTGTAGAGAGTGTGGTCTTGAATTGTTTTAAAATGTACATCCACTTACTTCGTTTGCACCACTGAAAAGTGGCTCACCAGTATGCATTTCTACTAAGATACAACCTAAGCTCCACATGTCAATAGCCATATCATACGGAATACCAAGAAGCACCTCAGGTGAACGGTAAAAACGACTTTGGATGTAATGATAGATCTGAAAAATTCCATCAAAATACGTGACACAGTTATTTCAGGAAGTCGCATACGTAAATGATTTCTCATTTTGACCGTATTCTGTGGCCAATAATCGTTGGCCCTTCATTCCCATTGTGATTATTTGCTACAAGTAAAAATTAGTGATTGATTTCAATCACTGTGTCATAGGTCCACAAAATAGATAATTGTAATTCAGAATTCGAAGGCAATTGACAAATTTGTTATTTTAAGATTTGAGAAAAACCTAAATGTACACGGAAGTAAAGTAAAAATAAAATAAAGACGTGAGCGCAAAGCATGCTGTCAAATATACCAGATAGCATGTTAAAGAATTTTTGCAGTTTAAAAACAAACATTATTTCAATTACGAGCTCTTTTAATAGAATATATTTGGTGTTAATATACGTGAACTAACAAATTGGGCATTTTTTTCTAAAGAATAAAGCGTGGAAAAGAGTGGCCGACTTTCTAAGCCGTTTTAATATAAATTGAGAGGAATGAGCTAATAATCACATTACTTGAATCCATCGTAAATTTGTGTCATAATAACATTAGATTATGGATACAACAACAATACATCGTAATATAATCGTAAAATACGGAGAGAAGAAGATTGCATAAGGGAATAAATTGATAAAAAATGTAGTTGCATCAAAGGCAACTAATTTGGGTGACGTCACACAATACTGCAGTTTCAATCTACTATCAGATCCTTTTAATCACGGACGGACCGCAAATTTGAGGTATTCAAACAATTCTGGGATTTTGTCTTTTCGATAATTTTTTCACCGAATCACACGACTCAATGTTCTCTATCTGATTCCGGAAAATCATTTTTTTGTGACAGAGCCACTTAACGCTACGCGTGGGTGACGTACGAATGAAAATTACATGACAGTTTTTTATGTACCGCATACGTAGATGGCGGCGCAGAAAAACACAACAGCGAAATTACACAGTTTCGTACATTTACTTTGTTTAGCTTACCCGCTGACCGATTTGACAGGAGCTTCCAAAGTCCACGATCTTAATACCACTTTTCTTGGGGTTACAAAGCAAAATGTTCTCTGGTTTGAGGTCGCAATGAATTATACCAAGATTAGGTTGAGATAGAAACAAAAGTGACGTGCACATTTGTTGTGCAAATTTTCTTGTCAAGTTCAGCGAAACTCCGCGGAAATTAGTATTTCGAAGAAGGTCGTAGAGATTATAAGACAACAATTCAAATACAAGGCAGAGATGGCTACGGTACATGAAATTTCTCTTCAAGCGCACTACATGAAAAAACGTCACACCATGTATTAGAGCTAAAAAGGAGTTAAGAAAGATCTTTGTAGATATATAAGTAGCTATGTTTTCCGAAGGAATGAACAAAACACAAATATTTACAAATTTTTTAATAAATCGTGAACAAAAAGAAATCTTGTGACGTTACTTCAAGTTCTGAAAGAATACAATTTCATGCCCTATTCTGAAAAAGAGATCTTTGCGCTAACTGACATGTTTAGAAAAAAATCTCATCAAAAAATTAGAATTCAAGGGCTTTCAAGTTTTGTAAGAACCTTTCGGATCGACGAAGAAACATCGTTGTGCATTCAAAAAACCCCAGCAGTTTCTGATCTACTATACTCCAATAGGGGTTTAAAGATAACTTCCTTTGGAATAACAAACTTGGTGTCTGGGAAAACCAAATAAAAATCTACTTGCTCTAATTGGCCAAAAAATTCCACCTTTTTTATGGTAGGTTTAAAAATAAATGATGGTAATTTACCTATGATAGTAAAACCTTGTATATTCTAACCATATACTAATCAAAAAACCATAATCAAAGAAACCGACATGTATGTTTTACCTGACTTAGACTTACCAATATAGTATTTTCCATCAGGATCACTTTGGTTCATCATCTCCAAAAGTCTGACCTCAATCTGAGCTTGATCCAAGAAAGCTTTCTTGTTTTTTATAATTTTGATAGCAACATATTCTTTTTCTTGAAGATCAAATGCTTTGCAAACCTTAAGATAAATTTTGGAAAAATTCATACATGGTTTTTCGATGCATTTGCCAATTAGTATGACTGTCACATGTCAATACCAATAATTGAAAACTGAAAATGAGCGACTATTTAAATATATGAATGTGTTTGCCCACCTTGGTATGAGTAAATACACACATCTGATAAAAAATCTGTGTGCCATAGTAGATTAAGTCAAAAAATTTCAATTTTCTGACAAATGTTAATATTACCTGGCCAAAAGATCCTTTACCAATCAACGAATCTATCCTATATCGATCTGAAAGCATATCTCCTGCTCTTATAATGTAATCATAGTTTTCATCATCATGACCATTGTTGTATACCCTCTTCTTATTTGTGTGACCACCTTGTTCATTTGCTTTTTTCCTTTTCTTATTTGCATAATATACCTTCAAACAAAGTAGAAGTAAAGTATGTATGTATTCCTCAAAATATCCAAAAGAATAAAATGATTAAACAAATCATTCAATGCCTGCAAAATAGGATAAAACAGGAAATCATGGTCTTATGTACTTATTTATACAAAATATACCGTGTTACTAGTTTTGAGCATTTGTGGTCATTTCCGTATTACGTACATACCTCATTAATGTGCTTGTAGGTCTTTATTAGGTCAACACTTAATTTCCTTAAAGGTGCTGCAGATGGCTGCTGGCCTGATACTTGGGTATTAGGCACAGGCTGAGTCCGTTCTTCTTTTGACTCAGCCATTATTGTGCCAAGTTAAAACAACTGTCTCAACATCAATACTATTTCAAAAGGCATTCTCTACCACATAAAAAGGATTTAACTCCCTATAAATGAAAAATATTAAATATGGTATTGATCAAGTATTCGTCTGACATTGGAATGAAAAAGATAATATTTGATAAGTACAAAGCAAATGAATTTTGGAAAAGTAGTGGCATGTTAAACACAATCTTTTAAATTCTTGCTTTTACATAGCTTATAAGCAGATGCTTGACTTTATATCATTCTAAACTAGATAAAACAAATAAAATATTCTAGATTTATCTGTCGGTTTTTCTATCTCGACATGTAAAATTTAGAGGTGTTATTAATAATTAATATAAACAAATTTACAATCCAAATTGGAATATATTTGGCTGGCAAAATTATCATTACTCTCCTTATCAGTGTTAATGTGGGAATTCTCACAAAGCTGTGGTTTCAAAAATGTGATGTAAAACCTTCAAGTGAAGGCCATGAAGGAATTTATGCATCACAATTGACAGTTCATATATGGAGCCTGGAATTCAATAAACTTTAGCAAGTTTGATAACAAACATCATTTGACAAAATAATTTGTTCAAAAAGAAATTCTCCCTCAAATTTTTAAATATATTCTCACATATAGTCAAATTTTCATGTTTGTATGTTTAAAATAATTAAAGATTTTGCAATGGTGTACATTTCATGACATATTTCATGAGTTGCAAAAGAATTTGCTGAGTCAAAGCTTGCGATTATCAAGTATTACATGCAAACCAGAAAAGGACACAATGAAGATAATTTGTACAAAATTGATGGCAACATACCAAATGCAGGCGATGAATTAAAGCAAGAGATGGCAGTGCTAAATAAACCTATACTGAGTCATTTCTTTTCAAGCTTACACAATTGCAATCATCCCAAAAGTCTCATGAAGCACTTGAATTTTGTTTTTACGTTCCGCAATAACAATAAAATGAGCATTTATAAGCAAGTTATATTTGTAGTTAACTATAATTTGTCACTGTCCGAAAATTTCAGAACTATGCAGTTAAGAAAAAATAATTTTCAAGCAATTCTATTTCCTGTAAAGAATTAACTTCTTGAGCACGTCAAAAACAACAGCATTCCGAACTTATCAACAAAGTTTAGAGAGAGAAATATTTTTAATCGTCTCGAGTTACAGACAATATTCAATATGGCCGTCTTGGCGGGAGAAAACTTTGATAAAATGTATAAGTGTCTTCCACTTGTTTTTCACAAATTCTGTTCTCTGCATTTCAAACATAATTTGCTCTGAACAGCTTTTGTTCAATTTTTCTATTATTCGTGGGAATGATGTTTATATTTCCTAAATAAGCATACGTAACGCCGGCGAAACTCGCTGCAGTTTAATCAGTCGGTCATTTCTAATCGAAGGGAAGCTTTCATTATCACAGTATGCACAAAAGCTTTGCAAAAACTCGACCAAGACAATTATAAAGCAAAACTAATTGATGATCAAAATTCATCGTCAAACAATACACTGGCAACAAGACTTTTAGAAGACTTTTAAAACAGCGTAAGCTCTATCACCGAAACATAATAAGTCATACATAAATAACCAGTGGATTACTGTATTCAACATTTCTACGTCAAGAAATAATAACTTGCCCGTCTTACCCTGGAATCTTTATGGATTCAAAAATTACTCCACTTTCTTGTCCACGATATTAACAACTGACATTCTGTGTATTTAATGATCTGCGCCCTTTCGTCTAGATTTAAGCACAAAATTCGCTGTAAAAATTATATCCTCGTCACAACAAAAAAATTGCGCGCCCTCAGTTGCCTGTTGCTTTTCAACGTACCAAAACTCACAGAAGTTAAAGACAACTTTATGTACAATTGTGAAAGGTTTTCTTCCGAAACTTAGTCATCAAATATTCACATGAAACTAGCTTGCCGAGTACGATCACGAGTTCTTTTAACACAACAACAAATGTTGCGAAGGTTTGAAGCTACCCGCCATTGAACGTTTTGAAAATTAGTTCGAAAATATGCGAAAGAAACGGCCCACGACGATAACAAAGCGAGGGAAAGTCATGTGACGCTACACTCTGTTGCCATAGATACATCTTCATTTCTCGTAGTTATAGGAAAATACAGTTTGATCAGCAAATAAAATCTTTTGCTTACCTTTACTACCATATTATTTTACGGCTAACTGCACCAAAATTTATCAATAAATTAAACGAGAAAATGCCTGAAATGGAAAAAATTATGCATCAAAAAAAAAAAAAATGAAACAAAATTTCCGAGATAAAACCACGCCTGTCTGGTATAATTTATACCATAATAAAAGAACAACAACAGAATGTTGGAACTGCCGACAGTGGAAGCAGAATGAACCGAGGGAGAAATCACGGTTGGGAAAGACACGTCTAAAAAGCGTAGTTTAAAGGCGTGGATTATTGTTGATGAGATAAGAACTTTGAAATCTAATCGCACAACTCATTAAGTGAAATTTATGTATAGAGATGGGATACATGCTTCGTGTCTTCTTGGGTGTGGAGTTTAGACAGTGACATCAAAATTCAATGTCTTTTCTTCTAGCCATCTCCTTGGGCCCTTTTACTTGTCCTAAATAGTGTTGTCTAAACAGGTTTGGAGTTGGCTAAGGAATGGAAAATGATTGGTTAAGAAGTGGACCCCCAAAGCATCTAACTTCTGTTGGATGATGATAATTCTGATATACATAATAGTCGCATAAATCGTGGTTATAACTCTAAGCCAACAGGCCATTAGAGATCAAATAAACCAAGTGAAGCAAGGCGATTCAGTCAACACCTATAACTTTACTATAAATGTATTGCAAACGATGACTACACTACTATAAAAGGTTTTGCATTGGCGCCTCGATATTATAATTATCGACGCAGGTATAAATTTTACAAGATTATACTTAAATTCAAGGCATTCACACGTACATAAATATATTATATATACAAATAAACTAGGCTAAAATAATATTGGACGCACGTTACCACTACTTCCATGCTGCAACTGGTCTTCCTACACCTTTTTTGACGCCATTTTTTGATAATGAGAAAGAGTTTGAAGATTTCCTTATTTTTGTAGTTTTGCCGTCGGTCTTCCGCTCGGTTTTTCGTGAAGGAGCAGCTGCAAGTTCGGAATGACTTGATATAACATTTCTTGAAGGTGTTTTTACCTCCGCTGACAAATGTTTGCTGTTGATGACCCTTGTAGATATGTCTTCATCACCTTGAAATGGAACCTATATGAAAAGACATACACATTAATAAACATTAAAATGCGCCCACAAGGCGAAGTTCAAGACTATGGCCAATTAATATGAATCTTTCAACTTCTTTAAACAACGCTGAAGTAAAAAAGGTTCATTTGATATTGCTCATACTGATCTTTTTAGATAAACTTTCTGGGCAAAAAATTGACGTATGAACATCGCGGTTAAACGTCGGCATGTGGAATGTTTCCCAATGAACGCAATCATTCGCATTACCTGAGATTTTTCTGGTAGTTTTGATACTGGCATTTTTCTTTGTTTTACTTTCTTTGTGGTCATGATTACTATTTGGTGTCTTGCTCTTTCTTTCCGCCGTCAATGCTTTACTTTCGCCCAGTTCATGTCTACAACATATACATTAATCCACCAATGACTGCATATATACATTATTAGGGTCGCCTATAATCATGAAATGCCCAAGGTTCGTGTTTCCCATATCGTACTCCTCTAAAAACCACATGACCGTATAGTTAAAATTCTTAATAGGAAAGGTGAATGGACGATACATGTACCATAGTGTTACTAAATATAGAGCGTATAGCAAAATATTGACTAAGAAACACAAATTTATCAAAGATATATTACACTTATTTACCTTATTTGAACATCTCGGAGGTATTGAAACAACTTTCGAGGGGAAAATCCTTCATTTTTTAAGCTGTCTTTTTGATACAATTCTATCAGTCGAGTCAATTGACCTACTTGTTCAGGAGTGAAAGAGGATTTTGCTGTTGATACTGAACGTTTTTCTTTGCTGGGAGGAGTTTGGTTCACTTGAGTTTTATTAAAACGCTTGCCAGGAGTCTTGAAGAGACAATAGAGGCGTATGTAAAAAGCAAGAGTGCAATCTTTTCTTGACACTTTTCTATTTATTTTGTAGAGAAAGTGGAAGGACTTTTCCCATGTATAAACAGAATCAAACTGAAATCACTCAAGTCATTTTATTCTGTAGAGGAAATAAACGTCCTATCTAAATCTACGAATGTCAAACATAACTTACAGCAGCAGATTTAGAAAAAGCCATTTGTTTTACATCTGAATAATCGATGTCTGAATGACCAGATTTAATGGTTATCAAGTCCTGCAAATAGAATCACGTGTAATGATTACATATCAATAGTGACATCTTATGACACTTAATTACGTCATTACATATTACTCAATATCGACTTGTGGCGGTCTAATCGTGAGCAGAAATGCATTTAATAGATTAGGAGGCACAAGTTTATAATAGGTTGGCAGACTAAAATACAGATACAGTTCTTATGCAATTTATCGAATTTCGCGAATTGACTCGAATTAAAATTTTTTCAAGTCAAATTACAAATACACTAAAAAGTATCATACAGATTGCATTCAAGACCACACAGCCAGATCACTCGTTAATTTACGTATAACACTAATTACGGTATTTACGGGTGTAAAATTTTCTATTCATACACGCAAACAACATCCTTAAAAAAAATGAAAGAAAAAAATTATACTTGCCTTTTCCATATTGCTGACGTCGACTTTCTTGCCATCACTACTGACATAATCCGAATCATTTTGACCTGAGCAACAAATAAATTATTGGAATAATCTTTAGTTGATGGTTCAGTTAAAAATCGTACGCAAAATGTACTGACTAAAACTTTTTCCTCAGTGCCGGCTTCCAAAAACTAAACTTTTCAGGCAATAAAATATAAAAGATAATCTATGTACATCAAAAATGTATAATTTTTCGTCTTGGAAATATAAAATTTGTCACTCAACAATTAAAAATGTCCAAAAATGTCCATTGAACTTCAATTTTAATAAATAAACTTCAAACATAACTTTAATGAGCTTTTCACAATGGTTGTTTTGGATGTCCGTTGTGTAAAGTTTATCAACCATTAATATAAAATACTTTCTATTTTAAATTTTGTCAGCTTATAGAACGCACGATACCTGATAAATGCAACCTACCATCGTCAACTTTAAACTCAGCTCCATCATTGATGCCATCACTAGCACTACTTGGAGATTTTTTTAAAAGCTGTAAGGTGAATAACAAACAGAACAGATCAATTCACCATTTTTACTTTTTAGTCTTTGTTTCGGACTTAAATTAATAGTTCTTACCTGACGAACGTAGTGATTTAATTCAGATTGCCTTGACTGTTGCTGTTGAAGCATGTTCAACACATCCATGCTAAGGTTTTTGGATAGACTATCAAAGAAAAGTAAAATAAAAAGTTATGTCATAATACAGATAGAAATTACGTAAAAACATAAAGAAAGGAAAGACTATGTTAACCTTGTTTTGCTTTCATCAAGTGAATGTTCCACGAAACTTTCGTTGATTTCCTAAATCAGAAATATTTGATGCAATCATCTATTACAATCATACAAATAAAGAAAATGAGCCACAGAGGAAATCTTATTAGAATGAAGTCGAAAATATGAATATTTTTGTTGACATCGCCGGCTGGAAATTGGGCACTCCCAATTATAATTCCAAATTATATAGTGTATCTAAACAATAAAAAATATCAGTAGATATAAGAATTTAATATAAAAAAGTATGCAAGAAAAATATTCAGGGTTTTAACTCCCCGACAAAAAAACTTTTCAACGCCATTGCTATTATGTGACATGTCCATAATAGCCTAACAATTCTTAATCTAATGAGAAACACATAGGGATGAGACATGTATAGTGACGAGAGTTTCTACCAGGTGCATATTTGATCTAGCAGCATAAGGAAGTGCACACGGGGCGGAAAGTCCGTCAACAAAATGCCGCAAGTAGCCATTTTTTCATACTATAAGCAACAACCTTACACCATGTAAACTGTTATGGCTGAATCAAACCTCTTCTTCAATGTCGGGATCTTGCACTTGTTTTTGAATGTGAAACTCTTGTTCATTTTTATGATTGGGTTGAATCGTTTCAACATATGGTTGACGGTCATGTTCTATGACATCTTCGTCCTGAATGTCAGATGTATTTGGACCTGCGTGCAGGACAGGTAGTCGTACCCAATTCTGGATTATTTCATTACTCATAAGGTTTCTCGTTGTCTCATCGTTGACATGAGAATATTGTTGCTGCTGCAGTACAGTCTGGTCATGACTATTTAACATTGATGAACGCATCGTATAGTTACGGGGAGTCACATACGACGAGAAAACACGATTTGTATCGTTTAGAGGAGCAACGTTTGATGTACTTGCGATGACAGATGGTGCTTTTGTTGGCTGAGAAAATTTAAGAACTTTTATTTCTGATTCTTACACAGTACGACTAAAAGAGGTAATGAATAATAAACAATACACATGTACGACTAAAAGAGGTAATGAATAATAAACAATACACATGTACGACTAAAAGAGGTAATAAATAATAAACAATACACACGTACGACTAAAAGAGGTAATGAATAATAAACAATACACACGTACGACTAAAAGAGGTAATAAATAATAAACAATACACACGTACGACTAAAAGAGGTAATGAATAATAAACAATACACACGTACGACTAAAAGAGGTAATGAATAATAAACAATACACATGTACGACTTAACAGAAAGTTTAACTCCGTTTTAACTCGTGTATCATGAGAAGAGCATACAATAATTTTACAGCGAGTAAGAATGTTTTTGATAAAATTATCATATGTGTTCATTGGACAAGAACAACAGCTAAACAGGCTATAGAACTACTTTCTCATAACTCAATAAGACATACAAAAGAGGACAATATATAACAGAGTAAAAATTGCCATTCATTGTTCGTGAAAACAATTAATTGCATTCCTCGGAAAGCTTAGCTGCAAATCATTAGGAAAATCGTCTGAGCATGCGTAATACATTCAACCAACTGTCATAGTTCATAGTCATGACAATGACTAACTAAGGCCTGATTACACGAGCCCGGGTAGCCGGGATTCAGCGAAGCGTTAAATGATTTTGGCAAATGGAAACGATTCAATACTTATCATCAGATAAATCATCTCAAGCAATTTCACAATATTCTGATTTAGTAACTACGCAAAACATTTAGAATTAAAACAACCATTTTGGCCTAATTTGAGAATTACAACCGGGATGACGTGTGGCGCTTGTAAACAGTTGTAATTTTTAACCTGGAAGTTTTGGCTTCTTTCAATCCCTTGAAAATCATTGGGCTAGCTCGCTATCCGGGCAAGCTCGCCTCCATATAATCAGGCCCTAAATCTACTTGCACTATTTTCGGAGTAAATAACTCACTTAGTCACAAATAATAAGAAAACTCGTTTGACCATGCGCAGTCCGCTTGACTAATTGTTTGAGTTCATAGCAATGGGAATAATAAATTGGATGAAATTGCACTGTTTTTAGAGTAACTGGCTTACTTGCATGACCAAATATGAAGTGGTTTGAGGTCATTATTTACATTTTTATACACTTTTGACTGGTTTATACATATCACGATTTAACTATCTCATTAGAAAACCATCCATGGGCTTCATGGCAAACAAGAATTATCTTCTTACTATGTCTCATTTAATGTTGAATTACTTTTGAAGTTTTTAAAGTCCTATACGCATGTACGACGCGACAAAAGTAATAGATGCTAAATATTACACATTTACAAAGCAACTGCGGTACGTAGTTAAAGAACAAATACATAACTACAAAATCTTCAAAATCCACATTTTGCTGTACACGAGCAACTGATTTTCCAACAAAAAAGAATTCCGTGCATGGTTTTATCAATAATTGCATAAAACTTACTAAATCGTCATGATAACCGTCTTTCCTTGGTATTCTCAACGTATGCTTGGTGGTCGAAGTCAATAAAGACATAGCTTCAGCACAATGGGACTGCATCATTTTTTGAAGTTGCTTTATCATATCGTACCTGGTATTTGAAAACGAAAACGAACGTTATAAAAAAAGAATAACAATATTTTACTTGATTCTCAGTTCTCGTGAAATTAATTCATTGAAAACAATGGCATTAGTGACAGTTTACAAATATATATTTCAACCTAAGAAGGACAGTAACAAAAAACACACAATGTACCACCAGTCCACCGCAAATTTAAACAATAAAGAAACAGACTTTTCTTTCCTTAAAGCTTCGTGTTCTTTTGAGACAGAAACAAGATCCTTATGTGACTTTTCCAGCCTAAGACAATCAAAATTACAAGAGTCCACAGCAGAAAAAAATTAAAAGACAAATTTGAACAGACTTAGGATCACTTAAACGCAAATACCGTTCTTCATAGCCATCTGTTGTTTCTTTAATTTTTCTATCTCTTTCCTTTAACTGCTAATGAAACGGTATGTGGATGAAGATAATATTTTGAGAAGAAAAAAAGAAACAAACAGTAACTCATAACAAGGATGTAACATGGACACACAATGTGGCAGAATCGTGGAATACCTGAGTGGATGAAGACAGTATTTTGAGAAGAAAAAAAGAAACAAACAGTAACTCATAACAAGGATGTAACATGGACACACAATGTGACAGAATCGTGGAATACCTGAGTGGATGAAGACAGTATTTTGAGAAGAAAAAAGAAACAAACAGTAACTCATAACAAGGATGTAATATAGACACACAATGTGACAGAATCGTGGAATACCTGAGTGGATGAAGACAGTATTTTGAGAAGAAAAAAGAAACAAACAGTAACTCATAACAAGGATGTAACATAGACACACAATGTGACAGAATCGTGGAATACCTGAGTGGATGAAGAAAGTATTTTGAGAAGAAAAAAAGAAACGAACTGTAATTCATAACAAGGATGTAACATGGATAAACATTATTAATCGTGAAATACCTGATGGAAGTTATTTAACTGCTCTTCTAAATCTCTTCTGTATTTTTTCGTTAGATCTTCAATCTTTCAATAAAAAACAATTTATACAATGGAAAATACACAAACATGTATGATGGAGTAGTTGGAATATCCACAGAAATAATAGTAGATATTTTAGTTTTTCACCTGTTTCTTATGAGCATTCTTTATTTCATTTTCGGTCTTACTCAATTGACTTTGAGCTTCCCGTAGATTTTTGCTCATCTTAATATTGCAAAGAAATTTAATCATAGCATAAGTATTATTCATCAAGAGATGCGACCTTCTCAAAATTCTGAATGTTTCATATTCAAAATGTTCAAATAAAGTAAAGTTACTTGTCGCTCAAGCTCCGCTCGATGCTCGCTTTCTTGCCTCGTTCGCTGGGCCTCAAACTTAGCCGTCATTAAAGTTATTTCTGTTTTCAAATTTTCCTAAAATATGCAAGAAACTACGACGCATAAAGGTGAAATGTTTTGACAAAACGTTGTTATATGTCGTGATATCAATGGAAATCTAGGATAAAAACCAACAACAAAAAAATTAAGATGATAATACGGGGAATTCGGCAAAAATACATTAAAGAATGCAAGTACTTTTGATATGTTTGTCGTAGTACTTATGTAGTTGCTACCTTTTCACGAAAACATGTATCCAATTGTTGAGTTAGTTGTTGAACTTCTTTTTGAACAGCACTCAGAACACGTTGGCTATCCTGAATGAAGAATACTGTTAACAATAACAGATTACTCTTTAAACATTAAATGTGTGAACGAGTAATATGCTTTTCACAATTTCCTTACATACTTCAGCAACTTGTTTTTCGCGATCAACAAGTTTCTAAAATAGAACAAAACAGGTATCTAATTAAAGATAATTAAATCATACGTAAAACTTGAATAATGCCAAAGTGGTTCACTGGGAGGTAGCAAGATGGCTTACTGGGAGTTAATGAACCAACGTGGTCTACTGGGAGGTTGCTAACCAACGTGGTTTGCCTGTAAGTAGGGAACCAACGTGTATTATTGAGTTAGTGAGCCAACGTAGTTAATTGGTAGGTAGTAAACCAACGTGGTTTACAGGTAGGTAGTAAATAACATGGTTTATTGGTAGTTAGTGAACCAACGTGGTTTATTTGTAGGTAGTGAACCCACATGGTTTATTAGTAGGTAGTGAACCAACGTGGTTTATTAGTAGGTAGTGAACCAACGTGGTTTATTAGTAAGTAGTGAACCAACGTGGTTTATTGGTAGGTAGTGAACCAACATGGTCTATTAGTAAGTAGTGAACCAACGTGGTTTATTGGTAGGTAGTGAACCAACGTGGTTTATTGGTAGGTAGTGAACCAACGTGGTTTATTAGTAGGTAGTGAACCAACGTGGTTTATTAGTAAGTAGTGAACCAACGTGGTTTCTTGGTAGGTAGTGAACCAACGTGGTTTAATGGTAAGTAGTGAACCAACGTGGTCTATTGGTAGGTAGTGAACCAACATGGTTTATTAGTAAGTAGTGAACCAACGTGGTTTATTGGTAGGTAGTGAACCAACATGGTCTATTAGTAAGTAGTGAACCAACGTGGTTTATTGGTAGGTAGTGAACTAACGTCGTTTATTGGTAGGTAGTGAACCAACGTGGTTTATTAGTAGGTAGTGAACCAACGTGGTTTATTAGTAAGTAGTGAACCAACGTGGTTTCTTGGTAGGTAGTGAACCAACGTGGTTTATTGGTAAGTAGTGAACCAACGTGGTCTATTGGTAGGTAGTGAACCAACGTGGTTTATTAGTAAGTAGTGAGCCAACTTCATTTATTGGTATCCACCACAGCAACTAACCATTAGATAACAGTCATGCATCTGCATATCCACGGTCACAATCATAATATCAATTGCCACAAGTCAATGCATGCAATTATTGCTTACCCTTTCGTTTTCCATGTCTTGAGCATGCGTTTTAGTAATGAGTTCAATTTTAGATTCCAACTGAGATTTTTCTTCTTGCCAAGTAAGTTTCTCCTACGGAAAAAAGATATTTCCTCACCATATAACATGCAATAAATAAATCCTACTCCATTCAAATTTTTCAAGATATTAAAAAACGGTCTGCAAAGAGAAATAAGGCCAACATTGCAGTAAATTATTCCCACAAAATATCCATATTTCCAAGTTTTTTCTTCAAATTTTTACCTGTTCAAATAAGCTTTGAGATTCTTTAGCAGATCGTATACTTTGCTCGAGATTTTCAAACTCTTTGCCAAAATTTTCATTTTTTGTTTTCTCTCGTTCTAAGGCTTGAGCAAATTCATTTCTTTCTTTCATGAAGGCAGAAATCTATTAAAATTGTAAATGCATCCGGAATGGTCAGAAAGGCTACATTTATTAAAGCAACTTGGACTTCACCCATCACGCCCATGCTATGAAATACTCATGTTTTATTCAGTTTTATACTTGATTATCTTTATCACGTTCAACATCTGTAGCTCTCTGTTGTTCTCGTGACAAAGCAACAGCGGCATCGTTTAAATCTTTCTCAAACTGTGCTAGCACTTCTTGTTGTCTAAGCTGAAAATTAGCATCGTTTTCGTGTTGCTCTTCTAGTTTATGCATTGCTTCAAATTTTTCTTCCTCGTGTTTTTTCCAGTCCTCCACAACCCGAGCAAGAGTCTAGAATGATAAGTTTTAGTCATGTACTGAAAAAAATTTTTGGCTATCTTTCTCGTTTGTGTATACTAACACTACAACGGTTCAGTACTTCGTTATTGGGAATGTAGAATTATTACTTCTCAATCATTCACTTCTCCTTATTTACCTTATCCAGTTGATTGATCATGAGATCTTTCTTTCTCGCAGCTGAAAAAGCAGCAGCAAGTTCTTGTTGTGATTCCAAAAGCTAAAATGAAAAGAATGCCAAAATATTGCATCATGAATGAGCGTATTTTGCGAGACGAGAGTGATTTTGATTACCTTTGCCTGAATACCTTTTATTTGTTGTTCACAGTGCTAAAAGAAATTTTAAGAAAATCGGTATAATGTTTTAGAGTAACCAAAGCAATGTTGCCCAACCGAAATAACAAACAAAAGTGACAGCCATGATGCAAAATACTTTTAAATAACTACGAATTAATTCAATAATTTGCTGAACAACCAATATAATACAGTGACCAATAAAAATAAGTAAATTCCTGTTAGTTAAACCGTGGGTATTAAATGAATATCCAACTCAATCAAAACGGCAAAGAACCTTTCTTTTGGAACGTTCTTTTTCAAGAGTTTCTTTAAGAAGTGAGTTCTCCAGAAGAAGAGACTTGTCGTGAGTTTTATCAGATGTATTTCCTGAACCAAGGCGTACAACTTCATGCGTCATTTTTACCTACGAAAAAACCAACAATATTTAAAAAATTACCACAATGCAGGCGGAAGATTAAAATTAGTTACTATAAACAACACAGATGGCTAGCAAGATAAATAAAACGTATTGAAGCAGAATTCGCGTTACGCTGAATGTAGAGTTGCGTTGTTGCGTTGAATGTAGCAGTGATAAAGCAAGCTCAACTGTTTACTCTTGCTATGTAAATATTGTTTCTGTTTACATGTTCATTTAATGAAAAATAGTGAATGACAGAAGTAAGTTGCACTGGCTTCACATTTTGATTAAAGTGAAAACCACTTACATGCAAAGAGTAACGAAAAGACTAAAAGTGAAGATTTTCTTTGTTGGGCAAGATACGTAAGACAGCAGACTAAACGACTATAGCAATTGATTTATACATATGATTGAAAACTGAGGAATTATAAATTATGTTTGATATTATAATAAACAACAAAAATATCACTATTGACAAAAAAACAATTTTTACCTCCTTGGAATCATTACTAACAAGACTGTTCACCAATTTTGCATTGGCTAAGCTAGGGAACATTTGCTCATCAATGTTTGATGAATAACATAAAATATCTACAAATAGATTATAATTAAAACAATGTTTTCATTGACTGAGAAAATTCAATACAAACGGTATATATGTTGGTCTTAAAATAAGACACTCCTTTTTTTCATGATTTGAAAGGTGCTTTCATTTGTGCTTTCAACTATGAAGTTAACTTAAACCATATTTAAAGAATGATATAATATATTGACTATGTACTAACCGCCAGTGGTATGCAATGATTTTGAAGCAACTTCGTCATCTTGAAGATAGTTTTCTGAAGTTTGGAGCATACTTTGTAGAGATTGACGCACTTTTTCTATTTCTTGAATATCAACACTGGTCAAAGTGTCATTAATGTTTGGCTCAGTCTAAAGTTGCAATAAAGAAAGACATCAATGTACAATAAGCATAAGACAATATATTACAAGAGCTCAACATAATCAGCATTTAATGAAATACATATTTATATTACACATATTCATGAATCAATTAAGTAGGAAAAAATAAGTAACAAGAAACAAAATGAAATCATGTCAATAAAACATCTAAGAGCAGGTTGGATAATAGGATCATTAAAGAGGTTTGAAAAATAGCTGGTTCAATTGGCTTGAACACTTCAACTATCTATACACAAACAAACAAGATGTTACACATTTGATGAGTACTGAGTAGCAAATTACATTATGGTTACATGGTTGAAATTAGCACCTTCAATGACAATTTAGTTACTAAAAATACAATAAAATTTATCAACCTTCTCTGCTACATCTGATGACAATTTTCTTCTTTCATCATTACTTGGTCCAGTAGGCTCCATCACAGCAAATACAACACACTAAATATTTGATAAATAAATGTTAAGTAGTTTTGAAATATTGAAAATCATACAATTCCAATTAGTGCATTGTAGATTAGAAATTACACTCATCTAATTCATAAGACATACATAAAATATTTATTATGCAATGCTAATTACATTTTTTTAAAAAAATTAATTTTTAATATAATGATTCTGGATACTAAAGCCCAATCTTTTGTCATTCAAATATTTTCAAACTGCTAAATTGTTAAGAATGTGTACTGTATAGTATGTAAGTTGATCATATTATGTTGCTCAATATCTAAGATCTTCTTCACATTAGCCAAGCTGGCTCGCTTTGCCAGGCCAGTTCATTATTTGACTCACATGAGGCGGGCTCGCCCAGCGAATACAGAAATATTAAATTACGTGCATAAAGCATTGTACTTCAAATCTTGATATTCCATGTTACTTTTATACACTGAAAGAAAGTCAACCAGGCTCTGCACCATTTCTATGGCACAATCATTTTATAGTGAACTGATCTTCATAAGCTGATGAGCATGCACACTAGTACAATGCTTGGCACTACATGCTGGGCTACCATGCCTTATGCATTAACATGAACCTGTTTACATGCTAAGATCTCACCTCATTTAAGAAAGATCCTTGCAAGAAAAGTAGCCATGCTGCTGGCAACTCATATGAATCAAAAGTTGAAAAGTTATAGAAATACTATAAGATGCAAGATCTTGCAACTGCCAAGCTAGCCTGATAAAGGGAGAAAGCCCTAACTTTGTTTGTTTGACATGCAATAAAACACTTTCCATCTATGAATTCAAGCAAATGACAGAAACAAGTGAGCTCCAGGGATGGCTAGCTATTATCTGACAAATAAATGTTCACTGACATATATGAATAAAAATAAGGCAACTATGCGAAATTGAGTAAAACAGTTAAATTATAAAGTTTCACTTTTTTCAAAAATTATAAAATTTCACTTTTTTTTCGAACGACTTCGTCAACAAATATTTAAAAAATGGCAGGAAAATTCAAACAATTTTGATAATTGCAATGCAGGGAAAAAGCCTTTCGCTTTATTTGAACAAAAATACTGGCTCCTATAAAAAATGAGCATAAAATTTTTCCCAATCTACAAATACTTTTAAATATACACAGTGGTGCACCAACATTTAAGTTTTAACATAAATTAATCAGTAATTACCTAAAACATTCTACACAAATCCACAGCACAATGGTTAAATGTTAAAAGATCTCCATAAAATGCAGAATAAGTACATAAAAATATCCAATAGATCATACATCATAAATAAAAACTCCTGAAATCCCATTTATTAATATATACATATGATAACATCATGGAAAACATTTGCAAAAATATTCAAACAGCAGAATCAAACTTGTTTCCATCCACTAAAAAACGTCTAAATTTCTACAAACACAATTCAAGTCCCTAAAACTGGAGACAGTAGATCTAAGTAAACGTTATTTCAATCGTATCTTAGTTTTATCTTAAAGACTGAAAAATCACTATGGGCTTAGTTGAAACAAATTTTAGTTGTATCCCAAACATGTTGTATCATTATTATTTTGAAATGGTAGAAAATATTTTAAATCAGGGGGGGTGTAGTAAACACGTAATTGACACCGATCTCAAATTTTTGGTTGGCAGTTTATAAATTTACGATTTAGGAAATTTATCAAGAAAATACTGACGATGCATTATTTCTTTATGATATTAAAGGCGACATGTTTCAGTGTATAGCTGAATGAAGACTCTGTAGGCCATTATAAAGAAGTGGATCTGGATAAATCTGATGCCTCGAATTCGACTTCGCCGTAAGGCCATTTTTTACCTGTTTCTGGTAGTATGTGTGAATGTTATTTTATGGTGTCTGCTTAATGCCATACATTGGGACCATCATGTGTCGTTTAGGAAGTTAGCTATAAACTCATCAATGAAGCAGTTAATTAATAAATTGGTTCCAGAACCTAAACATGTTTTGACATTTGAAATTGGAAGGCCGAAACCAGAAGGAGATTCTTCATTCTGTCGTTTTACTCAAAGTGTTGGCCTTGAGCTCCTTGCTGAAAACTACTTATACCCTAAAAAAGACATTGATGAAAGAAAATGCTCAGGTGAGACTAGTATATGTTCAGTAACTGTTACCCAATCTACCTCACATCTCATTAACTGTCAAGACAATCCTTGTGGATCTTTTGTAAAAGTGGGTACAATATTCAAAGAAACAGGTAAATTGCAATGGGAAGATGTCAATTCAGGCAGACTTGAAAATTTTATTGAAGAATTTGTTATTGAAAATCTTGATGATATGTATCCATTTTTCATGCTAAAATGTAAAAACAGAACAGACCATGATAAAACCACTGGTCAGACTCCACATTTGGTTGCAATACCTTTGTCTACAGCTACAAATATATCGGAGACTAAAAAAGATGTCAATATAAATATCTTGTTTTTAAATGCTGTCTCAAGACGCCATTTTTACAGATCTTTACCAAAAACAATAGCAACATTCCGTGGCATTAACCTGAACCCTAAATCAACATCCAATGTTTTAGACTTTGAACTATACCAAGCTTTAGGATCCTCTTCCATTGATGCCATTATGGGTCTTATAAATGGTGAAAGTACTAACTTGAAATCTAAATCAAAGAATTTGCTAAGACACTTTAAAGAAGCAGGGTATCAAACCCTTTGGCAAACAGACAAATGTTGGCAATCTGACTCGACATTTTTTGACTTTTTTGGCATCGACAAGGGAAAAAACGATTTGGATGCATTAAAAGGAATTTTAAACAATGAATATATTGATTCAACTGGTGTTACACATGCTGGTTGCTTGATGAAAAGTGTCATTCCAACAGAAAAGATGGACTCTGTTGAGCACTTATGTGTAAATGGAAGATTTCAACATGATTATTTATTGGATTATGTAATGCAATCTTTGAGTGCCGTTACTGGACGTCCATCTAAACCACTGTTTTCCCTAGCATCTTTGAGTTTAGGAGAAGAAGCAAGTGGGAGTCATATACAACTATTGGATGCATCTCTTGCAAGCTTTGTTTCTAAAATGGCTGCAGACAAGAACACCATAACTATTTTGATATCAGATCATGGAAACACATTTGATATGTTTCCTGTGCAAACTATGGAGGGTCAATATGAACAATACAACCCATTCTTATTTATGGTTTTACCTACTTATGTTGCTTGGCGACTTGGGGAATCCAAGAAAAAATATGTTTTAAATAATCAAATAAAACTAATCTCAATTTATGATATTCATAATACAGTGTTTTCATTGGTTGAAAATCCTGCACCATCAAATGAGACCATGAGCAATGGATTGTTTGAGAAAATTGATGTTGAAAGGAATTGCACTCATCTCAAATTGTCAATGTCTTCTTTGTGCATTTGTGATGGCTGGAACTCAAAACAACACCCAAACAATTTCCATTATATAATTGCTGAGTTTGCTTTAGGTCAACTGAATAACTTAATTGCAACTCAGTACTTCAATCAAATGAGCCAGGACGTCCCATTTAAAACGTGCGAAAGACTAAAAGGAGCTTTATTGCAGAATATCAATCAAAAACGAATTCAAAATGGTTACATTGCCACAGAAATCGACATTGCCGTACAAAGTAACGTATTGTATCGTGTCAATGTTAAATGGCATGGAGATCACAATCCCGCGATGGAGATGGCTCTTATAAACTATGAAAGAAAGCACAACGATCAAGAACATGCGTCATCATGTTCTACTTACATCGATCGTGACTTGTGCGTTTGTCAATCTTTGCAACATGCCTCGATGCCAGGCAAAATCCCAAATTGGAGAAGATATGGTGACGTCTTTCAGAGAAGTACAAGAGCGGATAATCGCCATAATCACTGTCTTTACATTCTCTCTAGAGAATACAGTGTAAGCACAGTGTTTGAAGCAGCAAACATGTGTAATCATGTGACTTACTCTGTTAAGATTAACTTCGAATTGGAAAACATGAGAACACCAACAGAACTACCAGTAAATGTTACTATTCCTCCAAAATCTATAAAATTCTTGACATTTGTCATGCCTTTGCATTTAACAAATCCTGGAACATGGGAATACGAAGTAGACTTTACTGTTTCATAGAGTAAGTAATAATTATGGTTTTTCATATAAACATAAGATGAAAGCAAAACTTAATGCTTTGGATCCAGTGATTAACTCCAGTGAGAAACAACAGATTTGTCGTAGTTAGCAACAAGCTCAGGAAACAATTTCTTCATATTAAAAGACTTGAAGAACTGCAATCGATGACTAAAAATGAAAAAATCGATGATGAAGAATCAATTACATTTTCAATATATATCACAAGCTCAGTAATTGAAAAAGAATGTACAAATTGTGTTTAGAGATGACGAACGTCAATATTTTTTTAACGCCTAAGTCCCTAATATATTATTGACTTTTAATATCATTGCGTTAAGTTTGCATCTTTTCTACGATGAAATTGCGTCCATCCAGCAATCTGCCGTTAGTACATGCAGACTTAAAATCTTTTTATGTGAAGTGTTTTAAAGACATCAGACTATATTGAGCGGAGAGACGACGACGAATCTGGGCGAGAAACGACGTTCTGTATACGGAATTGATTTAACATTTTTCACTTATTCCACTCACAAATCTGGATGTTTAAATTCTTTAGTTGCAGGATAGAGAGCTTCATATTTCCTAGCGTCTCCTGACCCAAAAATAGCGTACGCATTCATCATCGTTACATCTGGAGGAAAATAATTCACGGGAATCTTTGCCTCTCCATTCCAGTGTTTTGCATATTTATTTGAAGTGAACTGCAGCTCCAATTGATCCTGTATACAAAATGTAATGACTCCTTATGAATTGAAGAGTAAGGAAGAATTGATTAGTGGTAAAATTTGGCCCAATTGTCAAGTAGTTTCAAACAGAGTAACATGCAGATACAGGGTACATTTGAAAGCGCCCCTGTATGGTTAAACAAATTTTAGGTGTCTTCACAATCTAACATAGTTTAGAGCAAGGATTAATTATCATGCATCATACCAAAATGTGAAAGGCTAACATAAGACACACCAAGAGCCTTTACATGAGAGAAAACACTCAGAATGCGAAGTTAGTCATGTACGTACGCAGAAAGTAGAATGATCGAAAAGACAAAATTCCATGTTAGCTCCTTTATTATAAGAAGAACCATAGTCGTGAGGATACTAGGAGCATGGACACAGTAAAAGCATATTTTCAGTATATACCTTGAATATATTTCTGACTCCGTTTAACATTAACACCAAATGTTGACCATGCCTAGTATAGAAAAACCTTTAGTTTGAGTAATCAGTAACGCGTTTCTTGGTGGACTAGTACTATAAAAATGACTTGCACATTTTGGAAAACTATGGCTGCCAATATTGTAAACAAAAAGTATGAACAAAAGTATTTGAATTATAAGGTGAAACAATAACTCAAGTTAATATAAAACTTAAATATAAAGGTGTAATTCTTCATACAAACGTTCAAAGTTTGTTGATGGGGATCGATTGAGTGGGGTAAATCGTTCATTTCCTTTACCAGGCTACCCCAGGGTGGTTCGTTCGACCATAGATTGCATTAGTAAACTTGTGAGTGTAAAATCGTAGATGAGTGTAATGTGGCACAACTGATGGCAATTTTAGAAACGACGAATGAGGAAAATTGGAATAGTGACATCTAGTTAAAATATTTGGAGAAGTTTAAATGTTTCCATAATTCCGTAATAGCACAAGGGATGTTAGACATTTTAAGTAGACGACAAGTTTTTTCAATGAAGCTAACATGTTTCGGCATACTTTAGGCCATCTTCAGTGCAAACAGGGGTGGATCTAGGATTTTTCAAACATACTTGAAAGTTTGAATTTCAAAGCCTCGGAAATGCAATTTTCAGCGTTTTGGAGCAGTACAAAATGTTTTTTGTGAGAATTATTTTTGCGTAATAACAACACATTTTGCTAACGTTTTTTCAAAAAAAAAAACTGTGAAGTGAGCAATACTAGAATGTTTTGCCATATGTTAAGACTGGGCACTTGCCCGGGGGCCTCAACAAACAAGGGCCCCCGCATTATTTAAAGGAAAATTAAACATTGCTGCTTTACAGAACAAGGGAAAACATTCTGTTTACTCGTTAGGACGGTTAGGTTAATTCCAGTTGGTAAAGAACAGACTACGTATGACAATGAATCACGGTAAAATCAGCCATTTTACTTTCATGAGCATTGAGGACAATATTCTAAAAGAAATGAACTTGGATGAACTTATCAAAGACTGCAAGATCAAATCCCACGAACTACTCAATCTCAAGTAACATTTAATCATCGTATGCAAATGCACGCTATATTCTAAGTTCATACTTTTATCAGATGTTTTGCGAAATTTGTATTTAAATTTTGCTATTGGAAAAATGGGCAGTCAGAGTAATGGAAAGGGGGCCTTTACATATTTTTGTTGCCCAGGGCCTCCACACATCTTAATCTGGCCCTGGTTAAAATCTTTTCAGAATATGATTTTCAACAAAAGCGACAAAAATATATTGTGTCAATGCATGGAGTATTGTATCATATAAACCAACTGTTCGTCAAGAAAAAGTTCTTGTAAACATGCCCAGTGAGCTACACTTACGGACAAAGTTCAACTTCCAAATATTTTTCATTTGTTCCAAGAAAAAAAATTTCCACAACTACAAAAAAATTAGCAAAACTTGAAACAGAATTAAGTCTCAAATGATTGATAAATGAAATTTTGATGTTATTTCACATATTGTTATCTGCTACAAACCTTCATAATCCCATAGCTGACTACAAGGTTTCCCAACTGGTGAATTTGGTTTGGCAGGATCATTAAAAAAAGGTGCTTCCACATTTACTACCATAGACTTCATGTCGTCACTAGTTGATAAAGTAAACTTGACTGGATCATGTGTAGTTATAATATCTCCATTCCATGTATTCTTTACAAAATATTCCTGACAAAAGAACAAAAAACTAAATTACTTCTAAAAAAATACGTATCAACAAAAATTATTTATTTTTTCATTATAATGGCAGTGCATCAAATATAGTTAAGTAAATTTGAGTATAATAACAATTATTCATTTCCTTTGAAATCTATTTTTCTTGTACCAGTAGTAAATAAGAACTATTGAAAGAGCAGGAGTAAATAAATGGCGGGTTATGCAACAGACTGACTCATTACTAGCCTGTTATTGAGAAGAAGGGTAGATAAAGAAAACAAAATTAACATTTCAAACAATGTACATGCAAATTATGATTAAACAAACTTGGTTTTAAGGAAATGATTGTGGATTGAAAAAAGATTGTGGATTATGGTTATCTTTTTCCATAACAATCTGTGTCAAAACATTCCAAATGTTAAAATGCAGAAGCAAATTTCTAATTTCTAAAGATATTTATGACTATGATCATGATTGCAAGTGACATAGCAAGCATATTATAGAGTGAGGGGGTTCATACGTGCAGGTTTGTCTGTAAAGTGTATTAAATATAATATACATATATTTATAATATACATATATCAATAAAGGCAAAAATGTCATATCTGATCACAAATCCCGCAAACGTCAAGTTATTTAATTTTTCCTATGGAAAAATTGAACAATTCTCAATTTTTGAATTCACAAGTTGAAAATGTGGGAAACACCTTTTCAACCAGCTTTGAATCACTTACCATGTTACGTATCCAGCAACATACACCTAATTTTCTAAATTCTAATACATGCAATATATATCGACAAGAGTACGAGGACACCAAGACATTACAAACCCACGGCACCCACGAACTAAAATTCACGAACATTCATTAGCGTGCACCAAGGTTTACTTCATGTAATGAAAACTGCAAAATCCAAGTCATTTGGGAATCAACTGTCACTGTGTCATATTAAGGTAAAAGCCAAACGTTTTAATGTAAATGTCTATCGCTAAACGCGCGGCATTTCAAAATCTCCGATGGTTTTGATAAAGTCTTTCGAAATAGTAATTTTTAACAATGACTGATTTGCCAGATTTCAGAAACTCTATCATTGAACACCCATCATTAACTTTAGATCATGAACCCTCTGAGCCATTAAATGAAAAAAGTACAAAACATTAAGCAATCCACATTATGAAATGTCAAATATTATGACAAGATTCAAATATTTCAGTTATTGGTAGTGAACTGGAACTTCTAAATACATTTTAGCTAAGTATATTCATTGAATTTTTCAAAGTTCATAAAGTTATCAATTGAGCACGGAAGAAGCAAATTCGGTTTAAAAACAAATGAAGACTTTATCGGGCTTGATAACTCATCAAACGAGGAAAAAGTTATCCTATTCTCATCAATCGTCTTTGGTCGTTTAATTCCACTGCGTTCCCAACGTGTGGTTCTCCGAACTGGAGTCAAAACATTCTTTTCGGAGATCGTTCTGGTCCTAAAAGGCAAAAACGTCAAATCTATATTGTAAGATGCACATAATTCCTTATGTTTTAAAGCAAATGGTTTGAACGAAGGAGAATCGTTACATGTTTAGGGTCGTTATCTGACTCTGAAGATGACTGTCGATAAGGATGTCGTAACGTCAGTCAATACCAACAACATTCCATCTCAGAACTACACTAATCTGGACGATCAACATCCACCAACATGAAACTAAGGTTTAGATTGCTTAAGAACAAGATTGGCCAAAGTATACTTGCAATGCAATGTCAACACCACCGTAAAACGTTAAGACGAAGGTATCCCGTTAATTGGTTATAAGTTGCAAATAATGCTCGTCTATCTTTATCTTCTCAGCTTACCTTTTCTTGCTGGGTGTTGAATCTATTAAGCAAAATCTCACTACAGAAGAATTAAAAACAACGTCATGAAGCTTTGAAAGTTCTCTTGATGGAGTCTTGAATGAGGTGCTCAACGATGTCGTTGTTTGATCTATGAAAAAAAGCCAAGTATATTTTATCATGACGTCAAAAGTATTACAAGTTCCAAGCGTTGAGTTTTTTTCAAGAATGTTATAAAAAAATGCAGAGTAGGAATTAAACAAACTTACCGATATCCTCATTTCTCGACTGCCTTGACCTGTATTCATCCAAATACTTCTTCACTAAATCTTGTGGCTGTACAGTGTAATTAAATAATTCTATGTTTACTAAAACGACAAAATTATAATTTGCTCGAAAAAAGAACGAAACCTAAATGATGACGACCTGAGTAGAACAATCCTCTGCTTTGCGAATGAAACAAGTGACAGTAGCATGATCTCCAGCCATTTCCGATATTTTGGCTTTGCAGATCCAGTAAAGTGGAAAAAGCACTACGTCTGGATGACTATTTTGTATTGAATCAAGCATAAAAACCACTTCTTGTGAAGACTATATAAAGAGAAATGAAACGTGTACAATAATTTAAAGAGAAATGAAATGTGTACAATAATTTAAAACAACGTAAAACAAAGACGAGGTTGTGTTAACAAATTTAAATATTGCTCTGAATAGCTGCATTTGTGAAAAACAATTAAGTTGTTCTTAAAAGAACTGTGCAAAACCAATGTGAAGATAGTAATAAATTTACTATAGCACGTGACTCTGCTTAAATGAAGACCAAACTCTTACTTCTACTTATAAAGAAGAGAAGGAATGTACAGCGACATCACTCCCATTCCTTGTCTTCATTAAAAATAAAAATAAAAGTTTTAGTTTTAATTCAAGCAGACGTGACACCTGTTGAGACGTACGCTGAAATGAATCTTGTCATTTAATTGAATAGCTATCTTTCTTTTGGTTTTCAATAGTTCTTTTTACGAACTACTCAAATGTCATTCAGCATGACTAAAACGCTAATATTCAGAGCAATATTCAAAGCAATGTCTCATCATCACGATGACTGTTTCAAAAATTGATGAGAAGTATTCTAAAAAACAAATGGATAAAGAGACACACCTGAAAATTTTTTTCATCAAGAATCTTAACACATTGATGCAAAACGTTGTGTGGTGTCGCAGTTGAATTCTTAGTAAATGCTTCTTCTGAAGTACAAAATGTTGTAGTTGAAGCATTTTCTTTATCATCATGAAAAATGGAAGCAGTGGTTTTTCTTCTTGATATCTTGCATACATTTTCATTTACAGAAATTGCTGTACCACAAGAAGACGTTTTCATGTTTTGAGTTGATTCAGAGTGATTCCATGTTTTTCTTCTCTGGTGAGGTTTGTTTACAGCTTCAGTTCTGTTGGAGGAAATTCTCATAGATGAAGAGTCAGCAGAAGGATTTTTTCTAGAAAATATCAACACAGTTTTACACCAACTACCCTGAACTGATTAAAGAGTATGAAACTATTAAAAACTAAAAAATGCAAAAAAAAGAATGGATAAGTAGGTAACTGACGTACCCTTTTTCTTTTAACCACAAATCAAGACGAGTCCTAAAATGCAACATTCAAAAAAATTATAAGTGTTAATGTCTAAACTCAAAAAAAACAATATCATAGAAAGTGACAGTGTCATAGGACCAGTTGATATAGAATTGATACAACTACCAAATGTGATATTCAAACCAAGGACACATTAGTACATGGTATTTACAGTTTTTTTTATCTAAAATGAAACCAAGTCATTGCCACATAATATTTCTCAATATTGAAACAGAAGAATGTACAAGGGTACATCCAAATAATTATATTTTATTTGTCACCAAATTTGTACAAACAGTTGAAGAACAAATCAAAACAGTTACAAAACTAAAGAACACGACAGCTTTTTTTTACAATTATGTAAAAAAATAAATGCAGTTTTAAATTACTCAATACCTAACCTCATGTCTAGTTCAGTATCTTTGTATGTATTCTTTAGAGAGGGTGATTGATATTTCTTTACTGGAGTTTTGAACTTTCTGTTTAGTAGCTTCATGGTTCTTGTTAGAGGAATATTGTTTTTACCACCGACATATGGATTATTCTTGATACTCTGCTTTGATCTATCATCACATTTTTGTTGCTTTCTGGAAAAGCCGATATAGCCAAATAGCTACATTGAACTTATTGCATTTTGACAAAGGCTAAAGCTTGTTAGGAAATCACCCAACTTTCCAGCAAATATTGCCTGATTGCCCTTGTTTGTCCAACAATCTGGCAGTACCACCTCCTGCCTCAATCCACACATACATTGTTTGTTTTACAGAGCATTATAATTAGTTCTTACCTCTTGTCCAATCTCCATAGTTGAAGTTTTTGTCTAATAAATGGAAATGTTTGAAGTCAATACAAATACAATATGACAAGGCCATCATTAAACTGTCATGTGACATAAATATACGAAATATGGCTATTTCAAGTTTGACGTATCATTTGTGAAAATTAGTATAACATAATAATAAGATTATTTCACAAAATGGCAAAGGAAGTTACAGATAATCAAACCTCAAAATTTTGTGTAATTAAAACATTTGTAGTACTCATCGGTACATGTCATAATACGATCACGCTTACGCGCGGTAAATCTATTGCCACCTCGTAAACATGTCTTCATAATAACCATTTTGATCTCAGAATACATAAAATTAATACTAGTGCATTACGCATAAAATTTTCATGGTGCTTTGCAAATGATCGTTGACCAAATCATCATACCTTAACTGCAATGATTTGTCTGCTTCGTCAGGTCGCATCTCCATATCTCTCTTTTTCATCGCAAACTGACTTTAACCGCGTAATACTCAATAGTCTCTACACTATTTTATCATAGAACAGTAAAGTGTTATCAGTAAATTATAAGACGACTTCGTTCCGTCACCATTCGTAATTTCGTTTCTTTGTAAAACAACTTATAATTTGAATTTTATTTACACGCTATAAACAAAAATTCGGAACGTTGATTGGTCGATAGTCACATCACGTGCCCTATTTAACGTTCTTTTGTAACAATTTAGTCATAGGCCGTGATCTGTGACCGATTTTCTTTCATTCCCGTTGGACACCTCAAGGAAGGTCGTGAAAAATTCAAGACAGAACGACTTTTACATGTTTAATACAATTTTACTTATTGTCATCTCCAAAAAGCTGCAGTTTTATTGCTACATCACATTGAAATTTTAAAATTTGTAGCTCATTACAATTCCGGAATCCGCCATTATTCCTAGGAAACTTCATGTAATTTATATTTTGTGTGCTCGTGCCAGACCTATAACAGAGCTATTCCACTCGGTTAAATTGACAACCTGAGTAAGATTCTTAAAAAAAATAACGATTTGACACGTGCATTAGGTTAGATTTAACAAATTTTCGTGAAGATGATATTTTGAAAGTTGTAAGAGTATTGTGCAAGACAAGGCGCCCTTTTTCTAAAGGTGCATTGTCACGCAGTTGCGACTGCTAGCGAGTAAGGATAGGGACGATTTTCTTCCAATTTTTAGACTTGTAGACATTTTAGCTATTTCATATGCTTTTCATTACTGGAAAATTTTATTGCATTGTTAAAAAAAACAGAAAAAAAAGAAATTCATTCTTCAGTTGGTGAGCTTCTGGTATTATTTCATATGCTACCCTCGATACAGTCGACAGAGTAGTCTGAAGCTGCGCACAGATTAAACGCATTACGCCACCATAACAGCACAAGGCAACGCTAGTCGTCATTCAAGGGCGGTGACAAGCGCGCGCTTTTTCTAAAGGTCTGCCTCGAATTCGTCGTCCATGTCATCGTCTAAAAACTCCTCTTCCTCAACATCGTTGTCATCAATATCGACATTCGTGCATGCAGTACAAGAGCATACATCTGTGCACTTCACTCCTGCTTTATTACATGAACAACGTTGTGAATTGCAGCCAGTCTTACATCCACAATTAACATTATCAAGTAGGGAATCCGGCGCTGGGGGAATGGTCATCCATACGATTTGCAGTTTCCCGTCAATTGTTTTCCACCCATTTTCATCCGGAGGAGGAATATCCATTTGAGGTTGTAGACAGGAACGCCAAATCGCCGCTTGGTAGTTTGACCGACGAATATGTTGCAGCAAACTGTCACAAGTTGGTGGTAGTTGCTCATCTGAACATTTTCCTGCCTTGAACAATGAGAGCCGACATTTGTTGACGTCCTCAGAATCCTTGTCACCGTACAATAAACAAACAAATCTATTTAGTTGAAACACAAGTTCTTCTGACGGGGGAAATGCACTTCCTAAGGAACTAAATGAGTTCAAATATTTGTGGTTACGTAGAAGAATGTTCCACGCTGTCTTTTTGCCCTTTCCATAAAAGGAACTGGTTGTGTCACATCCTTAAAAGAAAATTTTGAAAATATTGATTACAGTATACTATTCTTTCACTTATTATCATCGTAACAAAAAGAAAACTAATGGCAACATTGGTGTTATAGAATTACCAGTAAAGGCATGGAAACCTAGCAAGCTTTGACTAAGATTTTCATCACTTTCTTCTACAATAGTTTGTATAGAAATCAAGCGGAAGTTATTTCCTGTTCCAGTCATGAAGCATATTTCTTTGTTAATAATTCGTTGCATGGCGATCGACAACACAAAACGTCTGTATCTTGGCTTTTGATTATGATTCTTTCGTTGGTTTCTTTAGCATGATTTGCATGTAGTAACAGCCGAGTGTCAGCTTCCTCGTGATTACACTCCAATTCATACATTTCATTGCATTCCACTTTATCCTCATCTGATCTAGCTCGAGTAATGCAATAGCATTTATCCTTCGACGTTACATACAACGATGACAGATGTCCGAGACAAGATGATACGTAATTGCCCCAGTGTTCACAAAGAAACTGGATCAAAGACTCTTTGTTTTCGCCCAGAGCAAGAAACTTTTTCCACTGCTTTGGAACATGTTGGTTTTTGTCGAATACACGAATTTTCTGAATTCCAGTGTTTTCGGATCTTCTGTTCCTTTCCGATTCCTTGATACTTGTGGGAAGGTATCTATCCGCAACAAAGTCAACTCTTGTTGCCTTCCAGTCTTTGGCCAACTTTAATACGTTATTAAAAATAGCATCGCAGAATTCTCCAAACGTTTTCCATTTGCTCTTCATTGTTTGGATAAGAGCCATGGCATCGACAATGAGTGCATTGTTATCACAGTGTTCTCCATTAAACTTGCACGTGAGGTGGTCACCTATACAGTAAACATAGTAAGAAATTCCTGCATGAATAAGAACCAAATTTGAGGTGTATTGGATTCTGGGGATTCTTTGTAAATCCTACCTATCGAGATAATAACGAAACCTACCGAAGTCCAACACTAATAAAGCTAACAAAGAGAAACGTTATTTGTACCTTCAAAAATTTCAAATAACTTTGATTTGGTTGTTTTAACAAGACTTCCAGAAGTGGTTGCCAAGGAAAGCGGGTACGTGCCAAGACTGTACGACAAAACATTTGCAATGTCAATTTCACGGGTCTTAGCTATCATTACAAATCCTTGCTTTAATGTATTCAGTTTTGGCTGATTTGAAATTAAAGCAGTAGAGGTTTTTTGCATTTTTTTACAATATATTCCCTATCCAAATTCGAAAGTCGAGTTGCAAAAAACAACTTCTGCCCCCAGCTCCATACTCTAGTGCCACCCGTGCGTGATTTACAGCTACGTTTACCTACCCTGTCAGTGTAGTATGAATGCTCTTTCTTGCAAATGACACAGGTTGGAGGTAACACGTGCTGGCTCTTTGCCTTAATTCTTTCAACAGTGAATGATTTTGATCGCAGCATTATCTTTTCTGGAGATGGTCCTTCCTGCTGTACAGACGTAGAAGGCTCTGTATCGGTTGACGTTTTTGCACTCTTTTCAGAGCGTCGTTGTGCTCGATGTATTAAAGTTTTATTCGTAAATGCCGAATAACAACGTGAATGGTAAAAGTAACGCTCGTAACTTCCCAAGTTATCCTCTAACTCCTCGATAGGAATCACATTCGTGGTTTCCAAGGCTACGTCTTTCTGTCGTCCATCAAGTTGTAGCCATTGCTTTCTGCATTCCAGGAACCGTTTAAACGATGTTGGTGTAAAATTCGTCAGTGTTCCGCCGTCATCTTCGCAATGAATCAAACACGAATGCCTTTCTTCCATGTTTGTTGAGTTCGAGTTACTCGCCATATCTCTTTCTTAGTATACTTTATATCTCAGTAACCACCACGAGTGAACTTAATGATGGAACTGATTTTTATTATTTTACAGAGCAGCATTTATACTCTTTATTACAAACAACAAATATTATTATTGGTCGGAGTAGTTCCTCTATATAACCTTGAGTTCTTAAAACTGACAAGATTTAGGTCTAAAACAGGCTTCTCCTATGTTGATACATAAGTGAAAAGGTGACAGTTTAGGTTTGCTTCCAAAATTTTCGACAGAACTCTTCATTTAAAACTTACATTTTACTTGGACTTTATTAAGAATATCGCTTTTTTGCCACCTTTCAAGATGGCGCCCGTTAATAAATTTGCCTCACCATGACAACGGCAGTTAGATCAAAGAGTTCCGCACCAAAAAAATGGCGACATTCAAAATTGAAGGAGCGAGGAATTTTGAAATTCAACCGCGAAATACTAAAAAACTGCAGCTTTTTAGAAGTGACAATAAAAAGAATATCAAACAGCAAGTGACTTTCTATCTATTTTGAAAATTTTGCGACCTTCCTTGAGGTGTCCAACGAAACTCATTTTTAAAGCATATTTTTGAGGCACAGATCACGGCCTATCAATGGTTCAGTGACAGAAGAGAATTTTGGGCAAAACTTTCGGTAGTGTCCCGCCATACCGAGAAACGCATGACATGTTTCTTTGTAGTTGGTTCTGGAAAGTTGGCTATAGCTTGTACCTTAGCATCAACTGGTTTGACTTTACCTTGACCCACGATTTGCCCTAAATAAGTAACTTGGCCACAACCAAATTCATTTTTCAACAAATTGACTGTTAGATTAGCTTTGCTTAAACGTTGGAAGAATTCATGGATAATCATTAAATGTTTTTCCCAAGTATGGCTGTAAATTATGACATCATCAATGTAACCCTCACTACCATCAATGTCAGCAATGAGACTGGTGATAAGCCCTTGGAAAGTTGCTGGAGAATTACGCATGCCAAATGGCATAACTTTGTATTGAAAGAGCCATGTGGTGTAACAAAAGCTGAAACTTCTTTAGCATGTTCAGTAAGAGGAATTTGCCAAAATTCTTTTAGTAAATCAAATTTAGAAACATATTTAGCATTTCCCATTTGGTCAATACAATCATTCATCCGTGGAATCGGTTATTGTCAGGTTTAGTCACGTGATTTCGTTTTCCTTCATCAAGATGATCAAGTTTTAACTTCATATTTTGTAGTACATCAGAATTGTGTAGTTTGGTCGACTCAGACAGATTGTAGCATTCTATTCCATCATCATTGTTATTGTTTAAACTATTATTTGATTCTGTCTCAACTGTGGTTACCACTCCTACACATCATTCTTTCCCTCGGTCTTTCAAATAAATCTTCACTTGGTTCCAACATAAACTCTTCCGGCTTAAATTTAGACATTTTGTATTTTTATAACCAGGTCTCACCATTATTTTTCCCTTATTTTGAAATTTGATATTTTAAATCTTGAACTTTTGACCTTTTGTGTCAAACATGAAATTGACAATAAAACTCTCTGGTACAAATAACATTGAAATGCATACAAAATCCTTTTCTTTCATGTTCTTGCTGAAACCAATTATCAGCTATTGTTTGGGTGAAAGCAAAAAAAAATTTAAAAATTCATTATCTTTTTTATTTTTCAAATACCTACATGTCCCATGGTTCAGTAAACTGAACAAGAGTATGTATCATTAGATGCACCTGTCTCCAAATTCTGTGATCAAAACATTTTTCCCAAACAATTTAACATTTTCTAGTTCTTTAGGTAAAGGTTGTTCCAATGTTTCTAACAATTCTCTTAGTTCACCAGCAATTTTACAATCTAGTGTTAGAAAAGATGTTGCCATTCCATTGCTTGACATTCTGCTAGCGCGACCACAACGGTGAATATAATCCTCTATTGTATCTGGAAGATCATAATTTATAACATGTGTTACTTCAGGAATATCAAGTCCACGTGATGCCAAATCTGTAGCCACAAGTACATCCACTTTGCCATCTTTAAATCCAGTCATAAGCCGAAATCTATAATCTTGAGTTTTTTCTGAATGTAGACCTGCAACATGAAACTGTTCCTTTCTCAAATGCTCAACAAGATAGTCAACTCTTTGAATGGTCGAGGCAAACACAATTACTGGAGGAAATGGAGTCTGATAGAGAATTTCCAATAGTTTGATTGGTTTCTCGTATGAATGTAGAAACACAACTATGTGTTGAATATTTGGTGCTGTTACTTCTGTAAATCCCACTTTGATCTCCACAGGATTTACCACAGCAGACCTTGCTAACCTCTTTAAGGATTCAGGAAGGGTAGCAGTGAATAGCAAAGTTTGACATGGTCTATCATGTGAAGTAACTAGAGCCACCATCTTCCTCAATTGTTCTTCAAGTCCTATCCCAAGCATCCTATCAACTTCATCTAGAACAAAGTACTTGACTCGAAATAGCACAAGAACACCACGTTCACATAGATCTAATAATCGCCCAGGTGTTCCAACTACCACATCTACACCAGCAGAAATTTGTTGGCATTGACTTTGCACTGAAATACCACCACAAATACCAACTACCTTGTATTTTGTGGCAGAAACATATGCTGCTGACTCGTCATTGTTTAGTTCACAATTGACATGTACATTGTTTAAAATATTTTGCACACTAAGAAATACTTGCTGCATTAATTCACGCGTTGGTACAACAATCAATGCAATTGGAGGTTGTCCATAGGTTTTTGGTGCTTCTTCTTTCAACCACAAAGCCAATGGTAAAGTATAGGCTAATGTCTTTCCAGATCCAGTTTCTGCAAGGCCAATAACATCTCTACCAGTAAGTGAGCAACTCAGGGACTGCATTTGAATTGGTGTTGGTTTTAAAAACCTTGATTCTTTAAGATAGTTTAACACAGAATGATCCAAATTTAGATCATCAAAACTTGTGATTGGTGCAGGGCAGTCCAGACCTTTAAATATAATAATTTCAATACAAGGAGGGGAAAATCACTAAATCAGGCTACAAGTATTGACTAAATTTTCAAGTGCCAATATATTCCTCTATCATGCAAAGACCTTTGTAGATACGGACGATATGAATAATGACGGTATGAGAAGGCTAATTCAAAATGGTGAAGGCTAAATATATTTTAAAAATTAAACCAAATTTTTAATGAAAGATTGAGTTAATATTATTTTATTACACTTACCTTTAACTTCAATTCCATTTATCCAACGTAAATTTTCCACTTCGTGCTCTGGTATTGTATTGCCGACAAAGTTCTTGTCATAAATAGAAACAGCACGGTCATTTCTTCTTTCATTAAGCTTTCGTTTTTGTCTAATAGGATTGAACTGTACGCCATCACCTCCAACATTTTCGTGTCGGGGCGGTAGTGCCATTCTCGACAATTATTTAATTAAAATGTGAGCATGGAATTTATGGCACCGAGAGTGTCGTTTGCATTGGAAAAACCACTTACAGTGCTCTCACAATCAAATTTCCTAGTTCCTTAGAAAATGCTTAAAAATTCCTCAGATTTCCATTAAACTCCTTAAATTTGTAAAATTTACTACAAGGCGTGATCACATAGGCTCAAAGATTTTTCATGGTTATTCCACCTTTTTTGCTGTTTTCAAGTTTGTCAATGTTGTATTTGTAAAGAAACATTAAAAATTATTAAGTGTATATTAATTTAAAGTATAAAAACATCCTTAAAAATCTCATTAAAACCTTTAAAAATCCTATTTTTAAGCAAAATTCCTTAAAAGTGAGAGCACTGTCCATTTAGTTCAGGCGTGGTTGTATTTTATGCCTCTCTCTAATAAACGCCCTGTCTCTGGTAATAATCTAATAGAAAAAATAGCGTATTTGTATAACAAGTCGTTATTACCAATTTTAGAGCAAATTTAATTGATTTTCCATTTTTTTTTCAAAGAATAGGGGGGAATTTGTCACAGAACAAAATCTTTTTGTTTCCGCAGCATGCATCATATTTGATATTACCACCATAGCACCATTCAAAATAAATTGTTGCAAATGCTGTATGGTCCAAATCAGTTCAATCCTAACTACTAAAGCCTACTCGTTTGAGCCGAATATATTTCAATCCAATACATATTCAGTTGTAATCATAACTATCTTTCTTTCTAAGTCTTTATTTTACTTTCAAAATCATCACTTTGTTCTGAGCGAAAGGTTTGTAATTCTGGTATCACTGTAAATAAGCAAAGCTCGAGTATCAACTAAATGGAGAAAAACGTGAAATTATTCATGATGCATTAATTCGTAAAAATTCAAAAGAAAATCAACAACATAAAGAGTTGTGGAAATGCAAAATGAAACACATTGAAAATATATGAGATGAGACGAGATAAAAAGAAAGTTAAATAATTACAAACTAGACGATGAGTGAATACTCACATATGCTAAATGCTTGTTAGTTCGAATATCTTGAAAAGCCTCGAACATCTATAAAGAAAAAGCAGCTCAGTAATAATATAAAAAAAAGTAAACAAAATCACTACAGTTGACTCTACGATATACGTTTAATTTTTTAACAGATATATAGACAGGGGCCGGTTGCACGAAGCCTGGATAGCGCTATCCATTGGATAGCGAAAATTTTCAAACTTGTAAAAAAGGTGTTTATATTTTTCTCACGACAAAGAAATTTTGTAATCTTCGAAAAAATATTTTATTTCAGCGATTGCACAGTTCAAATCGTACATTTTTCTCTTATAAGAGATTTTATGAACGTTCAGAAAAATTTGCTATCCAGTGGATAACGCTATCCAGGCTTTGTGCAAACGGCCCAAAATTTCAAGGGTATTATACACCGTTTCCTCTCAAAATCCCATTGTTTTCGATCACGAGACAAATTATTCACGTCTCTGAACAACATTGTAACATTTCCAACTTTAGACCCGACATAAATTGTCGAGTGAAACTGCAAAACATTGCTTTACAAAGTTTAGAGTTACTTAGGTACATTTCTCTACTTTCCAATACTGTAGGGTCCACCTCATTGAACTGAAATGGTCCACACCTATTCCTAAAATCCTTGAGTAACGCTATTTGTTATATCACCACCAGTTGAACACTTACGATTAAGGAAAAATTCATTATACATGTATAAGGAATAATTTAAGGATATAAGGATATAATTTAATAATATAAGGATATTATTTAATATAAATTACAGATAACAAGACGACAAGACAACAACATACATATAAAAAGTTTTTCGAAAACCCCGTGAATACAACAACACCTAACGTCTTTCTTCAACAATATCATTTCATGATTACAAGATGAATTAATTATTTGGGGAATTCCCAAGACGGGGAGATAGAATTATGAACAAATGTACAAGCTGTCATCTTTTTTTTATCATTCCTGGTTATCAACAGAAGTGTATACCTTCATTATTCCAAGTTTACAGTTTTTTTTCCCAACCAAATTTTGAAGAACCTCTATACGGTGATAAAATATGTGTCATTTACTGTAGGTGTAAATTTTATGTTTGTATTTTTATATCATTAAATTCATTTAGTAAAATATATGCTTTACTAGATAGTAAAATTCCCTCTTGCCAAGTAAATTATCATCTGAGAACATCAATACATAACACTTCGTCAATTCGTGTCGATTGAATTAAAAATCAATGAATCAATACCAACAAAACTCAAGGTGTACGATTCCTTAGCCGAGTTGAAAGCTGAATGTTACAAAAGAAAGTCTTTGATATCTTGCAATTTTCAACCCGGCTGGGACGAGACATGTAGCCTTATATATCTGAAGATAACGTTTGCATGTCAACCTTTGTTTCTCACCTGGATTCATTTTCAACAATTTTTCTTTCACTTTCCGTCTTGTTTTAATTTTATCCTGGCAACAAAGAAAATCAACCATGTAGATGGTTTAGTTAAACTATGATTATGAAATGAAGAAATTGACAAAAATTAGAAACATCTTCATGTGTGTTTTTCAATATTAAAAAATTTCTAGAAATTCAAAGAAAAAATCAAATATATTATTAGGCTTCAAGTAATGCATATACGCACGAAAAAGTCAAAACTTCAAGCGTAAATATCAAAGCCTTATGAAAAAAGTTCTTCCTATTTGTGGGACAATTGTCATTTTGGTAGGTTTCGTATATTTTCGGTTTATTTCGACAAAGTCAAAATATTGTTAAATGATAAATAGTGGTTCGTTTCAATGGACCAAAAGTATTGAACACCTTTCTCATTCCTGGTTACCCGAGCGCATATGTCAGCCATTTGTCAATTTTCCCAAAATCTACCTTGTGGTGGATCTAGCCCTGGGGGTTAGGTGCACAAGGGTGACTAAAGTACGTATGCGTGTGTCGTATGTCAATTGCTGAAGGTATTGTTACCTTGGCTTTAGATGGTCTGAAAGAAACATCTTTCATAACATTATCAAAAAGACGATATAGCTGTTGGTAAGTTTTTCTACTGTACTGTAGGTCATTATGTTATATAAGCTAAAAAATTGTGCAGCTAGACTGAGTAAGAGTATAACCTACGTACTTTTGACTTCTATATACAACAGCCCTGAGCCCCTGGCAAATCATTGCTAGCACAGTGGTGCACCCACCCTCCAATAAAATATGCACCCACCTTCCAATAAAATATGCACCCTTTGATCAGTCGCAGAGAGTAATTGAGGGTTGTGGGAGTCAGATGAGATAGATCAGAACAGAAAATGAGATATTAAAAGTATCAAAATCAATGGTCAGTTAATAAAACGTGCAACAATTCATCCATCGACAGCTAATTCTAAAATGTTGCACTTGGCATACGTACATCCCTCCTGTAGAGGTGGTTCAAACAATTCCATAACCCCCTACCCAGGGATCTGCTATTGCTGTTTAGCAATATAATACCAAACATATAAAACATTGTTATTTTAGAAAACTTACAGCTTCTGTTCTTGAGGATACTGAAGATGCCAGCTTGCCTTGAGGCCATAATGTTTCAGAAAATAACCGAATGTAATATACAATCATGGGCTCAGATACCACCCAATCAACCAACTCTCTGATTTCCCTTTACGAAAAGGAAAAACATAACATTTCGATTAAATCTGTTTGACTTCTTAATATTCTCCAATATATAGCATTTTGGAAATAGGAAGTTGCTACGTAAGCTTATTTCTCTAACGGGACGAAAAAATGTTTCGACAAACAGATAAGAGTAGAGATTCATGTATTTCTTTCATTTAATTTCTTTCTAAATTTGATTCATGCATATATGAGCTGAGTATCAATTGACTTCTTGTCAAACAAAACATTTCTAATAAAACTTATCATAAGCTAAAGTCCAAATAACTGCTTGATGTACACGGTATAAAGCAATTTCGTCTTTGTCCACAGAAAAGGGCATTTTGGGTAGAAAAACGACTTAAATAAATTTACTTAACTATTATCTTATCAACTACTCACTCGCAGTGTAATTAAAGATAGAGAAATGCATTAGAACTATCAAGAAATTAGAACTATCCCTTAAATTACACAAATGGCTTAAACTTAACACAAAACGCCTAGGTAGCTGTGATTCTTCATTTTCATTTGAGTAACGCTATGTTATTTAAGTATACTAGTTCAAGTTGTTTTTTCGAGGATTTTACTCAATTTTTGTGTAAATGTTTCATCGTTTCACATTTTATGCAGAAATTTAATAGACAGTTAAAATAAGAAAACATACTTATGCACAAAAACACAAATTTTCAGGTACTAAAATGTGTCATTGCAAAGAAATTCTGTAGACTGAAGAAAATCAAATTTTTTGTAACTGCTTAACTTTCGATAATACTAAAGCAAAAACCTGTTGATGGTTCTACCAAATGTAACTTGAACAAATGCAATCAATGTTCGACGAAGCCATTTAAAAACTAAAAACAATATGGAAAGAAATAGTTATCATTAAAAAATGCAAAACAAAATCTATTTCAAATATTCCAGCAACTAGTGATTTTCAGAATTGATTTATACCAATGTCGCTTAAAAAATTACATAATGCTTTTTTACATATACATATCATGCACGCCATTACACAAATCAATAAGCCTACCTCCTTTTAATTCAAAAATTTCCCCAGTGAGTTTATACAGTGGTTCTGCAATCGAATCCTTTCTATCACCTGGACTGAACAAATTTTACAAAGCAGTTACAGAAAAATGTTATAATAAGTTTTATTATAACTTTCTCTTTAATGAACCCACAAAGTATATGAAATCAAAAGTTGAAAACAAAATGATGTAGACAAGGTTCTCTTATTTTTCTCATGTAAGGTAGAAATAAAGAGAAAATTTACCCATCTTCTTCTGATGGCTCCTTGAAGGAAAACAAGTAAACAAATTAGAAAAGAGCATAGTTATATTTATGATATTATAGTGTTTAATAATATATTTACGTACCTCGTCTATTTCATCGTTAAAAGTGAAATCAACTAAGGGAAAACTACAAAAAGAAATACATAAATTTTTTTTTATACATTCCGCATCTTCAAACTCCGTAGGTTTAAGCAAATTATCTTATTAATCATTTCAACATTTTACTTAAACATGACTGTTCTCTGTGTATATGGACCCAAAAGTATTGCAAAAAAAGAGAACCTTTTGAGAACAGATTTTAAAGAAAAGACAGGTTTCTTTTCAGCAGGTCTATAATGAATAAAAATCAAAAAACTGATTAAGCAATTAAATGCTTATGTAGAGCTTATGAAAATCACAAAGGGTCAAATGAATTACGGAAGTAGCTCTTTCTGACTCTCAAAATCTGCGCAGAAAAATTGAAAAAGTTCTTCATTTAAACATAGAATTTCATCTTGTAGCAGCGTCTAAAAATAAAAACCAAGTATATAATTGGGATACGAAGATTGCGGCACACAAACTACACAATAAAAAGCAGCAAAAACCTGTACATATTCCTCTAGCATCCTTTTAGACTTGCTTAGAAATTCTTCATCGAAATTTTTGAACCATTTTTTCGAGGGTAAAGGAAGATCTTTTTTCAATTGACTGGAGCACTAAAGCAAAATTAGAAGGAAATTCGTGTTCAAAAGCGATGGAAAACAAAGTTGACACTCAAATGAAAATATGTCAACCTCTTTCAGCTTTGAATGAAGATTGTGAAAATCCTTTAACGTTCTTGCAACAATCCATCCATTTATTTCAGAAGAAGGTTCGTTTGTTTCATCGCCGTGTAATGAAATACCGTCAACCATTAAAATATAAACTGGAGATGGTTTGTCTTCAGTATGTTCTATCTTTTGGTCACAGTCCGATATCACAAGAAAGACAAAAATATTTACCATTTCATAAAAATTAGAGAAAAACACAGTTTATTACATGTGTACAAACATACCGTTGCACTTGATATGGCCACAGTCCACTTTCCAATATTGTCACACCATAGCTCTACAAATTTAAAAATTTACCAACAGTAATAGAAGAACAGTGGACAACTTACACTAAAAACACCACTGATCGATTGAAAAAAATAATCACGAATTTTTGCAGTGGTACGTAAAAAATATTTCAAAGATCCTGAAAAACCTCCAACCATGAACTAGATACCGTTCACTATACAGCTATATACATATCTGCACAAGTCATTGAAGCTATGTACACACCTGCACGAGTCATTGAAGCTATGTACACACCTACACGAGTCATTGAAGCTATGTACACACCTACACGAGTCATTGAAGCTTTGTACACACCTGCACGAGTCATTGAAGCTATGTACACACCTACACGAGTCATTAAAGCTATGTACACACCTACACGAGTCATTAAAGCTATGTACACACCTACACGAGTCATTAAAGCTATACACACCTACACGAGTCATTAAAGCTATATACACACCTACACGAGTCATTGAAGCTATGTACACACCTACACGAGTCATTAAAGCTATATACACACCTGAACGAGTCATTGAAGCTATGTACACACCTACACGAGTCATTAAAGCTATATACACACCTGAACGAGTCATTATACGTAGCTATGTACATACCAGCACGAGTCATTAAAGCTATATACACACCTGAACGAGTCATTATACGTAGCTATATACACACCTGAACGAGTCATTAAAGCTATATACACACCTGAACGAGTCATTAAAGCTATATACACACCTGAACGAGTCATTAAAGCTATATACACACCTGAACGAGTCATTATACGTAACTATGTACATACCAGCACGAGTCATTCGCGTTTCTAAAACACATTTCTCCTTCTTTAGCACCTCAATCTCTCTTTCCAGTTGTTTTACCTTTGAATTTAAAGAATTCCATGTTGTAGAAATAACGACGCAAAAAGTTTCAAGTTTGTGGCTTTGTAACGTAAATGCGTGTTTCTTGTCATTCTTAAACAAATGTTGATTTTCAGATTAAAATAATCCGAATCGTGTCACCGATCGTAAAGACACGATTCATAAAGAAGCAAGAAAAAGAACATATCATAATAGCACCTGAATGTCCATATCATGCAGTTTTTTAACAAGTTCGACTTGCTGAGTCTACATTAGAGAAAGAAGAAAGTGTCAAATAAGCAACATTCATCGCTATTGAATGGCCTGATGACCAATCCAAATGAATCATGAATGAAACATACGTAGTGTTATAATCGATATAGCTACCTACTTTTGATGCCAACTTTCGATCCAATATTGACAGCTGTTTTATGATGTGTTCGTTTTTTTCGTCGATCGAATGTGTCTTATTTTCTAAACATTATGTTCGGATCAAGAACATTAGAAATCAGACCATATATTTTAAAGAAAACGTCAGTGCTTTCACATCGGTAGGAACAGTAAAATAACGAAATTCTCACCATTCTCGCTTTCCACCAAGCGTTGTTTCTAAAAAGGATTCATACAATATATTTTCATGATTTATACAGTGTTTCAACTAGACGTCATTGCCGCCATGTTGGTGTGCTTATTGAAAAGAGTTTTATTGAAATTCTTTTGTTTGGAGCACCAACATGGTCGCTTATTCTATTGTTAAGTTGATACGTCGGGAACCCCCTCTCTTATATTATCAACCAATTGTCAATCAAACATTGATTGACATGCAATACATCATACGTCAATCCTTCTAATTTTCTGTACATTCACAAAACATGATTTGGTAAGAACCTGTTGATCAAATATATCAGGGCTTTCGCTCAAGTACGACAACATACGATCTTGCTCTTCTTGTGTCTTGAACTGATCCAGAGCAGACTCCAGTTGACATATATACTGTACATATTCTTCACTGATGATAAACTTGTGATAGTACTTTTCCTCCATTTTATTATATATTTTCAACTGAGCATCATAGAATGGGTTATCCTCGCATTCCTCATTTAGAAAAATTTCTATTTTTCGCATGAGATCAGAGTTAATGCCCACAGCTTCCTCTGCTGATGGTACAATGAAGACATTGTATATTTCTTTTGCACTATCATGAACCTTGTTAGCTTTTATTTTTTCTAGTTGCTTCATATTTTCCACAGCCATCCAAAACCTGTGATATTGAGCACAAGACATGGTCATAGTATTATGTATGTTTTAGTCACAGTTGTTATTACATAAAAACACAGAAATTGTGCAATCCTTAAGGAATGGTTCAATTTTTATACATTTAAATGCATATTGGAAATTTCGGGTGGACACTGCAGGGGGTGGGGACATTGCGGCTTGAGACCCCTTTAATGATGTTGAAAGACTAAAAATCAAGCACCAAACACCACAAAAACAACACAGGTACATAACATACTCCATGAGAAGAACCATACTCAATGAGGTGAAATAAATGAATGTGTTCCCCCCTTCCCCAATTAACATAGGATTGATGCCAATGTGTATCTGTCATATTAAATGACTATTTAATAGACTTCTGTATTGTAAATACACATCCCTACATAGACATGAGGCCCACCAGGTGTCCGATACAGTTAAAAACGAAAGTCACAGACTCACAAGAAGGAAAATGCATGGTCTCTATAGGTTGCAATTTATAAATAATCATAGATGAAGCGAATCCTTCTCATTATTTAGGTAATCACTATTGGTTGCAAACATTTCCAACAAATTCAGCAGAGTGACGATCTTACCTAAGCAAGTGTTTAGCTCCATTGTGACCAAGAAATTGCATGAAATAACTACGTGCCAAACTGTTCTCAATGATTTCAGAGTAAGAAAGTATTTTATCTTTTTTTTGCTTTTTCCTTTTTGAACCATCATCTTCCGGAACAATGTTGTCAGAATTTTGCATAAAATAGTCAGGTCCACCTAACATTTTGATTCTCTTTTCACATTGAGCTTTGGCAACAGTGCATTGATTGATATATCTCTTAAGATTACGAGCACGCAGCCTCCTACCCTTGTCAGTAGATTGCCCATATGCACTTTCATTTACATGTAAATCTTTAAGATTATGGACGCTAGTTGCTTGCATGATTTCAGCAATAATATGATATCTGAAAAACACAAATCAATAATGTAAACAATTGGTACAAACATAGGTTTTAGAAGTTGTTACAGTAGAATTTATAATGCAATCAAGACATTTGATACAAACATGGGTTATAGAAGTTGTTGCAGTAGAATTTATAATGCAATCAAGACATTTGGTACAAACATAGGTTATAGAAGTTGTTGTAGTAGAATTTATAATGCAATAAAGATAGCAATGCAAACTGTGATAAACAAAGGAGATAAATCAACAAAAATTATTGATTGACGTAACTACAAGATTCTCTATTATGACAAACATAACACAGAGAATACAGAAGTTAATGAAAACATGCAAAATCAGATGCACATTTCTAGAGAGTTTACACTATTGTGAAACTAAACAATTCTTACCGTAATCCTTTGACATGTTCAATATCTTGGCTGGTGTTAATCAGTCGTATAAAATCTTCATATGTTTCTGCATATGCATAGTCTTTACCATGTGATTTCGTCAGCTTTTCCTTTGACTCAAGGTATAACAAAAGAGTTTGGTTTATATAGTCCGGATCACACAACTTATCAAACATAGGTTGAAAAACAGAGTATGCCAAGATTTCTCGGAAAAGTAATCTTAAAGGAGATGACTCTGAATTTTTCTTGGAAAGAAAAGCATAAATCATAACCTCAGACACTATGCGAAGATATTTAAGTTCTTCTTTACTACTGGAAAGGCATGGGTGAAGAGCAAATGACTTGGCTGTACCAGGATATTTACGCTTATTAGATAACCTAAGCTCTTGAAAATGAGTGCACATAAGATTGACCAGGTCATTGGATAAAAGCTTTACAATATCAACATTTCTCAGTTTTGTAACCAAATTCTTTGTCACATCCCATAAATCTTTAGTAAGAGTGTCTTTGAATGTATTTTCATCTTTACCAAGATTTCGAAACCATGACAGACAAAAGTCTCTAACAAATAAGTCAAAAACTTCTTGAACCTCTTTATCAATAGTGTTGGTCACAACTGTTGAATGTTTGTATGGTGAATGAAATTGGGTTTTACATATCTCATTAATGAAATCGGACATTTCTCGAGCACTTCTTGGTTTATCTGGCACAACAGCCTTCTTGTATTTGCTGTTTCTCAAGACTATAAAAAATCCACAAATTATTCCACCAAGGCTCGCTAACAGAATGCGAATGACTTGGATAGCAAACGAATCATTAATGCCAGTAAATTGCAAATACATGGCAGCCAAAACAAACCCAAAAACACTTAGCAAGTGTAAATTGATTGCCATTTTTGCCTATTCCACTATAATAAGCATGCATTGATTACAAGAAATGCAAGTCCGCCATTACAATTTTACACTAAATAACTGAGCAATCTTAGAAGGAGGGTGTAAACGGGGGGGGGAGGGGGGGTAGTCTGTGAATGCGATTCGCACGATGTGCAGTTACTGCTGTAGGCTAGTAATTTTTCGGACACATGCTAAGCGTACAAGCAGAGACGAAACTAGAACGCTCATTGGAGGGAGGGGGGAGGTGTATATCCATATTCTCAGTTATGCCCTGCTGATTTCTATTGAAAGCCAATATACTTTCAAGTGAAGTGAGCTCTAAAGCCTACATTCAAAACTTGCAAAAGGGTGACTTGCAGCTTCTCTTCTCAATTTAAACATTTACTAATGCCCTATCACTTGTTAACTACTTACGACGATAACAGAGGAAAAACATCTTTACATCTTTAAATACAATTGTACAGTTAACGTTAATGTTCTTGTTGCTTTAAGTACTGACTGAGACTGAAAAGTCAAAAGAAAGGTTTGTTGAAGTTTCTGAAAGGCGAGGGAGGTTCTTAGGTATCTGTAGCATTGTGATATTATACAGTAGTCTTTCTTCAATACCTTTATTTAGAGTGCAGTATTTAGACAGCACAATTTAAATCTATTGATGGGAAGGGTTCTCCCATCCTTGGGGCTTCGTCGTGCATTCGAGCCCCAATATCACAGGATTCAGTCTCTTCCTCCCCCCCTCTAAACTTAAACCATCTTAGCAATTACAGGGTAAACCTAAAGTCTCTCTTTTAAACTTTTATATTCACGCAAAGGTTTTATGTTTTATAGTTACGTATAAATAGTTAACTATAAAAACTCAAAGAGCTCCTGCGGAGAAGAGATCTGACGTCACATGAAATCATCGACAATGTATAAATAAAATATGTATCGAATCATTTACTCTCTGTCCTAACAATTAGTTTCATTGACCAGAAAACTTTCGCAGTTGGAAGAATTATGGATGTTTTATTGATGATGCGTGACTCAAAGTGAGGTACAAGTGCATGTATAATCTGCCAACGTTCTTGGCTATTTAGCAATAACAAGTGAATAAGGATTTATGGCCTATAGATCAAATGCAATAAGTTAAATTTAGGTGATGAAGCAAAATTCGATGGTTATAACTTTTCACACAAAATAGGAAAATATCAGTGCACAATATGTATATGTATGTACAACGTTTGTGAAATATACAAATGAACATCATGTTTTTCCTTATAAATATTCACTACAAAACTCTTATGACGAGAGCACCAGTATTCGTTACCTTGTACTGGATGGTTGCTGCAAACAAATAGAAATATCTTGAGGATGGAACGAGAAGCAAAATTTTAGAGGAATTTCTATAATTTTATGAGTAAAAACTAACCTTATAGAGTCTGAAGTCGTTGAAAGTTTTATAGAGTTCATCCATGGGAAACTGAAATAAGTACAATTGCATTATGGTAAATAACGATAAAAATCGTGCAGTAGAATATACACGTATGCTTAAATACCTGCTGCAAAACAATAAATCCTTGAAGAACATCATTTGTTTTCCTTGCACAATCTTGACAATACACCAGATGTTTCTTATTAGTAGTTACAAATAGGATGTTAAAAACCTCAATCTGAAAAAAATATATGCAGTGGAAAATGAATAAAACAATTCGTTGTTTCATGTCAATGAGTCTGTTACCTCACACACGGCGCAATAATGAGCAGCTTCGTGCTCAACTCTTCTCTGCAAAGTAACAGTGACTCCAGCTTCTTTTAAACAATCCAAGGTTACTTGACAATATTTCAGAATCCGAGCTAATACCTCTCTAAATAGAGTGTCGTGTAGATGTTACCTTACTTTATCGGGTCATACCCATAAAAATTTGAAAATTTTACTCCTATTGTAATACCTCATATGCTCGTACAATTTCTTCTCGGAAATTTTGACATTTCGTGCCAAGTTCCAAGTCAATAAATTCATTGGACAATTGACTTGTTTCCTATGAAACAAAGACAAACAATACAACAGTGATTCTTGTGTGATCTTTTATTACGTTTAAGGTGAACATGATTAGCTCCATTTTATAAATAATATCAAAAGGTTTTTACCTTGTAATTTATTCCACTCGTACCTCTCAACAGCCATATTATACTGGAATTCTAAAATGAAAAACCGAGTATTAATTTACCAAACTCTGTGATTTCGCGTGATTCTATAGAAGAAACTTGGTGGCATTCATTAAGCGCTCATAAGCCCCATGTAAAAATAACAAAATGCGTGGTTGAAAACCGTGAGTTACGTGTGGGGTTTTCTTTCTATTCATCCCATTTTTCTTTAGAGAAAAAAAGTTCTAGTTAGTGAGTATATGCCTGAATACCTGTCATAGGACCAACATTCCAAGCAACATTATTGCACCATCCCTAATAAATATTGGTAAATGAAATTCATGTTAAACCAGAAAAACCAGTACAGTCATTGCAATAACTAAGACTGTACTTATTATGTTTGTTGGATTAAGTTGTAGTTAAAATGAAGTTGGAACAATGTGATTCTGCACACAGCATTTAACGTTAGTGTAATGTTGAAATGATGCAATTATCACTTCGACGTGCGTAATGTCTTGAATTATGCTTTGTAAGAACTTATCTTTGCCATGTTACAATTAACATCACTTTAAACTAGTGAAGAAATTATTATATAAGAATATTGAAGGTTATGATGACAAACAACAAGAAATATTTATGGCTTTTAAGTCGATAAACACCCATAGCAAGAACGTAAAAAATATTAAAGTTCTCCTTACAATAGCTTGAACCCAATGCACTGTGCCAGCATTAACCCACACTAGATCTCCGGGTTTCTGAACGAATCGATATACAGGAACGCGCTCTTCGTACAAATCTTCGAGGATTGGCCACCATGATCCTATTTACGATCAAAACAAATAAGACAGTACGATGCGACAAAAGCGGGAATTACATCAGCACTTACCCATAAGAAAATCAACATTATTCCTGAAATAATCAGTAAAATGGGTCAGGTTCTGATTCTAGACAGGCGAATGACGCAATTTCACTTAATACAAGCAGTTCATTAAGCCAACTTACTTCTCACAGAAGTTATGAATAGCACCCCAATATTCAAAAGGTACAGCAAACCATTCACAATCACCAGGTCCAATGTTAATGTTCACGGAGCTGAAGTTTAAGTTTTCTTGATGACCTAAGTAAAAGGGAGAATATTTGTACAAAGACCCGCCAAAAAGGGAAGCAGAGAAGCAATTTGCCCTGGCCACTACCTAAAGGAGCACCTTAGAGAAAGTCCAGATTAAAGCAAGTAGGCAACCATGGTTATTCTTACATTTAAGGCACGCTGATATTATTTTTCATTTTTCATTTGAATTTGTCATAAAACTTTTCATTATTTCATTCTATGCAGCTGCAAATGTGAAAACTAGCCCAGGCCCCTAACTTCTCTTGGCGGCTCTACACGCTCATTACACGAAACATACCCGGAGTTCTACATCCTGGAATCTTCATGTACAGTTGAACAGAGTTCATTCCAAGTATCACGTGATCAACATGACTTAGCATATTTCCAGCATAGAAAACCTAAAAAACGTGTATAACGTTATCGAAAAATGTTTACGAGATCTGACTTTTCTCAATAATTTTCTCGTTGTATTCCTGCAACAAAATGAATATTTGAATCTAACTAATACAGAAGTCATGTTGCAATGTAAAGAAAACTTTATATGGTGCTCAACGTTTTATTTTTAATTACATGATTAATGTACAAAAACATGCAAAGGTTTTCAAGAGTTATTCCATCATAAACAATTCAAGCGTTCCTTACTATGGAACTAAGGATTCAGTATGTAGCCTAAAGAAAGAAATTGTTTTTGCAAAAGAGGTATGATTTCAGTTTATGGACGAACGCAGTGGTAGATGCAACTTATAAGAATTTAGGCGCTACCTTGCTAGTTTTGACACTTTTAGTAAAATTGATCATTTACATATATCCGTAAACATATATCAATTATCCACATTATACATGTACGTAGGTAACACTTATACTTTTTAAAAGAATTGTAGAATGAAAATTGCTGTTTCATTTATACATCCTGTATGTAAAATAAACAGATGCTTACTCGTAAAAACGGAGGAAGCTTGTTCAATTCGTTAAACTGCGGTTTCCATCTACCAAAATAAAAGATTACGTAATAAGGTAAAAAAACACAATTAAACCAATCCACGAAATGTTTGGCCTCTGGGGATTTAAGAAGCTATATGAAACAGTGACCATTGTACGTATGTTCACCTGTAAGATTGATACACCCTGTCCAATTCACACTTACTTTGTCTCATCAGAAAGATCGCAATTAGTGCCAAACTTAATGATTTTTCGACCTGCTCTTTTCTTCTGGAATGGATAAGTTTTCACAAAGTTGTCAAAAAAGTCGCCAGTAACATAAACAGATAAAATTATCACATGACATGAAACAAGATTTCCATTTCTATGTCTTGCCTTTTATGACCAGAAGATGACGAATCACTATCGGACATACTTTTTTCTTGTTCATCCTTTTTAATTAATGAAAAACAACATTAAATAGGATAAGACACGCAAAAAAAGGTATGGTTGATTATGCAGGAATATCACTTCGTTTATAATGATTTGGTCAGGATAATTCTGACTCATAAATGAATGGATCGTATAAAAATTAAACAAAAAGAAAACGCATCCACTGAATTAATTGTAATTCAAAGCATGTTGCCATGCATATTATTCTTTTTATTTCTTTTGACTGATATAAAAAGAGCCATTTTTCCTCATACAGTCCAGCTATATGAATATTAGAAACTGAATTGTCGGAATACATAAAGAAAAATAACATCTGCAATAACCAGCAGGGCACCTTATAAAGTTATAAAATTATTTGACGATCGTTTGATGCATTGTTGATGTTAAACATACAAACCTCTTTAAACGTTGTTGCTTGATAATGAGCATATTTTGCAATGGTAGAATACGATCTACAATAATGATATTGATAGAAATTAATTCTCTCTAAATTAGATCTCAGCTACACTAGAATAGAATGTGAGTTGGATGAGAAAAAAGGCGAAATAAATTTGAATTTTAAGTGTCGTGCATCTGGGATGTGGATAGAATTCATTGCAGTCAACAACACCCTAGCAAGACTAGTGTTGAAACAAACACACAAACCTACTACTTTCACATAACCAAACTTTTCTTCCTTCTTCATCAAGATTTTCATCTGACGGCTGTTGTTTCTAATGCAGAAGTAAAATTTACAAATGAGTAAAGATGTTTAAACTTAATAAATAATAACACACTCCAAGAAAATACTAACTTGTGTTCGCACTTCAACTTCGTGATCCGCATGCGCATCGAGCAATGCTTTTGTGGAGAACAAACCAAGATCTACAGGAGATACATCATTAATGCAACATAATGAAAAAAGTGTTCCTCATATTTTAGTTCTCACCCATTCCCAGTGCTTTATCGAGACCTCTGATCACCGTTATTGGTTGAGAAGGAGAAAGACAGAGATTTCGAAGTTCCGAAGAGTATGCTTCAGACTTCGTTTCGACCTGAAGTGAATTAGATAATTAGTTTTGCCAACCAATCAATTTTAAAAAACATTTGAGGGGAAAAAACATACGCGTATGCTAGGTGTAGGAGGTGACAATTTTTCTACAGGACAAGAAGGTTGCGGTAATGGTGGTGGTTGTGGTAAAGATCCTGGCTCAAGTAGTAAAGACACTTTTAAAGAACCAAGACCACTAAAACCCATGCCTTGTTGACTCGTTTTTTTCACTTCAGATGGTGAAAGAAGTGAGTATCGCGTTGGAGACAACAGTCCAGATGACATGACCGTAGGTGAGATCAGAGGAGGACTACCACCCGTAGAAGCAGCACCAGCAGGAACAGAAGTAACTGTGGATACATTAACTGTTAATGGTTGTGTAGGAGTATTGCATGTAGGTTCGCTTATAAATGGACTTGCAGAAAGAACTGGATCACGTGATGAAAGTAGCATGCCACTTGATATATTATCATGATCGATGACGGTACTCTGACGTAATGATGGGGTGGGCGTTGTCTTGAGCATGCCACTATTTTGAAGATTTATTATACTCAGTGGTAGCCCTGTATCAGGATCAATTTGAAAATTTGCTAAAGATGGTGGAACGCTTTGGATACTAGATGATGGCGAAGTGATGGATGGCGATGCTGACGTAACATGTAAAGAAGAATGAAGTGAGCTGGAACTAATTAGTGGGTTATGTACAGACGTAGATATTATAGGTGTTTGATGAGAGTTAGAAATATTAGATATTGCGTGAGACGTTTGACAAAGATTGGTAGTAGTTTGATGCTGTTGGTGTTGATTAGAAGACGATTGACTAAGTGATGGTAACTGATTGTACATCACAGATCCTTGTACTGCTGTGATTGGTTCGCTACGATTTTGAAATGAAACAGTCGCAGTTTGATCGTTTGTTGTTTGAGGTTGGCGAGATATTCCATGCGATAGTCGAGTTGCATCAGCAGGATGTAAGAAAGGCGAGTTATTTTGCGATGATTGCGATACCGTATTAAACACAGGATTTTGCTCAACTGCTCCCACAGACCGTGGTCTAGCTTCCTGTAGACTTATGGTGGTAGAGTTTGCAAATGAAGGAACTTTCTCGTTACGTTGTAAAAATTGCTGCTGCGAAGCTTGGTTATGGCGTTGCTGTTGTTGTTGAATTAGGTTTGGTTCTTGCGACTTTGTAGACAGATGTGTAGATGTTAGAATTGGTTGCTGAGTAGAATGAGCAACTGACTGCGTTGATGGCTGTTGAACCACAGCGGCTTGTTGCTGCAATGATATAAATATATAATATAGCCATATGCTACAGCACTTGTCATAAAATATTTCAACATTACTTGAGTTTATCTAAAACCAATACGTACGTAATAGCAAACTCGTTGCTTTCAACAAATACTTTCATTTGACAAAATACCTTTGCACTTTTTGTCCTGGACGTCAATTCTGCAGGAATAGGCATTTTCCAAGCTTCTTCAATTAAAGGCAAGCTCCTATAAAATTAATAATAATATACGTATAGCAATGACAGAAATGAAATATTCACACTGTTGTACAATATATACCATCGGAGACGTACGACACGTATGTAATTGAGTAATTTATAAATTAAATTTTATGGAGTGACGTAGGCAGTACGTTTGTTTCATTTCATGTAGCTTCTATAGAAATATTTCAGTGTTAACGCAAAGCAAAAACAACATTCCTGAAGAAATGAAATTTAAGTGGCAAAACCGCCCTAGCGCGCTGACTTATCTACTGAATCATAAAATATCCAATTGAATCAACTATCGTTAAAAAATATTTCTATTGTATTTCCCATTATCCCCCATTCCCCAGGGATTGCATACAAAATGCTGATAGCAGCCATATTGTTGTTACCAACAAAGGAACTTCATTAAAATATTGCTGCTATGACGTCAAAGGGAAACCCTCTTTCGGACATTCCATTGCCGTAAATGAACTATGTACAAAAGAGGCGGTAATGGGCGACATAGTTTGGTAAACCATATGGTTACGCAGGAATTACGTAATATCAATTGCTTTCATAACAAAATGAAATATCATTCTAATTCTAAGTTAATTATGAGTTGATTACTTTGTTTGTGGATTGATATTTGATGAAAGATCAGCTTGGGCTTGGATCAATTTTATTCTTGCATGTAAGGCTGGGCTGGAAGCCCCTGTCAAATAAAAATAAGTAGAAAGTTCAAATGATCAAACACTTAAAGACAGGGATACGTAAACAATGATTCATAGTCAAAAACAAGTACTACAGTACTTCAATAACACCTACCACAGCGTTTAGCAGCATTGTAACATTTAACAGCATCCCTAAAAAGAAAAGTAAAACACTTTAAATACTGTGTATAATACAGACAAATAAAGTGATCCTTTTCAATATGTTGTGCTGTTCACTACTAGGATGAACCAAGTATAGTTGAAATCAATTTCCCTGAAAACAAAAAAATTAACCTACAAAGGTTGTCCACAGGCTTCATACAAGATACCAAGGTCAGTCCATGATGCTGCATGGTACGGATCAAGCTGAACAGCACAAATGTATGCTTGTAGAGCATCCATTGGCTGGTTTTGTTGTTGATACAATACACTAAAAATAAGTTTGTAAATGAGCACATTCTCTAAGTGATTAAGCAGTTAATATTACATATCATGCCATGAATAGATGTGTGTGGAAATTCTTCTGGACACATGAACAAATGGTGGCAGCCAATAAACATCAAAAGGAACCAGTCAAAGAGGCACATATGGGTACCACAGAACATTAACCCATTATGTTGTATTGTGTAAATGTACAAGTTATATTAAATAAAAACTTACCCAATAGAGCACCAAGTATCTGCACTGGTATCAGACTTATCAATAGCATGTCTGTAAGCTGTAAATGCATCATGAACTTTGCCTTGTACAGCATAACATCTAATAAGTAGCCATTGCCAACAATAAGATGCAAAAATGATGGACATTTTCATACAATAGATTATCACAGCATAGGGATGAACCAAAATATCTGTTTCTACAAATTTCTTATCATTTTAGAGGTGTGTTTTCAGAAAGTGAGTTCATATTATGGCTTGACTTGTTGGATAACTACAGCACGTACACATCAATACCACTCTAAGCCATGCATAAACCTTTACACAAGGCATTAAAAATCTAGTTAAAATCCAGATTGCATAAAAACATGCATATTATATTTCACACCTGCCAAGTATATACCAGGACGCTCCACTAGTATTGTCTGCCTCGATTGCTCTTTGGAGATACTGCACTGCAACATGTAGCCTTGAAAGCCGATCACCAAGTTGTTCTTTTGAGAAAAGCATCCAACCTAAAGTTTAGGAGATTATGCACACTCATTCTTGAAATTTGAACGCAACTACTGACAAGAAATTCTCCTAAAATTTTACAAAAACTTCAATCTTAAACCAGTAGAGCAAAACAGTATTGGGGTGCATTTTAGAATTACTTACGTACCTAACTGTTTGTAAACATTACTTTTCACATGATTGGGTACATTTTCACTTTGTGCAACAGCTTCATATGTTTCTTGTGCATTTTGAAACTTATTCTGCATTTCATGTATATGACCAATGTGAAATTGAACTACATCAAAAAGACACATAAGCACATTATTTATACTGACCAAAGCAAAGAATTAAGAATTTAATCTTTTTTATTAGTAAACGATTACTGTATGTTTATATTGCTGAGACTAACTGACAACCATTATTACTGTTAAATATCTGAATTTTTGGAAGAAATTAATTCCTCATCCACAACTTAACAGAAAACATAAGAATTTTACATAAATATTCTGTTTGCAAATTGTTATAATGAAGAAAATGGTAACTCATAGGATCAACGTCTTTGCTTATGGCAATAAAACAAGCAGATAGTTATAGTTCATAATACATACTTTCAAACTTTGATAGGGAACATGGATGTGAATCAAGAAGAGCTTGGTGAAAATGCTAAAACATAAAAATGCTTAAATTGGAATACTGTACAAGCTATGCTTATATGCTTATATAGAATGTTTTCAATGCACCTTCATGCTTGCATCATAATTTCCTTGCATTTTGAACATCATACCCAACTTTAAATGAATCTCATTGGATCTTGTAAATCCTGGATCGACATACAATACTTGTTGAAATGCCTTTATTGTCCTAAAATGCAATTGTACACATTAACTACGTACATATATTAAAGCACAATTTATGAAAAGAGTGCTTGCGTTATATCAAATGGTTAACAATTCTCACCACATATATGCACCATAATGAAAATATACTATTCCTAATCCATATAGAAATGGCGCATCCTATAAATAGTTGAAAGCTTGACATTACAGTTTTGATCTCATTTAAATTCTTAAGATGAGAATATTTTGCATAGCAATAAGCAATACCTTCCAATAATCACCCTGTGCACTGAAGAATTTCTGATAGGCAGATAATGCTAAGGAAAAAAATAGTACTTAATTTCAACAGGTGAAGAATAAGATTTGATAATTAATATAATGACAATTACATATTTTGTAAATGTAGATCTTCCAGGTTGGTATAGTCCTGAGAAGGACTGTTTTTGTTGTTGTTGACTGATGTTTCGACAACCTTAGCGGTAGATGACTACCGAGTCGAAATGACTCTGAAGGTTGTCGAAACATCAGTCAACAACAACAAAAACAGTCCTTCTTAGGACTATACCAACCTGGATGATCTACATTTACAAACATGTAACGATACTCCCGCGTTCAAACCATTTACTTTATAATGACAGTTCCAAAAAGACTATACACATTTTCAACAATAATAACTTTTGCCTTACTAATGAAATACCAATAATAAAATATCATAATGGCAATCCTATTCTACGAAGTTGATACAAGTACAAGGTAAATAAGATGCTTTGCAATCAAATGTTTTAAGATTGCAAATTTTTCATATGCTTTTATGCTGCCAAGTTTTATGTAGGCTTCTTCGTAATAGCACTTGTTGGTGACCTAGTTAGGTCTATCATGTTTAATTGCTAATAAACCAAGCTTCTCTTGGGGGACAAAAACTCTATCAGCACATGAAATGATATAGTTTATAAGTAACTACATTATCAAGCATGACATATGGTCTAACTAAATAGGGAATCCCCTTAGATGACCTACATATATAGGTATTTTATTTGATCTTTAAAATTAGATCTCAGTAAGCTATTCTGGGAAAAAATTTAATCTCGAAAAAAAAGATAGGCGTATCACTCAGGCCAAAAAAAACTAATTGCAGTATTCACCTTTAACATAGTCCTCAAGTAGTAAATGATAGTGGCCAAGTCTACAATATATATTTGGGTCAGCTTGTGTGCCTTCTTTCATCAAAGTATCCTCGTGAAGACGTATAGCCTTTATAATATCAATAAATCATTAATCAAGTCGCTCCTAAGTTCTTACAAAACGTACTCAACAACTCGTTCAAAGCGGTCGGTATGAAGCGAATTGTCAAGAAAAATCATTGCACCTTCTTGAGTAAAGATTTGTGAGTGGCATCGCCATGGTTGGAAATTTGCTCAGCTAATTGTAAAAAGCCGAACAAACGGCTAAAAGTATAAAAAATATCAAAATTATAAGAAAGAAATTATAGTCACATAAACTGTCATATAAGGTAGGTTAGTCATGTAAAATTGTGATTGAATTTTAATGATTTATAAAATATTTCCAGTCTTTGACAAATTGTACAAGTTGTACCTATCGTAAGCTTCGATTAATTGCAACTCATGGTCGTTCAAAACGTCTGCCTGCGTACATAAAAAACAAACATTTAGTAAGTTCAAGTCTGTATATTTATAGTTATCAGATTTCACGGCTCATCGTACATAACTCCGACAAGTATAATCGACACAGGTTACATAATAAATGCACACCGACAGATGAATCAAACAACACAAATGTAACAATGTGTTATAACTTACCATTTTCAAGAAATGAAAGAAGAAAGCTTCTCTACCATTATGTTAATATAAATGAGTAAAGAAAGCAAAATTCAAAATTTTTAGAGCACAACAATCGCAACAGAATTGTTTTAGTGGCAGATTCGCCACGATGCGAGACAAAACACAGCCACAACGAAAACAACCAATCAAATTATCGGAAGGTATCACGTGAAGTATTTAAAGCGCCGCACGGCGGCAGAGCAAGGACAATGCAATTTCATCCAAATATCAAAAGAATGTCTATTGATAAACGTCTTTACGATCATGTTTTGAAAAATCTAATAAATCACGCAAGAATTACTAATGTAAAGATTTTAATATCAATTTAGTATTGCTGGTATTTGCTGTTTAAGTGAGAGGCTGTGTCACGGAAAGCAACAAATCGTCAATTTAACATTTCCTGGGAATGTGGTTGCCATAATCACTAGGGCGTCTTTGCTAACAGCATCCGGAAGACGCGCGACCATGAATTGTCGATGACACTCCAAAACAAACCTCTTCAGTCCGCGGTGGCACGAAAGTTAATTCTAGTTTGGATAGTTCTAGCTTACTTATACAGGTTCATTGTATCCCTTATGCTGCTATGTTCGAACAAGGTTTTCTCAAGCGAATTCCAAATTATCATTTAAAATTCAAATTCTGTAGAAAAATTTGAAACTCAAATTCTTAAATTCATTTTGAGAGACATGAAAATCGGATACAATAATTTGACGGTGTATTAATCTAATAATATTCGTTTTTGAGCTGAACAAACAGAGCAACAAGAAAAATCATGTTTGAACTTGACCTTCTTGTAAAGGCCGCCCTTCTGGTGTTGGCGCTTTAAACCTTACGGCATTGGCAAACTTCCGAGACGTCGTCACGACAAGTTTCGACCATGGTTCTATGCTAAAGACTTACTCACATTTATTTTGAAATAACGGAATAGTTTTTCTGTTCATGAAAAACTTTACGTCTGCAACGTATTTGAATCGTTTGGGTTCTCATCGCACACAAATATTGATACTATCATACATGTGGAGCATGCGTTTGCAAGTCTTATTAGTTTTTGTTTCCAATTATGCTACTTAACAAAGCCTACCCATATGGCCTACCCCTAGGCAAACGCCTATAAAAATTTGGTGTATTTGCTTTGTGTTTACTGTTGCATGAATTACATTTTTACATAAGAAATAATCGCCATGACAAAATTGACGGTGATGTAAAATTGTTCTACAGTTTTAACCACACAATGACGACGGCTAAAATTTATATTGTTAGTTACTATCGTAACCGGACAGAAACGCATAACGGGTGTACCAAAGATCGTAATCCAAGAGTGCGCTGTAGTGCACAAACAACCATATTCTGGCTCATCAATAAATGTACATTTCATGATTGCTATTATACCAAAATATCACCAAATAAACGTTCTGACGAGTATTTGTGGCTTCTATTGTTTAGCTCTTTCTTTGCAGTTCCAACGTAGATTATTGTATACCTAATCTCGTATGGGCACTTTCTGATATTGATGGACATTCATCTTCATCTGATTGATAAGTTGGATTGAGGAAACGTCAGATATTTTATGACATCCGGTAGGACGAGGAGTAGGTTGTGGACTAGGTCGAGTAACGAACGTTGCTAACACATTGTCTGTGCTAAGTGCAAACCATTGAGTGGTGCTAACCTTACGGCTTCAGAGCATTGAGTTTCTATTAAATTAGTAAACAGGTCAGTGCTTGAGAGCTGTCATCATTGCTATCATAAGGAGTGGAAAGAAAAACAGGATTTTCAACATAAATATTTTTGAGTGCAGAATTTGAGTGAAAATTATCATACATAAAAAGGTCAATTTGGTCATTCACGTATATTTCATAAATCACCTTTCACGAAATTTTATTCAAACACATGTTCTACATTGGAATGAAGCAGAAGATGAGAAACACATTTACAATCAAACATCCACCGATATTTACATTTGTTTCCATACGTTATACTACGGATAGTAATAGTAAGCCCCAGGTGGTCGAGGGTAGAACATTTGTTGTTGATATGGGATACCAGCGGTCAAATAGGTATTCTGTGGATCGTACTGATCCCTTGCCACGGCCGGCATAACGAATGGCTGTTGAGGATTAAATCCATTGGAAGAATGATCAAAATGTGTACCTGGAAGAGCCGAATCGAGGGATACCAAAGAGTAATGTGGGTTGTTCAGATATGTTGAAAGAACCGGATTTAATACAGGGTCAGCATGCTGCTTGTGTAACATATGAGTGGTGGGATGCATGACCTGTGGAAGCTGCATGTGTGGATGAGTGCGGAGATTTTGTTCAGCTGGTTTCAGAAGTGTACCGGATCCGGGGACATGACCAAGCATATCAGTTTGTTGCACATCAGAGGACATTCGTTCGTTTAAAACTTTTCCATTCGACATATCTTTACCTGAAAAACATAAAATGACTGACATTATTACGTAAATGTAACAATACAATAAAATAAACATTTGCGTATGAAATCTATTGAGAAGAAGACACACTTGAAGTACGTCGCTGAGAAAAATCATCAATGATTTTGAAGTTACCTCTTTGAACGGCGTGTATAATCTTCAAACGAGGACCCTAAAATAACAAATGAAATTGAGCGGCTGACATAAAACAGATGTTGTCAAGAAAAATTGAAAAAGAAATAGATAATTATGATGGCTTTCAATCATATTTACAGACGCTCCATCATAAATAAACTTAATGATGGATTTTCAACAGATTGTGTATTTCTGCAAAGGAGAACAGACAGTGCACAAGAAATTTATCCACAATGACAATGCTTACTTTTGGAATGCCGATTTTCTGAAGATCTGCGTCGGTCATTGTCGATAACTTTTCCATCGAAACACAATGCTCCTAAAATAAGAATTGCAGTAGATAGAAAATGTGAAAATGCTGCGGACAAAATGAATGAATGGTTGTTCAAAAGAAAAAATGTATTTGTTGGTTGAAAGCAGTGCCATAGCTAACCTCGACAATTGGGGGGGGAGGGGAATATATGTATATTCATGTCGTAATCCGTAAAAAACAATTGATTTCAAAGGAACTGAAATATCATTATAATAAGAATATTGCGCCCCCTAAATGTAGGACTGGCTGTGGTACTGGTTGAAAGTAAAATCTTATAAGGAGCGTTAGTACACAATGACAGAATTCAGTGCATGATTTTGAAATGATCTGCAGACAAAAAAATTCAACTATAAATTAAAACATCCTTTCAAAATGCTTTAATGATTTATAAATTGTTGCGAGTTATAAATGAAGGATTCCTGTAGCTAAGCAGGAAGCACGTAGCTATGCAAGAATCTTGTAGCTATGCAGTAATTTGCTGCTAATACAGTACTTTTAAACTATATTCCTTCATCGATACAACGGCCAGCCAAAACTAATTTTTTACCACTAAAATATAATACCTCAAATGTTTGTTGATATTTCGTCAGTGACAGGCGTTCTAAAAGTCGACATAAATCAGATGAAAACTTTGATTTGCTAAGCCCATGATTACTCCAGTTATTAATGCGAGCCGAATCTTCGTATTGCTTTAAAGATGCCATTCTCGGCGAGAAGGTACTTTGGGCGTTAACGTGATTGCCATAGAAACTCGACTGTGTCTCAGCAGTATTTGCATTCCACGTTACGTCATTTTCCGAACGATCGTCATTGTTTTGCTTTGATGACCAAAGTCGATCACTCATGTCATCATACGAATTGGAGTGTGACGTCACAGGCCGAGTATGCTTGACACGTTCATCGCGTGATCTTAATAAAAGCGGCGAAGACGGGGCACTGTGAACTCCACGAGTAGCCACCCATGTTCCCTGGTATTCGTCATTTACGTCAGTTGATCTTATTGGATCAGGCGAACTTCTTGTTCGTAAAGATGACGTTGATACATTTTTTCCATTTTCCATGATACTTGATAACTCCAAGCGACTACTACTTCTACTACTGCTGGCACTGTTGGAGTTTTCCCATCCGCCAGACGAATCCATTGCCTCGTTATCGGTTTGCATGCAAGTAGCAGCAGAGTTCCACATAGAATGAGATGAATGCAGGTCACACTGATTTGACTGCAAGTCACTTTGTGTTGACTGCAAATCAGATCGAACATTCGTGGCATCAACTGAATCCTATTGAAAAAGATGCAAAAATCTTCACGTATTTCATAAATTGCCTTGGGTATGCATAAATTTAAGAAATTATGAATAGCCTTAGGGAAATTTTGAATAAGGAATTAAATACGACAAAACCGTGTAACCATGATAACTTTAGTTAAAAACACTTTTGTAAAAATACTTTCATTCCATCAAATACTCGCACATAAATAAGCACGATTATGCCCTGCAATAAAATGATACGAATATGCAGGAAGGTAACATTCATTGCAATGGAAGCACAAATGACGTGTATAGCCTGACATACAGCCTGAGCAGAAGTGCTGTTAAAATTTCTTACAAGGAAAGATTGTTTATTAACGAGAATGAATAGTTTACCTGGTCAGACCAGCTAATGCTTCTTGCTTTATCGTTTTCTCTACTATCACGAGGTGACCAAGACATACTGTAAAAACATATATTGCACAGTTAAAGAAACTTTTCTCTTCAGCACACAATTATTCCGATTATCTGAGGAAAGCCGTTAATGAAGGTTATTATGATCATACCCGCTGAATAGACTGCACGACTCCTGTAAAATATCGATGGAATGACGGGATTTCTAAACATCAAAAAATAATTCATACAATCTATGAAGTAATTCCGATAGCGTGCTGGAAACATTTTAAATGAAAGTCACGTTTCATTTAAAGTTCAATTCGTGGATGTAACATTGATTAAACAAACCGGTAATTGATCGGACAGTAAAGATGACTGTAAATCAACATCGACTTCTAAACAAGAGAAAAAAATACTTAGTCAGAAAAATAATATTCGTTATTCATTGTATATTTTCCATATAAAAGAGGTGAAAAGATATTATAATAAGTATCTTCAATTTTTACTTCCATGTCTCACAAATTAGCACCCTTTTAACAAAGTAAAACATAGTTTACCTTGGTAATCATTTTTCCATACACAAGAAGTCAACAAGTTATCATTTTTCGCATGAGTTTTCTCATAACGTTTTGAAGACGACTCGTTTCCTTTACTTCGATCATCAGTGAAGACATTATCAGTATCTTCAGCAGACTCCGAAGCACGCTGGTTTACATGGGATGTCGATGTTGTTGATGCTGAGTTAAGTGGTTTCGACTCCTGCAAAAGTTAAACAAAAATAATGGAAAACAAATCAAATGAACAGAGGAATACTTTATTCAACTCATAACAGCAATCTGCAAGGGGAACATTGTCAGTATTAACAATTCATACTGAGTCAAACGTTTTTTGACATTAACGCTCATTACCAAGCCGAACTCAATCAATACGCACCTGCAAAACTTCGTCATCTCTTGAAGAAGCAATGTCAATCCCTGTAGCAACTTCACAGTAACTAAGTCTTGAGCCATCTTGAGTTGTTGCATAACTTTTCGTTCTGGCTTTCGTAGCAGAGGAAGCAGTCGTTGTCTTATGTACGTTATCAGATACTCGTGTATTTTCCGTAGATAAATGTATTGGAGATGTGCTGGACGCATTTAATTCTTCATGACAAATATCCTGTTCACCATCGTCTTTTTCAAACACGGTCTGGAAGTCTGGTACAGAATGAGCCCATGTTTCGTGTGCATTCTTTAAACTTGTATCCTCTGTTTGTTCACTGATAGAATAAGATCTGTTATTGTCTAACTTTTTCAACGATTGTTCCACCTGTGAAAGGAAAATACGGAGAACATTATAAAAAATATTGCATCCCCGGGTTAGGTCGGCAGGAGAAAAGACTTTTTTTAATAGAGAACAACTAGAGAGAAGTTTTGGTGAAAAAGTACGATCAAATACAACGTCCAAAAAACTAAAACATTTAGTTTACGATATATAAACCTTAGGTGAACTATGTGCTTGCACTACTGTCGGCCACTCCGTTTGAGATCTTGGAAGAACGACAAAATTCCCACGGAGTTGTTGAGTGGAAGTCTGGGTCAGAGAGTGAGTACGTAAAGAGTTTGCAGTTGAAACACTATTTGACTCAGTATGAGGCATAGTACTGGGTGTGACAAGAGCATTCGACACCAAAGCCTTCGCCTTTAAAACGCATAACACAGAGCCCTAAAAATAAAAAAGTTCATTGTCATCTTTCAGAAAAATCCTCATGAAAAATACAGATTACAACACAAAACAGACAAACTTTGATGGTGATAACACGATCATTGGGATTTTTCGGGTCAGGTTTTCCAATAGTAATCTGTGCTCCAGATTCCTCCTTAATATCGAAAAGTAAGAGTTGATAATTCAACTGAGTAATACGAGAATAACACATGTAACAACATGATCTTTTCCATATGAATTAATCGTTATATTTGATTTGGTTTTCACATATTATTTACGTTGAAAGTAGCTTCACAAGGTGAAATCAAATTGGCTCAAAGACCAAGAAAATGCGAAGAATTAAACTGACGCGTTAAGAAGAAGTTTAATGATGGATATTTTCAATGATTACTGAACAATTTAACAAAAGCATGTCAACAAAGTATTACCAATTATAATGATTACCGTGATTTTGTTAATTTTAGATCCACCACGGCCAATAACTCTACCACACAACGCATTTGGAGCTGTTAATTGGATCACCATAGTTCTACGAAGAAAAATACGACATCTAACAGTCGAGAAATTGCAGTTATTGACAATAAACAGCAGCAAGTCGATGTATGGGAAATGTACACCTCCAAATAGGTCACAACCAATGTTACATATACATGTATACATGCATGCAGTTTCATGGAATGTTTACAAGTTTAAATGTTTACGTACAAATCAGCACAACTCGGTTCTCGTGCAAGCATAAAATGAAGACATTTTTTTATGTTAATAAAATAATCAACCAAACAAAAATGCAAAAATCTTAGAACACTTACTTTAAACTTCGGTTTCGTGCCACTTCTTTCCAAGAACTTAGGTAGTCAGTATGCATTTGCTTCGCACGTTGTGCTGAAATAAAATTTTAATGGAACCATAAGAAATATCATTTCAACAATAAACGTCGACTAAAGAAACCTAGTTATTATTAATAGAACAGAAAAGTTAAATCGTGATTTGACCACTTCTGATCTATTGGCAAACTATTTTCGAAATCTTTCCATTCGATATTTTAATCTCCTTATCGAGTTGAAATCAAAAGCTTTTACATCATAAATCCGCCATTTCTCCATATCTCGTCTCACACACGCATAAACATATTGCAAGCCTTGGTAAGCAGTAGAACACCTCGAAGTCTTATTCCATTGAGAGCGAAATAAAAATATTTACGCGATAATAGATTTGACCAAGTAAAGTGAGAAAAGGTAATAAAATTGCATTGACTTTAAAGCTGTACAAAGTTAAGAAACATTTTTACTGGTACAATCATTTTAACTCTGCAAAAACAGTAAAAGAAAGTTAATCCAATGGCAAACGTAGTCTATTTTTGGTCATGCTGTACAAATTTTCTTGTTTTTCCAGTGAATGAAAACAAAACGATTTTCATACCATCATTAATCGGGCTAGTTTACCAAAGGAAGTAACATGTTCAATTGTTTAACCCTCGGAGAACTGCGATTAAGCATTACATCATATCTCGCATTAAAAGCAAAACGAAGACAATATTGTTAGTTACAAATATATACCGTTTACTTTATAAAGGGTTCATAAAAATATCTTCCTTAGGCGTTAATGAAAATCACCAACAAATTTTTATTGTTCGACGAAATTTGAATATTTTATTACGTCATTGCAATAAGAAATGTTCACATTACGTACTTTAAATGTAGTTAAAATTGACGCACCCCGATCGCAAACATGTAAACCGAAGAGTCATAGTTACGTAATATAGTGATTTAGCAAAGACGACGTTTCGTCTAAGACGTCGTCGAATTTTTGCGAGGGATCTGGGTCTAGGAAGCCTATATTAAAGATATATCCTCATTTCTGTCCAAAAATTGAGTTTGTTTCAGCCGTCATCGATGAGACGTCAAATTGTATATTTTCACGTCGTAGTCCTCAACACGACTGCCGTCGTAGAGTGAACCGGAAGTAAAAGCCGCATGCCACACCATTTGTACGACGTTTTAGACGAAACGTCGTGTTTGCTTAATCACTCTACTAACGACGACAGCCTGTTTTCTACGCATTACAATGAAGATATTTTGTGCTCATTCAATGGAAAAACAATGAATGGAATTAATTTTCGAAATAATTGAATAATAATTTTGTGGAAATTTGCAATGTACGAGTAAAAATTACAGGCGAGCTTTGCCACTGATTAAATTACTCACCCATGGATTTCCATCCATCTTTAACGATTCCTTCTTGACTAGAAGACATTTTGGTGAAGTTTCCTCGCGATAGAGAATCGGAACTTGAACCAGCTTCACCTTTCCCTGCAAACTTACACTTTACAACAGTCTCTCTAGTTTTATCATCATCTTCTTCGTCACTCATACAATCATTATTCTGAAAAGACAAAAAAACATTTAGGAAAAAATGATTGCAGAAAACATAGAAGAGAAGAAGAATTATTACAACAGATATCTACATACGCACAGTTGAAGGGTCATAAAAAAATGGATAGTAAAACTATGATGATAGAATATGACTTACTGCATCGTCGGTTTGAGGTTTTGTGGCATGATGGAGAGTTCGACTTGGAGAAATAAGTCTCATGTGAGCCGACTTATTTTTCAAATTCTTTTCATTCTCTACGTTATTTCTCTGCTGTCGTTTGTTATGACTATCTTCATTTTGATCACTTGTATCGAACATAGCTTGAGGTTGATCATCGCGTCGTTCTTCAGTGCTGTTTGTATTTCCTTTTTCGTCCTGTGCATGACCCACAGTGGTCGTTCCACACACATTTTTATTTTCAAAACTCTGAATTTCGTAGTCATAATTCCAATCTTGATTCTTCATTTCAACATGATTCCATTCAGATGGCATGTTCGTCTCTTCATCACTGCATATTCCATCATCCTCCGTGATTGACCTATTCTCCAAAGGCTGAAGTTCATCCATCACCGTTGTATTTTGTTGATCGTTTTCTTTCTGCTTCTTTTTCTTCTTTCTTTTGTCTCTTCTCTTTTCGGCTTGCTTTTTCTTTTTAATTTCCTCGCGTACCTTGTCGTCCTCGAGTTCCTGAAAATAAAGTTAAGCAAAGAGTAAAAAACAGAGAACAGAAAACAAGCAAACGCATTGCGATGGCTGAATTTTAACTTAAACAAGGAGACATCTAGATTTTCATACCTGAAGAAAACTTTGTGCGTTCTCAAAAGCAGTCTGTTCCTTGACTTTTTTCGCCTATCATAAAAAGTACAACTTCACATGCGGACACTTTTTCAAAAAATGCCGAAAAGTATGAAAAACCTTTTTTATCATCTCATAACATATTGATCTTAAATAAAGAAGGTCCCTCTCGTTATCCTTTTCTTCATAAGGTGCTGTAATACACTTCTGACATTGCTCTTCAGATGGAACATGCTTAGTGATTGAAAGGATCCATTCAACAACCTGGTTTATTAATATTGCAACTATAATCAGTGTAGTTGGAAAATTAACAGTATCAATAAAAATTTGCTTTCGGCATCCACCCATTATTTTGAGATAATTCAACAAGAATAATAAAAGTTGAAGCAGGTTGTTCGTACCTTTTGGTGACCATTTTTGAAAGCAGCAACCAAGGGTGATATATTTCTCTGATCACAAACCTGAATTCCAAGACACGTACGTATATAAGTATATAAGTATATTAATTTAAAAACATCATCGAACATACTAATGTGGAGGCGAAATAGTTCGACAACAAGAAAGTTCTTTCCAAGAAAGTTAGAAGAACAAAAAGCCACATGTCTACATACGTAAGACGAAAGCAAACACCTCTAAGGCAGAGTGTACTGTTATAAAAGATGCTTATATATACCTCGATATCAGCGCTATTCTCGTAGAGAGAACGTGCGATTTCCAAATGTCCTTCTTTACAAGCCAAGAAGAAAGGAGAACAACCTTTCTTCGTTCGACAATCAACATTTCCTCCTCTGCAAAATATAGCAAATGATAACTTGCAACGAGAGGTCCAACTTTTAACGTTATATAACTGCTTACGTATGTGCAGATTGAGATGACTGTTTTCTTAAATGTGAAATTTTTTTTACAATATTTTTGTAAGATTAGTAGCTAAGCCTTTGAGTTGACGTATGCAAACGCACAAAACAATTTGATTAAAGTTTATCCCAAGCAACATCTTATTTTATTGATATCCATTAGTTTATTGTATATCGCCAACATCCAATATTCCAATCGTTTTACAAATGGTTCAACAATCTTCATTTTGGCAAGATCAACAACAAATTTATTTCCCAGCCTTAGTGTTAAATGTTTAATTCGTTTAGCCATGTAAACATGTATTTGAAAGCATTTCGGAGTTATCTTACCTGCTCAATAATACGTCCATAAGTTCAATATAACCTTTTTCGGCCGCCAATGTCATAGGATTTTCCCTTGAAAAATGTTGTTTAAAACACAAGCTTAAAACACAATTCAATAAAATATAAATTTTTTGAAGTGCAACATGAAAATAATCGTATTGTAATCGGTGACCCAAACAGAAAGATAACAACGTGAAATACATATTTTGCTGTGATTCAAAAGAATGTATGTAACACTGCAATCAATCGAGCTCCATAACATTCTGCGCGTATTTCATTCAGTGATTTCGTTAGTTATGAAGACAAGTGCTAGGTCGACTGTGAGAGGTACATGATTGAAATTTCACCGAAGAGAGATCGATTCACTTGCAACATTAAATCCTTGTTCTTATCCTTTTGTTATCGTGTTATTAATGAAAGTTTTTCGACTTTGTCTCCGACACAAAAGGATACTGTGTATAAAGCAGTTCTATGATACCCAAGGCAGGACTCACACACAAAATTACCGAGACCACACAGTGTGTCGACTATGAACGTATAACAAAATCATGCCCAGAAAGTTTATAACTCACCTGCTGTTTGGAAACGAGGCAGTTACACTTGCCCCTTCATCAAGCAATAATTCCACCACAGAAACATGGTTTTCTCTACAAGCCTGAAACACACAGACATTGAATACTTCTAAATCATTGTAGCTAAAAACATTCCGATAATTTGAATTCCACGCATCTCGATACAATTGACGTAAACAAGTAGAAAAATTAGATACAATAAGGCAATCTCACCTGAAATAACGGCGTAATGCCTGTTTTCGTCCGGCATTCTCTGTTGGCATTGTTTCTCAGCAATAGTTCAGCAACATTACGATGACCTGAACACACCCATACAAATTTACGATTTTCAAAGCTACGAAAGTTAGACCGTAAAACATCTAATCATTGTACAAAAACAGGAAACTGATTTGTTTTTAAAAATTACACGCTCTTCAACAATAAGAGACAAACATACGACTTATCATTAAAAAGTGCAGAAAAATAGAAAGTGAAAGATAAAGTGGAATGTATGCATGGCGATGCTACCTTTCCAGCACGCCATAAACAGAGGACTCTGGCCATAGTTATCGGGCAATTCAACATCAGCACCATTTTGCAACAAATACGACACAACTTTTTCATGACCCTCCCTTGATAAGAACAAAACAGATTCAACAATAATCGTTTAATATAGACGACGATTTTTTTGAGAATAGACATGTTCCGACATCTCGTGATGCCATCTTCAGTGTGAATTAATAAATATATAAATGATACAGAGTTTATAAAAGTAATATGATACAGTAACAATATGATAAGTATATAAATTATAAAAATGATGAGGAAATGAGATAATGGGAAGCATGTAACAAACTAAATATTGTGTTAAATCTAAAAACAAAAACATTAACAGGATTAGTTTTGTTAATGTCATTTCATTTCCTCATCATTTTTATAATTTACATACTTATCTTATTGTTAATGTATCATATTACTTTTATAAACTCTGTATCATTTATGTAATTATTCACTCATACTGGAGATGGCATCATGAGATGTAGAAACATGTCTATTCTCAAAAAAATCGTCGTCTATATTAAATGCACATTAGCAATAGTGCTTTTACGAAATAATGTAAAACTTTTATCGGAACGCGTAATAATGACGTCCATACATGAGTCGCGCAAATCAAAACGTTCGCTTCTGCATTAAAGAAGAAACGTGCACCAAATAATTAAGTAGATAATTAGCTCAAAAACACTGCTTCTTGCTGTTAATTATTAGTCCATACATTATGACAAAGTTTTAAATGAAATATTGGTTATACAATACGAAAATATGTTGATTGATTAAAGTTAATTTCACCTCGTCGCTTCCATCAAAGGTGTACATCCTGTCTTCGTTTGATGATCAACGTACGAATTATGCTCGACTAACAAACGAACCACTTCATGGTGACCTGTTAACAAGAACAGATATGTTGTGCTTTCTTGTTGGTGATTCATGTTAATGTAACAAGAGACAACGCATAATAAGCTGTATTTTCAATGTTTTGATAATAAAAAATCATTCGGTAGTCACTTTTAGTACCTTCGTAGCAATGTAAAGAAAACGCTCGTGTTTAAAACACGTTGTCAAGCTTATTGGTTTGCGTCTCAATCAAAATTTAAAATCATTTCTACATTGAGAGGAGGGAACTCTTGTTGTACTCCCATTCCATCTTAATATGCAACAAAAATCATTCGAAAAACTTCTTCGCACATTTTGCACACATAAATATGTTACGTATGTAAAACTTGAAAGAACGTCTTTTGTTCTCGAGGATTGAGGAATGTGTGAAAGAAATTTCGAAGCGATCGCTAAGAAAATACATTACATGTTAGCAAAAACTTTTTAAATCAATTCGTTTTAATATGTTTGCATTTATGAACAGATGGGGAGTTTGCCGAACCAACACCAGTTTATTTACAACAAACATTAAACCACATTAAAGCTACCAAGTCAACCGTACCTTTCCAACAAGCCAAGGTTAGCGGTGTATCATCGTTGCTTCCTGAAGGATTATTAACCTCCGCACGAAGATGAAGAAGTAATTTCGCCGTCGCTAAATGCCCTTCTCTAAAAACAAATAGGTTGACGTTGATTAAATGGGTTATTCAACAAATTATACAATAATGGAAAGAGCTTTACAACATTTACACTTTTATCCAAATAAAAGGTTCATGTACACTTTGTGTCAACTACCACAACCTTACACAACTTTTAACGCATTAAAAAATACCGTTTATAAAGCGTGGATTGAGAGATGACCATTGGAATTATTTGATGTTGAAAATAACTACTCAAAACCAATTGCCTTCCAAAACTATGTCATTCCTCGAATGTGGCTGTTCCTTGAGGCCACTAATTTTGAAAGTAACCGAAGCATATCTATACTTTCAAGACTTTACGATATTTTTCAAATAATTTCCTTTTAGAAAAAAAGGAAATCAAAAATATAGATTCACAGTAGTTACTTGCAAAATCTTTAGATAATGCTATAGTTTTAAAATATGATTTTAGCTTCCTTAATTCAGAGTTGCCACATGTATTTTTCACATTGAGTTTTAATATGATAACTAATGCAATTAAGAAACAAATACACCATAAGGAAGTTGGTGTAACAAAAATACCTTGCCGCTAACATTAAAGGAGTACAACCAGCTTTGTTTTTGTGCTCTATGTTAGAATTATGATTGAGAAGAAGTTCCACAACATCTGAATGACCTAAAGAACATTGAAAACATAATACTTAGTTCTATTTCCAACCATTTGGTAGATTCGTTTTAAGGAGACTTACGATGATAATTTACAATATGTGTTTTTGCAATACATTAAATGAAAATATTGAGTTTTTTCAAATAAATAATCTTGACACTACTCATACAAAATATCAGTAGTGTGATTAAGGCTCTCACCTTTCCAGCAGGCTAAAGTAAGTGGAATGTTATTTTCACTGCCTGAAGGAACATTCACCTCTGCTCCAGCATCAAGTATTAGTTGAGCAACAATCAAATGTCCTTCACTAAAATAAGAATCGTGCAATTCAAAATCAGTTCAAAAGACAAAAGAACAATATCACTTCAGAAATAGCTTCAATAAAATACCGTGCTGCAAGCATTAATGGTGTACAGCCATCTTTGGTACGATGTTCAATGTTTGACTTGTACTCCAAAAGCAGTTTAACAACTTCATGATGCCCTTTCCAACATGCACTTGTCAATGGAATGTCATTGTTACTTCCACTTGGCTCATTAACTTTTGCTTGTTTCTTCAACAGTTCTTTTGCCACAGTAGTGTGACCACCTAATGCTGAAAACATCAATGGTGTGAATCCTTCCTTTGTTCTGTGCTCGATATTAGCATTTCTTTCTAGCAGCAATTTTACAACATCTACATGACCCTTCCAACAAGCAAATGTTAACGGACTGTCCTTGTTACTGTCGGACTCAACATTAATGTTGGCCTTGCAATCCAATAACAGTGTAGCCACATCAACATGGCCAGCTAGAGCAGCAAACATAAGAGCAGTACATCCATCTTTTGTTCGATGCTCAACATTACTTTTTCTGGTCAAAAGGAGCTGCACAATGGACTCATTTCCTAATGTACATGCCCAAGTGAGCGCACTATCTGATGTAGTATCTGTTGCTGCATCAATACTTGCTTCATGATCCAAAAGGTATTCAGCTACATCTTTGTGTCCTTGGCTACAAGCTTCCAATAATGGAGTATTACCAGCTTTATTGCGATAGTCCACATTAACTCCACTTTCGAGAAGCAATTCAACAATATCTAGTTTCCCCTGACGACAAGCAAGACTCATCATTTCATCTAAGCTAACCTCAGTCTCTTTGGCAATATTCTCCATTTCAGCACTGAGATCATTAACCCCATTCATACCACGACAATACTTTCGATCTAACAGTGTTCTTGGCATTTCTGATGTTTTATGCACAACCTTGTCATCCAATATCTGTCTACAATTGAAAGCATCAGCATTATCGACCATACTGTCTTGTACTCGATGACAAATACAGATTTTGTCAATAGAAATATAACAATATAGTACTATTGCAACAATACGAAACAGCAAAGACACTCAATTCATAAAACTACTTTTTTATTGATCGCTATGTTATCCTAAAGAGACAGACAAATTTTCCAGTAAACATTACGAGGAATAACAAATAAAATATCAAGATATCAAAAAAAAATTTCCCAAGTGCCACAAATTTGTCAATTAATCAGTAAAAGTCCATAAATCGAAAGTACCCAACACGTACGGACTTAAAATCTCTTAGAAAATATTATTCACAAATTTTTCAATCGACAAAGGATAATTATACCCACGTATTTCTTTTATAAACTGCCGATCATGAAACACCTCTCTTTATCCAAGTATCCATTCTGCGTTGACTAAAAACTCCACGGCACATGTTAGCATGCGTAGGCGCAAGCGCAATACGTCTTCCTTCCATAGATTTCTACTTACACTGGATTGTTTCACTGGTTGAAAATTGCGATGTACTCAGAGAAATGGAAGAAGTTTGTATTTATACGCCTTTTAAGGTTTTAGTAGAAGCTACTAGAAAACAGCTTTGATTCTGTTTTCAGTTTTTCAGATTCAGTTGCCAGCGAGAAGGTTGGAAAAGAATACATTCAACTTTATTAATTTGCTTTTTGTCACCCATTGTAAACTTCTCTAAATGTCTCACAAGTATTTTTTGCGTTGAAGTTAGAACGATTGTCCAAAACATGAAGGCAATGAGCATTAGACGACACATTAGGTATGAAAGTGCAGATATTACACAGTAAAATGGAAGACAAGGTGTGCTGTACTTCTTACTAGAATGTCATTGATTAGAATGAGACACAGTTTTATGCAAGAAATAGTCTTTAATAGTCTTTAATGGAATAGTGGACCAGCTACTTGAGTTTTAGAAACATGGTATATAGTGTCTGACAAAGGATTCAATAATCCTGAACATTAGAGAAATTTCATTGGTATTTCCGGATTATGAAGAATGAAGAATAGTTATTTGTGCTCATGCAGATTTAAAATTCTTTATCGTACAAGCTAGAACCAAAAGTCAATAAAAGAACAGGTCTTGAACAATATAAAAAATCAAGAACTGAATCAAGAAAATCAAGAAAATAAACTTATGGTATAGTTCTTATGCTCCTTTGTCGTAAGCAAGAAAAAACAATTTGACAAAGCTGCAGCCAACAGAAAATTTGGTTATGGTATGAAAATGTTTTGACTTTTACTCATAATAATCATAGATTTATAAATAAATAAATAATGCTAAGGATCTGAAATTTACATACCTAGCAAGATGGTTATGCCATAACAAGTCATGAATTGTGTCCATAATTGAATGGAAAAGTGATTGCTTTTTGGGAAACAGACTGTTTGCCAAGTGTTAAGGATTGTTGCATGCATGGTATTCAAAAATTCCACTGTTCAACTGGCTTGTGCCAGTAAGCAATTGCATCATATTGGAAACTGAATACTTGAGTGATTCAAAATTGTATATTAACATGATGGATTCAGTCTCTAGAATGGTTTGATTTACTAACAATTCTTTGTAAAAATTCTTGCTACATCTCTTTTTTGTCTGTACAAATGTATTGCAAGTTTCAAAAGATGCTTAGGTATCTTGGAAAAAGTTGACGATGGCATTTTCCAAGATTACAAAGGTTCACTATCATCAAAGGCGTAACTAGAACGTTTATTGAAGTAGGGGGGGTGGGGGTGTGGTGTATTCCTTTATTCAAATCTGCCCAAGCAGCCCAACTGATTTCTTTTGAAAGTTCTAGTTACGCCTCTGATTATCCTAATAGAAATATTATACCTTTTCAAAACGTTAAAAAAGTCACCATCCACCCACCCACCCACCCCCATGTGACTTGAATACCCAAGATGTCATATTTCTTGTTATTTCAAATAGTGCTCTGGAGTTACTGTCAAATTTAAAATTGGTAAAAAGAGCGTAGAATTATGTTTTGACAACACATTAATTGACCAAGTGTTGCTAGAAATTTGAAAGATCATTTAAATATAGTTACGTTGGAAACATTTTTCTTTTGCAAAAATATTTAGAAATTCTACCTGGTTGATGACTACAAATGCACTTCCTAATGTATCGACACCTAGGGCACAACTTCGAAAAAACGTTTTAATAAAATACGAGTTAGTAACGCAGGGGGATTTTTAGGATAAACCCGTCTCTTTGGATGATCGCTTTATAATGTGGGAAATGGCAAATATGTGAATAGTGAATACATAGTTTGTGTGTAGTGAAAAAAACTGTATATGAATTCAGTTTTAATTAAATCAAGAAAAGTATAGCGAAATAAAAAACGTAGAACGACACAAATGTTTTGTTTCTGCCTTTCACGAACATATTACATACACGCGAGCCACATATTACATCTGAACGAAGTATATTGACTCTACAAAATCAAAAAGTTGCTTCGTCTTATTGTCTTTACAATCAAATCGAGCTGTTTACGTAGTTTCAACTTTCGGTAATGGTTCTAAAATGTATTTTCTTTTTTGTTTGCATTCCCTGGAATAAAAAAAGACAAGCATTTTTTTATATATTTTTTAAATGTATAACTCAGTGCAGTATAATATTTCTTCATGTTTGACATGAACAAGTCTTTATTTTTCATATATAGGAATAGTATGACTTATATACTGAAATTATGAAAGTTGCCCAGTGTAACTAATCCAAATACATACCTTTTAACGTTTTTCTAAAAAATATATTATATTACTAATCAGAGGTATAATATATCACTCGGTTGTTGTTATTTTAATTATGAATACACATGTATGCATATCTTATTATTATATTAAAATATAATTACCATCGTCTTTATCATGTTTATAGGCGACAAGTTTGTTTCACACATTTTTTTACGATTATTTGTTTCATATACCAAACGTTGCTATAACTGTGAAAAAATTGTCTTTCATAAAATTATTAGAATTTATTACTTACATTTTCTTGAAAATCAGAAAAATGATTAGAGCCAATGCAATAAAGACAAAAATGACGATGACCAATGACAATGAAACCAATATTACCACAGTTTTATAATCTGTGTCATCTTTGCATTTGTCTTGATTTGTATTCTTGTCTTCATCACCATCCTGCTTATCTTGAATTATGAAGACGAATGCACAGATTTTATTGCAAAGACGTGTGAATTAATACTGTCATGAAAGAAACTACGATCAAACTATTTCAATAAAAAATAGATAGGCATATCGCAATCATAACATTCTGTAAATATATATTTAAAAATCAGAACAAGAACGGTGTGAGCATTGCCCGATGAGTCTTCATACAAGTGCAAAAATTTAGGTTCTATAGTCAAAATTGGTATTCTGTACGATAGTATTCCAAAAACACACAAACTCTATTTCACATAAATACAGTTGAACTAGCACAAGGATTGATTGAAATCATAGAAATTAATACATTTACCTTGCGTCTTGTTTATTATCTTCACATCAGATATGCATTGATAAGATCCAGGAAGATTTTTACAAATAGTACTTGAATGACACAAGTTCTCTGTTTCACATTCATCAATGTCTTTAATGCAAAATTAAACGTTTAATATTAAGTATTGCCTCCATAATTGTTGTGGATTAGTATTTCCACGAAACAAAAACTTTTTATTAGACAATCATGGAAACTGACATCCTTTCAGATATCATTTGTCATTTAAATAATTGTAAATTCAACCTCTTACCAGTGCATCCTATATTGTAGGGATTACCCGTATAACCGGATTTACATTTGCAGAAATGACCTTTAAAATAATTTTTACAAAAGGCATTATCACCACAAATTGGGTTACTGTCGTTGCATTTTCCTTTCTCTGCAAAAAAAAGTTGTATATTTAGGCTTTATTATTGTTGACGAATTCTCTCCCTTTTGTAAATATTTAATTGATTAAATAACTTTGTATCTTCTGCAAATGCACTGCAACGCTGAGTTTCAACATATCACAAGATCTTTCTACATATACAGGCTTTTATGTTGTAATAAATTCTTTACAGTAGCGTAGCCAGCCTGCAAGTTTACTATCCTGCCATGCAAACTATGATAAGAAAATTTCTAAAGGAATGAATAACAACAATGCTTTGAAATTTACCCATATCAGGACTAAGGGCTGATTACATGAGCCCGGGTAGCCGGGATTCAGCCAAGCGTTGAATGATTTTGGCGAATGAAAACGATTCAATACTTCAATTATAATCAGATAAATCTTCTCGAGCAATTTCACCATATTCTGATTTAATAACTACGCAAAACATTTAAAATTAAAGCAACCAATTTGCCCTAATTTGAGAATTACAACAGGAATGACTTGCGGCATTTAACAAACAGCTCTAGTTTTTAATCTTGAAATTTTGCCTCTTATCAATCCCTCGAAATCATTTCAACCTCACAGAATCCCGGTTAACCGGAATCATGTAAACAGCCCCTAAAACTCGCAGACTGGCGACAATTTCTGAAGAACATACAAGATTTAAGTACATCCCAATCCAAGATAAACAAATTTCATGAATAGTTACAAATAACTTACTTGCACATTTAGTTTGACGGAGATCTTCCTTGTATGCAAGATCTTCTGGTCTACAGTAACAGCCCGATCCTTTTTCACATACTTTGAGATAGTCTTTGCAATAATTAGGAATTAAGCACTCGTTGACAACTGTAAAACAGACATATTTACGTCGATTTTAAAGTCTTATCTACTTTTGTAACATATTTGACAATTTCTTTGAGTCGTCTTGCTACATAGCTATAACGTTTTTATAGATTTTATCACCCTAACCTGTCTACATTACTCAACAGCATTTAACTATTTTTAATGAACGTTAACAGAGAAAAATAAATAACATTTGAAAGCAAATGTATTACAAGGCCTTACTTACCTTTACAGTATGTCCCATTTCCTTTAAAATTACTGTTACATGTACATGTCACATTACCGTTGCTCAAAACATTACAGGTAGCATCTTTAGAACAAATCATTATTTGTTCTTTAGAACATTTAGCTGTAATAAGAACATTGTTTATTAATATGGATGTCTATTAGATCTTAATTAAAATGTCCGTCTGAAAATAAGAAATATCTGTTTATACAATTTGGGATGGTTTTTTTTGTATTTTTCTAAACAGTTTACTTTCTTTCTGAGCATTAAACGCCATCCAAAATTTTAACGTTCTATTTATGCATCATAAAGATTTTGATCGTTCAAGTTAGTGCAATTGTACTGCTATAAAAAGCACTGTTTTTGTTTGAGGGAGGACTGGGAATGTTACCCCTTTCCAATAGTTTTCTTTTGTAAAAGCTAAATAAAAAAATTCTCACAAAATCACAAAAGGTTGCACTTTCAAAAACACAAATTAGACATTCAATGAGGCATTATGTGCAAAGCAATAAGCATATAACCATATTCAAAGCAAAAATTAGACAGATCATGCACAACTGACCCTGACCCTGAATCTGAATCCAACCATACCCATAACTCATATCCTATAGCGTTGCTTTTGCTTTTTCAACTTTATGAGTTTTTACACGATATTTCTAACAACCCCGAAAAAAATGAAACTCAATATTTTTAATGGTGCGCGTGCGTCACCTCATCGACGACCGTACAGCCGAAAGAAAATGTTAACCTTGCGTATATTGAAATGCAAGAACAATTTTGCGAAGAAATGCTGCCAGAAACCCCTCTCTTTATGTATACAGAAAATAACTGCTTCTCAATGCTGTTCAGCAAAATATAGAATAAATCACCATTTCAAAATAAGCATGCAGCCAGGGGAAAAGGGCATATGATAACTATAACCTACCATAATGCCTTGTTAAAGAGAACATAAATGGATAAATCTGACGTTGAAACATTCCGCGTTTGCAAATTAGAGAAATGGTACTGACAACTTTTTATAATGTGCATAACACTTTTATTATGTATATGTATTATGTTCTATGTGTTTTTATTGAATTTCCAAAGTTGATTAACGACTTTCTCCTTTGCTCTAGTTGCTATGAATCTATGAATATGCTTTTACGCTTATTGGTTTTTCTTCATTGAAAGTCTTATTTATATATGAAAGGCATAAGGTGCAACTATAACATTTTTTTTCTTTTGGCTCCTCGCAATAAGTTTTATAGCTGAAAGCTAAATAAAAAAATCAAGGAAGATTTCTAAACAGGGTGCATCGGAAAAATGATAGTATACTAATATGACGGCCCACCATATTAAACTAAATCGTATAAGAAGTTAATGGGCATCAGTGCCATTGCTTTCATATGGCATGTAGTGTAAGCCATTTTTTCAAGGAACAGAGATATGTTCTCACGGAGTGTTGTAAATTTATAAAATCCTTCTACTGCGTGATATCCACTTTTAGGGGCTGTTCACCTGAGCCCAGCTAACCGGGATTTAGCGAGACGTGAAATGATTTTGAGATATTGAAAGGAGTAAAAACTTTAAACGCAAAACTTACAATCTTTCTTATAAGTCATGAGTCATTTTAGTTGTAATTTTCAAATCTGGCCAAATTATTTGTTTTCATTTTAAAGGTTTTGTGAATTTGCAAATTTAGAACATAGAAATTGCTTAAATAACTTTTTTGTTGTGAAGGAATTAATCTTTTCCATTGTCTAAAACGATTAAACGCTTCGCTGAATCCCGGCTACCCGGGCTCATATGAACAGGCCCTTAGTCATTCTTTTGATAATTGCCATACGCGTTCATGTTTCTTTGAATTCTCAAATTAGCATAATAGCATATTTCGCCGTAAATTTAAGACGAGAAAGTAAATCATTTGGAGGTTACCATTAACTTTTGAACTTTACGTATGGTCCAAACAAGGATTTAACATGTTAGTACGTTAAATGTTAAACTTCCTGAGGCCAAAAAACACGTTTGTATGTATATATGCCGTCCGCAAAAACATGCAATTTTTGATTAAATGAACTCTTCGGAAGAGTTGCTTACTCCTCCACGAGATAAAACATGAATATAATGTCATACAAAATATACAGAAAAGTTCATTTTCGAATTATTTAAAACTCGACGTTTTTTGAAGGGTATAATCATTAATGCGTTACGCCGACATGTTGTCATTTTTTAGATGCATCCTGCATAGATACTGTGGTGACCGGTGATAGTACTTCACATAATAAATGCTATATCATATATATATATATCGGTTTTTAATCAAGACTATCTGTCAGAATAGAATATTTGAAACAACCTTTCTTACCACATAGAGCGACCTGCATCCCGCATGTGATCAGACAAGCCAGAAGGAAATATGACATTTTTAACTTTACAATATCTTGACAGCAATCTGTATTTTCACTAAATTAAAATTTCAAGACGATGTCAACAGTATAACACACGTCCTTTGATTCGTTATGTTTGATGAAAACCAGTAGCAAAGCCAGAGCGTTTTTTACTGCTGCGATATAAATATTTTGGTGTTACACAATGAATCGAATTAATTTTCTAAAGAAATGAACAATATAATTTTGCTGAAATAAATATTTATTGAAGAATGCAGAATTACGTATAAATTTGTTGTTGCATTAAAAAACAAGATATACACTAATTACTGTGATTCAACTATTCAGGTATCCTCCGAAAACGACAGATCTGACAATGGCTTTGTTGTACGCACATGCTAATTTTCCTTCGACCAGTTCAGTCAACTAAAACTTTGTAGATTATATCTATAACTACCATAATGGCATCATGACTGATTCAAACTGTATATGCATTGGTGGGCTTTTGAATTTTTGATCAAATTGCAAATACATGCAGTAATGTTTTGTACGCTGTAGTAAGCCTGAAATTAAAAGATCTACACAATCAGTAAGTGTAGCACTTCATCCCAAATTGCTTTTTTACTGTTCATGATTTAGTTCGTGTTTCTTCCAAAATAATTCGAATCCCATAAATTACAACAACTCAATCCTAATCTCTTTTTTCTAAACTTGGCATTACATTATTATTGCTTAGTAAAACGTTTGACAGCTCTATCCACTATCCAGGTCAGTGCTGATCATTCATTTATATGCAGTGAATTATTCGTATATGATAATACGCTACAGATACCTTACTTACATCTATTAAAAAATCGAATTCTTTACTGTATAGGGTTAAGACTGTCTTTACCTTTGTTGCTAAAATTAAAAAACTTAGTTAAAGGAAAGCATAACTTAAATGTGATATTTTTAGATATGTGCATACTTTACTGGTGGTATTGTATTGAATTGCATCAATTCTATGAGGGAGGAGTTTTTGTAAAATTATTCTGCCAAGAGTAAAATTTGCAGCAATATATATATGTATACTCTAATAAAAACAAGTTGTGTTAAGATGTAATTTATTCACCAATCAAAGAAGGAGAAAGAGAAACAAGATTAGATCCAGTTGATTAAATTTTGAGACTTACCTTAACTGAAGACAGAGAAAGAGACTTAGAAAGTCCAGCAGATTTTGTATTGAAATAGTCCACAGGCCTTTATCCAGACAATTATAAAAACGTCTTTATTTATCACCAGATTTGTTTTAAAAAATAAATGGTAAGTATGACTCCTATTTCAAGCCAATTTTCACGAGTCACGATAACGAATAGGACGACTTCAGAGAGCAATCGAGTGGAAGAACTTTCAACTTTAATTATTGCCGTTCGTTTTTAGGTGTTGTTGCTGCAGCTTAGGATATGTTGTAAAACAGTTTAAAATCATATGGTGTAATAAGAGGATTTTATTCCTTTGTTTTATATCACGAGGAGAAAATTACAAATATTTGTTGTTGACGGATGTATGTTAAATCTCGTGGTGTGTCAGTAATCGAAAACTTCTTTGGTTTGTTTACACACTCCCTAGGTCATAGGACAATAACTCGTTTCATTTTTATGTGTTTCTATATAGCCTTTGTTTTATCGCCGTACACAAACAGTCGATTAAAATTTTCAGTGTGTCAGTAGCTTGACAAGAAAAAAGATCAGCTTTGCTATTGATATTAAATAAATGTAATTTTCGTAAGTTGCTTTTTTGATATTCTGTCGACCTTCACAACTGACTTTAAAAAAATTTTTAGTTGCGTGATATTGGCTAAGGACAAAGGGCATCGTGACGATTGTTGGCAAACTTTTTAATCATGTGCAAATCACAAATAATTAAATCTACAGCTACTTAAATCTGCAATCCTCTGAAGGTATCAACAATCTTATTTTGGTTGACAAATTAAATTTTTTTCACTGACATTTAAAAATTAAACTTTGAAGTCACATTCAGTCTATTTCGTTTTTGTCAGCCTCTGTGAGTCACATCAGTCAATATCATACAAATTACGTCGTTTGCTAAAATATTGAGACTACCGTTTTTAGGAGAATATGTATTGAAATAAAAAAGAAGGACAAATGCAATATATTTCTTCCAAAATTTTCATCAGCAAATTTAATAGAAAATACTCTCTTTTGCTTTTGAATAATGTCATTTAAACTTAGTATTTACTTAAACTGAGCTTGACAGATAAACTTCAGTTATTACTACATAGAACCAGGCAAAATATGACATTAGTGTAGGTTACCTTATGATTCAGAAATAAAAGCCTTCTTTAACAATTTAATTTCATACAATACATCAACCAATTAACTATCAAATTTGCAGAAATGCTTCCAGATTTATTTTTGTCACACAGTTACCAGTTTAAACAGCTTATATGATGACGGAGCTCTGTAAAGAAAAATATACCCCATCAATAAATGATAAATTACTGTAAAACGCCGTCAAACATAACTTCTACTGCTTTCTAAATGAAATAAAATTAGAAAGTGCACGTGATACACGTCACTTGTATCATTCACTATGACATACATTGTTCATGAACGAATAATAAACCATAGTTAACACACGCCAGTAAAAAACATGCGCGTGCATATGAGCATGAAAACGCAATGGGTTTAAGTTCAACTAATTCTGTTGAAATTGGTATGACAATTAGTGTAAAGTACATGAACTTTTGTTGGCAAACAAATATAAGTCATCAACTTTTTACTTTTCCGAGCGAACTTTTTGTTGTCTACTTAATTTTACATGTATTCTTTATTATGTTAAGGATATTAATCAATGACCAATGACCTCAGCATATAAATAAAATCACCAGCAGGACTATGCCAACTACTTTGCTGGGCAGCAACCCTGTGGTATAAACTTAAACTAGGTTTCGGCTGTGGTTAGATAGCTCAGTGAGTCAACGTGTCCATTATGGTAATTAGCTAAGTAGACGTCATACGGGTCATACCGGCGCGGCTTTGCTGTTTGTTCCCTATACTATTTGTACTGTGTAACGCTCAAAATAAAATGTTTTTACACAGACATATTTTGAAATTTTTAGATAACACTATCTTCACTAAAAATTACTGGAAGTGCAGCATCTTACTAACCATATTTTATAAAATTTCTCCCCAACCCCTATGTACGGATCACTCGAAAGTTGTGACTTTTTTCTATTTTTGGTCGCGCCACTGTTCAAATTTATAAACAAATGCCTTTCTTACACTTTGTATAAATAAAATAGAGCGAGAAAGAACAACACCATACTGCCAATAAGCATCCAAAAACTAATGGTCACGAGTCTTTCTGGCAATTCATATTTGTCCTCGTCCTCTGTTGGATCTAAATAAAAAAATACATAAACACAAGATATAGTATATCTCAGTTACATATTCAAAATTCGAAAGAAAAAAAAAGAAACAGTTCATGTTAGAAATACAATTGATGTGCACATTAAAAAACGTCTACTGTAACCACATTTCAAAGCATATTTTTAAAAGCCTTAAAGTTCAAAACGCGCTAATTTTCATACATACGAGGACAGTGTTCGTACCACCACACTTTATCTTGTCTTGTGCACTGATATGATCCGAGTACATTAGTACACAAGGTGCCCAAAGGACAATGAGTTTCTCCTTCGCATTCGTCGATATCTAAAAAATAAAAATTCATTACGTACAAACTAGAAGCCGCTAAATATTTCTTATGAAGAACTTGTTTACAATACAATATGTACACTTTCTCATTTCAAATACCTTGATATTCTGTAATTGGGCACATGTAAAGGCGGAGCACATGTAAAGGCTGGTTTTCATATGACGTAATTCGTCGTAAACTATTGTCGCAATTAGTTGTATTTCTCTCATATGCACATTCCTCTCTATCTGACTAATGAAAGCCGAAATCGTAATTATCAAAATTTTTTTGTTATTCCCGTCAATTCAGACAAATCACAACAAAATTTTTGTGACCAAGCCTTAATTACAGCAAATTAAGGACAGATGAATTGACTTAAACCGTCCGTATATATGACTGTTTCACATTAAGGGGATGATTTACATGAGCTCTGTAGCGGGATTCAGATAAGCGTCAAATGACTCTGGCAAATGGAAACGATTCAATACTTATCATCAGATAAATCTTCTCAAGCAATTTCGCATTATTCTGATTTAATAACTTCTCAAAACATTTAAAATTGAAACAACCAATTTGCCCTAATTTGAGAATTACAACCGGAGTGACGTGTGGTGCTTCACAAACAGTTGTAATTTTTAACCTTGAAGTTTTGGCTCCTTTCAACCCTTGAAATTATCGGGCTAGCTCGCTAACCGGGCCGGCTCGTCTCCATATAATCAGGCTCTAACTTTAATGAAAACCATGATTCCTGTCAATTCAGACAAAATTTTAGTGGCCAAGCCTTAATTACAACAAATTAAAGACAGATGAATTACGTCAATAAAAGACGTATTTATTATGTCATTTGGAAGTCAGTCTTGAAAACAGTTATAACAAGTTGATAAAACGATTTATGTCATATGAAAACCAGCCAAAAAGCTCGGCTAGATGAATAGCTAATAAACTTTTGAATAATAAGTTATGTGCTGTTTACGAGGTGTAAAAAACTAGAGCCAATGGTGAAAACTTCAATGCCTGACCATTATGCTAATTCCATTAAGCTTCCCGAAGCTTAAAAGCTTGTAGCAAAGATATTTAATATCAGCATGCAGCTGACAATAATTTTATTGAAATTTTCCCATTGAGTTAATTTCTAAAGGTATCTTTGACAACCTGCACTCTTCTATCCACCATCATGAGTTATGAGTTTATAAAATATAAGTTTTTTGTCAAACCATTTGTAAAAGTAGTAAAAACATTTACTTTTTTCGCAATGTACGTGGTTAGGTCTGGGTGTTGGTAGGACTGTTTTTGCTCTGCACACACACACGTCATGTCAATACAGTTCTGGCGTGATGCTACAAACTGTGGAAAAGCTAGCTCAAACTTTTACTGCTAAACTGCAAATTATTCAAAAACTATAAACTAAACGTTTGATTTCTTTAGAAAATGTGTATTTTTGTTCTTACTTCTTCCTGTGAATAAAGACAAAGATATTTGTATTGAAGAGGAGTATTAAACGTGCTGGCTTTGCTACTGAGATATTGAGAAGATAAATTTTATTTACCATCACAAGAACTCCCGTTTCCAGTGTAACCTTCTTTACATGTGCAATTTGCTGTGCCATTAATATTTGTGTCAATGTCTTTGCATAACGCGTTGTCTGAGCACTTTATAAGACCTGCTTCACATTCATCTAAAAGAAAAATTATGGTAAATAGCAATACAAACTATTTGATGAAAAGAATTCATAAAAAAATCGTCGGTTTTGTTAACAGGTTGCTGTTTATATTCATTTATTACGTGGTATTTTAAGAAGTGATAAATTAGCAAGTATGATGTGTGTCACAACATACAGTTCAATTAAACTCTCCAACGCTACTTTAAAATAAAACATGGAATTGTAATACATATAGTGAAAAACTGACAAACCAACAGTTTGGATCATATCAACTTGTATGACCAACATGAAAATAACGGCCAACGCATAGCAAATAAACGCGTATCCAGAATTTTTCATTTTGAGTATTACAAACAGATCTTCTGAGTAGAACGTTTGTGGGATCTATAGGGAAAAAGAAGGCAACAAAAGAATTTCTTCCGTGTATTTCAAAAACAATGTACTTTATATTGTAAATTAGCTAATATATCTGTTATCTGATAGACTGGCTCCGTTTACACAGGATTCGCTCATCACGACATCTTCGTTTGCTTTGAAGGGGTAACTGTTCGGAGTAAAAGCTTATCAAGTTGATAGAGTTAGTCTATTTGAATGAGTTTCTGACGTTGAACAAGTTCGTTGCCTTTTAATAAGAAGAAAATTTAACCTGATACGATAGTAATCCGGTACAATGTAAACCAAGTTTAATACTTAACAAACGCACCTTGCTCAATATTTATTTCTAAGTAATAGAAACGTTTTCACAAGCATTTCTACCAAACTCTTCTATCAGACTGAAATCGATTTTTTTAATAAGATAATTAGCATACATAATTTAAATGTTTTATATGTGTACATCCCGCAACCTCAAAACACAAACAGTAGTCGTCAAATATTGTTGAAATTTGAGTAGCTACAAGACAAAGCGCGAAGCACTGGCGTCTGGAATTTGGAAAGCTTATATGTAATCACAGATAGGTTAAGAAATGCATATTGAATCGTGCGATTTTCTATCCTATGGGAACACGAAAAAATTACTGTGTGTATGCAGTAGAAAATTGTGATGCTAATGCTCGCTCTTTGTCTTGGGAATTGAAATTCTAACAATATGGGCAACAGCTATTGTTCGAGTTTTTTGGGACAGCTTGTCAATTGTTTTCTCTGCAACAAGTATATTCAAACATCAATGACATCATTTTGCAAAAAAATCTTTATGCTTTTGCTTTTATAAGCACGGTAAAACAGAACGTACTTTTGCAAACAGTTATATATAGTTTTGACTTCAACCATAAGCACATCATTGTTTTTTCTTTTGTTTTAATTTTATAGAACATGTGCATAAAGTCATGGTCAGCCACATGGCTTTATTAAATATCTAATTTGCGACCTAATTTGGGAATATTTATGCAGATGAAGTAATGCACCAGTACATGAGATTAGCAAGTGATCAGGCATTGAAATTTCTCAGTAGATTAATTTCTACGATTTTTTTGATGCACCCTAAATTGTCATATCACTGACAGGTTATTTATTTATCATCATTATATTACGCGGGGAGGGGGGGCGCACTTAAGAAACTATGACGACAATTTATATTGTGTCGTGTTAGCTATATGTTCTTAGTGTATTCAATCGTAGCGTTATAGATACAATGAACAAATCATTTTTAACATGAGTTTTTTAAATCACTTCAAATCATTAATCATAGGTTTGTTTACATGCATGCTAATATACAAAACACGTGCGGCATTAGAATTGACATCAATTTAAAGGTGACATCATTGTCAAGTAAGGAAAAAATGAGGTGTCTTGGAATAGTTTTCTCTCTCAGCAGCCAGGTATTGTAAAGCAATTATGGCAAACAAAGAAAAATTGCTAAAGGGTACTGTCGAAATGTTTCAGCAGCATTTCTAGAACTTCCAAATCTTAAGTTTAAACCGTATTGGATTAATAAGAATTCATATATGAAATGTCACGAAGAACAACATCAGAAAGAAGTATGATATATTTTGTTTTGCTAGTAAAATTTTCATATATGTGTAGCTACTACAGAGTATAGAGTTACACAGGCAAACTTAGTATAAAACAGTCATATAATACTTTGAAAGTTGAAAAATTGTTTCATATGTATCTTTTGAGAATTAATCATACACTATAGGTACAATTATAGAACTAAACATTTTTTTGTTAAACGAATTTTTTGCATTCGAAACTATTTATAACTGATAATAAAGTTGCATACAGCATACGTGAAATAAAGAAAATGCCTTTCACACATAATAAAAGATTAGAGCAGTTTATAACCACGTCGTGTTCTGTGGTACACAAACCTATAGAATCGACACAAAAATGTCAGGAATTATGTCTCAATATTTTTACAATGCTAAACATTATTGTGCTTTAACAAATTCACCAAATATGAAGTTTTCAATGACTTTTGAAAGGCATCACTGAAAATTAAAAAAAAACAAAAGTCTTTTTGTGTTTAGCATTGCTTTTTGAATTTCTTTAAATTGTTATTGAATTTCACATTTATCTTCGCAATCAATAAATAATTAACTTTTGAATGTTAATGATTTTCCATTCGTTTAAATAAATATCAAAAAAATCTATTGACATATCCAGGATCGCACCGTGTTAATAATGTTAATTTTTGTTTAATACAGGGCAAAAGATGTAAAAACCAAACAAAAGAGAAAAATAGTGTATGTAACATTCCGAGTAAGAAATAAAAGCCTTTTTTATCAATATATATAAATTATTACACATTATCAAGGAATTAACTATCATATGCAGAAATGCTTCCAAATTCTTCTTCATTAAGTCTAAAAAGAAAAATATGCACCATTTATCATTGATAAACTTGTGCAAAAAGCCGCTAAGCATAACTTCTTCAGCACTCTTAAGTCTATCCTATAAAACACACGTCACTGGGGTCATTCAAAATGACATATACATTGTTCATGTATGAACGATAAAATGCGTGTGCATATTAGCAAGAACTGCAATGGTTTTAAGTTGAATTAATTGATTCTGTTGAAATTGAAATACATGAACTTTTAATGGTAAACGAGCCTATATCACCAATTTGCATTTTTCTGAGCGAACTTTATAAGCCACATAATTTTATATGTATTCTTTATGATGCTAAGTATATTAATCAATAACCAGTGACCTCAGCATATATAAAAAACACCAGTAGGACCACCAACTACTTTGCTGTGCGGTAACCAGGTGCAATGTACACTCGGAATGTAGTTATAGCTAACTCAATGTCATCAGTGTGTTTCACTGTTTGCGCTGACATCTGACGGGACTTTTTTCTATTTCTGGTTGCGTTGCTGAGTGAATTTATAAACTAGAAGTTACTGTCGCAAGGGGAAGTGCTACTCCTGCCTCGTTTTCACCCATGGGGTTAGTGCTTGGAAGAAACGAAATCATGCGCTATGAAAGCCCAAGCCAAGCTCAAGCGAGTATAAATATATACGTTTCCGGTGCTTTACTTATAACGTTTATAGAGATGTCCTTGCAAATTAAACATTAAATTCATTGCTATTTTGAATGAAAATTAGATAAATACTATATCTTCATTTGTCGTCCAAGCGCTTTGTGTAGAGTAACATCGCCCGTTCACAGATATAAATCGAACAAAGTTTCCTTCAGTATATGAACAAAGTCAACAATGTTTACTAGATAATATACAACAGACTGTATCACTAATTTTGGACCTGCAGGCCGTGTAATCTTGTTGGTATTTTCTTAATTTGGTAGGACTATATTGCTCATTAATGAAGATTCTCTTCAGATTAATATACACATCAATATATGCTTGATTCCTGAACGGAGAAGCTTTGCACGTAGTAGTGTATACCATAGTACTGCTAGTATTAGGTATTCTTCACAAATTTTCTTTTCTGTTCGTTCGTTAAATCAAAGTTACAAAAATCTTAAGTCGTAAAATGATCGTTTCTGTTTATCAACCGAAAAAAAATTCTATTTTTTACTCCCCACATTAAAAAATGTTCTAAATTGTTACGTCGTACTCGGAAATAATCTTACCGTACAGACACCCAATCCAGATGCTAGAAAATACATAGGTCGCGGGAAAAGACTGGGTCAAGTAAAATGGGAGTCAAGAATAGTGTGCTACCTCGTTAATGCTCGGCAGCAACAACTGCCTTTTTACCTTTTTGCACATCCGACAGCAAGCGAAGAAAAGCAAAAATATACTGCAAACAAGCATCGCAATACTAATAAAGACAAGTCTTTTCGTCGCTTCTATGTCTTCCTCATAACCTAATGCTGTATTTAGATAAAAACAAAACACAAGATATAGTATATAGTATATCTACGTTGCAAAATAAAAAATCGAAAGAAATTAAGGAAAGAAATAGTTCACGTTAAAAATACCTTTGAAGTACAAACTACAAAATGTTCAATCTAACGTCATTCAATCACATTAGTTTTCATACATACTAGGACAGCCATTGTATGGCATTTCATCTTGTCTTGTGCACTGATATGATCCGAGTACATTAGTACACAAGGCGCCCAAGGGACAGGGATTTTCTCCTTCGCATTCGTCGATATCTAAGAAATAAACATTCCTTATGAACAAACTAGATGCTGCTAAATATTTTTTATGAAGAACTTGTTTACAATACAACATGTACACTTTCTCATTCGTAAATAGATATTCTGTTAATAGCTTTGTGCGGTACAAATAGTTTAAGCACATGTAAGGATCAGCTACTTAAATTGCTAAAAAACTTTTATATAATAAATTGTGTGCTGTATACAAAGTGTATAAAAAGAGATCTTTGTACAAACTAGTCAATTGTGAAAACTTCAATGCCTGATCATTTTACGCTAATCCTTTAAACTCCCAGAGGCTAAACAGCTTGTAGCAAAGATATGTAATATAGCATGCAGTGAGTTGACAATAATTTTATCGAAATCTTACAATTGAGTTAATTCATAAAGGTCCCTATATCTTTAACAGCCTGTACTCATTTATCCACCTTCACGGGTTTATAAGTTTAACGGTATAAAATAAAGTTTTTTTATTCAAACAATCTGTATAAAAAGCTAGCAAAAATTTTTACTCTTAAAATGCAATTTATTAAACACTCTATTTATGAATATGGAGTATATACCATCACAAGAACGCCCGTTTCCTGTGTAACCTTCTTTACATGTGCAATTTGCTGTGCCATTAGTATTTGTGTCAATGTCTTTGCATAAGGCGTTGTCTGAGCACTTTATAAGACCTGCTTCACATTCATCTAAAAGAAAAATCATCGTAACTAGCCATGTTTTGTTAACAAGTCGATGTTTATATTCATTTATTACGTGGTGTTTTAAGAAGTGATAAATTAGCAAGTATGATGTGTGTCACAACATACAATTCAATTAAACTTTCCAACGCTACTTTAAAATAAAACATGGAATTGTAATACATATAGTGAAAAACTGACAAACCAACAGTTTGGATCATATCAACTTGTATGACCAACATGAAAATAACGGCCAACGCATAGCAAATGAACGCGTATCCAAAATTTTTCATTTTGAGTATTATAAACAGATCTTCTGAGTAGAACTTTTGTGGGATCTATAGGAAAAAAGAAGGCAACAAAAGAGTTTCTTACGTGTATTTTAAAAACAATGTACTTCATATTGTAAATTAGCTAATATATCTGCTATCTGATAGACTGATGTATCACACTCACCTTGCTCAATATTTACTTTTATGCCAGAGAAACGTTTTCACAAACATTCCGAGAGAAACTCTTCAATCACACTAAACTCGTGAATTTCTATCTAATGCTCGGGACTCTTAATCCCATGCATAGAACACACGTGATTATGCTCTAACCCTTACTTAAACGGTCACCTCTATTAAGCGGACGCGTTCACCTTTTCCACAGTCTCAAACTTAATTTTTCATTGTTTTGAATTTGTATTAAACGGTCAGGTTAAAGAAATACAACACAAAAGAAAATATAGAATTAAATACTTATTCTGGTGGAACATGTCACTTATATTGTATACATTTCTTTTTATTGTACTTATATTCCGTAATCACTCAAAAGTGTTAACAGTATTTTCTGTTTGTGTGGATATACACAATTGAATTTTTCTTACGTCCCATCAGCCATTGATAAGAAGACACTTCTCAAAAAAAGGGGATAAACGCACGGAATTATAAATTATAACCACCTTCCCTGTTGACAAACTTGCCATTGATTATACTTCAGCAGTTTGAACTGTGGAATTTTTGTATATACTAACTATAACTTGTAATTTGAACAAAGAAATATTATTTGCTTTATATAGTGTTGTTATGGACTCTTTGGCTTGTAGCTATGTTGAGGAACAATACTGTTTGGTTCAACTTTAGTTGTATTAAATATTACAAGTAGATAGTCTGGTGATTTTCTTGAAGATCTGTATCAAGCGATCAACCTGTATTAAACGGTCACACGAGAAATCCCCAAAGGTGACCGTTTATAATACAGGTTCTACTGTATTACACTTAATTGGCCAGCATAAAATCTTTTCTACTTCTGGGAATTCATGACATAACTTCTAACATAAAAAAAACAATACAATAATACACCAGTGCATGGGATTGTTAAGTGATCAGGATGTAAAATTTCACAATAGATTAATTTCTTTACAAATATTTTTTTTGATGAACCCTGTATTTTAACGTCATTGACAGGTTATTTTTCATTATTATAAATCTTTATTATTATATTAGTATAATTCTCAGTGGATGCAATAACAACGTGTATCTTTACATGATTTTAGTAATTCTACCTATAAAATAATTATAATATATTCACCTTGTCTATACGACCAGTAATAATTAACATATAGCATTTGTATCACTACCTAGAATATGTTCTCAGCTAGATAAATAGTTCTGAAACTCAGATCCTCATTCAGGTGAAAAGTTAACTGCCCCAAACACAATGATTACTGTTTTTTGTCTTGATTTTTGCCCCATGTGCATTCAAAGTCGTCGTGCAAGGCCATTTTTTTGAATTTTCCAGTCACTTCGACAATAAATTGCTACTACACCTCCATATGTTTCCCTGTTCTACGATCTTTTCTGTTTAAGGTAAAATCACTTGGGCATACTAGAATTGACATAATCTTGTCTGTAATTCAGCCACTTTTCGGATGTATATTATGCAGATTCAATACTCTTTGAACTTAATTCAACATGTATTAAGTGCCAACGTAGCATCACGCTTGGCTTAAAATCGAGCACTTATCATCAAGCATCGCTTGAATTTCCAAATCTTTATTTCAAACTGTTGGATCTGGATTGATGAGAATTAAGAGATCTCACAAAGAACAACTCCAGTGAAAAGTATAATATATTTTGTTTTTTTAGCAGAATTTTTGGTATCTATGTTCATTGTTAGTCTTACTCTTACCAAGGCAGAGTTATACAAGTACACAGGGAAACTTACTATTAAACAGTCAGGTAGTAGGTCACTTAATCTTTGAAACATTTTGTAAGTAGCTTTTGATAATAAACTATTGCACCATACACCATAAGCAGATACGTTAGAGGAGCATAAATTTTGGGACGAATGTACACGATCGATTATAAATGTCCAAAAAATAGGATAACTATGAATTTTTCAGCATATAAAAAACCGAGACGACAACAATGAGAATAGTTAGAGACTCCGTCACAATGCTAAGAATCACCAAACCAATCATTACCGTCGTCGTATGATCAATTTTTTTTGTTGGTGCTATATGAAGACAATATACAAGATATCAATTAAAAAACGACAAATTGAGAAAAATGTATTTTTTATGAGGTATAGAAATATGGAAAAATAGCTCATACCAGAAATACAATTGAAGTAGAAATGGAAAGATGTTCATTCTTAATGTTAATGTGTATAATTCTTGTACTTACTAGGACTGGGACATCTTATTCCTCCCCAAAGTACAGGTTGAGCTGAGCATGCATATAATCCGGGTAGATTCCTGCACGTAGAATTTGATTGGCACGGATTTTCTCCTTTACATTCGTCGATATCTAGGAAATAAATATTGCCTTATTGACAAGATGAGGGCCGAACGTGTGTTGGGTTTGGTGTGTACACTTCCTACCAGTCAAGATAAACGTGTTAGTATAAAAGTTGGCAAGCTGTTCAACTTCAACAAAATTCAAACTAAACTTATTTCAACTATTGTTTCCGTGAATGCAGTAAACTGTAAGTTATTTGCTCATACTTGGCTCCAGATTTGATTGAGAATAAAATGATCATGGTATCTTTTGACTTTTTTCTATAAGCCTACTTCATCAGTCTCAGCAAAAACTTTAGATATCGCAAAATATTATTTAGACCTTTTCATTGTATGCAGGCTTATCAATTAACAGGTTTCAATAAATGTAATATTAATGCATGGAGTCAAGCACGCCACACTTAACAATTAAAAAAGCATGTCTATTTTATTTAGACATATAAGACACGATTTTAATAAACGTCATGAAAAGTGAATAAGATTTGAGATTTGACTTGCTTGCCTTTTTGAAAGTCGTAATAATGTGTAAGGTATATAAATTTTGGGAGTGTTTTGCCACCCCAAAAATAAAACCCTGCCAGTGCTACTGCCAGGTATAAAAATGTTAAGGCAATGAATACAAAGAATCTACACCGTTAAGTTATTACCACCAGGTTTTCACAAATGACCAAAAATGTTATCACATACATACACTTGCATACATACACCATTATCTACCTAAGGGGCTGATTACATGAGCCGGGTAGCCGGGATTCAGCCAAGCGTTAAATTATTTTGGCGAATGGAAACGATTCAATACTCATAATCAGATAAATCTTCTTAAGCAATTTCACATTATTCTGATTTAATAACGTCTCAAAAAATTTAAAACTGAAACAACCAATTTGCCATAATTTGAGAATTACAACCGGAGTGACGTGTAGTGCTTCACAAACAGTTGTAATTTTTAACCGTGAAGTTTTGGCTCCTTTCAATCCCTTGAAATCATCGGGCTAGCTCGCTATCCGGGCCAGCTCGCCTCCATATAATCAGGCCCTAAGAAAATTACGCGTCACGCTCACTTACCACCAAACGATCATTTTATACGTAGTAATGGCATTGCTGTTTTTTCTTGCACATGTACGATATATCACTTCACAAGGCTTATATTGATAAAGTGAAAACATATAGGTAATTAAGTAGTCAGTCCCAGCTTCATGGAGGGTTTGCATCAAAGGGGAGAAGAGGCAATCTCGATATAAAATTTTTAAAGGGGGAGGGACAAGGATAAGATAGTAGTGAAAAGATTCCAGGGAAAAGACCCGAGGGAAATTACCATAAAGGAAAATACCTTCGGTAAAAGAACCCCCAAAATAGACTCTGTGCCTTAGCCGCTGTGTGGAAAATTTCAAGTGCCACACTCATTTGTTTGCAGATATGCGTTTTTAATAAGGTTTGTATTTGCATAGGTAAGCTCAGCCCATGCAGTATTTTGTATTTTTGCCTCTAATCCACACACGCCTCCTTCAGTTCTATTATGGTATGTACAAATTATTGAAATGATAACATTTTATTTACCATCACAAGAACTTCCGTTTCCAGTGTAACCTTCTTTACATGTGCAATTTGCTGTGCCAGTAGTATTTATGTCAAAGTCTTTGCATAAGGCGTTGTCTGAGCATTTTATAAGACCTGCGTCACACTCATCTAAATGCGAAAGTGTTGTATTAAAAACTAGTAATACATGAAATAACGTGAAATAAAGAATATGACTTTGAGCTTTTCCACATATATTAAAGATTAGAGCGCAGTTTAATTTGTGGGTCACAAACTTGTAATCAACACAAAAATGTCAGGCCATGACTTAATGTTTATTAGGCTGAATATTATATGTTTTGTTTCAAATCTTAGCACAAGTCTGTTTCTGCATCAATTATGATACAGAAGCACATAATTTGTAAAGTAAATGAACAATAACATTTTTATGTATGATATACGGTTATGAACCCCTAGACATGCACACAAGAAATATAAAAGAAAACTTTGATAGCTATAAAGCTACAAACCAATATTTTGTACCACATTAATTTGCATGATCCACATGAAGACGGCCGTTATGAACATGTAACAAGAACTTTTCATTTTAAATAAACAGTATTACAGGTTTGAAGAGCGATACTTTTGTGTGATCTGCAGAAAAGAAGAGAAACAATATTTTCTACTTGTCACAGAGCTTTTGTTAATATATCTACACTAGGTGGGGGCACAACACCTTATAAAATACAGGAAGTAATGTGTTGGCCTTGTAAGAACAATGATGTGAACAAAAGTTCTCACTTTGACGATCTTGGACAATGCTTAAAGCTCAACATAAATAACAGACAAATATGCCTTCATGCATGTAATTATTTTACTGGTCAATTTTTGTTGGGCTCATGTTTTCCCGTGAAAGGAATGTCATATGAAAGAATGTTATATGCAGTGCGGTGTTTGAAATTAAATGAAGATATGATCTTCGCACTTTGCTGGACAATTTAAGCAATTGTCTCATGAACCTGAAAAATTCAGGTGACTCAAAGGGATTCGAATAATTATTTTACTGCTAGTAAGAAATCGCTAAATAAAAAATTCCCTTACAATACACGTATTAATTTGTGTTAAAATCAGTAGCTTCGTGTTCAGTTTTATCAATAACGCATGCATATTGTCATATTAATATACAATTATCTGATACAACACTCAACACACTAACCTTGTTTAAAATTTACCTCTTTGTAAGAAAAACGTTTTTACTGACATACGGACAACTTTTTTATACGACTGAGCTCGATATTTTAATACAACGTTTGTCATAACCAATAACGTTTAGCATAATAAAAGACGACAATGTCTGCATGAGTTGTACATTACAAATGTACATTGTTTTAACCGCAATAAAGTACATTCAAAGGTCCTCAGAACAAACCTTATGTAGATACTTATTACTTATTTTATTTGAATATATGCCAGAATTTGAATTTGAGCGTGCATAGTACAACACTTTGGAGAACAATGATGATGCTTTTGTTTTAACAGACAATAAAAACGAAGGCATAATAATGCTAGAGTTAAGACTTCAACAATGATCAAATCATTGTGTTCATCCATTAAACAAATATTGCGCATGCATTTTAAAAACATTTATTTATTAATGTTCTGTAGAAATGAATAATAATTTTGTTATATTATTATATTTGCACAAACACCAAGGAGGTCGGAAGATTGATATTTGCGGGGGACTCGTTTTCATTTATTCATATGTTACAATCCCTAATCACAATTTATTTTAATAGATACTATTAATGCAGAACGTGCACATATGAACATTAACCCTCAATTATTGTGTCTGGTGTCCCTGAACACGACTAAAAATTCAAACCAACCTCACTGCCATTGACGGCATTTTATGTAAAATAAGGTGGGTAGCAAGGATAATAAAACATTTCGACGAAATCGGTCTACACCCGGTCATGTCAACTCCAAAGTGTAAATATTTCCTGAAAACTTACTTTCATACATTTTACTCGTGATTCAAAATTTTCATCAATCCTATACGTATCTTTTTCATTACAAGAGAAATTCAACGTCTTATGTCTTATCATAAACTCACAGATAACTATCATAACTAAATAGTACGATGAAAGAAAAAGCACAAATGCACAAGCAAAACATCAGTGACATAAAGAATTTCAAATTATAACATTCTAATTGGCAGTTGCAATGCTGAAAATAACTGAATGAGGTTAATAAAACACCAAAATCAAACATCTTTAAAACATGGAGTTGGAAATGTTGAACAAAATAAAAAAATTGTGGAATATGAAATAGAAAAAAATATTTAATAATAAATAACAAAAATGAACAAATAAAGCGAACTTCAGCAGGTTTTCTTTTCACCAGTTGAAACATACATTATAAAATGGTCGTATTCTAGGTTCCCCTTGAATTTTTTTGTCTCGCGCAAATCTTACGTCGCATGTGATTACCATGGTGGTAGCTGGCCAATTGCTTTTTTCGACCTATTGAAATGATGAAATGGCCAACAGCAGCCAGTAATCTTATTGAAGATACAGCAGCCATAAAATAATGGTTTACAAACATATACAGCAGCCAGTTGCACATCGAAGTGGACGCACTGTATATTCTCTATACTATTGCCGTACGTTGCTTAATCTGCTTCATGTATATTTTGAAACATTCCCTGACATGATTAAAATGTATAACTAGTGAAAAACTTTTTTAAAAATTTCAATTCGCCATATGTTAATTAGTCTTACGCACTTGCACAAAGGAAACTTAATGTGAAACAGTCATGTATATGGTGTAAGTCACTTCATCTGCGAAACATTGCTAGTTGCTACTAACAAATCCATGTAATTTTTTTTGGAAAACAAAACAAAAGCAACCATACACTGACCATAAACAGGTATGATATAAGACGCATTAAGAACATAACTTTTTGACGAACGTCAGGATCAAAGCCTGGATAGATATAACTACAGCAGCCACATACACAATTATTGAGAAGTTTGTATAGAAAATAAATTCTAACTAAGCGCTTATAACTGAATCACAAAATTGAATCACCAAATTATAATCCATACTCATTTATTTTAACATTCTGTATGATATTGCTGGTAGGTTGTACAATATATAATTAAGCTTGGTTAGATATAATGATGAATAAAAAAGAAAATTGAGTTGGACTTTAATTGTATAAATGAAAAATGTGTAAATAATAAGTATTTCTAGCCATGCGTTTTTCTACAAACACGAATGATGACGGCTAAAGATAAAAAAATACTGAAAGCCTGAAACCCAAGACTGATCCTAGCATTGCCATTGGTGTTTTTCAAAAGATTTCCTAAATAAAAATGATAGCTTCTTTTAACGAGATAGACTACAAGAAAATTAAATATTAAAACTGATTTCTCATTCGCAATTTTCAATTGGCTACAATGTTTATTACATACGTTCAGTCGAACAGTTTAGTTTCCGTACTTGAACTTGACCTGAGCACACATATGATCCTGGTACATTGGTACACATCTCATCTAAGTGACATGGTTTTTCTCCTTTGCATTCGTCTATGTCTATAAGAAATATAATTTCCAAAGGGACAAAGTGGAAGCTTCAAGATATATGAATGAAATATCTGCTTACAACATAATGAGCAAACTTTGTATAATGTAAATTTTCGTTACATGTCGTCTGATTGACAAGTATATACTGAATATAAACTTTCTATCAGCTACTACAAGACGAAAGTGTTACCACAAAAAGTGGCAAGCTTTCCTCTATATTTTTAAAAGATACGATAGTGCTTATTTACTCAATAGAAAAGCAGATTAATCAGGTGGATGACTGGATGCAGTACACTGAGATTTGTTTGTCGATTATCCGACTGAAAAGTGACTGGTTGTCTTCAGACTGGATTTCTAAACATGAATATTTCTATTTGTGAGTTTCCATTTTTATTAATTTTTGATAATTAAGACATCCTCGCACTATTATTTTACTAATCAACACCACACTTTAATTCGTTTGTATAACAAAAGGAATGACAATTCCATACCAGTACAATTTGGGTATCCATCTTGAGAGTAACCAGTTTTACAAACACATTTTGAAGAAGAATTTAGTGTAACACACTTGGTGTTTTTGCTGCACAAGGGAAGCTTGTAACAGTTGTCTCGAACTAAAGTGAAATAAATTTCGTCAGTGGAGCTATTTCGACAGTTGTATGAAGTTATGTAAAGCGGACAGCTCTTAACAAATTATCAACCAGATTAATTTTATCAATTTAGATTGAATTAAAATGTTTTCAAAGTCTTACTTAAGCATGAATCAATTTCATTTTTGTAGCTTGGTCTGCACAAGCAAGTTGAATTCAAAGAACATCTATGAATATCTACAATTAGAATTGAAAGAAAAATTTCACATGGTGCAGATAAATGCACAAGAAATATTTCCCCTGTCATAACTTGTGAATTCAATAAAACAACAAGTTGATTTTGTCGATGGAAATGATTTTAAAAATGACGCCGTAAAAACGAGTCAGATTTGACATGCAGTTTTCCGGTTATGCGACGTCACCATGCTGTAACAAATGTGGAGGCAAAGTTCAATTGGCAAGAGACTGCATTCACTTCATCCAAACATTTCAATCGTTGTTATAATGAAACAAACTCAATTAACAAAATGGGACAGTCAATACTTAATTGAAACGCCCTAAAGATAAATTTCACTTCATAAGCACCACGTTCAGCGGTAGAGTGAATGGGACGAGTAATGGACGAAGACATTAACAGGCTAATGTGGACTGATAGTGAAAATGTGCACAACAATTTTTCCGTGTTCTAAAGAACTATTTCATCCAATATTTAGATGTGATAAGATGGATTTCTACATTCAGTATGCCTTTATACTTTTATAGTATTTTACAGTGGGAATAAAAAGTTGAGCTGGTCACGTCTGAAAAACGTACATATTCAACGACAATTTTCGCTCATAATCGTAAATATATGTCACGTTAGTATAAATAGTTATAGTTTATACAAATAAATATGAATTTTATTTACCATTACATAAAATCCTGTTTTCAGTGTAAACATTTTTACACGTGCAATTTGCAGTACCATTAGCATTTGTGTGACTGTCTTTGCATAAGGAGTTGTCTGAGCACATTATTAGACCTGTTTCACATTCATCTAAATGTGACATAGTTGCAATGAATACAATTTGATTAATGACATGAGCAGATAAACGATTGTAAAAGTGTGTGTTTGCAATTTCTTTTACGCATTGATTTATTTTATAAAATATGGTCAACTGTGGTAAAGCTGATGACTATGACTACAGAGAAAACTAAAATTAAAGAAAAGTAGTTTTAGACCGGTGTAGACCACACAAAAATAAACTAATGGACAAAAAGTTAATTCTATTTGCGTTATTGCATGTCTCACGCAGTGTCCTCGCAAGAGTCCTCACACGATTTTGGTTCCAAAAGAAAGTGTCATGCATATGGCTGCCGTACCAAAAGATATCTATGAAATTTTACTATTTTAGCATAGATCTGTGAAGAATACCTGAGATTATGGTTGAAGGAGCATATCATTTATTTACAAAAATACTTAAAGAACGTCAGTTACAAACCAGCAACAGTTTTCAACACATTGACCAGCAAGATCCACATTACTGCCATCAGTATGAAATAACACCAATTTTTCATTTTGAATATATAAAGCAACAAGTTTAAAGAGAGAAAATCGGATTGATCTTTGTTCTACAAAATACAATGCAACATATTTATTTCATTGCCTATCGTCCAAACAAACAGTACACTTCAGATGGAGCAGAAGAGATGAAACAAGACTTCAAATCTTGGTGTGTGCTTATGTTAAAAAGCGTGGGGAACAAATGACAAATGCCTTCAAAATGGTTTTGATTATATTCAGTGAAGCTGACAAAAAATCTCTTAAGAACGAATTTATGTTTTACAATATATTAACATGTTTATACGTTTAACTCTAACATACTTTATGATTGTAAAATTTAAATATGTGTTGTAAAATTGAAAATACTCAAAACACTGACTTTGCTCAGTTTTAAGCTTCGTTCATGTAAGAAAAAACTCTTTACAAAGATTCTGACTGCGACTTTTCCATCCGAATGAAATCGATTTTTTATGAATCTTAATATTTTGCATAAACATATTACACAGGTGAATAAAATATTGTCCGCTACATGCATATTAGAATACATTTTTTTACTTGAACAAAATCTTTTCTGCACCTATGCACCAGTATAATAGCAACAGTAATCGGGCATTGAAATTCATAATAAATAGGTTAATTTTTAAAGGTCGCCTTCTTTTCACAAGCGACAAAAGGAAAAGCAAGAAAACAAAGCAAAGAATATTCTCCATGTGTTAGAGGAAAAAAGAAAAGAAATTTTCTGTTCAATTTTCCTTTGTTATCACCTTACTTTAATTTCAAAGTGCAGCTATTCTTGGTTTGCAAGTACGTCATAGCCGACATGTTCGATGATTTTAACAAAGGATTTTCCTTATTTACAATACAAATTCATCCAACATGGCGAGCATTCCATTGTTCTCTTACTCCTAGGGGAATGGTTGCAAGACACCAATATGCTGTTCTTATGCTTGTCTGCTATCGATGATTGCATCAGAAACTCAATTGCATTCTTTTGCATTTTCGTTGCTTGTCCTTACGCTTATGTCATAGCGCAAAGATAAGCGCATGGGAAAGCTTCAATAAGCTCAAAGAAGAACAAAAAAGAGCTTCAGTAAAAATTTCGATTTCTTTGTCTTTGTAAGTCTTTAGAGAAAAATACACAAAATTCTTGTTGTTCATTTACTCGTGCATATTAAACCCAGGAAATATGTCTTTGAGGTATAATAAGCGTTTTCGCTCATTTTCTACGGACCCGAATGGACATAAAAATGAAGGAAGCGGCGGTATTGCTGTACCAAACAAAATATCTTCATTAATATTTTTTCAATTTATCCCTGTTTTGAGCGTCATCTCCCCTTTTGGCGATGACGCTCACTCTTTCTCGGCATTATAAATATCGGTAAATTTTAAAATTTTCATTTGGCAGACGTTGACACCTGAGGAGTAGTGTGCCGAAATGCATCGTGTCTTTTAGTTTCAAAACAGTTCTTTTAGAACTATTGGGTTAGTGTTCTGTGCTTAAAACAGTTCTTTTAAGAACTGTTAACTTATTACTTTTGTCATTCACCATGGTATTTGCGATCTTTAAAACGATTTTCAGATTTGTCACCACGACAAAGTCTCTATTTTATTACTTCAACTATGTTACAATCATGTGTTTATCTGTACGTGTTTCCTTCAATTTTTACACAAAAATATTTTCATCAGGAATGAAAGTTTACAAAACACAGCTAGATGACTTTAAATTTTATCACAATTTTCAATTTCGGCAAAAGAATGGCATAAACCACAACAAAAACTTTCTAAAAATTCCTTTCAATTCTTTGTTTACATCGAAAATCTTTTTCGGATAATTTTTCAGTCTATCTAAATGACATATCTTCGATACAGAAACATATTTAGTTTGATAATTTGCCAATTTAAAATAATTTCACGCATTAAATGCAATTAAGCTGAGCATGATAATGATATTTGATGCATAATGGAATATTTTCCTGAAGGCGGGGCGGCAACGAGAAATGGCAGGATCGATGTCTGACAGTTAAACGACAAGACATTGGAATGAATACTTTCAGTAGCTATAGGGAAGTTATAAATACTTTTATTAGCCTAAAAACTACTTCATTGTTATTGCATGACATGTTTCTCCTACCTTCAAATATCATAAGTCAGGTATATACAGTTGCATAATAAGCAGCTTGAAAAAATTAATATATATGAAATGTTTGCGGGGGTTGGTATCTTTATCTACTTATCTTCATTATTAGTACATATAACCACATACGCGTTTTTCAATTTTCATATTTAATATTGCAGAGGCAGACGAAGATCATAAAATACAACTCATCAAACAAATATTGCCAGGTATGTATTTTTAAAACATACATATTGCAATTTATACAACTGTGCATGAGTACTAAAGTAACTTGGTGAGCTCTTGCAATGACATTTTATATACATGAAAGAATAAAAGTAAAAGTACACTAATTAATTGAATGAAATAACGGAGAAAATGATAAATAAGAATATGACTTAATATGAATTTCCAAAGAATAGAATCGGACCCATCGATGGCCGGCAGCAAACTTGTAATTTTATGGTTAAATAACGTTGGTCCGCCATACCAGATAATGATGCAAAAGTAATGAATACGTGTTATAAGTGATAATACAGCTATAATTTTTTTTTAATGAAGCATAAGCCAAACATCTATCATTGTTTTCTACCATCAATACATAAGACCAATAACATTCACATCTATTATTTAACATTCAAATCTATCATTGCTCTTGACTATATGTATAATAAGACAACAAAGATTTATAAACAACATTAAGTCAAGAATGCCGCTCATGTTTAACGTGGATACTGTTACAATATGCATCGTGCGATGAATCTCATAGGTCACTTGTTTTGTTAATATGCTTTCATAAAAATCCACACTTATTTCTTAACGATTAAATGGTAAAATACACGAGGGTTATGCCATAATGACCAATAAAAACGAGGCCACAACGATCATGCATGTTAAAGAACAACTTCAAATATTTATATCGAATAAACTATCGAGATGTCACTTTCCTATCATATGTCAGTAATGTCCCGTTGCTTTCATCCTATATTTGAAAATTAAAAAAAAAGCCAAAAAATTTGTTGTGATGGATGATTTGATGCGCGGTGAGTGAATGCCAGTAGCTACTTGGGTTGATAAATTAGGTTTGTTTTAAAAATACCTAGCTCGCGACAAAATTGGATAAGAAAATATGACAACAATAAAAACGTTGTACGCTTATCTTATTGCTATTATTCTGTTTTCATGTGTAAAATCAGTGAATATAATACAGCACTAAAAAAAATCAATGCCACAGAGAACGATATACCCGCACATTTTTCTCATGTAATAAATACAAGTGATGATTCAGAGGATTAAAGCTTTAGATACACACGTGATTGCGTTGATAATAAGGTATAGAAAGATGTCAAATCATGCCTATAGATTTAAGCATAAATGCGTAAAGCTATTTTTATTTTTTACCACATCAAATTATGTATGTTATTGATTTTTATTATCTCCTAACTTCATCTCAGCTGCTATTCTGACAAGATTGCTGTACAGTGTTCTTCGTAATCATTTTGAAAACGTCGTTAAAAGGAACAAGAACCAAAACGAGAAATCAAAAAAAAACACTTCTAAAGAAAGAGAATGTCTGGGAACATGACAACGAGTGACGGTGAAGAAAATGCAAAAATATCATCGTACTCATATAAAGTTATCTCTTCATTATTTATGTGGATGCTAATTTTGTTGATTATTGTGGGAAACTCGCTCGCAATCCTCGTTTACTGCAAGGCAACTCGACTACGAGTTGTAACCAGATGTTTCATTATTAATCTAGCAGTCACCGATTTACTAGTTGGTTTAATCATAATGCCCTTTTGGTTTCACAGAATGCTACAAGACCGTCATCAAACTGCTAGTTTACTATACAAGGCATGGATAACGTTGGATATATCATGTTCAACTGCAAGTATTACGAGTCTAGCGGTAGTTTCCATTGACAGATATATAGTAATCAGTAAGCCACTCTCCTATGAGCGCTTGCTGTCAAAATCAAGAGCGTTTTGTGTCATATTCCTTGTTTGGTGTTATTCTATTGGCATTGCCTTAGTACGAGAACTGGAAAGGAGATATTACACCGTGTTTGTCACGGGATTTTCTTTCCTACTACCGCTGGCGATTATACTATTTTCATATGCCAACATATTCAAGGCAGCGAAATTTCAAGCACGGCGAATCCAACGCAGCTGTCTACACAATGAAAACCTCGGCTCCAGGAAGAGCAAAAAACATCTCGAAAAAGAGTTAAAAGCAGCTAAGACAATTTCATTGGTCATAGGTGCATTTCTTGTATGTTGGTTACCCTTATTTTTGTTATCTATTTTAAATGTGCATTGTTCTGAATGCAGGATAACATTTGAAGGTGTCATCATTGTCAAATGGCTTCATTATACAAACTCTGCATTGAATCCTATCATTTACTCCATGCATAATCGCGACTTTCGAGCCGCTTTGCAATTAATCTTGCTCAATAGGAATAGCAACGCGTTGGATTCGGTTGAAAACAGTATGAATAGCGTACATCACGTTATTTCAAGAGCAATACAGCCTTTACGCAATCGAACTTGGAGTGGAACAAGAACATCTCGTGTTTGATTGGGGTAAATAAAGTTATTTCAAAAAAAAACCCGTTTAGAAGAGTGGAAGAAAAGCATAAGTGATAGACGACAAAAAACCTTTCCAATATCAAGGAATAGCGTATCACATAGGCTGCATCACAACATGAGCAAGAACAGACATGATAATACGGAGAAATCAAATAGTTAAGTCCAAAAAAACCCAATTGAATCCGAATGAATCGATGAGCGAATATTGTGTACCATGCACAAATTAAACATTATATTGACATAAAAACAACAACACAGCATGCAGTAAAATATCTTTGATAACATGAAAAAGATTAAAAATGTCAGGTATGATGTCAAACGGTATTAATGCAAGCCAAGTACGGCAAATCATATTAATGTTTGTATACAATGTGATAGTAAACAAGGCAATTAAAAACAACATCTATTGAGTCTTACAAGTGACAGCAATATTCAATCCATCTGTAGATATAATGATTATAATCAATGCTTGGCAGGATTCTAGATGAAAATTGGCAGGAACTAAGCCTGTACTCAATTAAACGCAAAATGTGCATGGGTTTTGACATGGATAAAGCAAATTACGAGATTGCGATATTTACTTATTAAAACGATAGCAAACTGTAACTACCTATTGCCAGAGTTGCACGTCTGTCGCGTAGAAATGCTTAGATAAACCAAAATGATCGTTCATAGTTTTACCGTGAACTGCTAATTGCTCGAAAGCAAAACATACTCACATTAAAGTAAGAAAAATTAAGGATATCGTGCCAATCTATCACTTTTTCCAGTCGAGAGCTTTGACAAACTCATCTTCAGTAAAGGAAAGCATTCTTGCAGCCTCAATGTGCATCTAACAAAGTAAAAACGTCATAAACTACTAGACATTTTCCAAGAACTTTAAGTGTTAACTTCATTTCACTTGTTCGCTGCAAATACGGTTGCAGCGTGACATCTAAACACTCAAATATTGTTTTCATGGACAAATTCAACTTTCATCTCGCGTAACAATTTTTATCTACGTATATGCTATGATACAAACAGTAAATATAAACATGATCGTACCAACCTTCTGTCGTTTTAGTATGTCAATCAGTTTCATTTGCTTTTTGAAAGCTGCCATCAGTTCAGATTTTTGTTTTTCTAGTCGCTTGTTCTCAGCTATCAGTTGATCTGACCTTTTCTTTTCCTGTTCATTCGTATCCTATAAGAACGCTAAGTTTTATCACCAATTTGACTAGTTATTCTAAAACATTCCAAAACAATACATAACAGTAGTCAGTTGCAGATGTTTGCTTATTGTGGAGCACGAATCGCTTATAAATAGCCTTCATATTGATAAAAATCTCACCTTAGATGATGTTCTAGCTCTTTGTAAAGATGTTTTATGTTTTTCTACTTCTTCTAAAGCTCTATTCAATCTGAATTTCATGAAACAAGAGACTGTCATCAAGAGGATAGCAACGTAACTTTACAGAACTTTACAAAGAGAAGCGTTTTTAGTCCTGGGGCTGGTCGCACGAAGGCCGAATATTGTTATCCATTGGATAGCAAATTTTTTTGAACGTTCATAAAATTTGTTATAAAAGAAAACTATTCGATTTTAACTGTGCAATTACTGAAATAAAATATTGTTTCGAAGATTACAAAATTTCTTTGTCGTAAGAAAAATATAAACACCATTTCTACAAGTTTGAAAACTTTTGCTATCCAATGCAGCCGGCCCCTGCTATGTAAAGTTCAGAAACTATCATTATTCGTTCATTTAGAAACATTTCAATTTCACAAAAAGTAAATGAAGAAAAATTAACACAGTAGAAGTAAATAAGCGGGATGGCTACGCCCACTCATTCCACTTTTTCAAAACATGTTTGTCGATTCTCCTTTATTTTTCAAAAATAGACAAAGAAATTAAGGAAAGCAAAGTAATTATAGAGAGAATAGCGAGATTCTGCCTCTAAACTATAATCGCGTTCATAATTACAACGCCAAATTACCTGACTTCTAGGGCATTTTTTCCAGCAATAACTTGTTTTTGATCTCTATGGACATTATCCAATTCCTATTTGGCAAAAGAAAACAAGTAATTTCCAAATTTTAGTTCATTAATTTGTTTTAAGTAAGAAACAGTATGAGAAATCGTATAGAAAAAAGCAACAACATTAGCTCTATGTAGCCACGCAAAAAAGTGAAATCACGTGGTATACTTTGATGAAATCATGTGGTTCATTATAATGAAATGAAAAAACAAAATTATAAAGATTTGCTGTAGATATGTAACTAAAATCATATTCAAAAATGCACTGAATATACCTTTCGTAAAGACAACAACTGTGCTTCAATTCCATCACATTTTTGTTTTGAATCGTCATAAAGTTTTTTGTACTTATCACTTTGAGCCTGGAAATTTAAACAATACTACGTCACAATTAACTTAATTCCCGCGCAAAACGATTGTGTAGCAGTGATTCATTCATTTTCGCTAAGAATTTGCCCATCAAGTTAAATGCAAAGCATATATAGCATCAAGTCTAGTAATGAATAAAAGAGAAGAATAGAAAAACCATCTTGTAAAGATGATATTTTAGCAATCTTGAAATTAACAAGAATTACTTTTAAAACAAAAAAGCTACAAAAACTTGTGAGTATCTTAACATATACTTGTAAGCTTTGATTAGTTTTCTGATTCCTTAGCAATTCTTCTTTCAGCTCTTTATTCATCTGCTCTGCAGCAGCGATATTTTCATCCTATAAATTAAATGGATAATGCATCTATTGTGAAAAAAATTGCAAGGAAAGTGCCACCGTTGGTACTTTCCTTTCGTCAGGAATGGAGAAGACAATCAAAAAGCCTTTAAAGCACTGTCATTTAATAAGCGAACAGTGTTCATTTTATATAAAAATATGATAAAAAACTTAATTCATTACATAACATAACGATTCAATACGTACTTTTGATATCGACTCAGATGATAATCTATCCAATTCCTCTTGCATTACTCTTATTTTTGCTTTCAAAAATCGAGTGACGGCCTCTAATAATACATATAAGATGATAAATTTCAAATTGTACAATCTGCATGTAGAAATATTACTAATTGTTCGAACCTGTTCAGCCATAATAAATCATGAATATGGAAGAGTAGAGGACAGATATACAAAAAAGGCGATAAAACAAGAATGGGGCAATACAGTCATTGATGAAGCATGAACGAAGATTGAGAGATGTGCATACGGGAAAAGGTAACAAAGACTACAAGAATAAGGTGAACAACGCGAGGAAGGTTAAAGGACGTGCAGGCAAAAGAAGGCTACAACCATAATAACAGAGCGAACAAAGCGATGTATGAGGATATGAAGGAAAATCAAAGGACATATACGTACATACGGAATGAAGCTACAAAAACAAGAATGGAGTGAACAAAGGGATAGACGAGGACAGGAAGAAAGATAAAAGGACATACATGCGGAAGAAGTAGTTGAAATGAAATAAATTTTTTTGAATGAGATTTACCTGAGCTCAAATCTTCATTGTCTTCAAGAATGTCATCTTTCGTAGCAGAGAACTGTAGGTCGTCTTCTGTCTCCTCTAACTCACTAATTGTATTAGCAAGGTGAATACGATCATCCAAGAGGTTTTCGGGTTTCATAAGATCCTCAACAGAGCTTACATCTTTATTATTGGACTTTTTGTCGCTAGTTTGTTTACAGATTTGGTTTTACCACTTCTCGGTCTAATATAATAACATAGAAAAACAGAAAAATTTGAAACTTCAAACACGGAAACAATGTCAACGATATAAAAAGAACAGATGTGCTGTATTCTGGAGATAACAATGAGTTATTTTTCTATCACACGAAAACCAACCCAAGGAGAAGTCACTAAAGAAAACTATACCTTTTTGCTAGACTTGTGCCTGATGTTGGTCGTTTTTTCTCCTTGCTAGAGTTTGCTTTTATTGACTACAATTAACAGGTCATTATAATGTGAATCAAAAAAAATCTTTGACATTCTTATTTTAAAAAATTACATGAGAAATGAGAAGGCTACTCTAATATCTTAAACAACACAACTACGGATCAAAGGATAGTGCAAACTTTCACAAAAACATTACCCTTTGCCTCGTAGATTGAGTCAACCGTATAATGTTTCATACATTTATTTATTTGATTTCTCATTATCATACGTGTGTTCCATTTAATTTTGATTCATGGATCATGAGGCAAACATACATAAACTTTATAAATAAAACACAAGCAACATAACCACATGTTGTCTTGTTTTTCAAGGTTTTACTAAGCGATTTTCTTTTCGCTAATGGTGTACGTAATGTCTATGAGGGGGTATTGGCTATTTTGCTTTTACACATTGTGGGGCACGCAAGCCGAAAAAGGTCCTTGAGGTAAACAAGTTTGAACATGAATTTTTTGAAACCAGCTAAAGAAGACAGACAACATGCCAATAAAAGCTTGTGGAACTCAATCTGTGACAAATTATTAGAGAAATCATTTGAGCATTCTCATTTGACTCAACCAAATGCCCTCATTCATGGAAATGGCGACGAACAGCCGGATCTACTGGAACCGATTTTCGAGAACCTTGCTTAACACATTTTATTACAGAAATTCTCTATTATAGCATTGGCAAAAGCAATTTGGTGTATTCGCACCTATTTTGGAGCAACTAGCTCGCTCATTTACAACAACAAACAAGGATTATCTGCTTTCCTCATCTCATGAAATGCTGATGCAAATAGTTGTGCCCAAGAACTTTTTATCACAATGATAACATTAATGACTCAAGTCTGAAAATACATGGGAAAAAAGAAAAGAAAGTATTTTCCAGATAATTCACCTTATTCTTATTGCCATTGATGATATGTTCATCTTTACTATCATTCATATCTTCCATGGATGTCTGACTAAAAATAAAACATAACAGCTAAAATCAAGAGCTAAGACCAGTTCAAAATTCTTTTGCAAAGCAGTTCAGTTTAAGTGTTGCAACTGGCTCTTTTATAAACTGAATTTCAGATAAAAGAGAGATCTAAGCTTAAAAACCTGATTTTCACGCTATCATCCACATCATCTTGTATGGAAAGCAACTTGTCTTGATCGTGCTGTAAACAAATAAAAAATGTCAAATAAAATACCAAATAAAAATGTAAAATGAGTGAAACTTATCATAAACAAATATAAGCTACAAAGAATATTTCTAAATCCAATAAGTTGGCATGTAGGTAACTAGACAAATAGTTACCAGAACACTTTCAGCCTCTTTTATTAAGCTAGCTGTTTTTGCTTCCAGTTCTGCATTTAACCTCCTATAAAACATATTTGTAGAAAAAACAGTGCTCAGTCATTTTCCAGACACTCGACTCATCGTCTTAAAATGCACAAGTAACACAGTGCCAAAAATAATGTCTTGTTTTCATAAAAAAATACAAATAAGGCAGTATACAAATGCCTGTTTGACAAAGGTAACAAACAGGTCATCATTTTTTAGTTTTCATGCTTCAATTTTATGATTAGTTCAAACATACAATTATAATCATACACATGTGGCTAATTCTACTAGTCAATGCTCACAGAAAATGTATGTTGATGTATGGACACATTGAATTCTATGTGACTTACTCAAAAGGATGCAGATATTGTTCATTAATCATCAAAACCCCTTGTATTTCATATTCACATACAACTATGTAATGTCAACTACATAACCTGGAAACAATTTTCCTGAAAGCAAAATATAAGCATGAGGCAACATGGTTTAACTTACAGATATTCATGCTCTCTATTAAGAATGCTACTCTTTGATTTGCCAGATGGAGGACGGACATCTCTTGCAGTGGTTAAGTTCTTTTTGGTTCCACCACCTGATGAACTACGGAGATGTGTTGATGAACTTGATTTTGATGCCTGAAATGAAGTGGGAAGAAAATTAAAAAATGATGTTTCGCTGAAAATGGTTAACTTGACGAGGAAAGAAAGTAGGATGTAATTGAATTTCATACATCTCTAGGATTCCTAATTCTTATAATGTTGTTTAGTTAGTTCTGTGGGCAGATTTCAATGAGCTTGGGTAAGAAGCAAAGCAAACCTTTCTATTCAGACGTAAGCAAAGTACAATGTAAATGCAGTGTAGGAACACCAAACCTGCTCTGACAGCTCTGTTCAATATATCATATAATGATAAAAAAGCATAGCTTTGAACTTTGTCTTTGTGCATTAGTAGACAGCAATGTCATGAGCACTAAGCTGAATCGTTACTTATTATTTGAATAAACAGTTTGCAAAGAGGCTTTTATGAGATCAGGTGAAAAAAACACAATTTTACAGCCAACAGTGTCGGCCCAACAGGGCAACACATATTTGGACTTTGCTTCGTAAATATAAGATTTACTTTGTAGCAATGTTCACGATTTTACTTCATTGCAAGTGTCTTTGAATATTTTCTATACATACCATATCACCTATCTGCAAAAAGTCCAATTAAACGATAAAAAACAGAAAAACATATGATGAAAACAAACTGCAGAGAAATTATTCTTCATCATTACTGTCCGTTACGATTTTCGACCAAGACATTATAACATGCCTTACATGAATTATTGCCATTTTATTGACAATATGGTGGACGAAAGCGAACGACGACCAAGTGAGGCGGAGAAACAATCTTTTCCTGCAAGGGTAAACCAGCCATTGGAATCAAACCCAAAAAAACATAAGAAGTGCTTGGAATGGGCTGAAAACGCGTGCAAAAAAGGTTCGTAATTCCGTTTTCTAAAGAGTGCAGTTTTTTTCCGAAATGAAAAACATGTGACTCAGTGACTGGTCACCGGTGACATTGTCAAAACTCAAAAACAGTGTGATGATACCACGAGTATCAAAGTATGACTCTATGACTCCACTGCCATTACTGAAAACTAAAAATAAGTTACCAAGAAGATCTACGTTTGAGCAAGAATATGAAAATTCCACTTTACATCAATCACATATTCCACAACCCACAGTTCTATAACAGCGAGAACTTATCACAGTTCTATAACAGCGAGAACTTATCACAGTTCATACAGGACAAATATTATCACCAAGAAACAGCATTTTCCATTTTACATGTTTTTTTTGTATCTAAGTATCTTGTGATGAAAGTGTGTACTAAAATTTAGCTCCTTATGTGAAGTTTTTATTGGATGCTATGAAGAAACTTGGATGGTAACTAACAAACAAATTAATTATACTTGTGAATTTTTGCTGTTGCGATATCTTTATAATGGATATCATATTAATGTTGATATATTTCTAAAATATTTAAAAAAAATGTACAAACGGTTTTTTTTGTGTAGCAATGTTGACTTTGGTAAACATATGGTTTGTGAACCATGTGGCACAAATGTTTTAGGAGGATTTGACTTCAAAAGGAAGCAGGTGAATTGAGATTTACGTGTTAACAGTGGTGAAGGGAGCCCACTTATTTACGTGTTAACAGTGGTGAAGGGAGCCCACTTATTTATGAACAGTGTTAACAGTGGTGAAGGAGCCCACTTATTTACGTGTTAAAAGTGGTGAAGGGAGCCTACGTTTACGTGTTAACAGTGGTGAAGGGAGCCCACTTATTTACATGTTTAACAGTGGTGAAGGAGCCCACTTATTTACGTGTTAACAGTGGTGAAGGGAGCCCACTTATTTACGTGTTAACAGTGGTGAAGGGAGCCCACTTATTTACGTGTTAACAGTGGTGAAGGGAGCCCACTTATTTAGTCCTGCTATACATTTTTTCATTCCCAGGCACAAAATACAATATATCTCTTGACATAGCAGTGCTAAATTGGAGGCTACAGTAACGCTCCCGTATAACCTAACACTTTCTTGCGTACGATACGCGTACGATACAAATATGATGTGCTTCTGATACGCATAGGATACAAATATGATGTGCTTCTGATACGCGTATGATACCCGTAGGATATGCACTGATTATATATTACTATTTTTATTATTTCAAATTTATTTCAACGGTGAAAATCGGACACAGGTCAAGGAATAGTTTATTCCTAGGGGGCAAAGAGGGCATTTCATTTGGGAAATTTATGAAGAGACGTAAGAAATGTGAACGTTTTATCGCCGTAAATGATTTACGGCCGGACGATTATCATAAATCTTAGCGGTTCGAGCGGAGCGTTAAATAGTAAAGAGCGTTTTTGTCATTTTTACTGCCTTAGTTTGAACAAGGGAAAAGAAAACAACTAAATATATGGTTTTTCAGCCCAATCAATAATCCACTATCGTTATGATATCAGTATAAGAGAAGTAGGGTGAGTATGTCTTTTAGAGACAAGGCGTTTATTTGATAGGGAGCGTTTATTGAATCATTTAAAGCAATCGAAATTGCCCTTATCGCGTATTATACGCATATCGTATAGTAAAATAATTTTTCCCTTCCTTTCATAGAATAACAACTCGTTACTTAGCATAAGGTGAAAGCCTTTTTCCTGACATCATTGATCCATTGTTCCACAGTTATGAGGGGAGAACTCTGGTAAATGCTTCACGTATAAATGCTTCAAACAGCTTGAATGATGCATGCGCATGCGTACATAATCAGTGTATATGCTACGCGTATCATACGCGAGCGGTACTGTAGCTACATACTGTATGCCAAACTTTAACATTGCTTCATAAAATGTTAATTATTTGAAAATGTGTTGTTGTTTTTTTTATTCAGGTTGTGCTATGCGAAAATGGTATATATTCTCAATCTTGCATGAACAATGTTCTTACTCATGAATTGATTCATGCATATGATTTTGCTCGAGTGAAATTTGATGTGAATAACTTGAAACACTTGGCTTGCACTGAAGTACGTAAGTACATATGTGATGTTCAGATATTAACAAAAATGCTTCGTTTGTTGTATACTATATTGAATAGTTGAAATTATTGTTAGCTATGTATTGTTTTAATGGTAAAATATTATTTCAGCGGTTTCAAAAACGCTTATTCTACTGAAAACGGACTGTAATAACTGTATAGATATGAGTAAATTAATTAGTGAATGAATCATCTTTTAAGTACATGTTGTAAAGATAAAACTAACAGAGAAGTCCTTTACCATTGCAACAAGATTGTTTTGAGTAAACTCAACATAAACACATAAATGGTAGCCATTTTTTAGTAGCTAAATTTCTTATATAGCTTAAATTTGTTACACCTTTAAATTAACAAGCTCGCGAGGTCTTAAGTGTGAAGACACCCCTATTTGCTCGCTGATTTACGCCAGCATTCAGCCCGAAAAACTGGTTCGTATGCAACATGCAATGTTTGCTTCCCACACCGAACAGCTTTTGCCGAACTGCCTATAGTTTCAAGGCCAGAACTTCCTGTGATCTTGGCTTAAAAATCAAGTAAAAACATATTCATTGAGTGGAGAGAAAATCTTTTGACAAAAAAACAGCAGACGATTGAAAATTAATTTTGAATTGTTACTGAAGCCAACGCTGACTGGGATAAGACCAAATGTCAAATGGTCACAGTAAACATATATTCTCTGACTATATAGACTATATTACGATAAGTTACTGCTTAGGTTTTAAAACTGTAAGTCACGTGTACTTTCAAATGTCAACACCAAAACTATTCACGTATGTTAGTATGTATTTGTTATAGGTACGAGCAGCTAACCTTAGTGGCGACTGTTTTTTTTGGAAAGAGTTTTTTACTAGGTTTAATTTTGGTTGGAAAAGTCATCAAAAGGTTCAGTTTTCATTCTTTGTTACGAATACAGTTGAGAAATCGTGTTACACATTGTTTAAAAAATTTCTTTTCAGAAATGTGTCAGATATCGAGCAGTTAAATCAATACTTTGCGTAAGTGACATCAGTAAAGAAGAAGCAGAGAACATTGTGTCAAGTGTATTTGAAGATTGTTATAAAGATACTGATCCATTTGAGCGAATTCCACCATGACTGATTTCTTGCGTCCGTCCGAGTGCAAACAAACTTACTGGGTAACGAAGTCGATAAGTTTAACTTTACGTTTTTCAACATTGAAAGGGAGATAATGAAACATTCAATATGTATGCTGCTTTTTCCTTATCTTTATTTAGGCATGTTTTCACAATAAAGCACTTGATTGTTTCCACAGGAAGTCAATTAATTACAACCTAAATTCACGTTGTTATCATTTCGTCTGTTGAATGAACGCAAAATTGGTGTCTCAATTTGGTCTTTTTCTTATAACTGTTCTTTGTTTTTTGTCATGTAGCCATTTTGGTAGTTGCTCTCTTGTTTTTCCTACAGCTTGTACCCTGTTGTAGTTTTGATCCGATCTTGCTTTTGAGATGACCATTGGAGAGAACATTGGCGTTGAACCTTGTCCATTCTAAATAAACACATTGTATAATCATTCAATCAAGCCTCGTAGCGAAAAGAAATTATAAGTCTGTCAAATAGCCAAATTTAATGGAAAACTCTCTTAAGGTTTTAAAATGGTCCCGAATTATATGGTTTACATTGACTTAGCTCTTTCTTTTAAAGCAATTTTTATTAAACAATCATGTTACGCGTGTGGGTTTACAGGTTTGTACGTAGGTTGATGAATGAACATATCTTATCTTACTTACTTGTGGCCCAATAGATGAACTTTTAGGCATTCCTTTTGAAAGTGAATTTCTGTTAATCTTATAACCAGTTGATGGAGTTTGAACGCTTGGGAGTAATGGAGATTGTTGTGGAGAGTTTTTATTCCCTGAGCAGTCAACGAGAAGTCGTCAAGTGGTTTTGATTTAGGTAATTTCGAGTATGCACGCATGCCACGAGCTCCTAGATGCCTGTATTGGAAATATTCAATCATTTTTATATCATCCATTTCATAAACTCGGGTTTTAAATGCAAAATTTCGTCGCATTTTCATTTTAAAAGTATTGTTTTAGGTTTTCTACACAACTAGTACAGTACTCTCCTATTTTGTCCTTCATTCGCAAGTAAAGAGCCAAATACACTTGCTCGGTTGCCCATTATTCTTTCCATAACAGTTTGACGAAAATTATAGGGTCGTGTGTGATTGGAATTACCCATACTTTTTCGTTTAGCAGCATTTATTACTGCTAATATATCTCGCGGTTTTTGTTCGCTACCGACACGAGTTCTTTTAGTAAATGAAACTATTTGAACTTCTGGTTTGGCAGATTCCATCTTCCTTGGAACTGTAGGGAGGTTTGGAAGTGTTATCTACAAAATATTTTATTGTTCAGATTTTCTTGATGATGTAGTTATCTAAACAAAGAGATTAATGTGGTGTTGAAACTCCACCAACATTAAATCTGGAGTTAAGCCAAGGGGGGTCGTGTGCAATTTTGATCGTAGCCAATTATGTAATTCAATAAAAATAGGTGCGAAGAGCATATATGTGAGTAGCCTGAAATAACAACGAGATGTAGCTGTTTCCAGTCGCTTGCATTTGTATGACATCTTAAGTTATTTGGTTTAGACTAATGTCAGTGAAACAGATGTGAGTTATTGCAATCCTTTACTCATAGCATTCCAAATACCGTTAATAGGCAAGTTACGTTAGTATGTCTTCGTTAAAAGTGGTTTAAAGTACACTATGTAAGTTCTTTGTTTATTTGTACATCCAGTCCAAACTTAGAGATCATTAATATGGATGGAAACTGTTTCGTTGGTAGACCGTTTTCTACTTTTTGCCGTATAACATACTATATAGTAGTTCCCCTGTCAACAGGCTAACCACAAAAACGTGATATAAGATGAAAGTATTTCACGTTACACAAAACAGTGTTATTGATTTATATGGAATACACTGTAACTTACATCTTTGCTTAACTTCTTGGGCCATGTTTTTGTATCAGTATCAAATATGTCTCTGTAAAAATGAATGTCACACAAGATTAAAAAATAACACGGACATGAAAGCATATGTGGCCCATTGAGTTTTAAACGAATGGCTCACTTTCTTTTCGGATAATTCAGTGGCGGTAATACCTAAAACAACGATAAAAGAACTATACACTTGATCTCTATTAATCTACTTTCTTACATTTCTTATTTGTGCTTACGGGTGATGGTCGATTTACTGTAGTTTCGCTGCTATCTTGCCTTTTGAAAAGTTGGCTGACAGGTACTAGTTTCAACTGAAAACAAGAAAGAAAATTTAGTGAAATTCACATCAACAAGTTGGTGAGCAAAATGACGACGGGTTTCATGGTCAAACTGCAAATTGAGCATCTCGTAAGACAACCATAAAATAACCACGAGATGACCTTGACATAACTATATCTATCACGTGGGATTATTAAAACTGCCATGGGACAGCCATATTTACGTAAGAATATGTTGTAATTAGTTCATATCTTGGTGGATATGTTTCCAGCAATTAGTTCATATCTTAGGGAATATATCTCCAGCAATGATCGACATTTTTTCAAAAAAAAAAACACCATTATACGCACGTATACCAAAAAAGATGTTAACCTGATTTTGTTTCTTTGAAAAGGCTTCACATGTTGTCGATAAAACTACAAATACAAGAAAATACACCTGGATGAACGTAATACGAAACGTACATGCAAATGGGAGTATTTTATTTACCTTCTAGGGCCATATGAGCTACAATGTTAACCTCATCTTCCAAAGTAAGCCGCTCGCCAACCTCCACATCACTTTTATCTCCTTTTAGATGCATTAAACCCAAGTTAACAAACTTTTCCCTCAAACTTTCTTTTCGAAATTTGTTTATTAAAGAACCAGGTTTAATATCTGGCTCTTCCTCCTTCACTTGAAATAATCGTCGATCAAATGTATCGCGTTTGTCGAGTGAAGAGTCTGGTGAAGAGTAAGCATCTCCATGATCTGTTGAGTATGTCTGGAGAGCGCTGAAGTAGCTGCATAATTATATAATTATAATCATTGCAAAGATAACAAAAACACATCAGTGCATCGCATCTTTCTGATCTTTCATATATTGTTCTAACGACATTAAAAATTTATTTGGCCATACGTATGGCACAGGTCCATGCCAGGCTAAGTTGAAATAATTACTAAATTACTTTTTTTAAAACACGAGTTTATGTGGCTATGTAGGTATACAAGTCGAGTAATACCATGGTTGCCTCAATTTCTTCCTTTGTTCTAGTAAGACGAATTAATAACGTATGTATCTAATAACACGACTTTGCACGTCGTCTGTATTGGTAGCATTACAAACAATCTCGAATTTTGAGCTTGAAATAGTAAAAATCGCCAGAAAGTATCCCTAAATCAGCGCTACGCACATCTAGACTTTAACTCAGCCTCCTTAGGCTTTCAAGTACATTTTATCACAAAGTAACCTCACTACCATGGTTTTGCTTATAATAAAACTCTGGACGCATAGTTGTAACAGGCAGAGCAATGATGAAAAAACTACCTATCATTGTTGTTTGTAGATCGTGTACCATTCACATTCTTAGTTTTTCTTGAACCAACACCATGGTGTATCGTGGTGTTATCTTTTAAGCCATCTTTGAATATCAAATATGAACAATATGTCAATACTTGTTGGCTACGTAATAACAAGATCGTTGTATGATGGTCGATTGTAATTATTATCTTGCATGCATTTCAGCAAGCGTGCAATCTATTTTAATAAGTGTGCAGGATGGACTGGATATCTCAGGGTTTAATACTACTTTTCCTAATGTGAAATCAAAAAACGTGGGGAACATGTCACACTTCTCCCCTATACACGCCCATGAATTTTATGATAGCTATACTCTAAATTTGCTAATTTTACTGCATGTCTTAATCTCCTTCACACCCCCCCCGATGGTGTACCTCCTGCTTGTGAAGTGTGTTCGACCTCAGCACGAAATTCATCTTTATAAAACATCTCTGGATCCTCAGCTACGCTTTTGTCAATTAACGGACTCCGCCGTCTGTGGAAGTTATTCTCTATTAAACGCGTGAATATACTTTTCCGTCTCGGTGATTCGACTCTCTATAATTAAGGATAGTATAATCAACGTAAACATTCCTTTTGTAACTTCTACTCAACATCTGCCATTAAGCGGAACTTCACTTCACACGTGAAATTTGAAATGATCGTTATTTAAAGAATAGAAAATAAAACAGATTCTAAAGATGGACACCCTGTTTTCTTGATATTCAAGATAAAGCAGAAGTTTAAACACAGAGCAGGTAATATTTCGTCTTTATTGCAAAGAAATTGTCGGACCAATAGATTACAAAGCAAGCACTTTAAATATCACCTACTCTTTATTAAAACTCTTGCTTTATCTTGAAAATGAAGAAAACGGGATGTCTATATTAGGAATCTGCTTTATTTTATATTATCTAAAGTTTTCAGCTTGTTATTTACGTAAAAAGGCATTATTCATCTGGATACTGATGTTTCTTCACGTTTCGACACTTTTTATCAAATTATGTGGTGAAAATCAACAATCAAAATTCCAAATCAACATATTGTTGCACTTCTTGTTCTCATATACTGATCCAAAAATGCAAGTTCCAAAGACGTACATGACATCAACATTATAAATGATACGGTTATTATCATTTCTAATTTTCTCATAAAAGCCAGAACTCAAAAGATGGCATTTTAGTTTATGAAAAGATGCTTCATTTTTAAATAGTCACTGATTTATAGTAAATTAAGACTGGTATACGTGTGAACCTGATTAGCGTCCCCCTTAATCGGAGAAAAGCACGTGTAATTCATTTTAACGTCTTCCATTTCTGCAGATTTACTTTCAGATGCTAAAAATGAAATAAAATGAATTCACTCGGCAAATCTGAATCCTTGCAACCTTCACCCAAACGTACATAGAAATGGAAAATGAAGGTGAAAATTGACAATGAGTTGAGGAGTTCTGTCATACGTCACTGAAACCCGTTCAACGGAGCTCATTCATACAAGGAACGTTTTACACGCAACTTGTACAAAAAACACAAAAAAAGAAATCTTAATTAACTGCCGTTTTTCTTTAATGCATTCTGCTCATGAAAAATCCGACATTTGAAAATGACAACGTCCCTTTAATTTTATTTGTATGATTTATATTATGTACACAGTACTTAAATAAAGTAATTGTACCTCCATCACTTTCAACAAGAATATCTTCAATATTTTCGGAAAGTTTATGCAGCTAAAATAGTATGATAAGAAATTTTCACACACCATAGAAGAACAAAATAGAGCAAGAACACAATGACAAGGGGGGAGGACATGTCATCCCAAATAATCTTTACGGCCAGGCTCGCTATCTCCCCCCTAGAAAATCACCATTCAAAGGTCCTGTTGTGGATAAATAAGCTCAGTTGGTTTATAACTTCATCTACAGCTTCATGAATTGTAGTGCATACTTATGCACCTATTCAAACTTTGCCTGTATCTATTATACTTGTTGTATGCGGTGATAAAGACTTCCCGACTACAACGTACGCCACCCCATGTCGCAGATCCTTTGAGGAGGGTCAGCAATAATCGAATTATCTGAGAAAACTAGGGTAGACTTTTCGAGGTACATGCAATAACAAAATGTAACAGTACTTTTGTTTTCCAACCAGAATCTAACTCTGTTTTTTCTCCTGCAAATGATGGTATTTCGCCCTTAACGTAATCAATTTCAGCTTCTTCAGTTTCAGCTCGGCTGATTGTTGTTGATTCTAGAATGTCTCGTGGAGAAGATTTTTTATTAAAGGCAGGACTAAGATGTCCATGAATTGTTTGAACAGCCTACAGTAAGAAAATTAGAAAATAATAGACTTAAAATATTTACTTTGCATTAAATAATATTATTGAATTAACATTAAACGAAATGCAACCTTGTTTTTCATCTTTAGGACTGTTTTATTGCCAGCAGCTGAATCCTCAACATATTCATTATTAGTATTTTTGTCTGTTGCATGAAAACGTTTCTTCCCGTTAGACAATGAAATCGCTGTTTGAGATTTATCCTTTTTCTTTTGCTTTTTTCTTTTTTGTTTCGAATTGGTTGATGGTGGCGTATTAAGGAATGCAGTTTCCGCTTCAAAATCAACGTTATCTTTGGGAGTATGGGTTAATTCAATGCTTGTCGTCCCTTTTTGTTCAGTATTGTCAATTTCTTCGTTGGAATAAGGCAAGTCGTTTTCTGAGTCGCTAGATTGGCTGTTGTTCTTAGTAAATTCGTCCGTCAATGTACTTTTTCTAGAAACGTGCGCAGGATTTGGCCCAATATCTGTACTGGAGACTATGTTATCCATCGATGTACTGGACTCCTTTGACAAAAAACAAATGCCACAATAATTTGCGCATCTTATCTGTGTTGTACTGCCACATTCCACTATGCAGTACTGCTACTTGCCCAATTCGAAGCTCGAAAAAATTATGAATAGAAAATTTCTGAGCAGGCTTTAAGTTTTGTAATCACGAAATTTGTAGAAGAAATATAATTGCTCAAATTTCGTGATTGCAGCGAATCCTATCCATTTCCTTAATCTTTCAGATATGGATGGATTGCATGATATTTCTGGACTGCATGGATATAGCACACACAGTGTCATTTTCGATTTATACAAAAATCGTTTCGCTTGTTATTTTAATCTAGTCGTTCTGTTCTATTGACAATAGTTCAACTACATAGCTTAAGCACACAAATTTATTTTTTTATAATGATGAACTTTTGATACACGCAAAGGCTACATGGGTTTCTTTACCGAAAGTAGGCAACAAAATTTCCAAGTTTTTTTATGCTTGCGTAAATTTTAGTATTACTAAAGTATCAATATCCGAAAGCTTTCCATTCTGCGTTTTTACATAGACAAATTTTTAACGTTCAGGCTTATAGTACGAACTCAGAAGAGTGGTGTACTTACAACCGTGTCACTTGTCAGTAATGATTCATTTTTTTCAAAATTCATTTCCGAAATTTCATTTTTCTCGTCTTTATCACCAGGCTTTGAGCGAGAAGCCCCAGTATCATTTTTGCATTTCGGGCATGGCAATTCTTTATTATCAGCGAGCATCAATTTTATTTTGGACAGTTCTTCTTCCTAAAACAATGGAATGTTTGACAATGTTTGATAATATATATGCGTATGAAGCGAATTCTAGTGAACAGCTGACTTGACAGATGTCTTGCAAACTTTAAGAGTTTTAAATTTAGTGAACTGCAATTAGCAAATTGTCGAATGTCTTGATCCTTTCAACCGTTAACAAAACATGCATTGCAAGCAATATAACCTTTTTGGCAATCGCAACTCCAATCTTTTGAACATCGTCACGTAAACGAGAATTTTCCTTAAATTACAACAAACATTCCTGTTGAAACTTGAACAAATAGATATTTTACATAAATGTATGGTAAAATAAACGATATTACCTGTTCTAGTTTATTTGCTTTTTGCTTAATATCTTCTAACTTTGCTTGTGCAAAATCTTCTTCTGGAGATGTCTCTTTTAGGGTAGAACGATGTTTCGCGAGTGAAGATATCTTCATGAAATAACGAAAATTCGTATGTCAAGGCCTCACCAAGATAACAATGTACTTATATTTAAGAGATTAAAAACGAGAAGTAAAACTCAAAAACAACCAAGTTCTTGTTATAATTCAGTAGTTACGCAAGTGTAAAACTAGTTCGGATAGAGGATAGAAATTTTTAAAAGTTTGGCGGAGACATAATATTTAACCAGAAAGTATAGTTCACCTCTTCTTCCAAATTTTCTACATTCCCCTGCGAAAATTTCAACTTTCCAGACGAGTTGTTCATTGTATCTGTTAACTTTTTTATGTGCTAAGCAAGAAAACATGGCGGTAAGATGTGAAACTTCGAAAGTAGCTCAATATTTGAGCTACCATCGAAGAGTGCATGGCTTCACCAAGTTTTTGTGAGTGAGGGAGACACATGCTAAAAGTTAATACTTGCACGCTAGAATTCTTACAGAATAGCAGTATTTCAATGAACCAAAGTTAACGCTATTTGCGCATTCTTGTGATTGGGAGCGAACTTGTCTACGAATTCATCCAAATTCAGAGACATGGTGCATTGCAGTATATGACAACTGACAAGCCCCGCGATATTACTTGTTCCCCAACTTAAAGTGATTTTTTTACATTTTCAAGCACAAGAAATTCTTAGGGTAGAGTAGGCCCAATCTCAGCGCTGCCACTGCCATGCAATGAACACTTTCACTTTTTTCCATCCACTAAAAATACCATCCCCACACGTTGTAAATTAAACCTGTTTACATGTCGCAACTTCGTCTTGTTTGAATTTCAGTTTTTCCCAAGTCGTTGACTTGAAATTGAATCTTATCTCGAGATTGTTGCAGTTGTAAGATAGCCTGGAATTTCCATGAATGTCACAAATCAAATTATATAAAGAAGTTTTATTTTTAGTCAGACAAAACATCACAAGCTGCCATAACAACTATCCTATAGAGAAACACAAGATCTGTATTATATAAATGTACCTCTCTTTCTTTCAATAGCAAGTCATTTTTTCTATAGGTAAAAAAATTTGAAAGTGAAACATTACTATATCTATTGATTGATATTTTTTTTAAATATAGCGAAAACCATAATTATTTCATATTTTCTTACACTAATATTAGCCTTAGAATAGGAGCCAACTCACTTTTCGATTTCCTCGTTTTGATTGTTCATAATGTTTATCAGTTTTGCAATTCAACAGCTAAGAAATCTCTATCTGGCAAAAAGATCACCAAAAATAATATAAAATTAACAAAGATTAAACGACAAACTTCTTTCGAACACCACACGTAACAAAAGCAACGGCCTATCTTTACACGAATATGCTACGTGTATTCATTATATAGGATGTAACTGCTTTCACGAAGGTAATAACAGAAAAACATTGAAAATTCTCCATTGAAAATACTCATTGATGTGATACTTAATTACACCTCATTCCAACGAAGAAATTGACAAGGCTGAACTAACAGTGACGTCACGCATTGAATTAACCCATAGACCCACAGATAACGTTGATTTTGAAGCGGAAACTGCGTTTCTTAATGCGCCTCCATCACTCATTGAAAATACTCATAAATGCAAATGCATTGTGTGTGATTGATTAGCATGTAAAATAGCAAATAAATGCATGTGCACAAATCTTCTTAGCGTACACCAATATCTGTTGTTTTGTTTATATGCTAATTAAATGCAGCTTTGATTTAATATTTTCGTTATTTAACCTACCTCCTACTCCAGCCTGATGACGAACATTTCTTAAAAGATCAACAACTTCTTCAGCAGCAAATTTCCAAAGTTCCAGTTTTTCTTTGCTGTTAGTTGGTTCAAGTTTGCCAGTATTCTCGACAGCTTTACCTGAAACGTTAAGACAAAAAATATTGACTAAAACGCATTGCAAAAAAACAAAAACAAACAAAAATCAAACAGAAACGCCATCAAAGCTAAAATGAATAAAGAATTAAGTACTAAGGCAAAAAGTGGCTCGAAAGTCAATTAATTACCCTTTTCTTTCTGCTTGTCTTTTTTCGATTTCTTTTTGTCTCTATGAAATGATGAAATCAATTAAAATATCATACAAAAAATACTACAACAAAATAAAGCATAGAAAAGACACACCTTTTTGAAGTCATTTCTTGTCTTTTTAGAAAATAAAATCTTGAATCCATGCTCATAAGTTTCTCTGAAAGCCATTGCATTGTGCTTGAGTAATTCCTATAATTAGCGTGAAGAAATTTTGAATATAATTAAACTATCAATGCAAGCCTACCGTATTTCCTCTTCTTAATTAATACAAACATCAAATTGAAGGATTCACAATTAACTTTTTGATTTAAGATATAGTGTGTTTCTGACGTCCTTGTTTTTATTTGATTCTTAATACAAACAAGAGTCGTTTTAAATTTGCTTCAATTTATGTGTCCAACTATGTATAAGAGGAAATACGGTAGCTATAGATTGAAAACATTTGTCCATAGAGTACTGCAAACGTAAAAAAGTTATTTGTAGAGATGGAACGCGCCTATGTTATTGAGTTAAAGGCAGAGAAAATCAAATCTTAACTAAACATACCTCAAACAGCTTTCAGATCCGTAAAAGTCATATTCATCATTGTCTTCCAAATAATGGGGTACCTTAAATATTTTACAGGTAAACGTAGGCTCAAAAACTTTGATTCTCTACCACAAATCAAGAATATACCTCTACCGTTGAAGTTTTCTGAGAATCGTAGTTCTACAATAAGATGAGACGAATAATTGCCCATCAAAAGACATAAATATATTCCAGCCAAATGTGTATCTCATTTACAATTGTGATAAAATATTTCCTCACCTCATGTAGTGTTCGTAAAAGCTAAAAAACAAAACAAATAACACGATAAAATCCATTACCAGCCGACAATTTCATGAAGTATAATAGGAAAAATTTTACTCCCATGAAAGGGTCCGTGTTGAGCTCAATATTTGAAAAAAATGTTTTGCTTGTTTTCTCAAATACTCAGTTCAGATAAACCTTTTTTCTGAGTATGTTTACTATGACATGCCAGAGCTCGTTGCGTTTCAATGGCTTCCTTATCTCTTTGTCTTCTTACCTCCTCTCTTTCTGTACACAAGAATCTGTAGTCTGACAAAACGTTTATAAGATTGTGCTTCATCTGAAAAGAGAGAACATTTGTATGCAATGATGGAGAAAATCCGCAGTATGCAATGAAACCAACGACGTAAAAAATAAGAAACTGGAGCTACAACTCGACTGATGGACTGTATCAACGATAAATACCCAAAGCTGGTAAGAGAAGAGAAAACAAGGGAAGCGAAATACACTTTTGCAATACCTACATACTTCGACACTTTTATCTAAACTTACACGATCTGGATAATCTGATCTTTTCAAAGACATTAAATATTTTATACCGGACTTGTCAGAAGCTTGACATTATCTTCAAAGGTATATCCTCTCAAAATTCAGCTGTATTGCATTGTCTTGACTTTGTAGTTCTAACGTTGTATTTATGAACTTTGAAATGAACTCCTCTTTCAAATAGCCGCTCATTAAGAGTACAAAACAACTTAAACAAGGTTAATAAGTTTGGGCCAGACGAAAAGGACGTGTTGTTAGTACATCCCACGGCCATGCAAATATTAAAAGATGAAAGCAAAGCAATCGATGGCATTCATATGTATACAGTTGAAATAAACGCAAAAGTCCAATGATTACTGGTATAAAGAAGAAAAAATTCACATGCATTGCAAGCAAGAATGAAATTTAACTATCTGATGCGGCTCCCCTTACCTTACTACCAGACATCACAGAACCGTCCTCTTCAAGAGCGTCTATATAATCCTGAGGTGCAAAACATAAAGATATCAATTTATAGAAAGAAATTCAAGTCAGATGTAGCATCAGGTATCATACAAATGGACAACGTATCAATATCCAATAAAAATGTTTGCCGGAGCATCAGAATTTGAAGTAGAACACATTGTTATCAAAGTGCTTTTTGTTGTATAATTCAACACTGGAATTTTATATTCGTTCTACTTACAAGACTTGCATCATCAAGCATTGTGTCATAATCGTCGACAATCTATAAATAAAAGTTCACCAGTTATGGAGGTAAACGATCACCCAAATCAAAATACCGGAGAAAATACATTAATGGTGTTATATTAGCATAACAGATAGAGTTATTCTGACACCCAAAAGTAAAAGCGATCAATTTGAGGAAGCCTTCATCGTAGAAAAAAATTTTTAGTTTGAGTTGAAGTGTAAGAACACTTCGAAACTTTTAGCTAAAACTTTTCATTATGCAAAAATATTTGTATGCAAGTTATTCAGAATTCCTTTAGTAGTTTAACATATTTTTTGGAAAAGGCGTGCGTACTCCAGCTCACTAAACTTCAGCCGACGGATAAAGTTTGGCGTGTCTTCTGCATTATATATAGACATGAATAAATTCATTTCAACTATTTGAGTATACTTCTTCATATCAATAAAATTCTTACCGTTGATATTCGGTCTCTTATTTCAGTCAAGGCTTCTGTAAAACGTTCTCGTTCACGGTCTATACCTCTGGCTCTTAGCATTAAAATCGTGTCATCGATAGCTGGATCAAATTCCTCATCGAACAAATCCGGGCTCACATCGTTGATGCGCATCGTTGAACGGCGAGCATTTCGCGGCTTGTTGCGACAATTGGCCTTGGTTTTCCTGTCATATTTACGAGGCATATTGTAAATTTACTTGTGAAAAAGAAATAAATTCATGCATTACGTTATACGAGTATATTTTGCTCATTAACACACAATTATTACGTAATTAATTAATTAATTGTACCATGAACGTCTAATTTTTTCCTTAATTTGTTATGCATTTTTATTTGTTCTCTTTTGCCTGTAAAAATATGAGAAACAAAACTCAAACTCATTCATATATATGTAATTTGAATCAACCATAAAATGTTTCATACGTACCGATTAACTCCCATTTAATTTTGTTTTTGAATCATGAGAAGAAAAGGAGAAAATCCATTGACATCTTGGCACTTGTTGCCCGCGGTTTACATGTTAGCGGTTTTCTTTTTGCCCTCGCCGGCATGGTTTTAATGTCTATAGTTGTGTATTGCCTACTTTGCTTTTATGCATGGTGAAGTTATTCTGTGATAGTTATTCTGACAGGTTTGATGACATCTGACAAAATTTATATGTCTATATAAATATTATCATACCAGTATTGAAATTTATGCGCAACTTAACGGTGAAATAAAAATCATATGTCTGAAATTGTTTTAAGACAGAAACGGTGGAAAAACCAGTTTCTCGCCATGAACAATTTATTTGTGTTATTGTACTTTTTTATGCTAATTAGGCGATTATTTTGAACCTTAACTGCTGCATAAAAATCGTACACACTCACCATCCTTAAAGTAATCTATAAGTATCATCGATCACCTGGGATCTTGTCTTGGTTTTGAAAAAAGTTTCACCGTTTTTTTGAGATGGAAGTAAAAGTTCGTGAGGGAAGCTAAATTTCAGAAGAGGGGAAAATATGGTCTCCTCAAGCATGCATGGTCCGCTTGATCAATTGCTTGAATTCATAGCCATGGCAATGACCAAATGCATGAACTAGCATTGTTTTCTGCGTAACTGGTTCACTTCTTTAATACATTTTTACTTAATTGATATCTTTCACAATAGAACTCTTTCATGATGTTCTATTAGTATTTAGAAAGTCAAATGCATCATGAACGAAAGCATCCATGGGCTTCAAACATCGATTATCTCTTTCCTTATATCACTTAATGTTGAAATAAATAATTGAGTCTTTAAAAGACGATAACTTTTACAATGATTATATCATTAAAGCCATTTTTATAGTCTAAATTGAACCCCACTTTCAATTCATTAGATAACGAAATCTTAAATCATTTTGGATGGAAAACTCATTTAAATAATTTTTTTAATATATTAGCTTACTAACTGCGCACTCGTAACGTTATTAATGGTAGAGAAAATTAAATTACAATAAGCTTATTCCAGGAAAAAACAATTGAGTAGCTGCAACTCTCTAATGTTTCATTTGAGAATAACATTCATGATTTTGATTTTGAGGTCAATTTCAAGGTATATATTGATAATGCATTGTACATGACGATTTTTATGGAAACGTTTGTTGCGTTCAAATACATTCTCAACTATTTACTTAATATTAACGAATGAATTGTTTGATACATTTAAAAAACACTCTCTGGTTTCTCCTTAGCTTCATGAAAAATGCTGTCCGAGAAAGAATCTGGTGTTCGAAAAGAAGTCCTTAAAAACAATCGACGATCAAAAGTCACAATATTTACAATAAAGACCATGACTTCTCAAAGATTTATGTGACCTTGGCAAAATAACTGAAGAATTTTTAAATGGGCCAACAAAAACTTCCTAAATAAACATACAACAAACATAAATTGCATTCTGTCCCAAAAGTTTACACAATACATGTATTGAAAGTATACACTATGTATGGAAACTCTTCACAAAAGACAAGGGCACAATATTTATTTGAGCTGATTTAATACATTTATTTACTTGAAATGCAAAGCCAATATTATACTCGAGATGGATACAGCATCTAGAAAGAGAATGGATAAGTATTAAATTTTAGATTTTCTGTTTACTTCTGCAATTTGCAAAATTTCCAAATGTGCAAAACAGCAACACTACCTTAACAATATAAACTTAAAGATATTGCTGAAATATGTTTTAGCATTTAGAAAGTGATGACTGCCTTTAGTTTTGTGTACAGTAAAGTGTTCAAAATTATTAAACAATTTTTGAGAATAAAGATAGAATTTTCCACTCTTCATTATGTTTCATCTTCATACTTTCAGAAATTTTTCCCACACATGCAACACATTTGTTTTTGTAAAAATAGTCAAAAAACTACAGCAAGCCAAAAATTTTCAAAAACAAAAGTTGCTGAGCAATTTTTTAGAGATTCAGATCCTGCATTACATATGTAGAAATCAATGCTTTAATGACTTACCACACGAACAGTAGCTCCAAAACATTTGGGTGGAAGGTTATGTCGAAACTTTGCTCTAACTACACCACTGTTGCCATGTGGTCTGGTTACCTTCCCCAAATACATCGAATTTTACTTGCCGGTTGCTTTCCCTTGGCCTCTCTCTTCTTATGTGCTCTATATACATAGGCAATGCGTTTTCCTAGGTAGAACTCTGTCTCCTTCTTGTCATTCACTCCTTCTATCTTTACCAACGAAGTATTGGGGTCCTGACTTCTGAGACTACGTTTGTAACCTAATACAACACCTTTTGTGTACAACCTATATAATATTAAATCATATTAATATGAGATATTACAAATTTCAGTCATGTCTTCTTATATCAAAGTTTGCTTTATACTTCGGGATGTTGAAGACATCAAAAACCAAGCTTATCTTATTTCTTAGTTACCACCTATCTTGGACTTGAGCAATTTTTATATTGGTTAAATTGCAGAATACCTGTCTGGTTGGTTTCTGTGTGAGGGTTTGGGTCAAGTTTATTTTATATATGTGTATGATGAGTGGATGGGTATTCTGCAATCACTCCATTATATCCCCAATACATGCAGCTTTTTTCTCCCCCCCCCATTGCCATCATATTTTCCCCGGACATTGTATTAAGTAGGGAGGAGATCGATCGAAGTCATTCCTCTGACTCAAACACTGAATCAAATCAAATCTGAATCAAATCTGAATCAAATCAACAAAGATGAGAATGAGATAATTTGCTACCCAAAGCATGTACACAAGACAAAAAGCTCTCCATATATCATTAGAAAGGCTTGGAAATATATATTACCTCACTGGTTGAGACATAATGCGAATAATCGAGGCAAATGGACCTAAAAAAATAATCTTAATACAGTTAATACACCCAACTTCCATTTACAAAGTACACTTCCAAATTTAACTATTTCGACAAAAAATAGCAAAATAATTAAATTTTAATACTTTCACTTAAAAAAATGCTATCTTTAATTTAAGATGGTAAAAATTTAGGGATGATACTGCAGGATTTAAAACACTTACTTGGGTAAACGCTCGTCGAACGACAGCTCTGTCAGTGGAAAGGAACAACAATATATGAGCCCTCAAATATTAGCAAAACCAGCCAGCGGTTTCAAAGCTTTATGGTTGACATAGCAACAAGTTGCAAACATGGCCGACATTGAAGTAAGATCATTCAGTAAAATAAACTGATTGCTTTTTTAGGTGCCCTTTTTCTTCAATTGATTGGTATGGAATGAATTCATGGCAGTCTCTGGAAACCCTTCGTCCAAATCTTTGATAAATAGTTATGAGTTAGCTCTTCTCGAAGCGAAACATTCATGTCAGATTGCGAGCAGTGTAGAACTTTATAAATGTTTTGAAATTTTTGACGAGCTTATTCCTATGTTAGGACAGTATAAGAGGGTGATAAAAATGATCCGAGATCACTTATTTGATGCAGTATTTAGTCGCGAGTATACTGTTAACATTCAATTGCCTTCACTCACAGGAATGGAAGAAGACAGCAAAACGGCTTCGATTAAGCGCATTCCGCATTTTGTAATTCTAAATAAACTTGCTGATGAAAGAAACAATCGCGCAGAAAGAGCTGAAGAAAAAATTTCACAACTAACTAATAGATTGGAAGAAAGCAGACATGAAATTCAAAAGCTTGAGAAATGTATTGCCAATCAAAAATCCATTAACGAAAAACAAGAGGAGAACATGCAAGAATTGCAAAGGATTATAAAATACAAAGAGGAAGAAAATACTTCCTTAAGTGTTGAGTTGCGCTATCAGAAGGAGAAACTGAACTGTGAAATTAATGAATTAAATGACTCCATTGAAAGCCTTAGGAAAGAGCTGAAAGGCAAAACTGATAAGATCAACGCCTTGAATCAGTTTAAACTGTGTCATGATAAAGTTCAAGATGATTTTCATGATCCAAGTGTGTTTACGCCAGCGCCTCAAAAGAAGTCCTTTTCCGCTGAAGAACAAAAATTGCGCAAAGATATTGTTGAAGGAAAGTCCTTAGAGACGCAACTTCTATCGCTAAGAAATACTTGCATTGAACAATATGATGAATACTTGGAAGAATGGAATATTCTAAAGAAAAGCAAGGATAACGATGTAGCGGTCGATGAAAACCATTCAAAACGCAAAATTGGGTTTATAAAAATGATAACTAGCATTGAAAACGAACTTTCTCAGACTTCTACACACCTTTCTATTTTAAAGGACAACTTGGAGCAAGTTAATGTGAAAGACGACAGTTGAAGCAAAATGAAAACTTAGTTGATGCTGAGATGAATGTGATGGAGGATTCAAATTTGTTGCACGCCATAAAAGATTCTAGCCTGAATTGCACATTTGTACCACAAGAGGCAATTTTTAGCAAGTATGCTGTTGTGCTCGAATATTCTTGTAATAAAGGAAGGACATTCCAAGAAATGCCTGGTTTACAACATTGTCAAAGTTGTGCTGCAAAAACGCTTGTGTGTCCTCATAAGGCGACATCAGATGAAACCGTATTTCATTTACCATTAAAGTGTACGTATATCAAGTTTGTAAGACCCCAACCAAGCGTTTTTCTTCCTAGTAACAATTCGCAGAAGGAAACATCTGTGATTGGAAATGAAGACATATTTTACAACATTCCGCAAAGTTTATGGAATGATTTAGCAAATCGAGAAGAGAAAACTCAGCAAAGAGTTCCGATGACTTTAAAAACAGAATTCATTGTTTCCTTGATCGAACAGTTTTACGCTTTTGTTCATGCAGTAGAAGTTTCTGACAGCGATGACATAACTTTGTCTATCTTGGATGTTTGGCATAAATTCCTCAACGAACGTTATCAATCTAAAAGCGTCGCCAATTTAATGACAAGGGCCGTTTTGGAGACAATTCAACGTAGTAATACAGTACAACAGTTTATTGAAATGTTTATTGAATGTTTATCTGGCATCTTAGATCCAGCAACATTTCGATATTTTCTGATTGTGCGAAAACTAATACAAAGTGTTTCCTGGAAATCACTCGATGATTTTGCGCCATTTGCAAGTATTATCTATCCCTTCATGGACGTTGATGATCTGGAACAGTTCACAATGAGTTTTCGTGCTTACAGTGAAAACACAATCAATGAAGAATGCGTTCGAAATTTTTTCTTGTCCTTGATTTTAAAGCAGCGCGAGCCCGCTTTTCATGACATGGAGAATCAGTTGTTAAGTCGTTCAGAAGTTATCAACGGCATTATGTCCGAAAGTGTCTTCATTGAAGCCATGGTTGAAATATCTCCATTGATTTCAGAAAAATCGTGCAAGAGTCTGTTGGCACAGTCGAAAGCAGGCGTGAAAGATAAATGTCCTCTTTCCATAGTCCATCTATCACAAATTGCTTGCTACCTAGTACTTTGTCAACAGACATCTGTTGTGGAAATGAAACTCAATGCCCAATATTCATGATTCAATAAGGTGTAATTTCGAACAAAATGGCAAAACCGACACTTGTTTCAATATACATTTATTAATTTGATCAAGCTAAAAACGGGATTTTCCAAATGCTTTCATTTGCCTTTTTAGCGATATTTCGAACAGTTTAATTGTTGTAAACAGAGGTAAATGTCAACATTGTTGTTCACAGTGTTAAGTACATGTCAATATTATTGCAAGCTACGAACAGTACGACTGTAAGGAACGTCTTTTATAATACAAAGAAAAGCATTTGGAAAAATAAAAATTTAATTAATATACAAACAATGAAAAAAGGTGAAATTTTCAAAAGAAAAGTAGACGTATAAATAATTTACAGTAGTTTACATGAAAAGTATTATGAACAAAATTTACAGAATAAGTCTTAAAAAATATTTATATATGGTACAACATGTTTAGAAACCTTCAACTTTTTCTTTTGCATAGGTAGTGTGCAGTTTTTTAATAAACTTCCTCTCCTTATTATTTATAAATGTAAAACCCTTTTGGTTTGTCAATTAAAAGATCAAATAGAAGGATTATTACAAAAGCAAAACTTGCATATGTCGCAGCTTACTGCCATCGATCACATTCATGAAGTCGGTAGCAAGTTTAGTCATGCTATGCACTATTATTTATTTTTTACAATTCATAGTGACAGAACAGAGAACTATTTACAAAGCATGAACAAACTTGCGAGCTGACTACGTCACTGCATGCCACTGCATATCACTAGTCAAACACCATTAAGCCTTTGTGATGTTTTGTAAATCTTTTAAAATTATGGAGCGATAGCGGTTTTCCAGATCGGTCATATAGTCCATATAATCGGAGACTTTGAACCCGATGATGGGACGTTCCTGAAACAAAAAGGCAGTCACAGGTTGTGATTATATAGGTACAAAAGTATATGAAACTGGAAAACAGGAGCATTCGAAATGAATAAAATGGATTTGAGATTTCGATGTTATTTACCTTCAAAAAGAACACCAAACTTATTCGCTGTGTTTCAAGGAGAATTTCTCTCCAAATGACGCAGGATGGCAACACACAAGTATACCTAATTTAAATGTTCACGCCATTTTATTTTATTAAAAAAAAAGATGAGCAAATTGTTCAAAACCAGATTATGATCAATGTTGGTCGAGGTAATCAAACAAAAGCAAAGGACTACGAAAGATTACCTGATAATCAATCCCGATTGCCAAACAAATGATTATGTAAGCACAAATATCTTCCCAATCCAAATAGTTCCAAAAGCATTGAGTCAACCAGTGTTGGCAAATCTAACAAAAAAATAAACACCATCAACAACATTTAAGAGAACTAAATTTCAAAGTTTGACTGAGCGAGCAGTCCTCTTTTACTCCAATTTATTACTTGAGATGGAGTATAGCCTGAAATCCTGAAAGCAGAAAACACCAGAGGAACATCAGCCTACATAAAGCAAATGTGATGTACTTTATAGAGATTATGGTACAATAAGGTGGCTTATGCATTGCGCATTTTTACAGTTCTAAGCATTGATTTTCATATTTGCTGTTTGACCTTCTACAATAGAAATAAACATTGGGCATTCCATGTCTATCTATCTACAATGTCTATTTCAAAACAAACAACGTTTTAATTGACAATATGAAGAAAACATTCACTCGAACTGTTAAAAGATGATCATGTCACAAAAATTGAGATAAAATTTATAAAAGAGTTGTTACATAATTTCTAAACTAATAAACAATTTTACCTGTAACACCAACTCAATATTGTGACAAACAGACGAATATATTGGGGGTATGCCACTGGCCATTAATGATGCAGGAAGATGAACCTATGAAGAATTCAATGGATGAATTATATACATAAAAACCATACGTAAGGAAACACGAGAGCAAACAGGGGTCAATCCGTTTTAAACAAAAGTTCACTGTAAGGGAAGAAAAAATCATTGAAAGTATTGTTTTGTTTATCAAGCCATTCAAAAATACCACCATGCTTCAACCATAATCTCAGATTTCTAACATAAAAGTGCAAACTCTAAAATTATTCTTGTTCTGTATTCTTGTTACAGAAACGTTTGACTAGTGCTACAGATTTTTGTGCTGAGAGCAAGAATTGAAAATCAATGCACGTTACAAGTAACAAATCTCTTTCTGTATTATCATCAACACAAAGATACGGCTTATGTTTCGGTTTTATCTGGGTACTTACAGAAACGTGTAGCCTTGGAGTCCAGAGGTAGACGGATGAAACAAGAGCTGAAAATTTGTAAAGGAAATTCCAACATCTCTCACCGTCACCAGACATAATTAGGAAAATCGTTGAAGCAAACCAATCAAAACCAGGATAGGAACCACTCAAAAAATCTAGTTGAGATGCCAAGTTAAGAAATGTTTAGTTATTTAAAGGGGATAATTCATTTATAAAAAGATGTGTTAAAGGGAACAATACAACAACAATCAAAATTCAAGATATTTTTTCTAAAGACTACATGAAGGATACTGATATCAGATTCAAATGTTCTATGTTGCTGTCCTTGCAAAAAGCATTTCACTTTCTTTAAAAGAAAAATCAGACTTTGATCACTCTCGGTGTTCGCGTTAAGCAACTTTAAATGACTGCCATATCGAGTGACCAGCTTCGTCCCAAGAATTTGAATATTTGACAAAGTTACATCTTTCAGAATAGTCTCACTACCTGAAATAAAAACTTGGGTGTGAAAACTCTTTAAATTACCAAACGAAACGACAAAAACTAGGTATCCAAGGATTATGTAAAGTTTCAAAAAAGTTGGAAATTTTAGAATGAAGCCTGTAAAATATTGACTTCGATAAAACTGCGCTTGAGTTATCTTTGAACAATCGACATAATCGGAAAGAATGGTTAAAAAATGAATAAAGTGGACTATCGAAATCCCCCATATTCCACTATTTCTTCCAAACTTTACACACAAAAATGAGGCTAAAGAATCAAAGAATTGTTAGAGTAGATGGTGCAAGCAAATAATACAAACGTTTTGTAGGCATTTGTGGAGATAATCATACCTGAGAAGTCAATAAGAGGAAATATAGCTTCTTCAGGATTTTCAGATTGAATTACAACAAGTTTTTCCAACAATCGACCTATTACTGCCAATTAAAAGAAGCAAAGCTTTTCCAATGAAAAAATAGACATAAAGAAAAATTTTTAAGGAAACACATGGTTTCCTCACCTGCTCCTCTGACGCTCTTGCGTTTATACAGAAGTTCAGAAACTATTTCATGACATTTGGACAGCCCTTCCTTGCTAAAAAGGAATATTATGTATACGTCGTAAGTTAGTCCTTTTTCTGATCTTGCTCAAAACTTGCTACTCAACAAGAGACACCTGAGATGCAGATCTTTCCAGTCAAAATATTGAAAAACGTCATCATCATCTACAAAAAGTTGAATAATTAGTATCGAGCTTAGTGAGATATGGTAGAAAATTTATGTGATAAAATTATGGATTTAAATTCACCTTGAATATTTGATTTGGTTGATAATTCACCGTGAAAATACTTCGATGGTGGAGGATAATGAGAGAACATTGGAATTGTGCTAAATTCACTGGAGTCCTACAGCATCACATTATAATATTGTTCAATAACATTGTAATTTTACAGTATCCTGAAAAATTAACTTACATTTGATAAACTTTCTGGAGGTAAATTTCTTTCATTTGGTCCACCAACAAAGTATGTTCTCACAAGAATATTATTACGTGCCATTGACAATGCATCAATAACGAAGTTTGAACTATACATAAGAATGCTTTGAAGTGTCGCATATAAATTTGCATTGTACACTTATTCTCAAGCAAGCATAATGAAAAGATACACATCATGACATGAAAAAACTGATCTTCTACAAAAACCATGACCAGCCGACAATTTAAAGAAGTATAATATAAAACAAATTCCGAAGAAAAATCTTTATGCGAGTGATGTTCTTCCATCTTACAAATTTCGGGTAGACTTGATTATTCTTACAATTGATTAAGAATTTCAAATCAAGTAGAGCTTTCTCATAGCGTCGTTGTGATCTTTGATAGCGTATGCATAGTTTATGAATTCGTTTTTTCGGAATTTGTTTTAGATCTTCTACAAATTTAGCAAAATTTTTGCAATTATAAAAAGAGAGTGTACTAGTTTACAGCATTATATTTATCAACTTGTCTAAAATAAATGACTTTAACGTCAGTAGAAGGTCGTGAAACATTCTTCAAAAATAAATCTTTAAATGCACTAAAAGAGCAGTACAAAAAATCCTCACCTGTTACTCAGAATACTTTGTGCTTGGAGCTGAAGCAAGACTTCTTGCACGTTGTATTGGGTTTGAAGAAGCAGGAAGGAATCCAATGAAGAACACATGTTGTTTAATAATCTATTTTTAAAACACACAAGATGTAACACTGTGGTTACCAAAGAAAAAACTTCACTTGTGAATCACTCAACAAAAAACTTACTTTAAACCAAATATATGCGCGTCATCATAATTCAACAAAAGCTTCACTTTTCGTTCGGAATCGATGAGTGCGAGCCAATCAATTATCTCCTGAAGCATAGAAAGTTTGATTCTTCAAGACAGCATACAATGTAAGTTAAGGTAAACAAAATATGAAGCTTTCCAAACAGAACAAAGATAACAATGATACGTTAAATGCTCAAAACAAATAAGTTTATAAATGAATAACCGAGATAAAGAAGGATGATATCATCGTAATCAAAACAAAATTTCAAAAGCACCCACCACAATTGATGTTGGGTACGGATATCTGTCGATGCGTGTTGATAGATTGTCCGGTGAAAGATTAGATGAAGGTTGATCAGTAAAAAGTTCATAAACAGCTGGGAATGATGACAGAACGTTGAGCAAGTTTGACATCACCTGAAAAACACCGCAAAACAGCTACGTAAAATGGAAAAAGTAATAGTTATTCACAAGTTCATAGTGCTTTGTTTTATAAACTATGGATGACATTTTTGTGAACACCAACCGCACGTCATTGTGGTCACCATGTGGAAAGTCTCCTCACCATGGGATTTGTAACCTCATGTACGATTGTCTAACGTTTTCTCACATTGTATGACGTAAGATTTCTCACCTTATGCAAAGTCTTCTCACATTGTATGACGTAAGATTTCTCACCTTATGCAAAGTTTTCTCACATTGTATGACGTAAGATTTCTCACCTTATGCAAAGTTTTCTCACATTGTATGACGTAAGATTTCTCACCTTATGCAAAGTTTTCTCACATTGTATGACGTAAGATTTCTCACCTTATGCAAAGTTTTCTCACATTGTATGACGTAAGATTTCTCACCTTATGCAAAGTTTCTCACATTGTATGACGTAAGATTTCTCACCTTATGCAAAGTTTTCTCATTGTTGACGTAAGATTGTTATGCAAAGTTTTCTCACATTGTATGACGTAAGATTTCTCACCTTATGCAAAGTTAGATTTCTCACCTTATGCAAATTTCTCACATTGTAAACGTTAGATTTCTCACCTTATGCAAAGTTTTCTCACATTGTATGACGTAAGATTTCTCACCTTATGCAAAGTTTTCTCACATTGTATGACGTAAGATTTCTCACCTTATGCAAAGTTTTCTCACATTGTATGACGTAAGATTTCTCACCTTATGCAAAGTCTTCTCGATGGTATTTTCCTTCATTCTAGGCGAAAGTATCTTATTGTCATCTTCCCCTCCTTCCAAACAAAACCATAAGTCACGAAGGAGACTTTCTATGTATCCTGTAAAAGAAAAAACTGCATTTATAAAAAATTCTCCCCAATGTTCCGGACATAGATATTACGTATGTAAATCCCCCTGATAAAGGATTACCTGAATTCCTAAGAGCTATAACACCAGGGCAAGTTGCTGAAATTTGCGTCACCATAACACCGTAGCCAAATTTCTCGCATTTACTAACCTATATATATCATATTTAAATTTAAAAGTTGATCAACTTGGTTGGCATTATAACATTTTTAAATCTCAAACACGAAAAACAAAAAACTTTCTTGGGTCAGTTGGGTGGACTAAAAATAAAGGTTAATCATTCGGGAATCGAGTAGGTAAACAGTTTATAATAATGGTTTTCGTCTGCACCTGTAACTTTTGTCTATATCTTTCGTACATATAATAAACACATTCAGTCATTGCACCAGATTGTTGCAACAGCAATACACCCTATAATTATCAAAAATAAAATGAACAGGCTCACTTAATTTACATACTGACGACTAAATACATAAATGAATCGACAATATAACAGTGAGGAAATTAATGTGTCCTTGCCTTTGGTGTTCCAGCAAAGTTTAGAAGGTTATCTATGAGAGCTTTTGAGAGTATTCTATACGAAAAAATCCAAACTACGATTACTGCTGGTTTTTTATCAAATTCAAATATGTTGCGTCAATGACCTATTTTCCTCGAAATTTTCTTGATAATCAGGAACAAAATTGGGCGGCTAAAAACGTAAGGTACGCTTTAGTACAAAAATTGATCTTGAAACATACAATTAAGCATCATAGTGAATGGCAGTCAATTTCTCTTTTAAAATGAACGGCCTTTCGGAATTTGTTGCATCGACCTTGTTTGAAGAGTTTTAAGGAGTTCGTTTCACCTAAATAAGTTTCTCCATGCATCGGTAGAAGTCTTTCCAGCGGTTAGCGAAATACTTAAAACAGGGTTTTTCAAGTTAAAGTTAGAGTTCCTTAACTACAATGATATTGTCAAAAGTTAAATGCCTTACGTACCAAAGTTAACGCATTAGCAATGCATTGATGGAGGCCATAGTGACTGACAAGAAGAAGACCTTCACAGCTATTGTACAGTTGCCGACAGACGAAAAGAAAAGCGGTGACCGATGCTGGGGATAACATAACATTACCACGTAGATTGTCAGTGAGAGATTTTTTTGTGAATTCAATGATTACGTGTGCTGGTGCAAACCTACATTCAAAAATACAACAAAAGCTCAAATTTTTAAATGTATATACATGTTTGATATCACACGCCATATAGTTCATATCATTATAATAAACATAATATAATACATACAACATTCTTATATTTCTCAGTCTTACGTTTCAGATCAGTTAAATTTGGGATTAAAAGATGATTTGTGATATGAAAGTCATCCAATTATAAATACAAAATAGAATAATTTGAAAGTTAATACAAACATCTTTGTACATGCAGTAATCGATTGGGTTGAACACAAAAAAATTTAAATTTCAACGCGCAAAAATAAGCCGTGTCAAAAACCATATCTATGTAATTAATTAGTCCGACCCTGAATTCTTGCCATTTCTGACAATAAACAGACATTTTTTGCATGGATTTACAATATATTGACAAAACTTACGTAAAAGTCTGCAAACAATCTGGATCCTCCCAAGAAAACATTTTCATACAAACGTATATGTGGTTATGGTTTTGTTTAGTAATTCATGAAAGAAATGTCTTAACACTAATCATTCTAGTTTTTATGTACTCAACATACATGTTAAATTTGACTACACAACATTTTAATCAACTTTCAATTATGTAAATTTACACACATGGCTGCAATGGTGTACCTTAATAAACTATCTATCTATCCATCTATTTACATATCTATGGTCAGGAGTAATTGCATGGTCATATTGTAAATAAAAGCGTCAAGAACTTAATACTCATTCACCAACCTATTTCGTCGCCATCTTTCATGATTTTCGCCATACAACAAAAGCCTCCTTCCACAATCTGAAGCAGCTAAACACGCAAGGACATCAGCTATGTTTAAGAGTGTAAATCTGTTGGACTCTTCGAATTCTCCTTCCTCATCCTAAAGAAAAGAAAAAAAGTTATCACAATAAACTTTTCTCTTAAACAAGCACAACAGAAGTTAGGTAGCGCGTAGCGAATCAATTTAATTGAGGAACTACCGTAATTTCTTCAAGATATTTCTGAAGAGGCAGCAGAAAAGTATTAGCTACAATGTCCTAAACAATGTAAATGTCAAGAAACTGGAGTGAGTGAATACAAGGTCAACAAAAGAATGTAAATTACACGAACAATAGCACAGGCTTCTAGCATTAAAGAATAAATGTGTTAAGTACAATATACTACGAATATGCAGTAGTAGAGTGATCGAAAAAAGAACCTTTGACAACAGTTCCTGAGAGGCGATGCTGTTCGATGCAATTTCTTTCAACACAGTAACAACAAGTTCTGAAGGATGATTTGAGCCTGTAACACACGAAGATGTCTTTATTCACAACGCTTTTCCTTAAACTTTAAAATAACAAACAATTCTTATTTGCCCTCTCTCTCTCTCTTACACAAAACGTACCTGGGTATTTCGGATAAGTAGCTGACATAATTTCAATAAATGCAACCACGACGTCAGTCGTTGAAATATCATCTATAAAGCATGCGTACTATAGTTAACAATCAAAAAATTGTGATTTAAAAAATATCATTATATCTATGGCATTGAAATCTCATTGTTACGACTTTATAAGATTACTAAAATAGCAAATGAAATTACAAAAGTCCCCTTCAAGGTCTTGCAGTTGATCCGGATGTACAACGTAGCATTTTATGAAACATGAAATAATCAATACAATGTTGGGCAGGTTAAGCGTACCGTCAAAATTCGGCAGAGTAACAGGAAATAATTCTCTTGAATCTTTATAGAGCAACAATCGACCAATAAGACAAAGAGAATGTACAAAATACACGTAATCAAGCTTTTCCATGGAGTAGAAGTCTTCACCTTTTAAAAAAACCAAACAGATACGTATGTATATAACAACATATAATCCATTGATAGGAACATGCATTTTATTGAGCAATTTTCTAAACAAACCTTCATCAATTTCAATGTCATCACTCGTATCAAAGAGTAATAAACTTTTGCTAATAGACGCAAACTCCATGAAATGCTGAATTGCATCGATTACCTGAAGTTACATATAAAAAATACCTTAGCTATTACAAAGCTATCAATAATATGACCACAGCATCATTCAACCTTATGGTCAAATTTTTTTCAAATGATGGTCATTCCCTCCCTGTTCATAATGGAAGCAGTAAAGACATACCATGATTTAATATCCCACAATATCCACTCAATAGAAATAGTTTCTAATTACAAATGTAACAACTTTCGCGAAGAGCTATATCCTCAACTTCATGAAACCGAATTGAATAGAGATTTATGTATTTATTTTTGGCATTCAAAGCACAAAGAAGCACTTTTTAACTTTGTAAAGGGTTTCGCTTATAAAATCAAGTGAGCCAACGTATTTACCAAAGTAAACAAAGTAAATGGTTGTATTTACCAAATGCGGATGAAGTTTTAGCTGTTTGACAACAAATTTTCGACTGTAATAACCATGCTGTAAATTAAAAGATTGATGATTAAAATATTTTAAAAGATCACTTGCTATATGACTACGTACAACAACATAAATATCCACTCATTCTCCTCGTCAATAAAGAAAATTTTCTATCCTCCTCGTCAATAAAGAGAATTTTCTATCCTCCTCGTCAATAAAGAAAATGTTCTATCTTCCTCGTCAATAAAGAAAATGTTCTATCTTCCTCGTCAATAAAGAAAATTTTCTATCTTCCTCGTCAATAAAGAAAATTTTCTATCTTCCTCGTCAATAAAGAAAATGTTATATCTTCCTCGTCAATAAAGAAAATGTTCTATCTTCCTCGTCAATAAAGAAAATTTTCTATCTTCCTCGTCAATAAAGAAAATTTTCTATCTTCCTCGTCAATAAAGAAAATGTTCTATCTTCCTCGTCAATAAAGAAAATGTTTTATCTTCCTCGTCAATAAAGAAAATGTTCTATCTTCCTCGTCAATAAAGAAAATGTTATATCTTCCTCGTCAATAAAGAAAATGTTCTATCTTTCTCGTCAATAAAGAAAATGTTCTATCTTCCTCGTCAATAAAGAAAATGTTATATCTTCCTCGTGAATAAAGAAAATGTTTTATCTTCCTCGTCAATAAAGAAAATGTTCTATCTTCTTCGTCAATAAAGAAAATGTTTTATCTTCCTCGTCAATAAAGAAAATGTTATATCTTCCTCGTCAATAAAGAAAATATTCTATCTTCCTCGTCAATAAAGAAAATGTTATATCTTCCTCGTCAATAAAGAAAATGTTCTATCTTCCTCGTCAATAAAGAAAATGTTCTATCTTCCTCGTCAATAAAAAAGTTTTATCTTCCTCGTCAATAAAAAATGTTATATCTTCCTCGTCAATAAAGAAAATGTTATATCTTCCTCGTCAATTAAGAAAATGTTATATCTTGCTCATGAATAAAAAATGCCATCTCCAAAATCAAAAAGAATTTCAAGTGACATCAAAACGACACGTTTCCGGTGTTTTAATCTTACCATCCACTTTTTAAACCATGAAGCCTTCGGGTCCAATATAGCCAAATAATGCAGTGGAGATATCACTGCATTGAAAGAGGATAACTCAAAATAGTTACTTCCCAGGCTAAGCAGCGATATGGCGCTTTCCAAAATATCTTCGACAAATCTAAAAACAAACCATACACACGTTATTTATTGATGATAGTTGAACAAGTAAAAAATAAGAAAAATGAAATTGTATGTTAGTAATGCTACCATAACTGTTTGCTATAAAAAAAACAAACAAGTATATCAGAGCTCTTATTGATAGCAGAGACTCTTGCCGCTGACAGGACTACTCTGTTTAAAGGTTTACTACTACCACAAACAAAACGGTGTTTAATGCGCGGTCATTTGGATCCAGCTGAAGTAATTGCCATTGGGATAAGCTGATTTATCTGTGAAACTGGTATTTCAAATATACGTAGCGTCTCTTTCTCTTTAAGTTTTTTATTTCTCACTTTTATGATAGATGTTTTTCAAATTCATTTTTTACGAAACTATTTCACCCTTAAACCTGTCCTTGAGGTACGTAAGAGCTTTGCATGGGTTACGCATGCGCAGAAATCATACCTTTCCGGGTATCGTATCCAGTAAGATGGAATTTCGTGCATAAATTCATACAGCAACCGGAACTATAAAGTTCATATAACAGAAATTCACACAAACTACGAAAATAAGCTCTCAGAACTTAAAACAGGCTATAGAATACAAAAGGATTTACTTTCTTTATCATCATTTCGTCTTTTTTCCTTGATAACTTCAAACCATCATCAAGTTGTGTTTGACTGTATTGATTGCCTTTAAAGATCTCCACAAGATGATCAGCTAAAATCAAGATAAATATATTTACTAAATGACAATTCATATGAAAAAATATGACCATCCTATACCTAACCCTTCACCTTTTATAAGCTCGCACAAATAAAATACGATTAAAATTTTCTTTAGTAGATAAACGTTGAGCAAAGGATATTCGAAAAACCATTTTTATTTGGTTCTAAATGCACCATGCGGGCGCCGTTTAAAAATTTTTTCCTCCTTTTTGCAAGCGATCATTGAAGGGAGAAGCCTCACTTCAAGATATATTTACGTCATAATGTATTCAAGTCAAAATTTATACTTACTTAGACATGTAAACACCTCGCGTACAACGTGACCGCTGTTGATAATGTGCAGCCTCGACACAACTTTGAGGCCCATACTCTAAAATAAATTCGTAAAACATGAGTTATCATCACAGGACGTCAATTTAGAAACACCATTTAATTAAACATGTGGTAAAGCCTGGAACCAAAGCTTTAGGTGATGATGGACTGACTGGTGGTCTTCACATCGAAACATCACTAATTTATTATGGATGTGGTGAAGGCTGGAAAAAGTTTTTTCTGATAATGGTGATCTTTACACTGGAAACATCGCAACTTAATTAAATTCTATGAAGCAAGGAAAAAGTTTTTATGACGATGGTAGTAGTCTTCACACAGTTAAAAACTTACAGATATTTTTCGTGTTCATCTCCCAAACAAATACTAATTGATTGCTTAATGATACACCAATGTTCACTGGTAACAACGTCTGAAGGAGGAATTTGAGACAACGCCAAAAGAGCCTGGTAACGAGTCTAAGTTTCAAAAATGTTTTACTTCATTGATGAAAAAGAGTGAAAAATTTAATTTCATGTGAATGATCCAGCGATCAACGAAAAATATGCTGTAGATTTATGAAAGCATGTCCAAGTGAAGGGAATTGTACCTCAATTGATCGTGAAGTGTCCAATTTTTGTGCAATACTTCGCAACTTTTCATGGGGCATAAACATGTAGCTTAACTGTACAAGATATAAAAAGCAATTTATGATGATACAATGTATACAAGAAAATTCAACGTGATTAAGATGTTTCATAAATCACTTTGACGTATTTTAGTTTACAGTTATCAATACATTCTAAATTAGTGGAGTTCATTTTCAATAACATATGTCTTAGCAGTTAACATTTCATGTTATCCATCACAAATTGCACATCTAATTCATTATTGGTTTAACATTTACGTTCTAAAAATTTGTTGCACCTTGCCTGACGAAGAAAAAGATGATTCCTCTTCAATAGCTTCAACAGAAAAATATTTCCCGCTGTATTCACTGTAGCCAGGATCCATCCATACTTCCTCCTTTGACATAGCACCAAAATTCTGAGTCTACAGTGAGTTATTAAATTTTTTCAATGATTTAAACATACACAGCTAGTTCACTGAATGAAAAACGTTGGATTTTCAAAAAACGCAACTGGTTCCTATAAACTTTATAAGAATAATATTTAGAAAGTTATGGCGTTTGATTACTTTATTTTACTCGTCAATAAACACAATCTCCAAACTTTTTAGAAAAAGTTCCACATGACTAACGTTACATTTGAACTGATCAGAACTGATTAAACTACCTTCTATGATTTTTAAATCATTCAATATCAATTCATCGTCTAACTTAACATGTATGCACAAGCAGACTAATCAGTGCTATTTCATATAGAAACAAAATACACAATATCAAATACAATCAAAACAACAATAGCACAGTTATAAGCTAACATTATACATAACATGAAATAAAACATCAAAAAATACATGACTCTTAAAACTAAAATTAAACTTATTTCTAAAACATGATGCCCTTCATCATAATAAAAGATTACACATACCATTTCATTAACAACACACTTCATGCTGTCTATAATATACTGGTGTAAGGTGGCATATCTGAAAGAGCAGAATTTATGTCAAGAATTCTTAGAAATTAGAAATATACATAGCAACTTGAGCAGTAAAATCATATATGTGGAAAAAATATTAAAGGTTTAGACAATACAAGTTGAACAATCTTAAAATATAAGTAAATGGTTATATCAAAGCCTTAGGCCCACCTGTGACTAACAAGGAAATTTACAGCAACCAACCCCATTTAAGCATGCATTTCTAATTTTCAATGCATTACAAATAGACATCACCAAAATGCTTACTGGCAGGCAGGCTCCTCTGAATAAAACATGAGAAAAAAGAACAGCCTTGTATAATAATACAATAGTATGGTTGTTGAGAACAGGTAGACATATACATTTAGAGACACACCTAAAGTTATACTTACTCTTTAGAAGCCAATAACTCTTCAATAATAATGCGAACAGCATTGTGAAAATCTTCTCCACTTAAAGCCTGTTTCTCAATCTCATTTGCAACAACAGGAACGAATGTTGCATTTATTCTTTGTCGCAATTGTTTGACAAATTCATACCTTTAAAAAAAGGTAAAAATGTTATCCAAGTAGATGCATATTTTTTAGCAATAAAATTATTGCTCACAACATTCTGAGCTTGTTGTTATGCTTTTTACCATATATCCACATCATGTGCAAGAAAATGTATGGGCATGTCTCTTGTACATGGCATGCCTTTTGTACATAAATCTGTCTTTAAGCACTATATTCCATTTTTCGGTAATTAATGGCAGCCTTCACGTTAAGAAATCATTTTTGTTCGTTGACTCTTAGCTTGCCGTGGATAAGCTTTTTATGAGTATCCCTAACGTATTTGGGCACGTATTCAGTGAGTTAGAACTATCGTCAGGCAAGAGCAGCACGACTGAAGTTCTTTCCTTTTAGATATTAAATATATTCCTGTAAGGGACTGTCCAACTGTGTAAATACATAAATACATAAATCTTGGAATAGCTAAAGAATTCTTGACATAAGAATGTAAACATAAATCGAAATACTAAATAATTTGGACTTTTACTGCTAAACTAGATTAGTTACCGATGAAACTTTTCATCAGTTTCTTCTAAATGATTGAGATAATCTTCAGCTGCAGCCAGAGATTTGATCTGTTTTATCTCAGGCTCGATGCTTGCAATAAACTGCTTGAAACTTGCCCGAAATTCACTTTCAACTTTATCTTCCTTTCCGCTACTTTCGGCCGCCATCTTTTCTGTGGTGCAAAATTTGGTCCAAAACCATAGCAACAAACGCAAAAACTTTGATTTCAATTTTAGCAAATTATTACATTGATCTGAAAGAACCTGTTTGTGGGGAAGAATTTTATTCTATTGAACATTATAAGCACGAGTATAACTGACAATGTCAATCAACGAAATAAACGACAGTAACAATCGACAGTTGTTAATTTATTTGGTATCATATCAAACAGGCTTTCCCATAAAATTTAATACCCAGTAAAACAACCCAATTTACCTCCAAGAATTAACCAATATTTTTTATCAACTTATATCACTTAGTAAATGTTTCGAATACTCGTGTCCAGATTCAAACACACTTTTATTTATACTTACATGTAGGATCTTATTTTAATTACAAAAAATTGCTACGATATCAAGCTTATGCTGTGTGAAATTTTTTGCAAAGCTATTCCAAAGTAGGTGGCAGAAGTCTATTTTGGAATAAATCAATTTTTTTGCAGAACTTCTTTTCTAAATTAGAGAGCGAGGGAACTCTCTAACTTAGTTAGAATAATGCAAATACTCTTGCTTTTTTGTGTGTGAGCGTGATTAGATGTGCATGATTTTTTTCTAAATATTAATATAGTTTTCATAATCAAAATGTTTTATTGATCATCTGCAAACACCGAAGAATTCAAGTTAAGGATTTTGTTTTTTTTCATACTTTAATTTGTTAAACTTACCTTAAGGATCGTCGACTGACCATGCTAGGCTTTGTCGCTCTAAACAAGACACAGACAAATAATTGATAGATTTGATGTATGATAGAAACAAGTACACTTACATTCCTGACTTTTCCTTCATAGTCTCGTCCTTCGAATCTGAAAGCCTAAAGGACAAGTTAGACGCAGAACAAAAACAAACAAACATATACCTATGTCTTCTTCTGTATCTTCTCATCTTCTGCATCTGAAAAATACTCAATAACAAGTTAGTGGTGTGACAAAACTAACAAACAAACAGTCAAACATACAAATAAACAAACACATACCGCAATTTTGATCAGCAACTGTTGCCATGTATAGCTGTAAGAATAATTGTTCAAATACAATCATGACACATGTATTGTGCAAAACCATGCAGTGTTTGCAGAAGATCTGTCAAAATTTCATTCGAAAACGCTCACTTTACGATGCTATGCAGAATACAGCTGTAAACTTAGATTGCTGTCAGATTTTTCAAAAAACTTTATCAGAATATTTTGTGTTCACTATGATTTACAAAACTATAGAAGTTACTGCAACATAATTTAGTAGTTAGCAGTACCAGCCATTTGACATGTTATAACATCCCTCAATGTCATAACAGTGTCATGCATACGTACTAATATTTAAAGTCGACAGATTGTTTGACTGATACTTTCTTCAAATAGAAGTTAAATTTAAAGATTTTGCAATACTCTGCCAGCGTATTGCAATTTCTCTTTCATTTATCTAATGCATCCATTATAACGTAGATTTCATTTTAACGTTAACTGCAAGATCCATTAACTGATTTGTGCTAACTTCTATAACATTACTCAATGTCATAGGAGAGCCAGTCATGCAAATATATAATTATAAATAGCTAACACATCCTCTAATCCCAATTATTTCTCAATTCGCCACCTGATTTAAATATACAATACGGAAAAATAGTTAAGCCCTATTTTCCAAAATTATAGCAGCACTAATAGGTAGTCAGCCGCGAATAAATGATTTCGTGGATGATGTTTTATGTCGAAGGATAATCTATTTCTTCTTTTTCAGCATCTTGACAACGAATTTGCTGTCTGTAAACGAGAGCAATAAAATTGACTTGTTACTAGGATATTATGGTATCAAAGACTAATTATGTCCTTTACTAAAGCATTATAATTGCCAGTACTTCCTAAAGATATATCTTTGTGCTTTAATATTGCCCGTCGATCTGATATTCTAGTATGACAACGTACCTTCCCAACAATTTCCCTTTACTTTCTGCATGCGAGTCTCTGCCGTTCGATAAGGTATTCACTTTTTGAATTATTTGGTTTTAAAGTGAAATTCTCAACCAATGGTTGTAAAAGATGATTTTTATATCTGTAATGCGGCTTCGAATGCCAAAGTTCCACAAGGAGGTATTGTTCTTTGTCGACAAGTCTTGCAAACACTCATGGTAATACAGCACAAAGTGAATAAGCATCAACACAAGTGTTCACTTTTAAAGAATCAAACAAAGAGCAGGGAAGCATAGAGTATTAGCAATGACATAAGCACTAGGATAATCAAGACCCAGAATATAAACCACAAACGATGAACAAAAGAAAATTACGTTTTCATTGTTTTCTGAGTCCCACGAGAAAGAAAACAAAAGATTTCTCATTATGCTTATTTCACTAGTGTCAATCAAGCATTATATATCAAATTCGTTCATTTTGTCTGTTAAGCAATCATTTATAAATGGTTCAAAGAGAAACGCAGATTTTTCATCATGTAACAAGAAGATATTATTATGCAGTTTTTAGAAGTCATAAGGCATTATAATCTTAAGTATTATATAAAATCTTTTTAAAAATCATTTTTATTTCTCCCATTGAAATATACATCACAACTTCATGATGAAATGTTAGTTCCCAATGTCAATTTAAGTATTTATCAACTTCACAAGGTATCCACGATCTCACTCTCAAAATCTTCCGAAGAATCCATCATTTAGCACCATGCACCTTTTTCGGGCTTGACATAGCTTTCAGGCTTGACTTTTGATTTCATCCAATATAATTCTATAAGTGTTTATCTATCTTATTTTTGAATGTAACAGAAAACTCGTGATATATAAAGATAGCTAATAGTCGTTAAAGCGAGCTAATGATCATGTGTTTTCTTTCTTAATTTGTCAATATTTGAGCTTAACCGTTATTCAAAGTTAACCACTGGTAAGGCTATATATGCAGTTGTCAAAAGTCACACTATTTTTAAAGTCTAAGTGAGAAATAATGTAAAAGGTTATGCTCTTTCATCGCTCGCGAAAGAACCTCGGAAAATCATCAATACAGAACAAAAATGAAAAGAATCCAATAATGTTGAACTTTCAGGACTCACGTATTTATAGAAAAACTACCTGACAAATGACCGTAGCACCTTTGTTGACGATCATTCCAAAAGTAAAATTGAAACCAAGATAGAGCAAAACATGCATTATACACACTGTAAACTCTAAGCTTTAATGAAAAAAATTCATGGTCAATGGTGTCAAAGGCCTTACTTAAATCGATGAAAACTAGTTAAAAAGACTCTCGTCTGTATCTTAACACAAATTTATTATTGGCTGTTTAAGGAAAGAGTCAAGGAGCTATAATATATATGATTTAAGACCAGATTGACAGGTAAATCACTAAATACTAATAGACTTGATCATAAAAAAGCCTGAAAAATACTTTCGCAACAGTGGAAATAATTGAAATTGGTCGGTAAGCACTAAAATCAATCTTTTCTCAACTTTCATAAATGGGTAATACTTTAACTATGGCTCTGGTCATCATAAAATAATAAGGATAAATTCCCATAGAGAGTGAAAAGTTGAAAATGGTCGTCAGGGATTCTGACAAAGTGTCCTCGGCTGTTGTTAAGACTCTGGTTGTAACATTATGTGAACCAGTTGCTTATTTGTAGTTTATGGCTTTAAGGATTTTCTTCACAGTTAATTCAACAAAGGAGAATGAGCAGTTAAATCTTAAAAGACCTAAAATAGGAGATTGGATCAGTATAGCTCGTTAGCCACCAATAGCAATCCCATGTAAAGGTGCCATTCACTTACTTGTTAGTTTTTTAGGTATACATCTCAAACTTACGAATTGCGAGATAGGAGGTCATCGATTAGTTTCCACTTTTACGATTTTTATATTTTTTTCCAAATTGCATCACTATTTACTGGGTTGTTTTTTTTATCAAAACGTTTTTCAGCAGAACCTTTTCTCGCGACTTATTGGGATTAACTGCATGATGAACATGCACCATCCACATGTCAAACCAAGTCATTTCACAAAGTCTCCGTGAAGGAGAACATTCAAATATTCCTCACTTAGAATTTTTAAAACATATCCTAGAAATTGGTTTATTTACTGGTTTGTTTATCAGAAACTGGTTTGTGATGGTTAAAAAATCTGATTTTTGAATTAAATAAACCAAAGAATGATTACTAATACCCAAAGATTGTACTCTCAACATTCAAGAAACTTGGAAAAAAAGAGTCAATAATTAAAGCGACTTAGATGTATTAATTGGTGTGATGATTCAAGTGGGATCTGTTATGATCTGACTTAGGTTGAAAATACGGCTGATGATAGTAAGAAGATTAGTCGGGGCAATCGGACATCAGAATTGAAATCCCCTAAAATTCACAATTTTTAATGATCAAACTTACCGAAGACATCTCGTGGAACTAGTTTAAAGCACTTCCTGTAGAATAAGAAAATCTATACCAAGTTACTATGGCCTTAAAAAAGGTTTAACTTTGAATATCGCAACAGCAAGTAATTCAAGATTTTCATTGCCGATAAATCTTTAGGTATTTTGAAATTTAAGCTGTTTTGCATAAAAATACATGCAGACGCCACCACCATGCATGTCGGCCGCTCAAATGCCGATCTCTCCAGACAATATCATTACCTAATGTGTGAAAAAACTGTGAATCTCATAGGGAGTTATTGTAGAATCTAGATTAGTTTCGTTTCGAGCTGAAATATCGATTTTATCTTTACTTGGAAAAATTCTAAGTTGATAAAATGTGCAGCTAAACTATCTATGTTACGACAAGCGCTAACATGTCAACGATTTCCTGGTAATTACTTATAGACTTGTATTAAATGGCTGGAATTTACTGTCTCCCGATTAGATCATGGGCAATGGTAGTGGCTTTTTAAGCATGAAGCGTATATTGATAAAAACAATTTTATATATTTTTTCACAAAATCTTCTTTTGCTTTCTTTGAATTATCGTTTGCGGTATAAATTATCCTGTTCGAATTGCGAATTGATTCCAGCTTTGAAATGTTGAATTCTTCAAAAAGGTCAGAAACAGGTGATTCTATTGCAAAATAGCTTCTTAAGCATAGAAACATAAAACTGTTGTTTCCAACGATGAAAAATTTACATATAAAGCAGGTGGCAAGGCAAGAGAAAACGTGTTTCTTCGATAACGCTATAAGATGGTCTTAACTTAGAGTAGATTCTTTGAAATTTTATCTAGTTCACCGACCAACATTCGCAGATATTGTCGTCCGGAATGTTCAGTTCATGCACTTAGATCAACAGAGAAAAAAATCGTAATCTTTGGATTGCTGTATTCAATTAAATTTACCAGTGAATATATCTTTTAAGGTAATCTTTGTCGTCGGTGTACAAAAAACACCCTTTATGGCACACAAACTTCCACAGCAATAGCGACCTCTTTAATGGTCGTTTTCCTGATTTCAGGTAATTCTTGGTCATTTGTACTAGCTGCAGAATATTTAGCAAAGGAAAATGTTTTTAACTCAAAGAACAATGTTCCATCATTTCTGATATATTAATTAAGTACTTGCTTTTTCAATTTGAAAATTCACGCTGTTTTTTGTTTAGTTCCAACTGCGAGTCAAAGTTTGCCCTACATTCCTGAGGGAGAAAAACCAACATTGATATGGTGGACACCTGACACTTTTCCTCATAGTAAAAAGAATGCAATAACTCATACTATTAATTGCAATGCTGGTCCATGCATTACAACAGTAGATAGAGGTCTGCTTAACCGGTCTATCCCTCAGACATTTTTATTTTATGGAACTGACTTTCGAGCAGATGATTTACCACTTCCACGAACGTTTTGGCAACACTGGGCTTTATTTCACGAAGAATCACCAAAAAACAACTGGATTCTTAGTCATGATAAATGTATAAGGTCGAATTCCAAAATTAATAATAAATATAATGATAAATGCTAGATCGAAAATTGAAGAAGAAAAGTCATTTTCTCACAATTATTCTATTTAAATGAGTCAAAAATCATTTATCACCTCATTGCGAGTTTTTGTGAGTTATACTAAAAAATTATAATACATTCTATGATACATTCTGAATAAAAATATTAAATCTAGATTCTTTATTTGAATGTTTTCATTTAGAATTGAACAAAAAGTATAAAACAATCTCCTATTTATTCAACTGAATTTTTCCCATTTACTTAGCTATAACCTTTATCATTTTTATAGACTATTCAACTATACTGCTACATTTAGTCCAAAGTCTGACTATCCTGTCACATCGCAGTTTATAAAATATCCGAAAGAGTGGTTGGAGCGACCTGCAATTTCAACAAAAACAAAAAATAGGTAGGTCGAATCTTATACGTCATCAAAAGAGAACAATTAAAAGGAGACTTCTAAATCTATATATCATTGCCCTCAAGAAGTAAGGAATGGCATTCTATAGAGTGAATTAAGACAACACATTCTTTTGAACAATGATTTTTAGGTACCAATACGAAGAAGGTCTGGCACCCATCGTATACGTTCAACGTGACTGCAATCCACCGTCAGATCGCGACCGTTATGTTAAGGAGTTGATGAAATTTATTGCTGTAGATTCATATGGACCGTGCTTGAACAATAAAAAGCTACCGGAGAACATTGAAGGTTTTCATAAGTTTGATAGTCCAGAATTTTACGATTTCTTGGCGAAGTATAAATTTAACATTGCATTCGAAAATGCTATATGCGATGGTTACATGACAGAGAAAATATTTCGTGCTCTTAAAGTGGGCAGTGTTCCCATCTATTTGGGTTCCGCATCAGTTAAAGATTGGCTGCCAAACAAGAATGCTGCTATAATTGCCTCAGAATTTTTAGGACCAAAAAATCTTGCAAAATATTTAGAAGATTTAAATCGTGAAGACGATAAATACAATATGCATTTACTCCATAAAAAACCTGGTGGTATCTACAACAAGGCATTGCTGAATGCGATTAATGTGCGTATGTGGCAAGTACAAGGAGATTGGGACCTAGTAAATTTTGGCCATAGAATGTTTGCTGGTTATGAGTGTTTTTTATGTGATCGTATGTATACATGGAATGCCACATTAGGCAGGCATCTTTTTGATCCAAAACAGTTTGATCCCCCATCCAGCAAGGCAGCGAATAATTCACACCTTGGATGCGACGAGCCAAAGCCATTGATCCAAGATGACCAGTTTGCCCACAGAATTCCGTTCTGGCAAGGACTAACAGAAGCAAAGGCATTGCATGATATGATTGTAAATGGAGAAACAAATGCTAAAATGTTTACCAAAAAGTACTTAAAGACAAGTACAGACAAATACAATGTCCTGAAAGAGGAGCTTTAAAACATGAGGCATCGACGTTTATAAAAATCTCAATTTTAAGATGTTTATTGATAATTTCTAGCAAGTTTTCAAAACCAAAACACTTCAAGGCACTAGGTAAAAACACATTAGAAAATAACGTAAATGCTTCAGCAACTTTTTGCCAGTCATATATAAAAATACCATAACTCCAAGTAAACATTACCAGTTAATCTGCCGCAGCTATTAGAAATTTGGAAGACTATCTACTGTACAAATTTGTGGCCAGTGACGAAGCCAGCCGCTGTTTTGCTCCTACAATGCAAATTTTTCAGCAAAATTATTATTCATTTCTTTAGAAAATTAATCCAAATTGCTTTCATTGTTTTATCAGTGATTGAACACAAAAATATTTGCATTGTAGGAGTAAAAACCAATGGTAAAAAAAGGGCTAGCTTCGCTACTGCGTGTGGGCTCATTCATGGAGGCAGCAGCAATTTATTAGATATGAATAAATTTTCTATCAGTTCAAAGATAAATTCCCTGTCAGGGAATTCGTGTTAAAGTCATAATATCTTTCTACTGCAGTAACATTTCATTCTATGGAGTCCAATGAAACAATTCGCGTCCATCTTTCTTTGGCCTTCATTTCCTTATAGTAAGACGAAACTACTATAATGCAATACACCTATGAAAAATAATAAAACAATGCAATACACACTACGTTTATTTTCTCATTAAATGTACGAGTGATTTCTCTCACGACTAACAGTGTTGATGATGAAATAAAAAATAGTACACTAACTACTTGGCAAAACAACTTTAATGCTCTAGCTATTTTTATCAACGTACATTAATACACATCATTGTTGCATCAGGTAACCAAATTGAAGGTTCCATCTATAGGTAAATCAAGAAAATAATGTAACAAATTAGCATGCGAACTACTTGAAATACTTTACTAGCACTTGAGATGAAAAACATATCTCACACCTTTGTACGCTTTGCAATATAAAACATCAACGAGGAAAAGTCAAATATTTGATACAATGACACTCCCACAGCGTATGGAATCAGGAGCTTTCGCTTTTCCTTTAAAGACATCAACAATTCATTATAATTAATAAACTGAATGTGTGATAGGTGTCAATATTAATTATAACTATGGAAATGTTTTCGATTGCGACGTTTAGTTTCAGAGGATGTGGCAAATTAGTTCAATAACGTTATACCCAAGACAGTGAATTTCAGAGCAAAATAGTTAATATGCACGACATTAACTAAAAGTTATGCAAAGAATTCGGGTATCCAATATTCTTATAACAAGTTACACTATAATTTCTCACCTTCATCACTCCAAAGAGAAGAAGACAGGAAGTGGCAACTTGCGCGAAACCCAAAATAATTTCAATCCACGAAAAAATCTTTCTGTCTGAAAGTAAAGAAAAACGAACAGGAATTGAATTGCTCAGATAAATGCAACATCGTGAGGCGTTCGCGACAAAATGGATTGTTGCATCATTGCATGGCACAACATCAACATAAGATTTCACAAGCAATGGAAGTGCGCTCCAGTGCTAATTTAATTATGCCGTAGTATAAACAAACACGCTCTAGCATATGACGGACATACTGCAATAATCAAAGATTACCAGACAATCAAATTGAAAACACTTGTGACCATATGGTTAATCCAAATTTGATTTCAACTTACATTCAACGTTTATTCCTCCATGTTTTATTTGAGAATTAGTAAGGTATTGAAGTGAAAGTACATTAATCACTTGTAAAGATATCATGAGTGCAGCTGTAAACTATACAATAATAAGTGATAATATTTTATAGAATATTCTAGAATATATAAATATTTGTAATAAGTTGACTAAATTGCATCGATTAAATAGACTCTAAGTTGTTTGATTAATGGTCTTAAATACCTCGTAGAAATGGGGGGAAGGCAAAAAATTTATATGAAAGAGAAGGAGCGTCGTTTTTCTAAAGTAATTTGCGAAAAATAGAATGTTTGCTTACAAACAAAATACCATCCAAGCATGACCCATTTTAAGTTATTTCTTGAGGACATTAGATTTCAGATTGACTGCAAGTGCCATGAAAATATATCAGTACTTACCAACGTCCATGCTCCAACCATGAAACTTCCCGTTTTTAGAGACATACAAAAGCAAAATTTTGACAACTGACACAACATGTTGTACTGAATATAGCATTTTCATTCTCTTACTCTCCAAGAATCGACAGGGTTTTCTACGGAACTCAATCAATCAACGGAAGTTGCAGATCTAATTGTTATGCTGGCATGATCAATGATCATGTATAATTGATGATGACCTCAGATATTCGCATAAGTGAGAGAAAAACTGAATCTTTCAAATTGGTTTTTTTTAGTTAGCAGAATGTTATGGTATTTTTACTAATTTTGCATTCGTTTCGTTCATTTGACATCCTCTGTGTAGAAAACATGTGACAAACACAAACACGGTTGTAGGCAGAGAATATATAGTCGAATAAAGAGAAATGATACACTTGTTCTCCAAAGTTTCTTATATATAATTATATTTACTCAATGATTATTTATAAACTAACAATATTATAATATTTCTATTATGTTCATTACGACGTAGGTTTCTTGTAATGAATTATATCTTCCCACCTTTTGACGATAAATGTTTTAATACCCGATTCCCTTAAACTGCATACCATAAGCTGAATTTTACTATCATTTATTCAAGCATGCATTAATTTGGTAAAGATCGCCCTGCAAAGCATTTAATAAATACTATAACCAATAACCAAACATCATTCACATATATAATCTCTGGAAAGCAAAATCAATATTAAGAGTGAATTTTAATAAAGGCGTTAGCTTCTAATCCGTTGTTTGAAGACCCTAAAAAAAGAAAATGAATCAGAAATGGATAAACTGACCATCGTCAGGGCAAAAATTTTGAAATTCTTCATCTGTTATTGTATGTGTCATGATTAGCTATGTCAGTTCTACACTATACATCAGACACCAAAATGGACAAACGTGAAAGTGAAAAAAACACGAAAAGCATAAACATGAGTTGGACATAAGAAGGTGAAGATAAAGCAAAATCAAAAAAGCCGAAAACGGAAAAGATAAATTAGCAAGGAAAACTGTGAGCATCTTCTTCTTTGTATATTAGTTTTCTCAGTTCATTAATTTGTAATTTTGTCCACTCGTTTGAAAACTCGTTGGAAAATACAAAATGTGCGTCATACCAAAACGAAAGGTATTCCATTTTACGTAAACAGAACTTTGATGGTTTTGTTTGCTTTATCGTCTTGTCGGCTCTTTTGTCAAGTGGAGTGAGTTCATGTGTCAACAATTATGAGATTAAGTTTTCACTTGTAATTACCTGTTCATTTGGTCTTTTGTAAGCATGTTCCAGTGCTTCGGAGATTGATGGCAAAACTGTGATTCTTGAATCTTCACAAACCTTTCCAGCGTTCAGAATTTTGAGGACATCGTCTAGATTGAAAAATGTTAAGCGTGCAGTTATAGATACGATCTGACTCTAGAATTGACTGAGTTGTTAAGAATATTCGAAAAGAATATTGATTTAATTTTGCATACATGTATAGTTCACCACATAGAGTCGCACATTCATCCGGTCTAATTCTTCAGCAATCTACAACAAAATGAATAAAAACGTATGAGAAAAATCTGGATGTAAGTTGTGATTAAGAGATAAAACACTGTGATTGTAACCTGAATCAAAACTTTGGCTGCAACAGAATCAATGAAACTGAAGGAAGAACAATCAATGATGACAGAATGAATATGATCACCAGAAGAGGACACCAACGTGCTACTCATTTCAGACTAAAAATAATATAATGAAAATATTACTAAACTGGTCCTCAACAAAGAGATATTTTACTATTTTCATCTGGCATATCATATTTGCGCAGCACACTTGCTTCATACTATAAAACCATTAGCTAAGCGAACGTGTAAGTAAAATCTCAACATACCTGAATGCCACTGACATTTTGCTTGATTTCCCCACCAAGAATTTTATTTTCGGGCAAACTTAAGGGATGCTTGCATTTCTCATTTGTGCTATCTATTGTCCTGTTTTTACGGAGGATGCGCTTCTTCAATCGGTTTCTGAATAGTTCCGCATTTACAAAACAGAGGGCTGAAGGGAAGCGAATTATGATCACTCCAGAAAGCTCCTTTGCATCTTCATAATGGGCTGTATCGTAATACACACCAGTAATGCCACTAACCTCCCCAAGATAACATATATCTGCTTGTGCAAGTCGAAAAACAAGTGACATAATGTGAAAGATAATACCAATGGCCAAACCCATTTCTATACCAATCACAACAACACATCCACAAGTAATACACCAGGTGACTGCATCTATTTTATTCACCTTCCACAATGGCCTCACAATTTTGAAATTTTTAAAAGCTCCACGTATTGCAACAATGATAATTGCTCCTAGAACAGCTTTTGGCAAGGGCTCAAACAATGGCGCCAATAAGGTTAACACAAGCAAAATGATAACACTTGAAAACACATTGGTGAGCTGCGTACGTCCAAGATTATCTTGAATCAAGCATCGACCGAGTGCTGCTGCAGCAGCAAAGCATGAGAAAAAGCCACCCACCATGTTTTGCATTCCGTATGCAATAAGCTCTTGGTTTGCATCAATAGGATATTTATGTTTTTGAGCAAACAACTTAGCAAGTGAAATGTTGATTGCAAACGCTATGATTGCAATCACAAATCCGTCCGATAGAATCTCCGGGATCAAGCTACCACGAGGTAGGCTTAAGGGGGGCATACCGCGCGGAACATTTTCAACAATCTTTATGCCATAATGCATTTTCAGCTTTGCACCATAAGATATGCCAGCAGCAAGTGTTACTACAATTAGCTCTGCGGGAATTGGGAATCTTAGTTTGTACTTAACATTAATGTGTTTTACCCCAAGTAAAATAATTATACACAAGACACCGATGATAGTTGAGCAAAAGTTGATCTTTGCTATGCTTTTGAATATGTCAACATACGTCTAAAAAAGAAATAAAAAGAAAAAACGTCCTTAGACATACGTACAAGTCGAAAAAGTAGAAGGGGAGCATCCTCTCTCTGCTCCGCGATCCCTGGGCTTACATACATATAGGAAAAGTAAAGAAGAGGACACCCCCTGCTCCACATACATATAAACACATTCTAAAAAAGTTGCACTGTACCAGTATTAAGGCAAATGCTCCCGTGTGGCGTTTTGGATAAATAGCAATGACATGTTTAATTTGAGTGGTAAAAACCCAAAATGCAGAACCAGTCGTGAACCCGTTTACAACAGCATCAGAAAATAATCTTGTAATGACACCAAGTCGCAGAACGCCCATTAAAGCCTATAAAAAAATCACCAAGCAATGTTTAGCAGACATGGTTATTAAAACAGGGATGTATATCTATAGATAATTAAACTTGTGGCCTCGTATTGCTTGATAAAGTTTAGCTTGATTTATCTTAAAGTATGAACCAGCATGTGACTCAAACAGCTTATGTCTAAGACCTTCCAACTTCGTCAATTAATGTCTTCCAAATAGCTAGAAGACATTAAATATAAAATTATTAAATGTCTAAGTTCTTTTACAGTCGATTGTCTTGGGTAGTTACGTCTAGCATATATGATGATTATTGAATCATGGTGAGTACAACTGCATATAAACTAACAAATGTATTTTCCATCATATAGTCTAATCACCTGAAAAAATCCAACAACAAAGCACAATGTCACCGAGATCGCAACTTTTTCTTTGTCCAGAGGGGTTGCCCAAGGACTACTATCACCTGATGATGAAGAATTGCTTGGCATTGATCCATTGCTTGATCCATTGATGAATTCATTGCCGTTCTGTGAATTGAAATTACTTGTTCTACTTTCAACAACGGCGCTAACCATGATGCTAATGACCGCAAATGTACCTAAAAATAGACAATATTGTGATCATTGTTATTATTGCAGACAATAAGTCTTGTCATTATGTCATGTCCACGTTTTTTTCTTGGTTGGTTTTTTCTGCAAAACTTATCATATGTGTGTAAAATAAAAAAGCACTTACAGAGCCTCAAATAAATTGATTCTATAATTTAGTACACCCCCTGTTATATCATATTTTTGTGACATCCAAACCTGACAGTACATCTTAAGCAACGCCAAACATAGTCGCAACAAACCAAACATTTTCAAGCGTCAAGATATGGAGATTTTTTTGCTTTAGTGGCAACTTTGTAGTAGTACCCAAGATTCTATCAAAAAAACGTACAAAACATATGGTATATCGATCTGTGACAACTGCGACATACATACCAACAGAAAGTTGCCTTGATGTTCCCATTACAGCATACAGTAACACAGGAAGCATGGCAGTATAGAGACCAGTAATTGGAGGAACAGAAGCGATCATAGCAAAAGCCAAACCTATCAGACGTGTAAATTTATATTATTGCACGTACTTCATGAGAAACAAGATATAATTAAAAACATCCAATCAAAATAATTTCATTTATGCCCTCGTTTTTTTTATCATTTTGTCATTTGGAAACAATTCGTCCAATAAAAGTATTAAACATGACTTGTTGGTTATAATTCTACAATTTTAAGAAAAGAAAAAATTGATTTTTTACGCTAAGAAAAAAGTTAATGAGTATTACAATCTTTCTTAAATCTTATAACAATGAAGAAATGGGCAACTATGAATGAGGATAATGGATGCCGTATCGTATGTATCAACACAAGTTACAAAATTTGGCAGAAGAATAAGCAATTTTGCGAGTTCACAATATTAAAATAAATCAATCATAAACATATTTGAGAAGAAGAAGCTGTTGCCGAGCATTGAAAGATGTATAATGAGCAAAATATACTTCACGAAAATATAAAAAATGAAAATATAGCTAATATTATTTGTGTTTGTTGCTACTTGTCAATGATTTTTTTAAAAAGCCTTTATCCCACTGAATTCACTGATATGTTACTTGTGTACATCGTGTACATATGTGTACATCGGAGTAGCTAAGTTTGAAATGTTATGTTAAGTATATATTTCTACTTTAAAAACTTTAACATGTCTCCGGGCCATAGGGAATTAACAGTTCTAAACTTCAGTCTATAAATTATACTTACAGGAGATAACAATTTAGTGAGCAATTTAGAAGGCTTTTCTATGAAGTTTTTGATCTTTTATTTACTTTTTATCATTAGGGTATGGTTTTTCTTCTTATGTATCCTAGTATAGCTGGTTAGGCATGCCCCTAGTCATTGGTCAAACCATGTTAACTCAATACAGTACACGGATTTTTGTCGAATAAGGTCAAAGTTACTTTTCAAAGTGTCAATCTAATGAGATATGGCGTAACAAGAATGCATGTAAAAACTCGCAGGCTGGCAAGTCTCTGCAGAAAAAAGTGATTATGCTAAATTCCAAGGATTCTGATGAACTTTGATCTAAAACAAAACAAAAATTTCCATCTGATAATACCATCAGATCATTTAAAAAGTAAATAATAATTGGGTGTAGGGTAAATAACCTACAAACTCTCGCTAATAGAAAGAGACAAATGAAAACCATCCAAAGTCATGTGCTCAAGTGCTTGCAATTATTGCACGACTGGTGTTTATCCTTGCACGTGCACAAATCCTTGCTTAGAGCAAAATCCATTAAACTCGTGATTGTGTCATTCAATCTCAGATGATTTGATCGGCAAAGAAAGCTTGACCTCATGATGCAAGTGAAAATCACACTTTTCGCCGCACGTGCTTAAATTGTACGAAAAATGAAAATTATGTAACCCACTCAAAATCAGTCAAAGTAAATTTCACGCAAGCAGCTTTCTATTTAATTTTTTTTCCATCAAAGCACAATAAGTTGCCAAACTAAATTATTTAATACAATATCGACAATATATTATGTATAAAATGAAAACAAGAATAAATTCTGCAAAAAGCCGATAGTAGTAAAAACTTGCAACTCGTGCAAGATGCAAGTGCTTTTTATAAAGCAATAAAAGAAAAATTTACGTGATCTTTACGATACTCATGCGAGTGCTGAATAAATGATGATTGAAAAAATAACTGCACAAACTATCAATTATTAAATATGTCTTGATTTGTTTTGTAAACTGAATATTTTAGCATGTGCTCATTTTCACACGGGACACTCGTGTGGAGTACTAGTCATTGACTTACGTTAACAAGATTAAAATATACTGCGGTTTATCAACACCGGCAACAATGATGGAAATCTTTACAAACCTTGAGGAATATTCATGATACCCAAAGTCAAACCACCAGCCAAGTCGGCGGGAAGATCTTCTTTTACTTTGTATTTTGGTAGCCATGTGGCGATTGGAAATAGTGACTTCAACGTGCTACGTAAAGACCATTTTTTAATTTTTCTGGAACATGTTGAAGACACCTGTCTTCTGACGTTGTTGAGCATTTTTATCTTCTGTATTTCAATAAGATGTGGATTGACTGAGATTAGAGGCAATCTACCACTGATATAGCTTCACTTTAAAATCCTCTCAGTTAAGACCTAAACATAATGACAAACTCGTATTAAAATTGGAACTCTTTTATTTGCTCAATAAGTAAGAAATTTTAACAAAAAACTTACCAGCTACCAATGGGCATCCTTTGCACTGTATGCATGGGATTGTGGAGTTGCATAGCTTGACGGGCACAATTTATAGTATACCCAAGCAATGGTGAACAGGAAGTATCGAATTCTGGATGGTGATAAATGTACAGTAATATATCACTTGCCGGTATATTGCGATCAAAAATATGACTCTTTGTTAGTATAAATTCACATAAAAATAACCTCAATAAAAATCATAGCAAGAAAAACATTGTTTCAACGCACGAAATGCATTACCTAAAACCAATTATTAAAATTCACGTGTTCATCATGTTGATATATGAGTACAGTATCTTTTCGTAGAAAAAAAAATACTAAATTCGAGGCTGAGATAACATTCTCGATAAAAGTTACCCACAAAGAGATCCATTATGCACGCATAAAAAATACGCCTTAAAAACTGGTGAAAATTCTAAATTAACACCAAATAGCATGTGCTACGAGAGTGGAGTCGCACATGGCTAATTAAGAAGTACAAAGTGCGTAACCGAGGAATTCTGTTAAACAGCATGTAATGGGAAAAAACGAAGCACTTTGAACTAATCTATGTTTGTCAAGGAATTCAAAACATCTGTTGTATTTTAAAAACAGCATGTGTAAATAAAGGTATTTCTTTTGCAAAAGAAAATATTTTTACGTCAATTCGTAAATGATAATGAGATCAATAAAAAATTGTTTTACGTTAGTGCCATCTGCTCGTTGCTCAGTGTTTACATGAGCAAAATTCATTCACCTGCGGTTCACCCACTGAAAAGTAAAGTGTTCCAGAGACCTATAACTTTTAATTTGCAGATATTATTGCTTATAACAATGAATTGTGATCTCAACTAAAAGGAAATTCTGTTTGGTATATTTTCGGTAGAAAGAGAATGAATATATTTTCAAAAGGAAGATATTGTTATTTGATTTGCTCATGCATCATTTGGCACTTGAGAACTGTATCGGCTTCAAACGCAAATGAAACTAAGAAGAACAGTGGACATGGCACAAATTTTCCCATGGCTACAACTGTTGCAGCCGTTGTTGGAAGCTCAATGTTACTTTCAGCATTTGTTCTCATAATGGCTTTCTTATTTTGTTGCAAGTCAAACATGGCTTCGGAGATTGTCGATCCACCCGAACAAAGCACGAGCATGATGAGTCTGACGGATCATACAGAAATGAACAATGGAAAACGTGTATTAGAAAATACCGCAATTCGCATGCATGAAATAGTTACTAAAGGCAAAAGTAAAATTACAAAGATCAAGTTATCGCGTCACCAGAGCGACACAGAGCAGCTGCAATAGTGAGTGGCAAGGCAAGACGTGATATACAATTTAAAGCAGCTGCATTGTGTAATATGACCTTACTCTTTCTTTACTACTAAGAAAATAGAAATAAATATTATTTTGTCTTCATTTTGAAAGCTTTGATACAGTAGAACCTCTTCTTGAAGACACCTCTCGAAAGTGGACGCGTACCTCTCGTAAGCAACACTGCTTTTGGGTCCTTGCAAATATGCTATTACCTCTCATCACCAAACATTACTTTTCGTGATCCTAAGGAAGTCTCCTGACTGGAGATTTGATTGTATTTTCAATAGAATAGCACTTTAGTCCTCGCTTTAATCAGTCTATTAAATTATCTAGATTAAAAACAATCTACGAAATATTTTAAATTCTGAAATATTTTAAATGAAAGAAAAGAACTGTGTGCCATTTTGATTAATTTTTAACTTACTGAAAGTCTTTAAATCAGGTTAACATGCAAAATCTACTGAAAAGTAGTTACTGCGATATTCTATAAGTTTGAAACAACATAATTCGTAACTGCAACGCACACGTTACCACGAGCGTAAAAACACGAATTTTACCTCAAATTTAGTTGGCATTTTTATTACTGCAGGGCAAAATATTTAAAAACAGGTGCGCATTGCGTACCTACACCATGCTACCAAACGGCGTCAAAAACAGGCTGAAAGTTTTTGTGATACGAATACGTCTTGATTGTATCTAGGAGCGGATGTCATACGTGACCAAGAGAATTCCAAAACCTTTAGAAATGTCTTTACTTTAATGATATTAAAACAGAAAAAAAGTGAATAAACTACGTGGATGAAAAATCAAATGCAGCTATTTTTATTAAAACTGAAAAAGTTGAAAACACAAAATGGATTTTTAAAAATGAAACTGTACTAATCGATAAGCAATTGTAATTTATTTTATGTAACACGGAGTCCGCCACTAAGATAAAGTTAAAATACGCCATTTAAGTTACCATAAGAAATGAAACATACTTTGAATTAATATCATAGTCTTTTACTGAAAGTTAAGATAATGACTGATGATTTTGAAACCAAGTAAAAATTTTTGGAAAGCTGTTTACAAGATGATGGTATTATGAGTAAATTTTCTTTATGGAAGTTTCCTTAAAAGTATCAGCTAGTGAAATTATTATCAGTGGCAATTTCATGAAAACTGTACAGGATTGGCATTTAGGAGCCATAACGTATTAGCATATGAGCACCTATAGACACGGGTAAAACTCATAAGAATTGGCTTGTATTTGTGTACTATGGTTCATCTTTTTGAATGCTAATAGATATGGCAACGACACTTCAGCAAATTTAAACATTTATTCATAAAAAACTGGTAAATTCTTGAAGTACTTTTAGCAATTGTTAGTACACCAACACAACAAACTTTCATACAAAAGTGCAGTTTTGAAGAGACGCACACATCTATGGATCCTTGCATGTGAATACCCTAAACAATAAAGAACAAAAATGATGTAAGTAGTCGGTTAATCAGTAAATATATTTCTAAAATTAATCACTAACCAGTCGTTCATTTAGACTGATTTAGTCACGATATGCAAATTTTTTGTTGATAAATCATTGTGAAAACAAAAGATTTCCAAAAAATCAATAATGATGTTGCATAGTGTACTTCATAATGACAGAATATTTGCTGTATCGTATAATAACCACAAGCGCACAGCACGTTACAATCTCACAAATAAAAATGTAAATTATAACAACAAAACAACAAAACACGTTTGTGTGCTTGGTGATTACGTTTGTCCTTGTAATCACCATGCAGAAGGAAAAACTGAAAAATTCAAAACATATTTGTTACTGTTAATTTGTCATTATGAAACATATAGCTTCAACAAGGAAAGAATCAAAAAAGGTGCAAGCCAAAGCTGTGACTTAATTTCTCTTTTTATGCATTCTTGTTAGTCAGCTGGTCGTGAACATGCATACAAGTTATTGAATTAAAGCCTTGGTTTTAGCCAAATAAGCCATCAGCCATTACCTATCACACTATTTTCAATGCATTGTTATCGGAAAACTTGATAACCATTAAGCAATGGTGTATAATTCCATTTTTTAACTCGTACTTTCAGGAAACCAGGCTACAGCTAGACGCTATTAAACAAACATAGGGATGGATCGACACACGTGAAATCCCTTAAAACTGCAAGACATGTCGGCCTAGACTTAGCGTTAATTCTGAATGACACCGTGTTTCCACTTTTTTTCACAACTATGCATCATCAGATAATAAAAATAATCAAATTCGTACCATTTGTATTTTGACTAAAATTTATTCTGCTTTACTTGTTTTCATAGCGCCATTATTTTCATTTGTGTGTTTTACTTCGAAATCACAGTAGGTAAACTTTTTCCTGCTCCCAAATTTTATGAATAAAATTTTTATGAATAAATTTGTAACTGTGCTATAGATGAAAGTCTAAATTACAAAGATACACCTAACCCAAATATGAGATTATGAGTTTTATTTTCCTGAGCAAAGCGGAGGTGAGTTTAGATTAGTCATGATTTGGTGCTTCGGCTTTGAGTAAAATTTAGTGAATTACATGCATAGACGTAAGGGAGCTATCATTTCGGGGGGGGCAGTAACTATTTTCCCCGACTCACACTGAAGTTTTCGCCATATTTTCACCCGGCTTCCCCCTGCCTCCCATCACGTACGCGTATGATTGTATGTAATATAATTTGAAAGACGACAATTTTAAAGTGAGCATGATGAAAAAGTATTTACACGTGACATGCACACGTTGGTGATTTGTAATTGATCCTTTAGACTATATGGTAACAAATTTATAAAAATGTTGGATGCTTTCCATTTTCGTTAATAAAAAATGAATTACGACACTTACGGACTTACAAAGTTTCCTGTATTTACACATTTTCTCATTGGTCCAGTGCGCTGATCACCCTTGCGACAACAATTGCCGTGGTTAGCTTCGCAGCCTGTCTCACCAAGTGGGATGCAACTCCTTTTGAAAATCTCATCGTACTGTTTTATAAAAAAATATATAATTAACGACGAGGAAAGTAGAACAATGCTTTATTACTGTACCGTCGCAGCATGCAAATATAATGTAAAGAAATTGTTTTTCCTTTTATGAATTTCCTTCTTTGCATTCCTTATATTATTAATTGATCGTTTTCCGTTTTACACTACTTTTTACATTTTCATACATTGCGTTAACCTATTTCCTACTGTGGGTTCACTACTTTTTCTTACATTTTCACCTACAAATACGAAAACTGAACTATTTCCTACTGTGGGTTCACCACTTTTTCTTACATTTTTCACCTGCACCCTATAAAAAATGAGTTAACTGAACTATTTCCTACTGTGGGTTCACCACTTTTTCTTACATTTTTCACCTGCACCCTATAAAAAATGAGTTAACTGAACTATTTCCTACTGTGGGTTCACCACTTTTTCTTATATTTTCACATGCACCCTATAAAAAATGAGTTAACTGAACTATTTCCTACTTTGGGTTCACCACTTTTTCTTACATTTTCACCTGCACCCTATAAAAAATGAGTTAACTGAACTACATGCTATAAACCACAACTGGGCATTTTCTGCATAAAACAATAAATAATTAACCAGAAATTGCTTTTTTTAGATTTTCTATTCTTTAATGCGTAAACATCTTAGGCTATAGTATTGTCTCTTAAATTTATGGAGAAAGCAAAACTATCGCATTTTTTCACT